TTCCACTTGCCAGGAAGTTCTTGTATCTTTGTAAGTATTGTTGGGAGTGGAGAAGACAGGATACGTAGAATATATGCTTTTTGTCTCCAGAACTCTAATGGTTCTCCTGGCAGCTCTATAGTCCATCTTCTTTCTTATCCTCAGATTTATTTTAATGTTCTGATGAATAAAGTATCTTTTCCATTTTTATTGTTATGTCAAAGTCTTGTAGCTTTTTTTCCTATTTGTGTTAAATTATAATTCTCTTTATTTGTTGCTTTGCTAATTAAGTCATTTTCTTCTAGTTTATGTTCTTTTATCTGATTTGTTTGTTCATTCTTTACCATCATTTTTTGAGTGTTTTTTGATTGTGGGTTTAGATTAGAAATGTGCTCATTTATGTTGTCAAAGTTATTTTTGATCTCCTCATGGTTTGAATCTATTGTCATTTGTATCTGTTGTACCATTACATATATTTCCTCCTGGAAAATATTTGTCTTGTCTTGAAATGTTGCTTCTGGAGATCTTTGATATCCAGACTAGGTCCTTCAGGAGTAAGTATTAAATGTAGTTTTCTGTTATTTTTTGATAAGAATGCAATATTCATGTTGTCTACCCCTTTCAAATAGTCCATCAGTGCCATTAGTCTCTATAATTAGCCTTATCAAACCAGTCAAACTCAGAATTGAAACAGCCCAATTTTGTATAGTTCTTATCTTTATATATAGTTTTTATAATCCACTGTATTTCCAATTGTCAAGGCATCAGTAAAATCAGTATTTATAACAGTTCTTTTATTCAGGGGTCAGTTGTCAACCAGTCAAAATTGCAATTCAGCCACTTTGAGCCTGTAAATTTCCTCCTAAAAGATTAGCCTAGAGTCAAAGTTTTTCTTTTTCTTTTTTAATCTTATGACTGGCCCAGTATGTATTCTTTTTTCTCCCCACCCAGCTGTCTTCTGAGGGTTATCCAAGTTCAAAGGAACAGATTATTCTTTGTTTCTTGGCATCTTGCCAATTTCTGAGTCAGTGTTGTTAATGTTCTATGTTCTAGTTCTCCACTAGGTGTCAGTAGTTGTTTGTTTTCCAGCTTTTTCAAATATTATCATTATTATTATTTTTAGTTTCATCAAAACCCTTTAAAGTATAATCTTAGTTATTTTTTTAATTTCTAGATTTATCCAGACTGTAATATTTTAACTTTGATTTCAAAATATTTCTTTCTCCCTTAAAGGTTATTTCACCGCTTCCATCTATGAGGGAGTGGGGTTATAGTCCACTTCCTTCACTTTTGGAGGTTTTCTTACTTTGGGGATCTTTCCCAAGGACTTAGTTACAGAGGAGAGGAGAGAAAATCGATACTTTCACCAGTTCCAAGCATGCTGTTCACCATTGTTCTGGTTCATGCTCTTGGACTTTGGCTGCAAGTAGCTTGGGCTAGACACTTGTGTGCACCTAGCCTTTCTCCTGTCAGGTTAGAGGGCTTCTCCTGGATCGAACAGAATGGCTGCCATCATTCTGTGATCATCGGGGCACGCCTTTTTCTTCATTGCCACTCTGGAGTGACTTCAGACCCATTTAGGGTCCCCTGGCAAGGCGAAATCAGCCATGGGGAGTGGAGCTACGCAATCCCACAGCCATGCACTATGGTGCAAAAACTGGAATGGATGATGTATGTGAATGAAAAGTTTGAAATTTAAAGGTAAATTAAGCTAAAGAAAATTAGGACTAAGGAATGACTGAAATACTGAGGGGAAATTAAGCTTAAATAAGAACTTTGAAAATAAGATATATAGTGATTTAACAAATTAACTTTTACAAATATAAATGAAATATAAACTGATCAGAAAAGATGTTATAGGTAGATGTCATAAGATAGATGAACAGTATAATATTTTTATAATGCATAAAATATGAAACATTGGGATGGTGTATCTGAATGGAAAATTTGGATATTGAGATGATTAATATTGAGAAAATTATGACTGATAAGAATTATTTAAATATTAAGGGGAAATTAAGCTTAAATAAGAACTATGAAAATAGGATATATGGTGAACTAATTAGATGATTTTTATAAAAACAGCACAAGTTGATAAGAAAAAATGTCATACGTGGATGTTATTATTTGTAAAAACATGAAAAAATGTTTATATTTAACCATTTATGCATTGAAAATATTAACAATTATATTTGTTTAAGGTTGAAGAAGGAGAATACTATTGGGAGAAGGGAAGATCAAAGTAATATACTATTAATTAATATACTAATTATGGAAGTACAGAAATTAATTATTATTGACAGTCAATTAACTACCATTGATTGTTTTTTTTCTTAAATTTATGAACCAAGACAACACACTGTACACCGGGCACTAGGGATTATTATTGTAAAAAATCAATAAAACATTTCTAAAAAAACCCAAAACAAATGATTTCAGCATTTCCAAGAGTGAAGAATTGCTCCTCCCACCTTTTTTCAGCCTATAATACTTTTCCTAATGTCTTTTTTTTGTAAAAAACAATAACAGTGATAGAAGCCTAATGAGAAATCTCCATTTCATGACCATTTATTTATTACTTTTAAGAGCAGCAACTGCTGATGGAAGGATTCACTGTTCACCAGTAATGGCATCACATTTCTGGAATCTGATCAATTAATGTGATTTATACAAGAATCCATGTTTCGTATTGCATGGTATATTAGCTTGAGCCAAAATGAGTAGCACTTGTATTGTCTCTGATTGTACTTCCGTTGCTTTGGATCTTAAACTTGGATTGATGGTACGATTGACTATAATGTTTCTCTTCTAATGGTTTCTAGCAGCTTTGGAAGTATTGAATTTTCCTGGAAAGATTATCTTAGTTTCAGATATAGATATAAATATAGAGATAGAGATAGACACACACACACATACACACACACCAGTTTCTGAAATTGCTTTCTGGTGTAAACCACCCCCAACCCCATGTATTTTGTATATCTGTGGTTTCTGCTTGAAACCTCAGATATTTATGCTAAAGAAAGTAAAAAAAAGTTACACAAAGGTTCTAGAAATGTAGATTTACACTTGTTTACATGGTTAATTGAAAAAAAAGATTTGCACTGAGGGCCATGTTGGAGAGAGTATACAAAATAAATTGAGTGAGTGAGTGAATGAATGAATGAATATTTTCCTGGCTTTCTTCCAATATGTAATGTCACTTATTGGACCTTGCAATTCACTTCTACGCTCTGAATCTCTCTCTCTCTCTCTCTCTCTCTCTCTCTCTCTCTCTCTCTCTCTCTCTCTCTCTCTCTCTCTCTCTCACACACACACACACACACACACACACACACACACACCACAGAATGTACACCACGAAAAGTAGAAACACTGAAATATTCTGTAGGACATAACAAATATGGGTTACCTTGTGTAACTCAGTTTTTAGCAACCATCCTACTTTAACAGTATATATCTAATAAAGTAATGCAGATATCATAGCAAAAAAACAGACAGAATTTTGATCACACCATTGCAGCCACTATTTTGACTTTTTAAAAATCACACCCTGTGATCACCCCTGCAACATATGCTTGAAGCACAAGGGTGTCAATATAGTACATGTCTGCAAGACTTTAAAACAGTCCTACCATTTTTCAGAACTGTAAAACACATTTTGGAAACAAAATCCAAAGCATAGTATATCTCTATTATTTCATAATGATAGACTTTATTTTTATGCAAGATAACTGTATTTTTACAATCACTTTGTTTAAAAAAGGTGAGATGCATTTTATAAAATCTTGAAGTAAATGCTCAGTATGAAATGTCCTGAGAAAAATAAACATATTAATACATTCTCTAATATTGTCTCAAATTATCCCTCAGCAGTCTATTGGTAAGAGAAAACCAGAGTATATTTGAAAATGAGAATTCTTTCATTCATAACATTGCACATGGGAATAACTTGTTGATAAGATACTAATTTAAATATTAATGAAAGATGTTGACTGAGGATAGAAAAGGAGATAGTTCAAGGTGTGACTCTTTATTTCTCTCCTTTGCATGTAAGGTTTCTCACAAACTATGATAAGAAATCAGAAAATTGTCCTCTTTGTTTTCCACTACTTGTGCTCTGTTGTCACCAAAACCAAGTGTGCAATAAATAAAAACTGAAAAATACATGGAATGTATCCAAGTTTATGAACTTAAATTCCAGCCTATTTTCAAAAGTTTGGGAGTATTTGATAATGATTTTAGCTTTCATGCTTTGGCCTGGTTTGAATTATAAATTAAACTAACAGTTCCTTCTCAAAAGTCCCTAATTTCCATAAACATACTCAGACTAGAATCTGCTAACTCCCCTACAGACTTTTCAGTAACAAGAATAAACAGATGAAGGAAATCTATAGCTGGCCCTACAAAAATATTGGCCTCTTGTACGAAGCTTAGACCTGTCTTCAATTTAATCTGGGATGCTGACAGTAAAATTCACCAGATTCTGAGAAGTTTGTTAGTTAAAAAAGAACTTATTCCACTTCTATTGGCCTAAGGATTGTCACCATCTTTGAAGAGAGGATGGTGTCCACTCTATTAAAGACTTGGCAACAAGGCTGGGAAGCAAAGTTTAAATTAATATTTATGTTACTTTCATTAATTTAAGGTGTTTAAATCTAAACTCTCACCCTCTTATAATGATATTTTATTATGTATTGATTCATTTGGATCGATATCCTGCATTATATCCACTATCACGTCAGCATATAGAATACTTCCTTCTCAATCCTTTCTTTGCAGCCACATGTCTTGGAGATAGGCCACTCAGTCAGCTTTCATGGACTCAGATCTGGGTCTCCCTGGTTTTACTCTGTTATACTACACTGGCTCTTTTTTGACCCATGGGCATGTATGTTGGAAACTAAGTGTTGGATGATTGTGAAAAGCTCATTCATGGAATAAAAGAACCATGATTTGGCAAAACATGTATCTAATATATTTGATTGTGGAATAAGTTATGGATCTATTTACTTTTCCAGGTACTGAAATGGGTGGAAGAAGCAGTGCAAGCTTCTAAAGTTCATCTATTGTCTACAGACCATTTAACTTCAGGAGAAAGCTTTTGGCAGATCCCTTTTGATCCTAGTCTGAAAGAAGTTACAGTGTCACTAAGTGGTCCTTCCCCAGAAATTGAAATTCACAACCCTTTGGGTGAGATGTTAATCTATTTCCTTTTATTAAGATTGGCCAGGCATGACTTATTTTCAGTACCTTCCTAGCTTTGTTATACAAGCAGTACAAATTTATGGAGTAGATATGATTGGCCTCTACCATTGGATAACTCTAGCTCAACTTCTTGAAGCATTTTATGGGATGACAGTTAAGAAGTACCACCCTTTTCTTTGTAAATATGCCCCTCTTACTTTAAAAAAATCCCTGAGATTAAAGCATAAGAACATTAACGGTAGGAGACCAGAATGACAAATCCAAAATTAAGGAAGATTACAAAATTAGAAGGGAAATCAAGAATGTTCAAATGTAGATATGAGAACAAGGTGGGCAAGCATTCCCAATGGTTTAAAGACTACTTAGACATGTTTTAGGCATTTTGTGTTTCCCATGTTAAGTAGCATTGGAATCTCAGAAGAAAATTGGTGATGTGCTGTCTCATTTTTCATGTGAAGTTCTTAAAAGTGACTTTAGTGGTATTTATACTGAGTGCTACCATCTACCCTATTTATATAAATATTGGCCAAGGGAATGATTTTTATATTTCAATATAGTTCCATGATTTAGGTTAGCAGGGAAACAACTACAATATATTCACTTCTGCCACAAACTTAACACCAATAAAAATATACCATACTATGTACCCATTGAGTCTTCTTCTGATTGCTCATATAGAGGCAATCTGCTACCAAATAATAAAGTCTGCAAATTGCATTTCCTATAAATATTTGGATAACCAAGGAATGACTGCTGGTAGTCTAAAGGATGAAAAAGAAAAAGTTAGTCTTCAATAAAACACACAAATATTGGAGATCTTACATAATGGAAGAGGTATTCCCAAAAATATCTGCACTTCAAGTCATTTAGGACCTTACACATTATCAAGTTTATCTCAAAATAGGGAAATATTTAGCTAATGAAGAAACTGAGAACAGTAATGATTCCGTAATTAAACATATTGTTTAGTAACAGAGTAGCATTTTGCGCCAGTTGAAGCCTTTATGAAATCGCCAAGGATAGCCCCATGAAGATCTTATTAGATATGAAATTGCTGAGAGATGGACCACTATGGTAAATCTGGGACAGTTAAGTGAGTGCTACAACTGGCAAACCAACCAGAGCTGAAAGTAGACTTAGTGTCCAGTGAGAAATTGGATCTTGAACTATCCCCAATTTATAAATCTGTTTTTTCAAAGGATCACAAATCGATCTAGAATAGGTGGTTTTCCTACAGGGGTTCCCAACCCCCGGCCTGTTAAGAATTGGGCCCCATAACTGGAGGTGAGTGGTGGGCGAGTGGGCAAAACCGAAGCCCTCTTCCTCCCAATCTGTGGAAAAAATATCTTCCATGAAACTGGTCCCTGGTGCCAAAAAAGTTGGGAACCAGTGGTGGGATTCAGCCAGTTCGCACCAGTTCAGCAGAACCGGTAGCTTTTTTTTTTGTTGCCCAGGCCCAGAATGGACTTCCAGAAGTGGCATCCACACAGAGAACTGGTTGTTCCCATATTTGAATCCCACCACTGTTGGGAACCTGTTTTCCTAATTGCTTATGCTGGGATTAGCCATTAATTATACCACTAGTTTATCATAATTAAATTTAAACCTGTTGTTTCTCTTCTGCCTGCAAGCTTTAATCCAATCCAACACTGACTCACTTGATTAAAATACTGACATAGCCATAGACAAATCTCTACAAATCGATTGTTTTGCAAGAACACCCTTATTACAGCAATTTAACTTAATGCAAGTTAAATGCTCTCCATATAAGAATGAATGCATGATTCAAATGGAATATATAGGTTTGTAACAAAGCACTGTTTGTCATAAAGTTGCAGAAAGAATTATCTCCTGTTGCATAGAACATAGTCTAGATATGAGAATTACTGAAATAACTAATAAAAATACTCATTCTTTGCCTGCACTATAGGTAAGCATGTAAAGAAAGGATCTGGCTTGAATGAATTACTCAATATTGAAAATTCTGCTAAAGTAGTGAACATAAAAGAACCAGAACCAGGAACATGGTCTATTCAGGTAACCTTAATGAAATAATGCTGCAATTTATTTTCCACTACCTGAAGTTTTATAGAAAATGTATGTCAAAAAGTGTTGTTTGTTTGTTTGTTTATTCCCCACCTTTCTTATTACTGAATGCAAAGGATTTTTTTTTGGTAGTGTTTTCAGGCTTAAAGCTAAACATAGATGACTTTACTGAATTGATATTTGAATCCATCCATTGCTCTGATGCAGGTGCCAGCCATCTTGACAAGTGTCTTCAGAAAACTCCAGTTTTATCTTGATTTTCATGGCCTGATAGGGCTAAGAGCAAGATATCATGGCTCTGAAAAGCGGTGGCTACTTCACGGTTTAGATGCTGTCTGTACGCAAGGGGCATAAACAATAGATAATCAAATTAATTGTCAAATATATGTGTTTGGCAAGAGGATTAAGATAATTCATGTTAAGCAAATGAAGGAATTTTGATTCCATGCTTTTTATATTAATTCTTAATTCCATGCCTCTTTGGTTTCTTTGGACAAAGGAAAACTTACATGTGGTTTGTCACCACCCAATGAAGTGAAATAAATGTTCAAAATATGTGCATTGAACATACCACTAATGTATGTTTCACAAATGAGATATTCTCAGCTTTGCACTGCTGACAGTGCACAGTCTTCTCAAGAGGATAATTGCAGTTGGTGTTGATAATCCAGAACTGTAGTCCATGCATGACAAACTCATTCCACATTTCACTGCTGTCTTTTTCTGCTAAAATACTCAGCTTCCCAAACTGTAAACTATAATTATATATAAATGGTAATGCTGCTGAGCTATGCCTACCCATCTCTATATGTATTGTTCTCAAAATGGGAAACACATCTTAAAAATCAGAGTCAATTGCATGAAATACTGAAATGTGTATCTGGAGAATATTGAATGAATTTCAGAAGTTTACAAGAAAAGATGTAGTTGGATTTACCCAAAATAATACAAATACAACTTAAAGAGCAGCTACATTGGTGGTACTCATTTTTTTCCACTTATCGGAGGATAGGTCAATGTGTTAGTGGAGTATTGTTGTTGTTGTTCAGTTGCTAAGTTGTGCTGTACTCTGGGCAATCCCATGGACCATAGCCTGCCAGAGACTCCTGTTCCCCACTGCCTCCAGAGTTTGCTCAAATTCATGTTCATTACATCAGTGACACTCTCTAACCATCTCATCCTCTGCTGTCTTCTACTCCTTTTGTCTTCGCCAATATCAAGGTCTTCTCATTTGGTAATCAAGTATTTGAGTTTCAGCTTAAGTATCTGTCTTTCTAAAGAACAGTCAGTGTTGACTTCCAATGATCTTTTGAGAGTCTTCTCCAACACCACAATTGTTAGTGTACTATACAATATGCCCCCCCCCCATTATCACTGCTTTCCCCTTTAACTGTGACTGCATTATATCCCAGCACTCTTCAAGTGAAATTTAAACTGGGCCATCTTTTGAAGTTAAGGTCTGTGATTTCTTAATCACAGTAATAACTCAGATAGATCAAAAGGAGTCTGGTAGCACTTTTCAGACTAACGTGTTTATTCCAAGGTATAAACTCACAAAAGCTTCTGCCTTTTAATAAAATGCGTTAATCTGAAATGGTGCTACAGAACTCCTTCTAATTTTTTGGTTTCCATAAACTAATAAGGCTCTTCTCCTACCATGAGTACAGCAGAGATGTTTTTGTTAAATTATGGTGTTTTGTGAGCTAGCAGTGAAATCGCTGAAGAGTTCTGATGTGTGGATCCAGTTCTTTGCTGAGATGCAAAAGGAAAAGGGGCTTTGCTCTCATTAAAGAAGAAAAAAGAGGCAGGAGGTGACTGGGAGTAGTAGTGTACAAACACAAGGGATTTAAGAGGGAGAGGCTATCCATAGCAGCAAATCTTTACTACTACAATTGTGACCAATAACTCTTTTGCTAACATGGTCATTAAGCAAGACATCACATGACTATAATTTGTGATTTTCCTGCTGGCTTTTCCATTGACTCTGCATGTTGGAAGCCATCCTGCAAAGCTGGCAAATGATGATCACAACATTGCAGGATGCTGTAAAAGTTGTAAATGCCTGCTGATTGCTGATTGCCTGAATATCTATCAAGTGACCACTGGGATTCTACAATGGCCATATGTGCAAGGACAAAGTTATGCCATTGTAACTTTGAATGGTTGCTAAACAGAACTGTCTTTTAGCAAGGTCTATTTTTAAAAACAGATTTAGAAAAAAAATTGATCCATGAATAATGGTAGTGGTATGTGAGAATGGCCTTGGGAGATAGGAGGAAATGCTGCAGACTAGGCAATGGTCAGATAAGAGGCAGCGAGCCTGCAGATAGATTAGGGAAATGGCAAGCATCTCAGAAGCTCTAGTTTCTTGGACTATAAAGGTGATGGGGGAACAGATATACTTGCAAGATTCTGTTAATGTAAACTTCCACTAAAGATAGAGCTGGCTGGGCTTCTTATCTGGAGTATCTTGAAAGGTTGACAATTACATTGTCTTTAGCTCACCTGAGCACAGAAGCTGACACAGTTCAGTTTGTTGAAACCATTCATAGGCTATAACTCTTTGTTTACATATAGAAGGTTGCTGGTTTGAAATAAACAGAACCTTTTTTATATTACTTCTCCTCCTAAAATATTCCTCCAACAAACTGATTATGGGCTTGCTAGAAAAACAATGAAACAGTGTGTCACAGGTTTCTTTTTTAATTGAGAATGAAGAAAAATAGGAAGCTCAGAGAAAGAAAGAAAGAAAGAAAGGAAGGAAGGAAGGAAGGGAGGGAGGGAGGGAGGGAGGGAGGGAGGGAGAGAGAGAGAGAGAGAGAGAAAGAAAGAAAGAAAGAAAGAAAAGAAAGAAAGAAAGAAAGAAAGAAAGAAAGAAAGAAAGAAAGAAAAAGATTTTAAAAACTTTTTACCATGTTGGGATCCTTAGTGCTCTCTGAATTCGGCTGTTTTCTTGCAGACATTTCATTACCAAACTAGGTAATATCATCAGTGCTACTAGATGAGTAAACAACCAAGCTCAGAGAGCATTTGGATCCCTAACTACAGTCCTGACTAATAATATTCTTTTCTACCATGTGTTAAGACAGCAAACATGGCAGGAATTATAACCATTGTGCTTCTGCAACAGTCAGGGCAAGGATATAAATGCTCCAACTCTGGAAATGTTTAAGAAGAGACTGGACAACCATTTGTCTGAAATGGTATAGAGTTTCCTGCCTGAACAGGGGGTTGGACTAGAAGACCTCTAAGATCCCTTCCAATTTTGTTATATATATTTCTATTTCCAAGATATCTCATCTTCCAAGAAGGAAAGTGATTGGCAGTTGCTTTCCTGGGACAAAAAGGTAGAAGGGAATGGAATTGTCCAAGGGAAGGGTGGGGAAATCTTCTGTTTGGATTGTATACTTTGCAAATTGTTGACAAAATGTCTCAACACTGACAGAATCAAGCCAGCATTAGCATAGGACAGGAATATCCTAAAAAGATAATTGTGGATATGCCCATGGAGAGAATTGGTATTATTTGGTTATAGGATGTTGTGCTACAGAGACAGGAACACATTTATGAAAGCACTAACTTTCATCCTTGTAAATCAGATTACCAAGTTAATTTGGTTTTCCTGTTATAAGGTTGACAACTAAAATTTAGGGTAGTAAATCATATTTGCCAAGATATTTGAACTGTATCTGTGGACTGATTCACAAATATTACAAAGCAATACTGTGGTTTGTTACATGAATCTGCCCATTATGGTTTTGCACGATCTGTCTGCCAGGATCACTAGCCCAAAAATTCTGGCTGGCCATGGTGAACAATTTGCAATTTGCAATTGCTGGAATGATGTCCCTTTTCAAAACAGGCAGCTTGCTTAGAATTTGAGAATGACGATGTCAAAAGCTCCCTTTGCCACGAAGAAATAAGTGTTCCATTTCTTTTCCCTGAACTGTCTTTCCTATTAAATGCAACTTTATTTTCCTTTTGGTTTGTTGGTAATTAAATGGTATGCCCTGATTTAAAAAAGAAAGTTGCTTAAGTACTTTAATCCTGTTATAGATTGCCCATGCATATATTGTGTCAACGATAAAAGAGATCAGTTGTCGGCATATTTGCCTGCTGACACTTAGCAGCTAATTAACACTTGATAGCAGGAGTCATTTTGGCAGCCAAAAAAGAAAGAAATCATTTTCGCTAATCCATTGATCTTGACAGGGACTTGCCTTTGCCAAAAAAAAAACCCCTTGGTGTGATGATTTTACACAGGCAAAAGGTTAAGTAACAAAAATAAATAGCAGCCTTTCCAATGAAGACAGACAGATTTGTCCTACTGAATTGTCTAAATATTAATTTTACAGAAAACAACTCTTTTAATATATTTGCTATGTATCACTTTTACTAGACAAGGTAGATTTGCTAGCTGTGAACCCATGTATACCTTAAAATGTTTTTCTCTGCCTGTGAAGACCATATAGGGATATGTACATTCTCCATTCATGTTATTAATTTTAACGGTATGCTAGCTATTTATTTACTTGCAGTGTATTTGTTTATAGTGTGTTGATGGGTAAAGGAAGCAAATTATTTTGAGGATTGGGAATGGGAGGCATAGCACTGCAGTGATTCTCGTCCTTCATTTAAGGTCACTTCTAGTCTGTGTTAGTAGCTGGGTCACTGTGTGGATTGAGACTTTCTATATTGCCTGTCCTTGATGTAGCACTAAAATTGGTGCCAATTCTGCAAGTCTGGAATAAATAAGCAAAACCAGGCCACTTAAAAAAAATTAGCTTCTTGGGATAGGGGTGGGGTCAGTAGCAATTTGCAGACTTTGATTCATATGATCATGAAACTTTGATTCATATGATCATTGTTGGATTTATTGTGACCTTCTTCTATCTTCTTTGCTTTTATTGTAATGATGCTGAGCTTTGAGAACTATATGAGTGGGTGGCTTGCAATTAATTTTTTTCATAAATGGTTTCTGCAGGTTTTCTATTTATTTGAATTGTAAATGACCTCACTCCAAAAGCTTTATTGACTAGTTATATTGCTTAATGTACCATAAAATAAATCTGATACATATTTTGAAATGCACCTGGCTTATCTATTTACATATTGGGGTATATATACTACTTCAGTCGGGAGGAATTCTGAACTCTTCTTTTGGTAAGAAGATTAAAATTAGTAAAACAGTATAACAAAAAAGCCAAATAAGACCATTCATAAGAAATCAGTGAAAAGATGGACTACATTCACTAAAAAAAGTAAGCATCTAAAAACAATCTATTCCAATTCAATCATCATATAGGAGCTCCCCTCCAATATGTTCCCTTAACACAGTGGTTCTCAACCTTTCTAATGCCGTGACCCCATAATACAGTTCCCCATGTTGTGGTGACCCCCAAGTCGGTGTGGCCACCAATAAGAGGGTGTAGGACAGCTAGGGAAAAGGGAAAAAAATGGCGGACAGCGTGGTTTGGCGACCCCCATGAAATGGTCGTTCGACCCCAAATGGGGTCCCGACCCACAGGTTGAGAACCACTGCCTTAACAGCTAAATAACAACAACAACAACAACAACAACAGTAATAGTAATAGTAGTAGTAGTAATAATAATAAATAAATAAAGTTGGAAAGGACCTTGGAAGTCATCTAGTCCAACGCCTTCCCAGGCAGGAAACCCTATACCATTTCAAACAAATGGCTGTCCAATCTCTTCTTTAAAACTTCCAATATTGGAGCATTCACAGCTTCTGGAGGCAAGTCTTACAATTGTCCTAAGAATTAAATATGCTATGTGTCAGCAGTGAACAGCTTATAAATAAGTGAATACAGGGTGTGCAAGAAAAAGAAGGTCAATTGTTTCAGTGGAATTTGGTTACCTGCTACAACCATAGACTAAACCTACAATAATATTTTATGGAACACAAACTTTCATACTGTGACATTGGAACAGCTTCATCAATATTTTTGTAGATATCAAGTAGTGGACGACACTCTATTCGTATCACTGGACTTAGCAATATTGACTTCAGAGCTGGATTTTCCAGGAAGCCAACACTAGACTTCAAAATGACTTCTACCAGACCAGTACAAGGTTAGTTGCAATTTCTAGCTTGCATTTGAATGGTATTTACCTTACAGTCCAGCTGAATATTGTGGCTTTAGAGTACAAAAGTTGACATCAGTATGTCTTTTCTAAGACCTTGAAGTTACACTGGAGTGTATTCTTCTGACAATGGAATGATATTTCCCAGCATGGTTTAATGCTATAAAAAATCATCCAAACAAATGGAAAACTAGTTTATTTTTATAATAAATGAATGCAAAATAAAGGATAGCCAGAAATAATAAATCAATCGATAGACAGATTTGTCCTAGAAAATCAGCTCAAATAGTACTACTGAGCCTTTTGAAAGTTTCCTAAAGTATAGGAATGAAGGTTAAAGTATTTCATGAAATATAAAAGTAAAGTCTCATTTGAGTTAAAGTCAACTTTTGTTAACTTCATGGATGTGTTTCCTCCCAAATCAAGAGAGCTATGTTTTGTCCATATGGCTGTTTCTTTCATTTATCTTTTATTTCTTTTACTACATGGCCAAATTCCAGTGCTGAAAGTCGACATTTCAGATGTTGGGGGAATAAGGACTTTAAAAGGATGGGCTATTAATGCAAAGTGGACAGTATTGTTACATGATGGGTTTGTACTTACATATTGAAATTTTAGAAGGGTGGTTAAGAATAGTCTTTCTTTTATGTAACTATATTTAAGTCTATTCTGTATAGTCAGAATGGGTTTGGTGAAGCAAAATAGACATTTAGGATAGAGGTTCCAGATTTCCCACTCTGTTTTAGAGCAACTAAAATATACCAAGTTCTGCCAGGGACAAAACAAAAGATTATGTTGCCTAAGAAAAATGGAAAAGGAATGATTGATGTAATTTTTGATTTGTATTTGGTCCACAGGGATACCTACCTACATTCTGCTCAATACTACAGGGATCCATCTTCCAGCTAGAGTAGATCGTTTAGAACTGCTGAGCATCACTGGAGAGCCCCTCAAGACTGTTCCTGTAAAACCCTTTCCTGAAAGCAATCCTTATGGAATCTGGAATATCTCTGAATTTATTCCACCAAATGAAGCCTTCTTCCTTAAAATAACTGGCTACGACAAAAATGATTACCTCTTTCAGAGAGTTTCAAGTGTTTCATTTTCTAATATTATTCCTGGTAATTATTTTAAGTCATTTTTGACAGGGCAGGGGAGTGGCTTTTATCTGTAGATCATTTGGGGTTGTTTAATCCCATTTGCATTTATCTTAATCTTTAGCTTTATAGATAGATAGATAGATAGATAGATAGATAGATAGATAGATAGATAGATAGATAGATAGATAGATAGATAGATAGATAGATACTGTAGATGGAGAAGAGATAATGAGATAGATAGATAGATAGATAGATAGATAGATAGATAGATAGATAGATAGATAGATAGATAGACAGGCAGACAGATAATATACAGGCAGACAGACAGACAAATTGAGGGGTGATAGATGATAGATGGAAAATCAGACAGTAATATAGATTTAGAATATGTATGTGTATGTATATTGACGTGACAAGTATTAATAAAAATAACAAAGGCTTTTTTTCACTAGATGCTCCAAAAGTCAGCATGCCCAAGAAAACCCCAGGATATTATCTGCAGCCAAGTCGTATTTCTTGTCATATAGCCAGCCTCATTCCTTTTACTGCTCATTTTAAAAGAAATGGAGTTAAACTGGGAATGGATCAGTTTTTCAAGTAAGTAATTTTTCCTCAATTTAATTGAGGAGATAATAGAAGGTACAGTCACCTTCATTATGTAAGGGTAAAATTATGGTGAAAGTTGTTTTCTTATTGTAAAGAATAGTTGGACTAGGAATAATGTGAACTGAAGTTCATGCAGGAAGAAAATATGTTTTTAAGGCCATACTCATTCTCAGAGTAATATAGTAAATATTTATTAAAGAAATAATTTCTACATATATTATTAGCCTAATTAATACAGTAAGATTGATTTAATTAACAAAATATGTAAAATATGATTTGAATTCATAAGTTCTTATTTATTGCTATAAAGCCAATTAAGCAAAGAGGGGCCTTTTTAGTGTTCCATGTACTTTTGAGAATTTTGTAGCAATTATACCTCTTTGCTGAAAATAATCAGAATAGAAATGTTGAAATTCTCATGTTAGTTTTTGGGAAAACTCAGATTTCTCACAGGATTTTTGAAGGGTACTTTTGAAAAAGAATAAAGTTGGATCAGCTTTGCTTGCAGCCTAAGGCTGTTCCAAGACATTGTGTTTGTCAGGTAAACTAGCAAAAAGCCCTGCTATCTATCAAAATAAAAATAGGAAGTAATGGTCTATGTCAGTGGTTCTTAACCTGTGGGTCCTTGGACCACTGGAAGGGCCAATATCATCACACAGGGTCCGCAAAGGCTTGAGGACATGTTATGATTTAAATCATGTGGTGGCGCAGCAGTTAGAGTGCAGTACTGCAGGCCACTTTAGCTGACTGTGTTCAGCAGGTCAGCGGTTCAAATCTCACCGGCTCAAGGTTGACTCAGCCTTCTATCCTTCTGAGGTAGGTAAAATGAGGACCCAGATTGTTGGGGACAATGTAAATATATACATACATTGCTTACTGGTGTATACCGCTTAGAGAGTGCTTGCACTTAAAGCGGTGTATAAGTCTCATAAATAAATAAATAAATAAATAAATAAATAAATAAATAAATAAAATCTGGAGTTAAGTCTTGGAATCCATGGCCATGGTCCAGGGCCCATGGCCACAAAAGGTATTTAAAGGGGTTCCGTGGTAAAGAAAAGGTTGAGAACTACATGTGTTTTTAGTTCAGTATGAATAAAATCTTAGAGCCAACTCTTTTTTTCCACACAGTAAAAATTAAATATTAACGAATTATTCAGTTTGCTGTCCCTTCACAATATCTGCTGTCTGTGATAGCCATTTGAGACTGCTAATGTCCTGAAATGACCATTAACAATTACTTCCTCTCTTTCCTTAGAATACAGCAGCAGGGAAGTTCATTTCTGCAGTGGAATGCACACAGATTGTGTGGATAGTTTATAACAGTTCTCAGAACCTTGTTCTCTATTCTCTATACACAGAATAATCTCAAAATAAGTATGGAAAAGATTTCCTAGGTATTTTGAAAACAGTGACCTAATTATATTATGTTCCAATCTGGACTAAGTCAATCATGTTTAATGGGATTGAGTCATAACTAATTTGACTCACTGATTTCAGTCTGGATTCAGTTTGTAGGCATTGTATGTTTCAAACAATAGCAATAATTTTTCTTTAAGATTCTATGTCTAATCAAAGAATCCTTTAACTGTATTTCATAATACTAAAACATGAAAAAGAAAGCAGAAACAGTTTGAGGGATTTCCTGTGTACTTCCAAAATAAGCAATAGTTTGATTAATTTCCATTATAGTTATTTACTTAATTAATCAATTAACAATATGGATGTTGTAATCCAACTGTAAATTGCTGCCAATTTATTACACAATCTTTTTGTGAAGCTGCATTAAGTCATTCTATAGACATACTTCCCTGGGTGTGTAATTATACTTTTAAACTCCAGTGATCCAATTGCTTGGGTTTTTTTTCTTTTGATTTTTTTATGTCTTGTTACATCTTGATCACATTAAATAATAAGATTTCCTGACTGAGAGTCCCATCTGAAATAATGAGATTTGCATCGTTGTTCTGTTGTTGCCCCCAAAATCTGTAGTTTTGTATGAACTAGAAATATTAATTTAGTTAATTGAATACAATTAAATTAAAAATGTTTTAAAATTTGTTCATAAATTAATAAATAATTTTTAAAATAGTTCAAGTTCTATATTATGCCAGTTTTTCCTGATTACATGAAGGCATAGATAATATTTTAATAGTCTGATCATAATAGTTCCTTCACATTATTTTCAGTGATTCAGGCCCAATCATATAACATTATATAGGACAGTTTTTTCCCAATCTGGTACCTTCCAGATACACGGGACTTCAGTTTTCCAGCTGCCATTACATTTTGGATTATGGGAATTGAAGTTAATCATATCTGGCAATATCCAAATGGCGAAAAAATTGATTTGAGACCTGGAAAACACTTCATCAGATTTATTTGTAGATTTATTCAGTCTACAAATCAGGAAAAGACCAATTGCTTGATTTTTTTTTAAAGCAACACCTCTGGTTTATTGATACATTCAACATTTATGAGGAATGCATTTTGAAGCAGGTTTTTTTTTTAGCATCTATCAAATTAATTTTGGGGGAAACATTTTCATGTGCGAAAGATGGCACAATTCATAAAATTATAATTAGAACATGTATGCTTTTAAAAACATGAAGCTACATCATATTCATAATGTTCTATATTTCCAGTGACATAACCTGGCTGCGTTGGAATTTGTTTTTAATCTTTAATTGGAAACTTTTTTATTTGCACAATTTAGATCTGTGAATAATCATCCATTAGAGCTAGTTTAAGTGTGACAGAAGATAGGGCTAAAGAACACATGAACTTACAGGGTGGTCCAAACTAAATAAAAATTGTAGAAACTCAAATTCCTTTTGCCTAAATGTGATTGAACGACAAGTGTCCTTCACTCAATCTGCTTCTTCGTTTCCCGTTCTAATTTCCTGTTTTTGGTATGGATTATGGAGATGGTAGGAAGAAATGCAGATTTTGCACATGGGGTTCTAAAGCCAAGGTTATAGAAATTTTCTGTATTTCTGAATATTTTCTTGCTGTTATTGTGTTGCAGAGAATCTGCTATTGTAAGTTGGGAAATTGCCAAAGTAACTCTTTTGGATGAGGGCTATTATGAATGCATCGCTAGCAGTACTGCAGGAACAGGACATGCAGAGACATTTTTGGATGTATCAGGTTAGCACCATTTACTATTGCTTCTCACATGTGGTGGTGCAATTTTACAAAAACTAGTCAGATTATAATGCATTTTTGACTTGAACTTCTGAGGCCTATAAATATGTCTTAGACATTTTGCCATGTAAATTAAGATGTTTATGTGGGAAAGTGGCATAACCAGTGGCTACTCTGTATTTTTAGTTGCTTTAATTAAACTATATTGTGTAAGCAATTAGAGACCATTGGAGTGGTGGCTATAATACATTTAATAGTAATACTACTTCTACTATTAATAATGATGAAGACAGATTAAAAAAGTAAGAGCCCTGGTGGCGCAGTGGTTAGAATGTAGTATTGCTGGTTGACTCTGCCCTCAGTCTGGAGTTTGTTCCTGACCGGTTCGAGGTTGACGCAGCCTTCCATCCCTCCAAGGTCTGTAAAATGAAGATCCAGATTGTTGGGGGTAATAGGCTGACTCTGTAAACCACTTAGAGAGGACTATAAAACACTATGAAGTGGTATATATATAGCTATTGCTATTTCTTAGTTCTGTGTAGGGAGGATAAGTATGGATCAAATCAGTTTATTTCGACACTTGCAAAGAACAAATTTTTAAATCATCTGTGGTTTACACAATTTTCCTATATCTCATTTAGAGTGATCATTTCTCATAATACAGCCATAAATAAATTGACCTCAGTAGTAGGTAACATATAATCCTAAAGCCATACATAGCTTTTGGATTACTCTTATGTGAACCTTCAACAAATTTCAGAAACAGCCTGCAAATAATTATTTCCTATGTTTAGCATGTTCAATCTATTGCTTACTTACACTATAGCCATCATTAATGTATAGCAACCAAAAAATTTCCTTCAAGTGAATGCAGGAAAGATTACCCATCCTTACTTTACCTAATGGGAAAAAAATAAAGGAAATATCTGTAGGACTGAGAGTATCATATTATATGATACATATTATAAGATATGGTAAATATAATAACTCAGCTGATAACAAAAATTCATCTATAAATATTTAAAAATTATACAGTTTAAGAATAGAGACAGAGTCATACAACAGCAAGAGTTTTAACATACATACACATTATATTAACATGCCTTCAAGAATAAAAGAAATCCTATTAAGGTAGTCCCAAAGGTGCTTTTTCCAAAAGGCAATTAGAATATCCTGGATTTTGCTTTGAAAATATTTTGCTTCTTATCCAAGAAGCTTCTTCAGTTCCCAAGAAAATCCAGCTGCCTTTTGGAAAAAGCACCTTTGGGACAATCGTGGGCTGGATGACTGAGAATCTCCATAGACATCTATTAAAGGAGATAAATGGAAAGTTGTAAATAAAAGTAGGCAAAGTAAAAAGTAAAGGAATTTTACCCCCAATATGGGGTTTGTTTAGTTCTGAACTGTAAGTCTTTCTAAAAACAATTAGTAAGGAAGAATGAATGAATGCCAACAAGAGCATGTTTATAATAATTCAGACAAATGATTGAACCGAACTTTCTATGGTGCTCCTTTGTTAACAGGGTATATTTTCCTACAGGTCTCCATAGCCTGGGGAGACTATAAAACTTTGATATTGAAAGTCTGGTAACAGATTTTATTGCTCAAGAAAGGGTATTATTTATTTATTTATTATTTTTTAAGCATGATCTTTTAAAAGAAAAAAAACAAGCTCCTAGGAATATTAGTTGCAGAAGTTGAACCAATCAGAGGTTGCTTTGGTGCATTCTTATGGCCACTAGATTCTAGAACATGCTCTTGCTTCTTTGGGACTCTCAATAGTTACGTGTTTCCCCAGGCATCATTTGATTGGTTCAGCTGTTTACTGCATATAATATTCCCAGGAACTCTTTCCTTAAAAAAAAAAAAAAAAACACCTAATGAGAAACTGTGATGGTGGAAGAAGAGGAAGAAGAGAGGGCTTCTTCCATATACAAAAGGCATAGTTACTGGTAGGCTGTCAGGTGAGTGGATGAGAAGAAAGAGAATCCAGCAGTGGAAGAGGCAGGCATGCTTCTGATGCTAGGTAACAGCAGATGAGCAGATGACATGGACTAATAGTAAGGAAGCAAGTGAGAAGGAGAAGTAGCAATGAGTGCCCAAATGGAGAGATACTCAAAACAAGAAGGAGCTCTGGCTTATTTAACTGAGACTTCATCTTCTCTTTGATGGAATCAGCAGAGATGGTCAAATTGATTGTTCTGAGAAAAGAAAAGAACATAAGTACTTTTGTTTCTACTTGGAAACCACTTCTGGACTTTGTGCTTGAGGTGGAAAAAAACAATATTACGGTTTTGGGTTTTACTGTTTAGACTGATTTGCCAATAAAGAAATGGCTAGGGCATACTACTATAGAAATGTAAAAAGTTGAGATTTGATTTTAATGTCTGATTTTACTGCAACAGAGACAGTCGGAAGTCAATGCCTTTTGTTTCTTCCCCTCTCTTTCTTTACACCTTTTTTTTGTTTTCCCTTCCTCTACTGTTGTCCCCTACTATTTGCTTTTGTATTTTCACATTTTATGTTATAAATGAATAAGCTAATTTAAAAAACGATTTCATCTTCTCTTTGGTTGACTTTTTGATCAAACCAATATTGCTTTTCTTGTTTTCTTGTACAGAACCCCCACCTGTCATACAAGTTCCTAACAATGTTATTGTCCCTCCTGGTGCCAGAGCCATTCTTACATGCTTAACTATGAGCACAGTGCGTTACAATCTCACCTGGCACAGAGATAATAGGAATGTGAAATTCCTGGAGCCCTTGAGAATGCGAATAATGAGCAATCTCTCTCTCGAACTCAAAACCGTCAAAATCTCAGATGCCGGAGAGTACAACTGTATGGCTTCTAATGAAGGTGGTTTCACCAGGGCATCTGTATTCCTTACAGTGCAAGGTAACATGAAAAAAGGATATATATGCAACATTGTTCTTTTTTTGGTTAATGCCATTTTAATCTGGTTTTTATCAATTCTATTTTATAATAAATATATTTTAAATTTAATCATAAATTATTCTTAAATAAAAAAAATCGGAACTTTTTTGGTTTAAAAGCATGGAATAAAGTATAAAAGAGTAATATTGAAGTATTAGCATAAATATTAATAATAAATGTAGTTCCTTGCTGCAATTTAAATATATATAATATATATATATATATATTATTGAAGGTATATAAAAAAATCAGGTTACAATTATAACTTAGATACCATATGGATCACAGCTAGGACCATATCAACATGATATAGGTAGTCCTCAACTTGTGGCCACAGTGTGTGTGTATTTGTATAGTAAAATCAGAACAGGACCTGGAATAATGGGAAAATCACTGTATAAAACAAATTAATCTGGAATAATGGGAAAATCAATGTACAAAACAAAGTAGGAGAAAAACTAATAGAATTTTGCCAAGAAAATTTAAATATTTATTGCAAATCCTTTATCTGAATATATGAATAAAACCAGATGGACAGCATCAAAATCAAGCTGACAATATATTCATCAGGCAAAAAAATAAAAGTTCTTTTCAATAAGAAAAAACAAGACCTGGAATTGACTGCAATTCAACGTGAATTTATTCTTGAAAAAATTACTTTTAAACTCCTTCCCTCCAAAAAACCCAACAATCCCAAGAAAACTAGACCAACAAGATAAGACCTTGAATGGTCTTATAGGTTATAATCACATTGAATTGCACCCAGAAGCTTACAGGGAGCCAGTGCAGCTCATGAAGTACATGCCATATTGAAATACAAGCATATTAATTGCATCTCTATATTCTGGACCAATTGCAAATTCTGGATAGCTTTCAAGGACAGCCCTATATAGAGTGCATTGTAATAATTCATGCCAGCAGTGACCAAGATATAAGTGACTCTGAGCAGGACATTCCAATCCAAGAAAAAGAAAATGTTTGAGAAAATGTCTTAAATCGAAGAAGGAGAATCCAAAGAGAAAAGAATGATTTGGGAATGAACACAGTGTTGTGACATTGTACATTACTTTTTTTTCTCCTTCACATGCCACATGGGAGATTAATGCTATATTGGGGTTTGTTTTTTTATCCTTGTCATTTGGCTACTGCTGGGATAAAAAAAAAACAAAGCTAGTAATTGCTCCAGATGCTGGTATGCTGGATGTTGCAGTATTTTTTATTGACTTTTTGCAAGCCAAACCACTATAATATACAAAGTGTATTTCTTAACCAAAGAACCTGATTTCTGAATATCTCATGTATTGTGTAATAAAATAACACCATATTGTCAAAAGAGGTGATGTTCAAGCACAGTGTGTACTTTCACATGAACCAATTTTATTTTCCAAATGTCACTAGAAGAGTTGATCTTCTTCAACCCACAAAGCATTTAAAGCATCTCCTAGTCTGTTTCTGGCAATGTTTAAAAAGGAATTAAAATAGCTCAGGCCACATTCCACATGACAGATCACTTTGGAACAATTCTGTCAGATACATTGAAAAAGTATATAGATCTGGTCCCAGTCTTTCATTCTAGAACTGCTTAGCCTATCAGATGTGTCTCTCTGTGCACATGTTTTTATAGCAGTGCAAGTCACCTTCAGGTTTCATTGATATTTCCTGCAGTAAACTCATAAAGCATAGAGAAGATGGATATATATAAAGTGATAGCAGGATTTTGAGCTTGTTGTGCTCATATGCTTGCTTTTCCTTAATTTTGCCACATAAAACACTTTATTAATCCATTGCAAACACAATTGCCACATGAGATCACACATCATACTAAGCCATTGTTTGCTTTAAGCATGCTTTGTGGAACAAACTATATTGGTCTAGTGGATTTAGAAAATAGTCCTAATTCATAAAGCATGGTGAATATGCCACAGCAGCTAAGCCAGAATTGAACAAGTCATTGTTCAAGGCTTAGCATGATAAATAAATTCAATCCTTGTAAAACTTCATTGTTTTTAACCCTATTTATACCAAATGTAAACTAAAGTATTGGGTCTTTGGACACTGAAGTATTCTGGGTTAATTACTTATCTGTGTTTCATATGTCGACATTGGAACAACCCAGATTGACTGTTAATATTTTATATAAAAGACCAATATTTTTTAGACTTATTCATGGTTAGTACTCATTCTCTATCTATGAAATGGGGAGATTGGTGATTTTTTCCCAGGAAATCATTATTATCTCCAAGTTGGTTTATGTATTAAGATATACTGAACAATGAAGGAGAACATTAATTGAATCAACTAATACATTAAAAAAACACTAGAATCAAACCTTTACTGCTATATGCCATTCACAACAATGTTCCTGTTAGGAAAAAAAGATTGTTTTCTGGAAATATGAGGATGAATGTTGGGAAATTGATACTCCCAGAACTTTACTGAAAACCCTTAAAGAAAAGTCATTAGGACTTTAGTGAAAATAATTCTTCCCGTAACTTATTTTCTTTTGCCTCTGGCACAAATGAATGCAGATGGAACTCTCAAATGAATCTCAAGATGAAAAAAATGTTTTGAGATACAAAATACAATATTCTTACTGTTTTGGATTAATGTCGGATGAATTTAAAAAAGTCATCTTGGTGCCTTCCAAGAGAACCAGAGGTTCATTTTAGATTGTCTAAGATACAGAGTTATTTCTTTTTGATGGCATAGGTGAGCCTTTTTAAAAATGAGGGTAGGCAGTAGGGAATTGGCTGGATTACTGGTCTGATACAGATGCATTAATGTGATAAAACTGTTTCTGATTTCAGGTTATAACTATGGGAATTATATAAAATTTCCATGCATGCAGAAAAGTGGATGCAAGGCAGAATGGCGAAGAAAATCATTAATAATCAAACTATGTTCTATTTTATTTAACAGAATCACCCAAAGTTATTGTATCACCCAAGAACCAATCATTTACTGAAGGATCTGAAGTGTCTATCAGTTGCTCTGCAACAGGTTACCCAAAGCCCACTGTGGTGTGGACACATAATGATATCTTTCTTATGGCATCCAACAGGTATATTCAGGGTCTTTCTCCCTCTACCCACCAGCAATTTTGCCTTCGCTGAGAAGAAAAACTAACGAAACTCTCTTGACTGAAAAAAATATCAGCAATGTATGTCTATTATGAAATTTAATAAGCAGAGGTCTTTACTTTACAATTTCAAAACTCTGCTGGCCTGCCAGAAAATACATAGGCATTTCTAAGTGTGTGATTTTTTAAAAGATCATGGAAGATGCTACCTGATAATTTACATTGTCTGAATTTATATGTATTTCACACTTTCAAAGCCTATCTGAAGAAACATGGGAAGGGCCCATAAGCAGGAATGGCATGTAAATGGCTGTCAAGTTGTTTGGTTAAAGCAGCACGCAATAAGGGAATAGGATGGTCAGGAGTGGGGTGAACCAGAATGAACCCCATCAAGTGGCAAAGTTAGAAGAGGAGCAAAGTATCAGAGCAGAGTAGAGGTCCTCAGTATTTTTTAAAATTTTTCTCTCTTCAGTCTTAACCAGCATAGCCAGTGATAAGGGCATAGAGAATTGTGTCTGAAATATTTCAAGGGTCTAGGTTATGTAATTGGACTTATGTATTTACCTTTTTCTTTTGCTGTAATGACTGACAATCTGAATGATAAACAGTCTTGAGACCTTTTCAAACATCAACAAGAGGCCTTTTCTAAAAATTGCTCCGTAAATTATTTCATATAATATGAAATAGGTCCATGTGTTCTTTATTCAGAATGATGTTTGCAGAAATGAAAACTGCACTGTTTCAAACTGTTGTGGTGGTTTTATTCTTTCTTTTTAAAATAATAATAAGAGTATCAGATTGACTTACCAATTTCTTATTATAACAGGTACAGGTTAACTCCTGGAGGTACTTTAATGATAAAAAATGCAGTTCCCAAGGATGAAGGGGTCTATGGTTGCTTGGCTAGCAATGCAGCTGGAACAGTCAAAGAAACAGCTGTTCTCATATACATTGGCAAGTATAAAGAACAAAATAAATAAACATTTGTTGCAAATTTCAGCAGGTCAAAAAGTTTGTGGATGCTGGTGATTGGTGTATGATTATTTGAACATTAAGGCAGGAATATTCACTAAGATCCACAAAACAGCAGCTTAATTATTGAGTGATCTGGTTTTTTTTTATCAGTTTGAAAGACTAATAAATGAAAATATGACATGAAAAAAATGGATTCAAGATTTGTTTATTTTTAAGGGACCACTTTCAACTATCTACCTAAGCATTCTGAAATTATTCCACAAGGGACTAAGTCTAAGAATAGGCCATAGGATATGTAAAAAAACATATTGTGTTACTCTACTTCCTGGTTAAACTTTTTTAATTCTAAGAAAACTGAGAATCTGATCTGGAACCACCGTATGCTAGATGATGACAATACAGACATACAATGTATGAATGAGAAAGCTTAGATGAACCTTTCCATTGGTATCAAAAAGCTTTTGACTCAGAAGAGCTAGTTCCATCCTTAGCTAACCTTCGGCCAGCTACTCTCAACCAAACCTGCTTCATAGGAGTATTATGAAATATCAATTTATTTATAGCCTGCTTCCAGCTTCCTGGAAGTAAAGTAGAATATACATATGGTACCTTCAAACTGTTCGTAAAAGTGGAGTGCATCTCCATTAATTTAACTGTTCCAATGTATAGGTACATTTTAATAATTATACTCTGAAATAGCAATGCTAAACATTAGCATATAGGTTGTATAGTTTAAAAAAAAATTAAAAAGTGAGTCAGGCATCCACATCTGTAATGCTTCTTTTTTTGCTCCTTGCAGAGTTCCCTCGGGTGACTGTAGTACAAAATGAACTTCTGATTGCCCTTGGAGACACCTCTATAATGGAATGCAAAAGCACTGGGGTCCCACCTCCGTTAATTAAATGGTTTAAAGGTACCTGAACAAAACCAAACTAATTTTAAAATGTATCTATCGTCAGTGTGATGACTTCCATATCTTGTTTTGTTGTTTAAATACATTTACCTATTCCCCATAAATTAAAATTATAGTACCTATGGACAGCGTGGGAGAGGCCTTCTTAAATATCTGGGAAAGAGGAAGTGAGCACATGGGAAGAAAAGCTTTAAAAGCTACCACTTCTACAAACTATGCATTGGCTCATGTTTAACTTTTTTTCCTTAGGCAAAGTTTGATATAAACGCCATTGTAATTTTATAGAGATAACATCACTGTATTTTATAAGTGCTTGTTTTCAATAAATTGGCAGACAGTAAAGTCTCCTTAACATTTATAAAACAATAGAAACATTATGCTGCCTCTAAGGAAGCTATTTAATTTCCTGAGTAGGTTTTTATTATTATTATTATTTAAATAAAAATTTCATTATTCTTTCCCTGGTCTAGGGGATTTAGAGCTGAGGGCAACAGAATTTCTTATTATTGACTTCTCTCGGGGTACCCTGAGAATTCAGGAAACACAAGATCTGGATGCTGGTGATTATATGTGTGTTGCCACAAATGTTGCAGGAACTGCATCTGATAAAATAACTCTGGATGTTGGCTGTAAGTATGATATTACAACAAAGCATGCAAATTAGATATTTTGTACAAGGTATGATTCAACCATTCTATTAGTGTAACTTATTCAGTGAAGGATATTACATGAATAGTATTTGCTATTATTATTATATTATTTAATATTATTAGATATTACTAATTATTGTATTAGTATTATTTGATACTATATGAATTTACTTTGTGTAGATGGAAAGTGATTCCCCACTGCTGGGAGGGAGTGATTCCTGGTTTTCTTGCATCCTTCTGTGCTGCTTCGGAGGATTTGCTAACTTTCAGGATCATCTTTCAAAAAGAAAGGGCATGCTACAAAATAAAGCACATAATATTCAGAAACCATGTAGCAAATATGTCTGTATGGTACCCCACTTTGTCCAAATACAGTTTATATTGGAAGAGTACACAATGTTTATAAGCATGTTTGAAAGTGTGTTGAATTCTCAAATGTTTCTTCAGAATAATTCCGGAACCATGAAATTGAGATAATAGTATCTTCGATAGAGACAGGATGAGGCCAGAGTTCTTGGCAATGGGAAACTACTCATCTCACAACTCTAGTAGTAATGCTGCAGATCTATTCTCAAAGCATTTTAGCCAGCCCCCAAATTAAGTTAGAAGTAATCAGCTATAGACCTGCAGTCATATCATGAGAACTTGGCGGTATTGTGCCAATAAACCTAAACAAAGGCAAATAATTTATGTGAATGGACTCTGAGTCAGTATTGAAAATTTGGGGTCCCTTATCTGATCTTAATTAAAAATATATTAAAATTGTATTGACAATTCTACGATTTTTGTCTTCCTCTGTATTCCTTTTATAGCTCCTCCAGTTTTCACACAAGAACCTAGTGATGTATCTATGGATATTGGCTCAAACATAACATTGGCTTGCTATGTTCAGGGTTATCCAGAACCGAAGGTGAAGTGGCAGCGGTTGGATGGCAGCCCACTTTTCTCAAGACATTTTGCAGTTAGCTCTGTCAGTCAACTCAGAACAGGAGCCCTTTCTATTCACAGTATGTAGACACCATTGTATGTATTAAGAAAACCAGAATGCTTTCCTCTAGACTCAGGCATACCAACATGCTTTCCTCTGGACTCAGGGATGGAAGAGGAAAGCACATTACCACAGATGTTTGAATGAGTCCACAAATAGTCTTATGTGACTATTTGTGGCCTCATTCAAACATTTGTGGTAACATGTTTTTCTGTTCCATCCCTGAATGTAGAAGAAAATGTGTTGGTATGAAAAGCACTCCCCTCAAAGCCTACGTCTGATAGATACTGTTGCTGCCTATACATACTAAAATATGGTGTAGATTCAGGCAGTAATTGGTAGAATCCATACTAGCCGTCTCTCTCCCATCTTGTACCATTTACTGAATATAAAATAAATCACCAATGCCTACCCTGGGGTGGGGTGGAGTCTAATGATTCCCTCCCTCCAATTGAAACTAGCCTTCCTATGAATATTGCTTGAGCCTCCTCCCTGTTATTCTTGCTGTTGATCCTATGATCCTACCAAATATACAGGATTTACTTCAGAATAAATATGTCCATTCTGTGCTGCTTCTCTGTTGAGGGGGCAACTAAACCTCAAGAAATACAGCTGGTGGAAGAGTAGAATAATCCAGTTTATATCCAGAATATTTTATAATATTATAATTTAGCAGAATTGTCTGCTAAATCCTTGAGGTCAGGAAATCATACAGTAGGCCTCATTCAATGTGCAATATTCTGCCAAAGTGAGCTTTCTTGAATTCACCTCAATTTGCTCTGAAGTCTGGGTCAGGATGGCCTGTCTACACCTGTCTATGTACTCTTTCTACTCAAAAAGGGAAAGAGTTGCTGAATTAAGATCTGCCTTTTTATTTTTACTTATTAATGGGCATGTTGATCTCTTATGATCGATGTTATATAAGGCAGATATTCTCACGTTGGAACCATCCCAACCTATGAAAAATAAAAAGAAACTGTGTGGTTCCAGCTGTAGCAGTCACAACAAAAATGGCCATGGAGAAGCAGAATTCTCCAGCTATGGGAAGATCTGCACTGAACCATTGGAGCTCAGCAAATCACTGTTTTCCAAAGACTTCTCCTCGGTGTCTTTATAGAAGGTCTGTGCCGGACATCATCTGCTGAAACAGCAGAGAAAATGCTACTTTCAGAATGGAACACCTTAGACTAGTTGCAGCCTGACTCAGCATCTGCCTGACAATCAGTTGGAGACACTGATGTGAGGCTTGTCTTCAGTAAATGGTTAGAGGGGCATCTTCATATCTCAACAGCCAGGACAGGTGGAAGGACTCTGTAACCGCTTTCAGGCTGTCACAATGATGTGAACTACATTTAGATTTAGCTTAACATAGCTGGAAAAATAGTATTAAAAGGGAATGTATATTTGCAGATCTCTTTGTTTAAGGATAATGTTTTTAATACAAAAAACTTTAATACTTGTTTTTGTCTTTTTAAAATTTCTATACAATTTTAGATTTATGGGTTAATGATGAAGGAACATATGTCTGTGAAGCTGAAAACCAGTTTGGAAAGATTATCTCAAGCCCAGCTACAGTTACTGTGACAGGACTTGGTAATGAACTAATAATATGAGATTTCAATATAGAAATAAAGCGTTCTCCACTGGCTTTAGGACTTATAGTGTGTGGAAAATGCTCTAAAATTATGTTCAGAATCACATTTGTGTTAAATGTAAACCAAATTTTATTTTTTTGGTAAATCATTTATTGACAAATTAGAGCAAGAATTGAATAAATAAATAATAAATAATTCCATAGTTAGATTTCTTTCTGAGGAGCATTGAAATACTTCTATCTTTAATTTTAAGTATAACCTATATGAGCTTGAAACCAGTTTCATGAATACAAAACAATTGCCCTCCCTCCCTCCCTCCCTCCCTTCCTTCCTTCCTTCCTTCCTTCCTTCCTTCCTGAAAAGAAGGTAGTGTGGATAATTGATGTGAAGATACCCAGATATAGTGGAATTGAAAGCAAAGAATTGGAGAAGATCATAAAATATCAAGTTATGAAATTCAAAATTGAAAGATTATGGCATAAATTGGTCAAGGTGGTCTCAATGGTTATCAGCACACTAGGTGCCATACTAAAAAAAAAATCTTGGACTACACTAAGAAAATCTGCACATGGGCAACATTTCCATTTTTCTACTCAGCTTGGATCTGCACATGTACTACACCAATACATTACAATATCTTAGGTTCTTGGGAAGAATTTGATGCATATGAAGACCAACATCAGTTATAGAACTGGCAGCTGTAATTTCACATTGTGTGTATATAATAATAATAAACCAGGTCCTTGGGAAGGACTCAATAGGTGGATAAATGTCAAATCAATCAAAACATCTAGCTGACTGTGTGATCAACCATAAAAAACAACTAAATAAAAATGGAAGTAGCATGCTGTAATAGATAACAGATTATTTTGAGATTCATGGACTCCATACAGTATGAATATAATCAGTGGTTCAGTAGATTTATTTATAATTCAGTTAAAGTAATCCATTTTTGAGAAATGTTTTGCTGTCTAGGAATTTTCTTAAGTCCCTTGAGAAGATGGATTTTTTTTGTGCAGTTTTATAGGAATATAAACAATCCTTTTATTATGATAATTTTTCATTTCCTGTCCCTCTTTGATATAGTTGCACCTCTAATTGCAAGGAGTCCTGCAACAGCTAATGTCATTGAAGGACAGCAACTGACTCTGTCATGTGTACTGCTGGCAGGGAACCCAATCCCAGAGCGGAAATGGATTAAAAGTAGCACGGTGGTAAGATAATATTTGAATATCTTTTATAATTTTCTCCTTCAACTTATGTCCTTAAGTTTAAATACTGGTGAAACATGAACTCTCATGAATAAGAGCATTTCATTTTATATGCAGATCTTTCAAAAAAAAAAAAGCAGATGGGCATAACTTACAGTATTGCATGGAGGCTGTTTTCTGACTCAGTGAAATTTCCTGATGACTTGGAAAAGTCAGTTTAGGGTAAGCTTTAGATACTTGTCAAAGTGCATTTAGCAGGGATAGACTTTATGAGAAGCAGGAAGCAATAAGTCTTAGGAGACTCCCCAGAATTCTTGCAAATTCTGAAAAATCTTATCTAATAAATGATGCCACAATCATGATATGCCTATGCTTCCTGTGGTTCAATTCAATTTCAATTTATTATTATTACAGCCAAAGGCCAACACATAAATTAAACATTCAAATAAAACAAAACTAAACAGAACCAACACAAGAAGACATAACAATATATTACAATTAATGATGTAATCAATAGGTGACCTAGTTTTACAAACAGTATAAAAAAAACTACCTACCTTCAGAAAAACTGAATCATGCTGACCTGACAATAAAATACACTGAGTAAAGTCTAATGCTGGATAAAAACACGTAATAAAATTAATTATAAAGGATTATTAAAAAGATCTAAAATGTTTGTTTATGTTTCTGGCAAATCCCCAATGTTGCTGCGCAGAATCTAACCACCTGCGCCGTGATCATTAAGCACCTTAAGCAGCCACTGGAGATAAATACTTTCCGAATGATCAGGATACCTATCAATTATGGGGAGGATGTGGTTTTTCTGAATAGCCCTATAGAAGGAACATCGAAGGAGTATGTGTCCAATAGTCTCCACCTCTCTTGAGCTACAGGAGCAGAATCTTTCAGCCAATGGTGTCTTTTTATACTTGCCATACAGGACGACCAATGGAAACGCATGGCACCGTGCAAGCGAGAATGCTTTCTTGTGGTTTACTGATTCCAACTGACTAAGATACCGAGCAAGTGTAACCACATATCTAATAGCTTCCTGTGGTTGTAATATGATACCTGCATTTTTGTGTTGTGCTAATTTGCTATTTGACACCCATAGTTAAGACTATAAATTAACTTCACCTGGAAATTATTACATTTGAATTGTACAAAGTTCTATTTCTGGAGAAGGATAACTTCACCAGTTGGAGGTAAAGATAAGCAGAAATATATTATGTTTCATTAATCTTCCTTTCAGCTGAAGTTGTAATGGGGGATTTCTAATCAATTTTAAGTTTGATGCAGAGGTAGTTTGATTTAATCTGTACACAATAATCATGTTTTTCTTTCAGGAGAATCATTTGTGTAAATTGTTTTACATATACAAAAAGTATAACTAAATTTTATCTCCCACAGAATGGTTTGTTATAGGCTTGTGAAGATAAGCAGAAGTTTTATTACGATGCATGAGCATTGCAATGTGTAGTTATGTTTGTAATTGATAGGATAAAAGAATGGAAAGTTGTGGAGAAAATAAGCTGCACATTCCAGTGGCCCTGACAAAGACAGGAAAACTCTTCTTAAATATGTACTGATAATTAATTCAGTGAAACTATGCTACGACCAGAAACAAGAAAATCGGAACCATACGCTCCAGGAAAGTCTACAGACTTCAAAGGGAGATAATTCCATATGCAGCCCTTAGACTGAATCACTGTTTTAATACCCTATTATGGAAGCCATGAAAGGAGTCAAACTTTTGCTATATTCCAGTTGAAAAAGTCAAGCTTTGCATAAGATTTGAAGCCATTTATTGCTTCCTTCACTTTCCCAAGCTCTCATTTTTTTTTCATTTAGAGGAGAAAGAGGAACACAGAAGTAAAAAGCACTTCCGGAACTCTGGGTGATCTTGTACCTAAAAGATGCAAAATGGGTCTAGGTGTCCAGGTGTAAGAAAGAGATAGTCATATGGTCTTGTTTATCTTCAAAGGTTGAAAAAAACAAGTAAAATCAAAATCCTGCAAGACTGTTCTCATTTAAGTCACCTAGCTGGAAAACATGGGTTATATTTTTTTAAAACCCAGAATATGCCAGGTGTAAATGACCAGACTAAATGGAGAATGGAGATAAGTCTTATCTGCCTTCCCCACTCCAATTCTAGGTGGTCCAGACTCCTTATATCAGCCTCTGGAGTGATGGGAGTCTTCATCTTGAAAGAGTTCGACTACAGGATGCTGGAGACTACAGTTGCATGGCCAGCAATGTTGCTGGGACAGACAACAAAACAACCACTGTCAATGTCTTTGGTGAGTGAAACGTTTAGTGTTCTCATTACTTTTCGGGGTTAAGATTTCGCTAGTACTCCATTCATCCCACAATGATTGGTAGATTGTCACTGAAATTGCACACTAAGTTTGAAAACTCTGCAAATGATCAGTTCAGATGACTGAGCAACGGCCTGTTCCTATAATCTGCCAGTTCCAAGTAGTCTGCTAGTTGATGAGGAACAAGATCTGACATTACCAGCAGCCTGAATTTAATCCTTGAGAGATTGCTTTCAAGTGAATACAGAAATGAATAGAACTGCCATCATGCTGTGCATTGTAGTTCATGGTTTTACTCTATCCAGCCTCTTCTTGAAGCTTCCTACGGGCTTCATAAGATAAGAAAAGGAATACGGTCAGTTGAAAGGGAAAGCAAAATCTCCACTCCTCAAAATTCTGCAATTTTGTCTTTCTCAGTTGGTTTCCTGTTTGCTATCTTTCTATTTTATTCTTTTGCCCTCAAAGAGCAAAAGAAATACATTAAATAATCATTCATGAGAACTATAGTCTATGGTCATGTCTTTTTCTCATATTCATCCTCATAATAAGCAGTGTTCTGCTGGTCTTTCACTATAAAAATGTTTCGATTTGATAAGTCAGCGATAGCTTGTGGAGTAAAGGAATAAAATCTTCAATATGTTCTGTGTTTTCAATTACAAATAGATCCAACACATATATTATGTAAATTTCTCATTTCATAGGGTAAGTATAGCTAAGGAGTTTTGTTGGAATGCTGAAGGTAATAAACTGGTTCCAGCTGCTCATGAAAGGCAGATGAGATGTGTATGTATGTTAAAGTTCTTGTGCATGCAGAGTGTGCTAAACGGCTATGTGAAAGAAAAGTTCTTTGTATCCAGAAAAGGTCTTCCGAACACAATTTTGATTTTTCCCACTGAAAGTTCCATTGCATGAATTGCTTCAAAGTGGAAGAAGACATCTGTTCTGGATAAACAGAACATGTGAATAAAATGCTATCCCAAAATAGGTCTTCTCTGTATGAATGTTTTGAAGTAATAATTGTTTCTGCAGACATAGTTATTTTTTTAATAAAACAGTCAGATGAAAGAATTATCCAAATGCAGTTTAAAAGGTTCGATCAAGGATTAAAAAGAAGCTAGTGAATTGGGTGGTGTGGTTTAAACAAACAACTAGTATCATATTTTTTTAAAAAACTCCTATGCTGATCACAGTAAGCACTGTGAGGATTTGTAGCGTCCCACCTTTTTTCAGTAGCATCATTCATCATAATTAAAAAAAATCTGTGAAAAATCAAGAGATGAATGCTTGAAACAAACAGTAATATGCCTAATAAGGAGGCATTTTTGCAAGTGAGGATTGTTTTTGGTAGAATGTTAAGAACTGATAGAAAAGGTTGTGATAACTATTCAAAATATCAAAGACTTACAAAGCCAAGAAGATTTTGAGGTAGAGAGCAAATCTGTATATCTGTATATTTAACACAGAGATCTTTAAACAAAAGGAATAACAGCTGACAAGCTTATTTGAAACATTTTCATTTTTCAGCAGATGGATATTATTTTCCATCCTTATCTTTCTGCAAAAGTTCTCTACAGATCATTATATAGGTCTGTGAATGGATAGCATTGACGCTCCATCCTTAAGATGATAATATAATGTTTTGCATGCTTTCTGGAGGTATATCACATGTGAATCAGGAAGCCACCTGTATGAAAGTTATTTTTTCATCTCTGATTGGAGATGATTATGATATCCTTTTACTATTGCTCTAACTAAGACATGTCAAACTCGCAATGTTACGTGACATCACGCGACGTATCGAAGCTTTTTCTCCATTGCTGGCAATGGGGTGGCTGCAGGCCGGCAGTTTGACACTCTGCTCTAATTTTTCATGCAAAAAATCAGATAATATGGTCCCTTGCCCATGCATCTGTCAGGGCTTCACAGTATGCATTTAAAACGAACCATTACACATTTGTTGTCTTTACTTTTGCTTCTTCTTAGTACTGTCATGGAAGAGTCTATATGTTTTTGTGGTTCAGTATTGACATTCCTAGTTCTCCATGGTTATGTTTATCATCACTACCTTTAACTCAACCAGCAGCTAGGTGTCTTTTGTGCTCACTTGCATTTCCCAAACTCTAGTGCATCTAAACATGCTCTGATAATCCACAAATGAAAATAGCTTTGCAAATCTCAAAAAAAAAAAAAAAAGAGGGGGATTTGTTCCTGGCCTCCATGACCCACATGCATATTGTTATGGTTTAGCTGATTGCAGAATAAAAAAAATCTGACTGACTAGTTTCTGTAGACTGGTGGTGAAGGAAGATTGTCGTAAACAGGTGGTAGGCTGATGATTAATGTGGCATATAAATAAACCTGTATGCAGAATTCTTTTTGATGCTTGTGTGGGGCAAAAGTGCAAAGTTTTGTGGACACTTTGTGCCATTGTGGTATCATTAAGTTTATAGTGGTGGCTATAAACTTAATGATACCACAATGGCACAAAGTGTCCACAAAAAAGACCATCTGAATAGTGTGGCAGGGATGAAATAATACATGTACAAACCAGTCTAGGGCAACTTTATGAACAAGAAGATGCTAAACATCTAATGGAAGATGAAAAGAAGATTAGTTTCAAATGCTGTATCACCTGTTTTCAGATGCAAAGGTAATGCTGAAGCTGAATGCAGGCCCCTGGGAAGAGAGGACAAGAACCCTGCAATGAGAAAGAGCTGGTCCTTTTGGACTGCAGAGATATGGCAAAAGTTCTCAGTGTTAAAATAATGTTGATAATCTTACAGCGTTCAAGGAAAAAGCAGACTTTTATTCAGCAGGGAATCAGACAAGGGAAGGATGGGCATATATCAAGTTAGATTTGTGTCAGCACAGTGAACTGATTAATACAGCCATTTGGAAACACTCTAGATGTTTGTATTTCCCCCCCAAATACTTGTCATGCTTTCCAAGTTAAGTATGTCATGCTTCTTCATGAGAAAACATGTCAAAGAAATCTTACAATTGTGAATACATTTGCACTCTATTATCATTGACAATCATATCTATAAAGAATTTATGCTATAACAGTCTTATTGAAGATTTTATTTTATTTTATTTATTACAATTTATTACACTTATTAGTATTTTATTACACTTAAACACATTTTGGAGATTCTAATGTAAAGCCTCTTTTAAAGATTGCAAATCCCAATTCAAATGGTTGATGATTGTACTTGGAGTCCTCCAGACGCAACCCCCTCCCTCATCCCCATTCCCAGTCTAGTCTTCATTTGTCCTTTGTTCTCCCTACAACCTTCATGTTCTTTAAGGCCTTCTGGATTGAGTGATATGAATGTGCTTTCAGAAGTTTATTTTGCATTGGAAAGGGTTATAAGCAGTGACCAGCAGCATTAGCATGCTTGCATACTTTACAAAAAGAGAGTTTGCTTGCAATAAGTCCAAATCAATGGGCAGCCTGGTGAAGGTTCAGGGTGTTCACAGAAATGTTGGTCAGTGAAGATCAAATTTCAGAATACTTGGATTTCAAAGCTTGAATGCACAGGCTCTGGTTGGATTGGTTGTTCCCAATTAAGAGATGCTGGTTACCAGGAGCCCTCATATAGACTACCACTGGGGAGGAGGTTCACTTAAGGTTTGTGTCTCTCTTGCCTGATAAGGAGGTGTGCGGGGCACTTCTGCATTGCTGTTTGTGTCTGTTTGGGACATGCAGGCACTGAATGATTGTTCTGAATCTGGACCCTCCTTGTTCCACCACCAGCACAGCTACTCTGGATGATTCCAGGTTACCTTCTCAGGAGCTCAATTGTTTGCTAATTCCTGACTGACATCTGTCTGACATATCTAGAACAGGTTCTTCAGCATCAGAATCTTTCAGATCTATGTTGGGCATGACACTTCCTTTCATCTTTTTAATGGTCTTCAAAAGATGTAGTGATAAAAGAGAATAGCCATGTGGGAGATAGGCAATATCCATTGGCAAAGTGATAAGGAGCTAGTTATGGATTAAATCCAAAGAATGCAGACATTTTCTGAAAGCCTGTCAGTCAGACATGCTCCTAATTCATGTGAAGGGAAGAGAGGAAGCACAATCAGATTTGCAAGATTGTGTTAGTATAGCCAATCTAAATAAAAGTAGTTTTTAGTCTTCTGTGGAGTCTGTTTCTTGGTCTGGTCTGCCCCATAGGATTGGCAAAAGGGGGTTAAGAGGGTTCAGGCTCTGGTTATGTTACCCTAGTTAATCTCATTAAGATTGGGAATTTTCAAGTTGTATTTGTTAATATTTGATGTTATGGCTTCTACGATATTGCAGAATAGTCCTTTAAATGTGTATGGTTGTTATACTTTATTTCTTTTAGTTGTATTTGTTTTATCTGGTTATTTGTTAAATTGTGAATTAATTTTATTGAATGGAATATTGTAATTATTGTGGATGAATATTGTGATTTTTTTTTTCATTTGTACTGCACTGTGATAAAGACATGTTACATATTTTAAATCTATTCTACTTACGGCTTAATTTCATTCTAGGATTCTCCTGTGCAAATGTTTCACAAATTCTATTTCTAAAAACAAAGTTGTATGTTATTGCTTTAGTTATCATTCAGCATCAATTTCTTCTCTCCTGTGTTATATAGCACAGGTGTCAAACTCGTCACGTCATGTGTCGCAACATATCATGTCTCTTTTTGCATTGCCGGCAATGGGGTGGGTGCAGCTTTGGTATGATGAAACCAGCCCACTGGCCGGGAGTTTGACACCCCTGTTATATAGGAATGTCAATTTTGTAATATAATACCAGCTACTTATTCATTTTATTGGCTAAGGCTTAGGAATCAGGGAACCCAAGCCAACTCATTTGTTATTATGTTTTGTGTGTGAGACATAGGAAGACATTCCTTGTTATCAAATCTAAATATAAGGCATAACGCAGGAATGGCCATCTTTGAAACCTGGGGTCATATCTGAGAACATGTTACACGTTCACTTATGAAGTGGCCCCATGGGAGATTTGTTTGGTTGTGAAATGGTTGTCATAGTGAACACAGCCACCCACAAATACCCTTTACCAGAAGATGAACTAACAGATCTCCTCACATTCTTTCTGACATCCCACTGGACCTTTGTGGTGCTCAAATTCACATAAATACAAATATGGTATAAGAAGCTAGACTCTGCAGCATACTAGCTTCTAATTTAATATTTTAATTAAAAATTTTTTTAAAAAAAGTCAAGTGGGTCAGATGATCTGGTGGGTACTAAAGGAGTATTTTTTATCACATCATTGGCTGTGGATCCTACATTGTCTATACATGCCATTGTTGTTGTTGTTAATTTCGAAGTCGTGTCCGACCCGTCGTGACCCCATGGACAATGTTCCTCCAGGTCTTCCTGTCCTCTACCATCTTCTGGAGTCCATTTAAATTCACACCTACTGCTTCAGTGACTCCATCCAGCCATCTCATTCTCTGTCGTCCCCTTCTTCTATTGCCCTCAATCTTTCCCACCATTAGGCTCTTCTCCAGTGAATCCTTCCTTCTCATTAGGTGGCCAAAGTACTTGAGTTTCAACTTCAGGATCTGGCCTTCTAAAGAGCAGTCGGGGTTGATCTCTTCTAGGACTGACCGGTTTGAACGCCTTGCAGTCCAAGGGACTCGCAGGAGTCTTCTCCAGCACCATAGTTCAAAGGCCTCAATTCTTTTGCGCTCAGCCTTTCTTATGGTCCAACTTTCACAGCCAAACATTGCAACTGGGAAAACCATGGCCTGGACTATACGCACTTTTGTTGGCAGGGTGATGTCTCTGCTTTTTAGAATGCTGTCTAGATTTGCCATAGCTTTCCTCCCCAGGAGCAAGCGTCTTTTAATTTCTTGGCTGCAGTCCCCATCTGAGGTGATCTTGGAGCCCAGAAAAATAAAATCTGTCACTACCTCCATTTCTTCCCCATCTATTTGCCAGGAATTGAGAGGGCCGGATGCCATGATTTTGGTTTTCTTAATGTTGAGTTTCAAGCCAACTTTTGCACTCTCCTTCTTCACCCGCATCAAGAGGCTCTTTAGTTCCTCTTCACTTTCTGCCATTAGAGTGGTATCATCTGCATATCTTAGGTTGTTGATATTTCTCCCGGCAATCTTAATTCCAACTTTTGATTCATCTAGCCCTGCCTTTCTCATGATGTGCTCTGCATATAAGTTAAATAGGCAGGGCGACAGTATACAGCCTTGCCGGACTCCTTTTCCAATTTTGAACCAATCAGTGGTTCCGTGTTCGGTTCTCACTGTTGCTTCTTGACCCGCATATAGGTTTCTCAAGAGACAAATGAGATGGTCTGGTACTCCCATCTCTTTAAGAACTTGCCACAATTTGTTGTGATCCACACAATCAAAGGCTTTTGCATAGTCAATGAAGCAGAAGTAGATGTTTTTCTGGAACTCCCTAGCTTTCTCCATGATCCAGCGTATGTTGGCAATTTGATCTCTAGTTCCTCTGCCTCTTCGAAATCCTCCCTGTACTTCTGGTAGTTCTCGATCCACATACCGCTGGAGTCTAGCATTAATGGATTATGCCTTATTATAGACAGCAACATGTAAAATAACCTGTAATAAGAAGTAATTTGTAAGATATCTGCATATTTTTGTTTTTAGTTCCACCCATAATCCAGCATGGACAACAGATATTTAGTACTATAGAAGATGTTCCACTTACATTGCCTTGCAAAGCCAGTGGAGTTCCTAAGCCATCCATAGTATGGTCCAAGGTAATTGCAATGTTTTGATCAACTGAACTGGAACTTTAATGAGTTAGGTGTATTTATGTATTTAAAATATTCATAGCTTACATCCTGTCCAGACAGCATATGCTACCATTTAATACAAATAGTCCTCAACTTACAACAGTTCATCTAGTGACCATTTGAAGTTATAATGGCACAGAAAGAAGTGACTTTTGATAGTTTTTCACACTCATGACCATTGCAGCATCCCCATGATCATGTGATTTACATTCAGATGCTTGACAACTGGTTCATATTTATGACAGTAGCAGTGTCTTGGGATCACGTGATCCCCTTTTGTAACCTTCTGACAAACAAAGTCAGTATGGAAACCAGATTCACTTAACAACTGTGCTACTAACTTACAACTGCAACGATTCACTTAATAACTGTGGCAAGAAAAGTCATAAAATGGGGTAAAACTCACTTAACAAATTTCTCATTAGCAACATAAATTTTGGGCTCAACTGTGGTCATAAGTTGAGAACTACCTATAGTACCAAAACATTGAGAAGGCATAATATTTAAGAATGCCATCTTAAGGCAACTAATTAAGTTTGCTGCCTCCACTTAGGCTGCTAGTTAGGACAATGATGCAAGCTGTCATGTGTTTAAAGTAGCTTTCAGACATACAGTATCTCCAGTAGTGGGATTCAAATACGTGAACAACCGGTTCTCTGTGTGGATGCCACTTCTGGAAGTCCATTCTGGGCCTGGGCAACAAAAAATTAGCTACCAGTTCTGCTGAAGTGGTGTGAACTGGCTGAATCCTACCACTGAGTATCTCCACATATGACTGGCTATGAAGAAGGAGAAGAGAAGGTGTTTTCTATCCAGAATAGATCTATGTATTATCTGGAAATACTCATTGCTTAAGTTATCATAATTACTGTAGAACATCTTTCGGATTAAGCTTGTCTAATTGTTAAATGTAGTTTAGCAGGTACTTTTTAGAACTATAGATTTAAAACAAAGAGGGAAGGACAATTCTCAAAGGAACATTTGGGGCTAACTCTTAATGTAAACTGAGCCAATAATAACAGAAAACTGTAAATTTTAAAAGAAAGCAGTGACACTATGACTTTGAAACAAGCTGGGATGATAAGAAGCTGAGCATTATTAAGATATGCTCTAGCAATTTTTACTTCATGTTCCACACCAACAAGTTCATTTTCATTTTCCTGTCTTTTTACAGAAAGGAGAAATGATTCCTCCCAGTAGTTCAATGTTTTCTGCTGGGTCTGATGGAAGTCTTTATGTAGTTTCTCCGGGAGGTGAGGAGTCTGGGGAATACATCTGCAGTGCAACCAATGCAGCAGGTTATACTGCACGGAAAGTACAACTGACAGTCTATGGTAAATAGAAGTCAAAGTGTTAATCAATCTAAGAATGCAGTATGAGGCTCACTCTGAAACTCCAGGTCTGCAAGTAGCTTTTGAAAGTGCCCAGAACCATGTTGAAGTTGTCAACAAATTGCAATTAACATGAGGCATTGCAGAATTTATTATAATTTGTAATCATTATATTATTAAATTTAAACATAAGTTAAGCTCCTTCTAATTGTTGCCCCAACAACCCTAACCATAACCCATTTTTTGTTTGGTCCTGGCCTGCCTACCTTTTAACATCACTTTTAGTATGCCAGTCAAAAGCTAAATATGGCTCTCAACTTAATAAGATTGGGCATCCCTACTCTATATAGAACTGCCAATATCAGTAATAATTTGGAGCTAAAATGTGTCACAAGAAGCATTTCATGATAAAAGTTTTTACTGTTCTGGAGATTTAAAGAGAATGCTGCTCTTTGTATGGTAACTCTGCCTCCTGTTCATTCAACCAGTTGATGTGATTTGGCTGCTCTGGGCCTCTCTCCCTACTTTTCTGCTATGAATTTCAGTGAATATTACAACTCTCCCTACAATGTTTATTATGATAAAAATATTTTAGGTTATCTCTGCATAAGCAGGATTCCTTTCAGAAGACCATTCTGAGGATAACTCTGTGGTTCACCCCTCCTTCCTTCCTATACTTACTCCATCCTGAGAGCAAGTGCCCAAAATAACAGGAAGTTTTGACTAGAGTCTAGGTTTGGGATCAGACTCATTGAGATGACTTTGGAACAATAAATAGTATTTCATCTTATCTTTCTATGTGCTGTTCTCATTCCAACGGTCTTTTGTAATAGTATCCATATGTTCTGTTGGCATAGGAACTGTGATTTCAGGCAAATATCCCCTCTCATCTTGCACTGGAACTATATACAAATATCCCCTCTGTTAAAAGGGTCCTTGACCCTTTGGAAAGTTTACCTTGTGTAAGTAGAAGAGGGGACAGAAGGATGGAAAGCATGAGCTGTTTTTCTTGCAGAACAATTGGAGTTAACCCACTAACCTGAAATGAAATATTATTGCAAGAGCTGGATAATATTGTAATGTGCATCTTATGTTTTAGTAAAACCAAGAATTTCCAGACCTGGAAGTCAGCAAGGAAGTTCACTAGATAACCCAATTGAGATGTCAGTAACAGCTGGGGAAGAAGTGACACTTCCCTGTGAAGCGAAAAGTTTGCCACCCCCAATAATCTCTTGGGCTAAAGAAATGCAGCTTATTTCTCCATTTTCTCCAAGGTAACTTTCTCCAAGTAAACTTTCTTAGTTTACTTTGTTTGAATTTCTGTACAAGTTGTCTCACTGATGTGAATAGAGGCTGCTAGATAACTGTGGCGTACTGTATGCATATATGCCAAGAAATGATTGTTCATATTACACTTTGATTCAGTCTCTACCTATTTAAAGGATAATTGAAATGTACTGTCTGTAGTACATTGTCAGTATCCTATGCAATCATATGGAATCCTTTCATAAGGTGATGTTCACTAGGTGTGCTAGATTGTAGTTTCCATCTACTCTAGACTGTAATTTCCATCCTTGTAGTCCAACACATTATAGGATGAATACTAAATAATGATAACAGAAACATTTATCAAAAATGTTATTTTCAGAACTATTTCCTCTGCATGACTCCTCCATAAACTACCCTTTGAAAATACTTAGGTTTTGCCTGGTAAAGAATATCTTTGTGAGGAAGCATCAAAAGGCCTGGAGCTTTGGCTTATCTCAGACATCCACAATGAAGGCATGTGTTTTGCTGGCAGCTTGTCTTGTTGTTGAATCTTTAAACAACACATTCATTGTAAGAACTGGGTCATTGAAGGGATGATTAGAATTACCTCTACTGTTGGTATTTCTTATTTCTCCCCCTTTCTTATCTTGAATCCTTTAAGAAAGAGTTCAGTCTGGAAATGAGAGAGGACTGAGTTTGGCAGCATGAATGGTGGTAGTCACTGATAGGCAATTAATTTGATTAAGGAATTAATGGATTAAAGAAGTGGGCCACAATCTATTCTATCTTGCAGGATAGATGTGAGTTTTTGACATGTACTTTCCCTTTTGGCACTAGATAAGAGTTAACAAAATTCAAGAGGGGTTGGACTTAGATCACTTGTGAGAATGTAAAGAATCTAAGCTGATTCCTCTTTTGCCTCCTCCCCCATACTCTGCCAATCCTCCTCCTACAAAACTAGAAAGCTTTCTGGGTCTTTTTTCATCAACTCGAAGTCTTCACAGTGACAGTGTAATTTGCATTTATTGACTTATAATATTTATACACTGCTTTTCATTATAAAAATAGCAGTTGACAGTAACATGGTAGTCTTCATTTGTCTTTATGAGTTCATACAGGTTTTGCCCTAGTTCTTCCCTTTATCATCTTTAGACTTAATAAAATATGCATTGATTTGAGAATACACGAGGATCATTAAATTTATTTATTTGTTGTTAGAGTTTTTAGTTGCTATTATTTGATAACAATAATATGTACAAAATAGAATGGGCACTTGGAATACTGCCACAGCATTCAATGATTAAAAAATAAGCTGATACAGTAGACTATTTTAAAACTGACAAATATAACATTCAAAACCATGATAAAAATAAAATAGAATAAATACCCTTTTGGAATGAATTCTGCAGGTCAGAAAGTATCATCTCAAAGGCACCATTTCTGAATCTAATTGGTTTGGTTTTTGACTGAGACCATCAGAGAAACTTTTGTATCTTCAGCACATATACTGTTTTGGTGTCTTTGAGGGATGCATTTTAAAAAATGTAAAAGAGGATAGAAAATGCTTCCAACTTGGTTGCTAACTGGATTTGAAATGGGAGTCTGTGGACTGTTGACTCTTACTTCATACCTCAACTATGCAGAATGAAGAAGTCAGAGGGCAAGCACAATTATGGGAAAAATGGAAGATCAGTCTGTACAAAAGTAATACTGAACAGATGCTCTTTGATGTGCAACGTTTATTATTAATGCTCCTGTAAGAGACTTTCATGTTCTTATAAATATTTATAGTCATCTGTATTTCCTGTGGTTTTTTTCCCTCCCCCCACCCCACCCCCCCAGACATACCTTACTCTCTTCAGGCTCAATGAAGATCACAGAGACGTGGGTATCAGACAGTGGCTTGTACATCTGTGTGGTCACAAATATTGCTGGAAATGCAACCCAAAAAATAAAACTAAATGTACATGGTAAGAACCCTCTGCTTTCGATAATAAATATTGAATTAAATTAATAATGGATATTGAATTAATTAGTACTTCAAACAATATTGACTTAATTAAATATGATTAAAGTTACTGGCATCAGATTCAAATTGGATTGAGGGATGGAGGAGTCCAGAGGCTATACCTTTATTTATTATGCATGTGCTTAGGGAAGAAGATTAGTAATAGTATCACAATTTTATTTTTAAATATTCTTTTAATCTGTCTTTTGGCCCAGTAAGGCTGTTTAGAGTCTGCACAAAATTATGTAATGGAGAATTAATTTTTAAATCATTTCTCTGTGCAATACCCTAACCTCCCACTTCCTGCACCATTGACACCCACAATCTATTCATCTTTCTTAATTTGGCCCTTCAGAAGGCTTCAGAATCTGCCCATTGTTCCTATTTGCTGACATCCTGAAGCTTCTTGTGTACCATAATAGCTTCTCATAGATCTTAAGAGCCTAAATAAGATTTGCTGCTTGGCCACCATTCACTGGAATGGTCTCTGCTCATTAAATGAAAAGGATCTGCATCTCTTTATAATAGCATCTTTTTGTCAAAAGATAATCATTTAAAACAGGGGTGCGATGGCTCAACGGTTAAAGACGCTGAGCTTGTCAGTTGGTCCAGGTTCTAGACCTGAGTGCCGTGCAATGGGATGAGCTTCTATTCCTTGCCCCAGCTCTTGTCCACCTAGCAGTTCAAAAGCATGCAAATGTGAGTAGATAAATAGGTATCCAGTGGGAATGTAACAGCATTCTGTGTACCTTTGGCATTTAGCCCTGCTGACCACATGATCATGGAAAATGCTGGTTACCTTGGGCAAGAAATAGAAATGAGCTCTAGAGTCAGACATGAATGGACAGGGAAACCTTTACCTTTATCTAATCATTTAAAGCCAATTATTTAAGAATTTATTAGTATAAATTAACTCATCAGAAGGTAACATTTTCAATGATTTAACACAAATGCATGGGTAATTTCTTTGATGATTTTAACCATTCCTCAAGTCTTATATGTTTATGACCTGTAAATATTGCTGAAAGTGTTTAGAAATGGTCTTTATTTATTAATTAAATTTATATGCTATCCACCTCACTATCAAGTGGCTCTGAGTGGCTTGTATTGTATTATATTGAAAAAAGAATTATGTAGGTTATTTTGAAAGATTGCATTGAGTATGTAAATACTGTAACTTTAAATACATAAGGGGCAAATGCTATGTTGTGTTCTTCATGTTTTGCTGAATGATCTTCTAAAATCTTTCTGTATTAAATTAATTAATTATTATTTTTACTTAGTTCCTCCAAAGATACAACATGGGCCTCGAGTGATTAAAGCAAAAGTTAATAATAGAGTTGATATACATTGCAATGCTCAAGGAATCCCATCTCCAAGAATTACTTGGCTTAAAGATCAACAATCCATTTTGATAGACAACAGACAGTATGCTGCTTCTCTAGATGGAACACTGAGTATCATCAAAGTTGTGCTTTCGGATGCTGGGATCTATAAATGCATGGCAAGTAACATTGCTGGCCATGATGAAGCTGAGATAATGATCCAAGTTCAAGGTAATGTTAACAGTATAGTGAAAAGTGCATAAGAAGAATTATCATTTTTTAAAAAGAAGTTATATTTACACTTACAGTAAATAATTGAATTATAAAGGGTTTTTACTAAAAGTATTCAAACACATACATATAACCTTAAGGGAGAATAACCTACTGCACATCTGTATACAGTCAGATATAACAGAGATTCTTTTTCAACCAGTATGTTAACTCTGTTTTGGAATTTTTTAGTTGTGGCAATTTAATTGCATTTTTAAATTGTCAACTACCCATGAAGTCAGTTTATTTGATTTTTATTAATGTTGATTTCTCCTCCATTCTGTATTCTAAAAAAAACATTCATGAAACATAAATAAAGTAAAAGGAAATTGACAACATAAGGTTAAAAGTAACAGAAGTTTATGTTTCCTAGAACTCAACACAATTGTTTATAGACTATAAGAAAATTTACAGTTCTGCATTAAAGCAGTTAACTGAGCCAATAAATAAGAGATATCTTTCTTGGAAGATGAACTGTTGATATGAGGCAATTTTATACAATCAGACTATCACTTTACCTAATGCTATCTATCCTCAGTAGCTTTCTCCAAATTCTCAAGTTTCAATGGAAGCTTTTATAATGCCCTGAAGCAAATTGTGTGGGTGGTTGCGGGAGAAGAGAAGGATGGTCAACATCATATATAAAGCTAGATATGTTTTATTGGGAAAAAAGACTTTGTTTTTGATGTCAGTAAGGGTAAAATCATGGCAGATATTAAAGATGTGTAACATTTCACTTTAGCAGGAAAGGAGTTCAGATATCTAAATCTGACATTGATAAGAACAATAGAGGGATACCATTGCTTTTCTGATTTGATAATCAGTAGATTGTAACTGAAAGGTACAAATCCAATTTGTCGGGAAATTTTTAATTTATCTCTAAATATATTGAGGAATATAACAGTGAATTACGACTTATCTGATGCTGCTTCAGTCTCTTCTTAATATTTGTACTTTGTGTTTCCTTAGCATACCACAAAGCCTCTGAACTGAATAAACAAAATTGTAATGCATAATATATATTATATAATTACATTTTAATAGTATGTGTATATATATATATATATATATATATATATATATGTGTGTGTGTGTGTGTGTGTGTGTGTGTGTGTGTATGTGTGTGTATATATATATATGTGTGTGTGTGTGTGTGTGTGTGTGTGTGTGTAAATGTATGCAATTTTGAGAATTTCAAAGGTTTATAAACTGGAATTTAGGAAACCTAGCCAATAAGTATAAATAAAGTTCATATTCTGTTCATTTTGTATTAGAACCTCCAAGTGTTGGAGCACTTGATCCACCATACAACTCTCCATTTCAAGAAAGAGTAGCAAAAGAACAAATTGCCTTCCCATGCCCAATCAAAGGTACAAAGCATTATAAATTGCTGAGTGGAGGTTTTCCATTTCGGGGGATTCCATGTTGACTTTTGTAACTTTTTTAAAAAAAATTTTTTTTTATTCATAATACAATTAAAACAACAATGGACAAACATGACATTCCAGAGTGAATTTTCCGATCAGTTCCTATCATAGTACAAAAGTTTAATACATTGTTCTTAACCTCTATATAAGCCTCATCTTCTATACAATGCAATTATATATACAATTATATGTACAGTTATGTATATCTTTTAATTCTACCATTAACTTGAAGTCCGAGCAGTTCTTAATTCATATCAATGGTAAAATTTGCCCCAGATTTCGAAGTATTCGTGTTCTGTTTTGTCTTTCATAATCATTATAAGCCTGTCCATCTCAGCACATGATAGAATTTTATGCAGGATCTCTTCTTCCGTTGGAGTTCCCTTATTCCTCCAATTTTGAACAAAAAACAGCCTGGAAGCCGTTAAAATGTGTAGCATTAAATAAAGTACGCCTTTGTCATGCTTTTGCGTAGTTAAACCTAATAGAAAGAGTTCTGGTTTTAGTTCTACCGCTTGCTCTAATATTTCTTCCAGCCATATTTTAATCCTGTTCCAAAAGTCACAAGCTCGCGTGCATTCCCACCACATATGATAGTAAGTTCCACTTTTCAAATTACATTTCCAACATTTAGGGGAAACATTGGTATACATTTTAGACAATCTTGTGGGTGGGAGATGCCATCTATAAAACATTTTGTAAAGGTTCTCTTTGTAAGAGGTGGCCAAAGTAAGCTTCTTGTTTCTTGCCCATAGTTCTTGCCATATGTGCAGATCAAAATTAAGACCAAAGTCCTTGCTCCAATTCAACATAGTCACTTTTACTTGTTCCTCATACATTGCCTGATCTAGCAAATAGTAGTATAATTTTTTAATCATTTTATCCTCCGACCCCAAAATTATTTTATCCAATTCTATTGGCTCTAATTTAATGCCTAACTCTTTTTTGTCTTTCCAATATCTCGCCTGCAGTTGCAGGTATGCCCACCATTCTAATTCTATCCCTTCATCGTGGATGGTTTTCCTGGATTTCAATTCCCCTCTTTCATCTAAGATGTTTTTATATGTTATGTCTTGTCTAATTGAGTAAATTTTGGATGTACATATATTTCTAACGGTGAGATCCAACTAGGTACTTGGGTATAATTTGATTGCCAAATTTTTGTCCATACATGAATAAGAGCTTGCCTAATATAGTGACTTCGAAAATATTTATGTACTTTATATTTATGATCCCATAATATGGCATGCCATCCTATTTGTAGGTCATGGCCCTCCAGACATAATAGTCTTGATGATTCTATTATTTCTTTTTTATTTAAATTTATTAGATACCCAACTTTAATAGACTTTAGATCAGGGGTCCCCAACCCCCAGTCCGTGGACCAGTACCATGACAGCAATCAATCTGCACAAACAAGCAAAGCCCCATCTGCAGGATGCAGGCAGCACACAAAACTACACACCCTCCAATCCGCAGAAAAACCTCTCTCCACGGAACCGGTCCCTGGTGCCCAAAAGGTTGGGGACCTCTTTCCCAATACAAAGTTGGGAAAACATAAAACAGCTGAAAACACTGACCCATAGAGACTAAATCACTCAGAATAAAGTAATCTAATAGACAGCATAAACAACAATAATGACAAAAACAGGGACCATTGAACAAATATAAACATCAACTCCAGGCCAACGTCAAAACCTTGAAACCAGATTTTCAAAGCTTTCTGGAACCCCAGGAGAGAGGGCTTCCTTATCTCGGGGAGGGGGGAGATACTGTTCTAGGTGGTGGGGCTATAATAGAGAAGGCATGCTTCCTAGATCCTACAAGATGACAATGGGACCTGGAGCATACCTATGCTGTTGGAACATACTAAACAGCAGAAACAGTTGGAGAGATAAGTGACTTCTCTGCTACCCAGGCCCTATGCCATACAGGGTTTGATAGGTAGTAACCAGTACTTTGAATTGGATAACCAGCAATTCCCCAGTCTCTGGGATGGGGGATGGGGAAGAATCATGCTTTCCATCTGTTATAATAAGCATTTGGCTGGGATGGTAGTATTAGCATTATTATTATTTAAATAGTAGATTAATACTACCCTGCAGGCAGAAGCCAAACTTTGGATTGCACCACCAAAGTTTGATATTTTTCCAATACTTTAAAGCTGACTTGCTGTGTTAATAGCCAGTTTGCTATAGCAGTAAAATGTACACTTTAGTATATGTAACATCTGCACTATTGTCTTCTTGAAAACGTTTCCCATATGGTGCTACCTGAAATAAACTGATGTATTAATGACATCAGTCCATCCTGAGCATTTGAACTATTTTGACAAACCTTGAGGAAGTATATAATATTGGAATTGTTCATTTTATTTGGCTAGCAGGCTGCAAGAGATGGGTTTTTTTGTTTTTGTTTTTGCCTTCCTTTGCTTAGGGCAGAGATCCCCAACCCCTGGTCTGTGGATCAGCACCGGGCTGCGGCATGCCAGAAACCACACAAACAAGCAAAGCCCCATCCTCAGATGCAGGCAGTACATGAAACCACGCCCCCTCCGGTCCGTGGAAAACCCCCTTTCCATGGAACCTGTTCTCTGGTGCTCAAAAGGTTGGGGACCTCTGGCTTAGGGAAAAGGACATCTGAGGGTTCTTTTTTTGCCTCTAGGAAGATGGGTAAACAAACTCAGTTTGAAAAGGGGACTATTTTAACACATTTCATGGGAGGTGATAGGGAGTTATGAGGCTTGTCAGTTAATCTGCTTACTGAGCAAAAAGGCAGGTCTAAATCAAATAAGGATAAATAAAGGCAAAAGCCAGTTCTTTGGAGCCTCTTGAACACATCTCATCTATGCATCTGCATGTGTATATTAGTATGTAAGATTATGGCTACATGGAGCTTTCTTTGTGACTAAGGGGAAAGTTGTGTCTGTAGATATAAATGTGGAAAGTTTTACATAGAGAAGAAAATTTGTTTGTCTGCATGCTCAAGTTCAGGCATAAATAGGTAATAAGTGAGACTATAAGGTCTGCCTGATCTTGATATGACTGCCCTATTGCAGAGTACTCAAACATTCACCAGGATACTCTGGACCCTTTGTGGTGATAGCAGGATAAAGAAAGACATCTTGGAATATAAAGGAAGGAGATATTCTGCTGCCTCTGCTAATAATGAGTGCTACTTGTTTAAATAACAAATATAATGGAGAATGTTGAGAGAATTTGCAGAAAGTTCTATCTGCTACTTCAGCCATGGAAACAATGGCAAAGGATGGGATTTGGCAGGAATTTTGGGGGAGGGGGCGGGTCTGTCCCAGTTCAGAGACTCTTGAATAGGGTGCATATGTTGTTAAAAACTACCAAAAACTTTATTCTGAAATGCAATCTATTGTTCTGAACTTCAAAATAAGTGGAACATTTAGAACCCTTTGTTTTATAATATAGGTACTCCAAAACCTGTGATAAAATGGCTACATAACAATAGGGAGATTACGGGCAATGAACCTGGGCTTTCAATTTTGGAAGATGGAACTTTGCTGGTCATTGCTTCCGCCACACCATACAACAGTGGAGAATATATCTGCACCGCAATCAATGAAGCTGGAAACACAGAAATAAACTACAGTCTGAAAGTTTATGGTAAACTAACCCTTTTGCTAGGAGTTAATGTTACTTCATTCTAAGTTTTAGAAACTGGAAATTGAGGCATAACTAAAATATTGACATTGGTGTATTAGAATAAAAATTAGAAACAAACTATGCACATGTAAAAGCCAAATAACTAAAAGGACTGAGAGTATTGAAATAAAATCAATGATACAAATAAGTGACTTTGTTTAAATATTTACTTATTTGATTGCAGTTCCACCTGAAATCAAAGATCAGGACAAGGTGACCAATGCATCTGTGGCCATCAATAAGCCTTTAGGTCTGTTCTGTGAGGTATCTGGTGATCCTTTTCCAGTCATTACTTGGTATAAAGATGATGTGCAGGTACACCAAGAGGTTATCAGTTCTTTTCTTAGATTAAAAATGAAATTATACTGAAAGCATGATATAAAAATTATGAATATTTTGTTAGTATTTGATACATTTTGAGGCTGGCAGCATTTCAAACATGTATGAACAAAACCAGATTCAGTTTCATATGAGTGGATTATTATTTTCATGCAATCTCATGTAGGAATGATACTGAAAATAATATTCAACTTCTGTTCTTCCTGTAACCCTATCTGACTGGAGCAGTATAAAAATACATTCTATCAGAGTTGTAGGCTTTGCAGCCAAAAAAGAATTTTTTTTTTCAGAAATAGCTGTAGGCAAAATAAAATTCAAGTACATCAAGAGTGGATCTTGATTCTAACTTCTACTAACCATGAAGTTCTCTGCATTAATGGATGTTTTCCTAAACTCGTTTTGATATCCAAGAATAGGTTGAAGGGATCAGATTTAGAATAACCCATTCTAAACAGTAATAGTCTCTTCAAAACTGCTGCCTTCATACTTATCCCATTAAAAGAGCAATACAAGAGATACTGAATTAGACAACTCTTTTCTTCATTCACTGAGGCTTCCCTAGAAGAATCCATCCTGTCAAATCCCAGAAGTTTATCGTAATTTCCTAAATAGGAATTAAGCTATTTAGATTCTGTTATTACTCCTGGTTGTAAGGTATGCTATACAACATGTCTAATTAAGCACAGACAATTAACTGGTATATTTAGCAGATATAATCTCAATTATTGCTGAATCTTTTCAGGTTCTGGAGGGAAGTACTTTGCAAATTTTGGAAAATGGAAAGTTGTTGAAACTTCTTAAAGTTGCAACTGATGATGCTGGCCAGTATTCATGTAAAGCCACCAGTATAGCTGGGAGTTCAGAGAAATTTTTCACTGTAGATGTGCAAGGTTGGTACTCTTAGCTATGATTATGATATGAAATTAAATATGAAATGCCTTTGGCATTTCACCAGTATCTGCTTAGATATGTAATGCAAGCATGAAGTACTCAATAGTAAATTAGCTCTCATGGGGTTTTTAAAATATATTATAAATAACTGACTAACCTTATTATTTTGCATTATTATTTTTATGTGATATGGATCCATTAAAAGGACAAGAGAGCAACACAACAACACACTAAGCCTAAGAGAATTAATCAGGACTTCAGATTATTTGTACTTGCTTTCTATAGCTTTTAACCCTGGATATTTGAAATGATATAGAACCTGAAATAGCTTTATTTAGGCTTTTAGATTATTTAATGCTCTATGTTTTAATCAATCCTAAAACTCTAAAAATAGCCCAGGTCTATGAGCCACTTTGCCTGGTTCACTGCTCCAATTCATTCCCTTAATTAATGATGCTGTGGCTCACTTTTAAACAACCAGTATCAACTCCTCATTGCAATTAATCCCCAAACTGTTATTATTCAAATATCAACCTAGATTAAAAATATTTATACTGCACAGGTTCCCACAGTGAAGTGTTAATATGGATACTATAAGCTAGATTTAATATGTATTTCGCATGCGAAAAGGAAGGAAAAGAGATGAACATATTTCCAGGATTAACTTCCACTTTTCTTTTCTTAAAAACACTTTGCAGTATTTTAATAGGGCTTCCTATTTAATTATTGTCCCTTGTTGTCTCTTGTTGTCTTTTTCTTCTAGTCCCACCCATTATAGGAGATGCTGAATCCAATGAATTTTCAGTCACCCTCAGCCAACAGGCAATTTTAGAATGCAGGGTCAGTGGGTCTCCTTTTCCTATCATCAAGTGGTCCAAAGATGGCAAGTAAGTGCTAATTCTTAAACCATTCTAACATGACTTATAGACAAAAAATGAGAAGCTTGCTTCCTATTGATATAGTAAAATCAATATGCTTTTATTCAACTATAACTTAAGAATTAATTTAACTAAAAAGAAATTCATATAAAGACCAAAAGTCTTGGAACTATGTTAACTTCTTATTTCCCCCACTAATGACCATTTTCTAGATGAATTGTTAATGAAATTGAAAGAATCCTTGTATATCCATTTCCAAAAAATGGATTGCTCAGAATTTCTCACAGTGTAAATTTTGATATTATTTTACTTTGTAGTGTACCTGTCAGTATGTTATATTTCCAAAGCTTTATTTACAAACATTTTATTAAATTGATGCCATTTTAAGATATTTCCCCCCCCCACAGGCCCCTCTTTTTAGGTGACCCTAATATTGAGGTTTTGGACAAAGGGCAAATTCTTCAAATAAAGAGTACTCAAAGAGTTGACAAAGGACGCTACCAATGCAGTGCAACCAATTCTGCAGGCAAACAGTTTAAGGAACTCAAACTCATAATCCACAGTAAGTTACTACAAAAATATATTGCACATCTTTTTAAGGTGTGTTGATAATAAATATGACACAGGCCCTTGTACTCAATTCATTGTGTTACCATAAAAAATAAATCAAAGTGTTCCTTCAGCTTAAAACATTTATTTATTCATTCATTTGTACCTTTACATTTTTTAAATTGTAGAAACTATAAAATTGTTCACTATAAGAAATAATGCTTAAAACAAAAATACATTTATCAATAAAAATGCTAATTGTTATACCAGAGGCTCTATTGCTATAATGGATCTTTAGACTGAGAACCCATTGTATTTTCTTCATTCGGAAAATTTGGAGTTGGAAGTTCAAAAATGGACGTCTCAGAGTTGATTTTATCCCTTCTTCAGTAGTTTGTTTCACTCCCAGTTACTGAAAGGGCCCCTTTTCTTTTCCTGGATTTAAGGTGGAAATTTGATATTAACCCATTTGTTTTCTGGACTGTCCTCTTCATGACCAAGTTGCAGAAATAAAGGTTTCCCCAATCAGCTGTGGAAATGAGTGGCAGGAAGGGATAGGTCTTCCATCATATTTGCAATTGTGTTGTAGTCTAAATTTATGGACATTAGTACTGGCATTTCTATTTTCTAATACACTTTTTGGGTTACAATTTATTCTTCAGTTAAAGAGAGACTTTCTTCAGGTACAGATAAGTGCTTCTTTTTGATTATTTATTTTTGGAATTATTTAGAAACATTTGAGAATTTTACTGATTTTTGCTTACCTTGCAAAAAGCTGAGGAACTAAGAGATTAAAATATTTAAATGGAAAGAATTAATTTTTCTTTTTGAAAGCGTGAATAGAAAGATCCTTGTGTGGGAAAACTGTCTTGTTTAAATATCAGTTGTAAAACAAAATCTTGAGGGTGGATTATCAGAGCACAAGAGGCATTCTTTAAAAGAAATATTTTGCTTGAACTTTAACTCTTTACTGGAAACAGAAGTTATTATTGAAGCTGAATAATTCCCTATGGAGACAACTGAGATGGATTCACTGGATTTATAAATTATATAATCAAAATTTGAAAAAAGTGTTGTAGATTACCTGTTCAAATTGAAATATAAGAGATTTATTGGAGTTACCATACTTCATGGAAACTATAAGTGGACTTGAAAGATGATTGAATCTATTTCTCTTAGTCTGAATCCCCATTTCCTGTGTTCTTTTCCAGGCTGAGTTTTACTGAAGGCACAGCTTTATCTTCTTTTGGTGATTAATGACAGATTAAAGTGGATTGGCAGATCCCCAGGCCATAATTAGTGAGCATAACCCGAGAAAGAAAGGCTGGCAGAAGAGAATAGCAGAAATGCACTGTACCTGTTGTTTGGCTATGACAGAACCTAGGCAGAACATTTTGAATCTTGTATAGTCATTGAAATGAGACCAGTAATGGATTGCCAGAATACTGAAGGATAGGCCATAGCTGCCATTGTGTATGAAGTATGGAGAAATGAAAGACAAAGAACAAAATGGGAAATAATTTGCAGGGGGGAAAGTCTATATAATGCAAGCTGGCCATATGTTATAGCACTTAAAAATAGAAGTAAACTTGGATGAGATTGTATTTCCAATTACTTTTCCCAGTGTCTTCAGTTCCAAATATAGTCATTCAGAGATTGCATCTGAGATCCAGACAAATGTTATCTTCATTTTGTTGACTGCCTTCAAAATTTATATTCAGATTTATTTATTACATCCCTGAGGCCAGATACAAACGAGGAAAATAAAAGAGGAAGCATTTTCAATGTCTAATAGCAAGACACTCTGCTGTTGATTTATACATCATATAATAGATAGGGCTACTTTAAACCATTTAATTTCCCTTCAAATATCTACAAAATGCAGCATCTTGAATACATGTGAATTAATAAAAGATATTTAGAAGTACTCAATTTCAAGCTCTTTTTCACTCATATCTCTCTTAAAAATCTCTTCCTTTCTGCATCAAAATAAATAATTGTTCAAATTGGTTATGGAAGTTGGAAAATTACTTAAATTAATAGGCTAAAGTATCTCCTTACCTAGATATGCCGTACATTTGAGTACATTCATGGCTTTTTTGCCATTTAATATGCCTGGGAATTATATTTTTACTGTATGCTACCTTTGCAACCCATGTTGGGTTTTATTCATTCTGGCAGCATAGGTTGTATGTTAGCATCAATACATTTCCACCATCAGCAATCACATTTAGTACTTGTTTATTACACTATATGAGTGTGCTGTGAGCTGCATTTATAAGCATCTGCAAATGATTAGTTTACAGTCATTTTTATAGACTTGAAACTATATATTTGCCTAAAGAGCAAGGGTTTCTAATTCTGGGTTTCCAAACATATTGAAATCATCATGGTGCTGAAGTGATACTTTTGGTTTTTAAAGTCACAGGAAGTTTCTTGGGTGAAATTTAAAATCTTTAGTGAAGCTGTTTTCTTTTTAATATTACTGAGTTGGCTAGCAATGCAGTGACCATAAAGATGTCTTTCTTTTAATTTAAATTGCTTTTATATATGCACACTATGTTTTTATAGTGCTTGGCTCTTATAATTGGAAAGATAATCATGTTTGGCTAACTGGAGCTCATCAAAAGATCTGTATCCTAAATTTTATAATTTTATAATTTGGATATATGACTTCTCTGGGGATGTGTGCACCATGTTTCTGTCTCATTTACACATCCCTGCAGTTTAAGGAGAGCACAGATTTGCAACACTTTCTGAATTGAGCATTTCATGTTGGTGGGGCAAAGATAAAAGTAAGCATGGCCATACCAGAAATCCCCAAATGGGCATGCTGAAAGTGAAAATCTTTAAAGATGCATAATTTGGTTTCCCTTCCATTCATCATGCCTTAATCTTAGAACAAGTGTGTTTACTTCAATTGAATTACTGAGAATTGGAGATAAGTGAATGAAACTCTGGGATCCCCATGAAGATCTAGCTGTAAGCAGCTCCAGTTCTTGTTTTGCAGCTCCAGCCCTATAAATCCTCCACTAGTAAACAAATTGTTACCGTTTAAGACTACAGAAATCTAGATGACCACTATATGGCAACAATCCAAACTCTAATTTTTAGCGGTGACCTAATAGCCATATAGATTTTTGCAGCTAAGTTGGTTGCCCTATGCTAGATGGACTCTAAAATATTTTGAATGGAACTGAGATGCAAGTACTGTATCTGAATAACCATCATTAGCAAGAAATTAGAATGTTCTATTATTACCTTGTTATCTAGTGGTTGTCCAAATTCTTGGAATCTACAAAGACATCTATAAATATGAATAAATATGAATCGTCTGGAAGACCTTTCCTTGCATATATTATAGGGCTAAGCATTATGAAACTGATTTGGAAGAACATTTTGAGCATTATGTGAGGGTAGCATCTGTAGCATCTCTGTTCCAATTGTTAAAGCATCTATATCTTTTCTAAGTTTTTCATAGGCCTGTTTAAAGGTCATTTTATAGAATCAGCTTCTTAAGCAATGACAACTTTTACAGGCTCACCTGTAATCCTGAAAAAGGTTGTGGTTCTATTAATTAGCAGCAGAGACGTATTGTGCTTGCGCCATAACTGACGTGCTTCTTCCAATTCACTTTTGAAATATGCACAGACCTAATACCTAAATTGTACTTCAAGGATAAAGTTGTTTTTCAGTCCTTAGCTTTCAGTATTTTCTTATTTTTAAAGAAACATATGCCCCACTTTCCCTTGAAAAAAGGAGTCTCAGACTAGTTCACAAAATGTTAAAACTACACAAAACCTAGTAAGCACTTTATTTTAAGAAGAAAGCAATATCTAAAGTTAAAATGCAAAGACTCAGCATAATTAACTGTTAAACAAAATCAGTCAAAAGCAGAATCAAAGGTTTAGAAATAAACTAAAATATACATATTTGATGAGAATTTTCCCTTATAAAACATTGCATATATATGTAATAAACATTTATTGCATATATATGCACACACACACACACACACACACACACACACAAACACACAAACTTAACATTATAGAGAGTTTCTTTCTTTCTTAGATCTCTTATTGACATGCTAACTAATTTCCTCAGCACTGGAACCTTCTACAGGGAATTAGGTCTTCTCATAATGTGTCCGAAGTAGGATAATTTGAGTCTGGTCATTTGTGTCTCAAGTGAGAACTCAAATGGATTGGTCTGATGTTCCATTTGTTTGTTTTCTTTGCTAATAGGGTATGTATTTTATATATTTAGTTTTGCATCTTATTGTTTGTTTTTCTATTTATTTTCTACAAAGTTCCACCTACAATTAAAGGAGAAAATATTACCACTGAGGTGTCAGAATTGCTACATAGCATCTTAAAGCTGGAGTGTGAAGTCAGAGGAATTCCAGCTCCTACAATAACATGGTATAAAGATGGAAGCCCAATTATTTCTGGTCCCCAAGCTGTTTATTTGGAACATGGACAATTTCTCCAGATTCCTCATGCTCAAGTCTCTGATTCGGCTCAATATACCTGCCAGGCTACCAATGAAGCTGGGGTGGCTGAAAAAATATTCCAAGTGGATGTCTATGGTAGGAAGTGATATCACCATATACTATTTGTCTGTATGACTCTTTTTCCAGTGCTGTTGCAATGCTGGAAGTTGATTTGTGTAACTTGGTAATTTTAAATGTTCCGGTTTTCTCTTGGCTGGTGATTATTTTGCAGGTTGTTTTTGCCTTAAGCTATCAGCAGGTTCACGACTGATCCACATTTAAGTGAGAGCAATAGTCATAACATAACATGAGTGAGAAAGAGGAGGAAGAATTTAGTTGTCCTCTATCATTTTTCTCACCTGGAGAATGAATTCCATTGTTGGTGAGCATTCATGTAAAAAAGTACATTTGAGCTCTTTTTTCTCTCCCGCTCATCCATGTTATACTTTATATCCTCCTTTCTCAAGAGGTGATCATAAACATCCACATGAGATGAGAAGGGAGGAAAAACTGATCCAATGTACATCATCATGATGTATAATTTGTGACTTTGACACTTTATATCAATGACATCATTGCTCTTGTGACATCATTTTTGAAGGAATCAAAAGATTTATTGAAGATGCTGATGACTTTAGCAGCCTGGTTCATCTACTGCTATCATCTATATATCTAAATTAACCTTAAACAATGTAAACCAATTTAACTAGAAGAAGATATCCATACTGCAGTGTATGGATACATGGAGAAGATATATCACTTTTAGCATAAAAGAAAATTCCTTAAGCTGAGGAAAGAAGAAAATCAATTGTAACAATGCTTTTTTTTGCTTGTGGGGAAAAAAACCCTCTCCCCCCCTTTTCTTCCAGTACCCCCAATTATTGAGGGTGTCAGTGAAACCATTCAAAACAAGCAAGTGGTTGTTGGAAGTTCACTTATGTTGGAATGTAATGCTGCTGGCAACCCTCCTCCCCTGTTAACCTGGCTGAAGAATGGAGTTCCTGTAACAGCAAGTGACTACCTCCATGTTGTGTCCAGTGGGAAGAAGCTGGAGATCCTGAATGCTGCTGTGACTGACCATGGCCAATATATGTGTGTAGCTACTAGCATAGCTGGGGAACAGGAGATCAAATATGATGTGGAAATCCTAGGTGAGTAGAAACCATGGAATTAAGCATTGGTTAGACTGCAGTATTGTAGGTTAACTCTGCCCCATTAACAGGAATTTGATCCTGACACGGCTTGAGGTTGACTCAACCTTTTATCCTTCCGAGGTCGGTAAAATGAGGACCCAGATTGTTGGGGGCAATATGCTGACTCTGTAAACCACCCAGATAGTATTGTAAAACATTATGGGGTGGTATATAAGTCTAAGTGCTATTGCTATTTGGTTTTCTTTGCGTTTTCAAAGAATGTGAAAGTTACACATTTATATTAGCAATAGCGCTTAGACTTATGTATCGCTTCTCAGTGCTTTTACAGCCCTCTCTACAGTAAGTGGTTTACAGAGTCAGCATATTGCCCCCAACAATCTGGGTCCTCCTTTTACCGACCTTAGAAGCATGGAAGGCTGAGTCAACCTTGAGCCAGTCAGGATTGAGCTCCTGGCAGTCAGCAGAGTTAGCCTGCAAAACTGCATTCTAACCTCTGCGCCACCATGGCTCTTTGTACACAATTTCTGCATTTCTAATCCATATGACATTTGAGATGACAATTTCTTAGTGATTGATGCTTTTGTCCCTTCTCTACATATATCTAAAGCACCACTGGAATGCTTTTGCAAACTTTGTAGAAATATTGCAGTTGCTATTTTCACTTCAAGTCAGTACAAAACAAAAGTTAAAGGGTAACTTGTTTGGAATTTAGAAAAGAAATAAAATAAATATTATTAGGTGGTGATCTGATATTGACTTGAAATTGGTTCCAATTTTACCTATAAATATGTTGATTATTATATGAAAAGAATAGTATTAGACTATTAAACTGATACAGTTGCAACATGGGTTTTGTATTTTTCCCTCCAGCTGCAGATTTACAATCTTGTAATATTTTTAATTATCAGGAATATTTTTATTAGGGAAGGTGTAATGGCATGTAGGGATAACCTTGACTGACAGGTGGAAGAGTCACAGGCTAGACAATGGTCTGATAAACAAAATCTGAGTGTGAAGGAGGGATGAGGATGGATAAAGCATCTCAGAAAGGACCTTTCCTAGTTTTTAGGAGACTAAAAGTATTTTCAGACTTTAAAAATTCTGTCACTGTAACCTTATAATAAAGGTAGTGTTTTTATCCCTGGTTGTTATTTCTTGCCTGGTCTACTGAACCTCGAAGTGGGGAGGGGGGGGGAAATCACTGCTTCCATGCAACATTGACGTGAGCCATAACAAGGGAATCTGTGTTCTTGTTCTTGCAGTGTTTATCATGTTAACAAGTCTCCATGCCATTCTGATAAACATGGTCACATGGAATGTAATTTTCACAGGAAAATGACCCCTCCATAGCTGCTCTAAGTATGAATGTGCAAGCGATTTGTTCAAGGAAACATTGTAACACATCAGAAAGAGCGAGGATAATAGAAAAGATATTTGAAGATTATATTTTGAAAATATTTCTATCTAGGATTCAGTTTCCCTCCTTCCTTCTGTTCCTTTCTCCCTTCGTTCTAGTTCCACCAAGTTTGGAAGGAGGAGATGAATCTTCAGGCCACACTGTGATTCTCCACAGCAACCTAGAGTTGGAATGTCCAGCCATAGGAACACCCCTGCCGACCATCACGTAAGTTCACACAGGATATGTGGTTGAAAGTAAAGTTATTAAGAAAGTAAGTGATAAAACCATATGATATTTCATAAAAGATTTTTTTTAAATAAAAAAGTGCTACAAGAGATTTAATTGTGACATGCAGGGTTACCTCCTGATGGATATTTTTCCTCATGGCTGGTGACATTGGATGGGAGGGCAAAGCAATCCAGAGGAACGAGTGGTGAGATTCAGCCAGTTCACACCAGTTTGGCAGAACTGGTAGCTATTTTTTTTTTTTTGTTGTTGTTGTTGCCCAGGCCCAGAATGGACTTCCAGAAGCAGCATCCACAAAGAGAACTGGTTGTTCACATATTTGAAATCCCACCACTGAGGGGAACATATCATTTGTTTTCCTTAATCTGGGAAACAAAAGGAGAACAATTTATTTCAGAATATTATTTTCCTGATTCAAGAACTGGGTGGAGAAAAAGCCCTTGGGACAATCAGTCACCTATTGGCTCGGAAGGACAAGTTGTGATTGGCTATTGTTTCTCTGCAATACTACAGATTCTCAGTAATCAGGGCAATGCAGTTATATTCTGCTGTATTTCAAAAATATAAAGAAGAAAAATTGGCCAATTGAAAGAGTCATCACCTAGACATATCTTTAAGCCTTCCAGTTAATCTCGAATGTTCAATTTTTGGTAGTTGTTCTGTTTTTGTTTCCCTTGCTGAAATTGTACAGTATTTCTAAAGATAATGAAAATACCGTAGGTATTATGCCTTTATTTTATAATGAGTTCTTTCTTTTTCTCCTTCCTGCTCTTCTTTACCATCTAGAAAAGAATCAGATGAAGGAGATTATTTTTGAAGAAGTAACGACATGAGTCCCTGGGTAAAAATGGATTCAATATACAGCATGCAGAATGAACTGCTCAGCTCATTATGCAAAGACAAATGGAAGTTAATTTCCATAGACCTGGCCAGTTTAGGGATTCATACAGCTACACCCCCCCCGCCCCATTTCCTTCTATACTACAAAGAAGGAGTTCTATGGTCAAAAGATGAGATGGTACTTTCAAACAAGAATTTATTGTAATATCTTTCCTTGGTTCACACTTCTCTCTTTCCTATTATCGCCACCAGCATATTTCTTTCCAGAAGAAATAGGTTAACATAGAATTATAGTATGATGGCTTTTTAATGATAGTCCTAGGGGATATATGGCAGCACCCATAAATCAGCATCACTTACTAGATGACAATCCAGTCTCTTAGTCCTGGAATTGTAACTGTAGTCTTGACACCTGGAACCGTAAGCATTCAGATTCATGCACTACAATCTCTTCTTTATACAAAATAAGCATTTTAAGGATCTGATTTTCTGTCACCAGATGGTTGAAAAATGGCCAACCTATTGAAGGAGGAGTTGGATATAAACTTTTGCTCAATGGACGCAGGCTTCTCATCTCTCGGGCTGAAGTATCTGATGCAGGCCATTATCAGTGTATAGCGACCAACAAGGCGGGAGAAACCAAACAAGAATTTGATGTGATTGTGCACGGTGTGTTACTTCTGTAGGAAAGGGAAAAAAGGGGGAATGTTTGGGTTAGACCTTTCTGCAAAACATTTTAAATATATTATGGTTTGCTGAGAACATAGCAAAAGAATTTCAGGATTTGAAATGGATTTAGAAGCTTTGTGATATTTATGAAAAAAAAGAAGACATGTTATTCAAGAATATACTAATTGTTCTTGGCTACTTTAGTACACAAATATTAAACCCATTCCTGCATTGGTCTATTAAACTTTTCAGGCAAACTTTTATTAGGTATTTGGATATTGAACAAAACTCGTATATCTTTCTAGTTTTTCCTTCTTGCTACTATTTTTTTCTGCCACTGCTCCACTGATATATTCAATGTCTCAGTGTTTCTCAACTTTCAGATGTGTAGATTTTAACTCCCAGAATTCTCCAGCCATCAAACTTGACCGTGGAATTCTGGGAGCTGAAATCAACACATTTGAAAGTAACCAAGGTTGAGTAACAGTGCACTATGCCCTATTGTCATAATTGTCATTTCCCCCATCAGTAGCATGCTGTTGTGGGACAGAGAAAGAATGTGTTCTGAGAAAATAAATACTCAGTTTCTATTTTCAGTAATTACTGCATATTTAATGAATATTTTATCTTGGACTATTATTTGCTAATTAGGAAAAGATTGCTTTCACTGATTCCTGTTTAGATAGCTGGATAATTCATAGGAACACATTCAGAGAAGAAAATTATATTGTATAAGCTTCTTGACTTACAAACGTATGAACTTATGAAGAAGCTTCATGACTAACCTCTGCATAAAATTCTATCTTGATTCTTTTGCACAGTCTCTCCAACAATCAAAATGAGTGGTCCTTCTGAAAGATTTGTAGTGATACACAAACCAGTAACCCTGCAGTGTATTGTTAATGGCATACCAATCCCTTCTATCACATGGCTGAAAGATAATCAACCTGTAAATACTGCTAGAGAAAACATTGGAGTAAGTAAAAAGACTGAAAGCAATTTTAAATAATATTGTAAAGGAAAACATTTGCCAGTGTTTATCTTTTAAGCCAATATTGATTTGACATGATCAAAACTCTTCTTGGGTAGTTTTTTTTCTCCTGACCTTTTTCTGAAAACATAAAAAGAAAAACAGCCTTTCAGATTTTTTGTGTGGCAAGACCCCAGTTGGCTAATACATTCCCCCCCCCACCTGACCAGTATGTGCACCTCCTATAGGATCAGTTATAAATCTGTTTTGTTCCAGCAAGCCTTTGACCCCATTGGATGGATGGAAGGATGGAGGGGTAGGACAATTGACTGAGGGCATTCTTGCAGGAAGAGAGGCCAAGAACAAGTATTTTGGGCATGCATGCTTGCGATGGAAATGACTTCAGATTGGCATTCTTTTAGACAAAGAGCAGTCAGATTAATTGACAAAGAGGGCGCACAAAGTAAATCCTTAATCTTTATTCACATCCTTCTGTCCCTTGTGGCCAGTAGATCATGAGATGCTGAAGAGTTAACACTACTGAATTGTATATCCAACAGCTATACACATAACTTCTATGAATACCCTGATAGTTTGAAAGAAGATACCAATGTTTATTGTTTTCGCTTATATTATGATAGAAAACTCATTGATTCATTCATCATTCCAGAGAAATCTTGCTTTTTTTTGTTTGCTTTTGTTCTGGAGCAGCTGGAATCTTCAGGGCACATTTTGCAGATTGCCAAGGCCCTAAAATATGATGCTGGCAGATACACCTGTATAGCAACAAATGCAGCTGGTGAAGCCCAACAATCCATTTATCTGCATGTATATGGTAATGACTTCTCATTGGCAATTCAGTATTACCTGTTGATTGCTAGTTACAGCTATCATGCTATGTGCCCAAATTCGTGTTCAGTTTTAGTACTCATAAGTATTCAGAGATGATAACTTATTTGGGCATAGATAATCTTGTCTGATGGTCGGGGACTTTCCTCTTATTATAAACTTATCAAAAAATGCCTTGAAATGTCTCAAGAGCATGAAAGATCAGAGGGTTTTCAATGATTCAAGTCCAAGCCAATAACATTTTGAGATGTATTACCTTTATTAATGTATATAATTTAAATCCTGGCTTATTGCCCATAAGGCATTCAAAACTATATAAACATGTACTCTATAATATTACATATGTATGCACCCATTCTGTAAAATCTGATAATCAAAAAGTTAAAATCCCTGTGAAGACCAATTCCAGTTGAGAAGTGTGGCTGAAGAAATCTAGCCTGAGGTTTTGATTCCAGAGCTTAGGAGACCTGACCTAAGAAAGTAATATGTTTGTATCATGGATATTCAGGAACCTTGTAGGGAAAGATAGCTACCAGAAAACTGTTATAATGCCAAGGATGGAAAGAATCAGTATATTGATTGTTTAAGGAGTTATGATTAAAAGTATTAGATGTAAGCAAATTGGTTAGCATATAGCCTTTGATGCTTTAGTATTGCTAATGTTCCAGTAGGTCAGCTGTTATTGGTAATCTACAGAAGTAGCATGTGCTAACCTTAAGTACAAGATAATTTTATTTATTTATATTTTATTTTTCTAGATCACTCACATCTCTCAATTTTACTTTTAAACATTTGTCAACTAAGTAAGTTCTGTCAGTTACTTAGAAATATCTACTTTAGTTTAGACTTGAACAAATCATGTCAGGAATCTTGTCTCTCAGCTCACTAATTCTTAAATGACTAATCTAAGTTGAGTTTTGTCATCCATCAGAGTGTTCTGATTCTGAACTACAAAACCTGGCATTGGGGGATGTAAGGCACCACAATCTTTGAAAGATCTCAGAGAAGGAAGGAAAAATCACTGCATTATTATGGCTACTCTGTAGTTAGAAAAACATTGCTTTATCTCTAGGTCATATCTAGGCTCTTCTTTGAGTCATACTAATCATTTACTGTAGATTGTATGAATGGACATACACCTATGTTGGAAACTTGTAAACTAAGTACAGAGAAGGCCTGAGTACGATATGTCAAAATAAAAGAACTACAATTTTCTCCTCTTTTTTTTAGAGCCACCTAGTCTGAAGGATGCAGGAATGCTAAGAAATGAGACTGTAATTGTGAACAATCCAATACAACTAGTGTGCAGAGTGTCTGGAACTCCTTTGCCAGGTATATATACTCATAGCAATTCTATCTCGTCTCATAAGTCATGCTGAATTTTTCCACCTATTGTACTTTCACTGAACTCTCTGTAGAACAGCACATCTCTTTCTTGCAAAAGATCTTAAGTTTGTAATTTATTACATGCATTCATGCAGAAACTACATTAATTTGCTGCTTATGACCGGGACTTAGTTTAATTCCATGGCAAGGAAACATTCAAAATAGAATTATTACTCAGTATGTGGCATGGCCTGGACTTTTTTTTAATCTAATGAAGAAGTTCAGGAATGAGCCTGAAAGAAAGACATTGGTTGCTCTGATTGACTGATTTGGGAGAAAGCAGTAAATACATACATACATACATACATACATACATACATACATACATACATACATACATATCTAATATTTCAATTTGTGAACTAAATCCATTAATATAGCAGAGAATTGTATTGTCTGTGATGTTTGATCTGTAAAGGTTTATTTTCACATGCAAGTTATCATTTAATGCTATAAAGCTCTGGTGCTCCCTGTAATTATGTCTTCAACACCACATCTTTACTGGGAGAGAGAAGGGAAAGCTGTATTTCACCTGATATTTAATATATCTTGAAAAAACCTTGAGTGATATGGTAGCAGCTTATGAGGGCTGTCATATAAATATTACTCCACAACATCCAAATGATATAAGTTGTCCTGAAGAAGAGAGCAAGAATAGGTGGGCCATGAAGAATGCTTTAACGGGCCATAGTGTGGGCAATTAATCTCTACCCTGAAATTGTTTGCAACTTGAGAGTAAAAAAGTGTTGGAGTGGAGTAAGCAGTAAATACCTTTTAATCCTTCAATTTTCCTAATATCCTCTCTGCTGTAAACTACAACATTTCTGTACTTTATCTGGGCATCTGTCAACAATGTAAGCGGTATTGGAATAAAAAGTACAGTAACTTGAGTGTTTCCTTCCAATAAATTCTTTTATAGCTTAGTACCAAATATCTCTTATTTTATTTTGCAGTTGTCACATGGTACAAAAATAACCTTCCTCTCATCAATATTGCTGGCATCACTTTCTTGAACAGAGGGCAAATTGCTCAAATAGATGCAGCCCAGATCTCTGACACTGGGATTTATAAATGTGCGGTGACAAATGCAGCAGGAGTAGCTGAATTATTCTATAATCTTCAGGTCCATGGTAAATCCTGCTTCTCATAACAAAGTCATTCTTATCTGCCTTTCAACTGGCTATTTCAGATTTATTGCATGTACTTAGGTACTTTTAAAGAACATTTTTCTATGCTGATTTGAGAAAAGGAGAGTGGTTGTTTGCAATATTTGAATAATTCAAAAATGGGAAGGCTTTTAATTTTGAAATGCTTGTTTCCCATTAGGTTTGCTGAACTAAGACGGGTCTCACTGTCTTAGTTCAGCAAACTGATACAAGTATTTAATTACTGCTATTGTGGAAATCACATGGCCCACAATAAATTCAGACTCATTCATGGGGCCAGGTTTTAAGAAAATGATGTAAATCTAAACCACAACACTTTTAGATTCCCATCATTTTTTTAAAACCCAGTCCTGTGACTGGCTATGACTTGTCAATTACAGACTTGACCAGATCAAACCTTTTTGTCAGGCAGAACAAGAAGATCTTTAAATTTATGTTCTACCTCCCAGTTTCTTTGCCAGAGCTGATTCCTCTGAATACGAATGGGATGGGGACAATAATGTAATTGACTTGTTTTTTTTCTGTTAACTGTCAAAACTCCATTCCGCTCATGTTTATTGCTTTACGGTACAAAAATGTTTATCATTGCTGGCATTACAATGTAATTGATGTAGACAATCATTACTTGGCCACAAGAAACAAATACCTTTCTGTTAAGGTGTTTTCTTAACTCTTAATTCCTAAGCCTTTCCTCTTAAGGATACCACTTAACCTTAACTCTTTCCTCTTAAGGAAATTCCTAAGGATACCCCTTAACCTTAACTCTTTTCATGGATTCCTGTGTCTCTTTGAAGACAAATCTTGTAAGTTCATTGCTAATATTTCTCATGCTGGCTTGGAAGATCTACACTCTTACACTGGATTGAACAGAAATTCAATCCATTATTCTTTAAAACAGTGGTTCTCAACCTGTGGGTTGGGACCCCATTTCAGGTCAAACAACCATTTCACGGGGGTCGCCAAACAACAGCAGTCCGCCATTTTTTCCCCCTTTTTCTTAGCTGTGCTACTCCCTTTTATTCTATTGGCTTTTGAAAGCCAATAGAATAGACTCTCTTGAATAGAGTCTAATTCTATTGGCTTTCAAAAGCCAATAGGAATTGTCCAGGCTGTCTCTGCCCTGCTGAGCCCACCAAAAGTCCCATTCTGCAAATGGTGCTGCACCAGTTGAGTAGTCCTTGACTTACGACTGGTTGGGGGTCGCGGCATTAAAAAGGTTGAGAACCACTGCTCAAGGTCATTCCCACTTTCCACTAGGTGATCCAAGGTAGGGCTGAAAGCAATTAATTACTCACATATCAATTGATGGGAAATATCAAGGTTGTTATCTACTGTTTTGTAACCAGAAAAAGCAAAGTTGGGGGAGGGGGAAGAATGGTGGGGGGGGGAAATAAAGTAAGTAAAATCCTCTGGAAGGATGCTGTGTTACACTGTAGTATCCTTTCAGAGTGGTTATGTGGCCCTAGAGAACTTTAGGAATGCTCCTTTCACTTCTGTAGCAAGCTGAATTAGTTTTACAACAGGAAAAATAGAAAGGTGGGGAGAACCCACCTCTTTATTTCTCAGGTCCACTTTTGAACTGTATAAAAAGATCTTATTGGCTTTCACAGTATGGGGTTGCAAAGATCCAAAGGTACATCTACTGTATCTTTGCAGGCAATATTATTTGCAAAAATATAGATCTAAACTTATCAACCAGCACATAATATTTCACCCTCTTTTTTTCCTTCTGTTCTAGTTCCACCCTCCATTTCAGGAAATAATGAAATGGTAACTGTTGTAGTTAATGATCAGGTGAGGTTGGAGTGTGAAGCTCGTGGAATTCCTGCTCCTATTCTAACCTGGTTGAAGGATGGCAGTCCCGTTTCTAGTCTTTCAAGTGGACTCCAGGTAATTTCTTAGCTCCATTAAAGCATGAAAGACATTTACCCACAGTTTAGAGATGGGATTTCTCTATAGAACCTGTCTCTTTAAATTTTGGATAATAAATTGTATTCATTAATTAATACTTCAAATTCACCTAAAGCAGTGTTTCTCAACCTTGACAATTTTAAGGCATGTGGACTTCAACTCCCAGAATTCCACAGCCAGCAATGCTGGCTGTGGAATTCTGGGAGTTGAAGTCCACATGCCTTAAAATTGTCAAGGTTGAGAAACACTGACCTAAAGCAATTTTACACATAAAGCAATTTTATCTGTGTTAATTCATAAATAAAATCCAAGCCCAGAGTTACCTTGAGATAAGATGGGCAGCCTATAAATTTTATAAATAAATTAAAAAAAATCCATAGTTGGATAATATTTTTATTAGGGCCAATAAAAAGCTTGCAACAAAATTATTGCTAGAATTAAAATTAGAATTCTCTAGAATTATTCATTAGGGAAGACATTACAAAAAAAAAAAAAAGGGGGGGGGAGGGAACAGAACAGAAACAACAAAAATGTGAGCAGTGAAAGTAATGTTAGAGATTTCTGGGCTGATGCAAAAAGATTTCACATCCGGAAAATTGTATTATGTGAATATGCTTATGCTGTCTGATTCAACCTATGTGCCATTTTTTTAAAAAAATAAGTCCATTCTCTTTTTAGATTCGTTCTGGAGGTCGCATCCTGGCACTGACGAGTGCTCAGATCAGTGATACTGGAAGATACACATGTGTTGCAGTAAATGCAGCAGGAGAAAAACAAAGGGATATTGATCTCAGAGTTTATGGTAAGAACATAAGTAATGTTTATACCAAGAATTTCATAAGTGTTCTTGAGGGGTACCTTGAGTGATTACAATAGCCTTTGCCAACAAGCTGTTTTGGAATTTTGTAGAACTGCTGTCCTAACGTATTTTGATGACCCCTGGGTGTGATGCTTGATTAGATTTCTAAAATGACCCATCGGGTTTTTATTATACCACAGATTACAGAAGGATCTTCTCACTTCCTTTCAATCTGGAAGTGATATTTTATGTTTATTTTAATAGAATGGACTTCATAGGTTTCATAGGTATCTAACATGCCCTGTCATAGGAAGTCTTATTCAAATGAATACTATGTTTCTTTGGGACAAGTAGATAATAATTTAGATGATAATCATTTTCTTCAGTTACTGAAAATTTGCACTTAAAAACTAAGAGCAAAAAAACTGTAGATATTTGCTTAAAAGATGATGAGGATTCGCATATTGTCTTGAGACATTTTAGCAGAGCTGCCTTTCAGAGCTGCTCTTATAGTACATGCCTGATTTCTTCAAAAAAATTATGAAACTACAACTGCAATGCATGAAAAATAAAGATTTGCAAACAATGATATAGCTGGATTAATCAGAAAACTACAGTTGGCTGCAGTATTCTGTTAATGCATACATGGTTGTAAAAATAGTGGTATGCAAAACACTTGAAATTTGAAACTCTCTGTTTTGAATTTGAGACAGTGTTCCAACTTTACAACAAGTGTTCTAATGCTACTCCAACTATTCTGGAACTGCTCCAGATTCCAAACAACCAGGGACATTTCAAGTTTGGAATACTTCCAGAATGATTGGAAGAATGCTAAAACCTTTCAGTAAGTTTAGAATAAGCCATTGCATCTTAAAACAACACATAAGGACTCAAAACTCTAAATGTTTTGCATTTGAAATATTTTACACTCTTATAATTGTAAGCACATTTTAAGATCTCTAGAATGCTCCCTTCATAATTCTAAACTAATTTTTAATGGAAGAATTTAGGGCTGATATTATCAGGTTATGGCACAACTGAAAAGCCTCAAAATCCTAAATATTTTAAAAAGTCAATAACAAAAGAGCAAGAATGGTAACTGACCATTGAAAACTCCATTTAGATGAAATTAATGTATTAAGTAATATATGATGAAGAATTTATTGCAAATGGATTGATATGGATCAGCTCCTGTATGGGTTGAATTTATACTATTTCACAAGTATATTTAGGGAAACCTCATATTGGTTTGCTGAATTAGGCTCCTCTTTACATATGAAATCCCTTTCTGTTGGGGTGGTGATTGTACCGTGGATGGAAAACACATGAAGCAGATCATTTTGTTCTTCTGCATTTACTCTGGAGCATTCCATTTATGTTGAGCAGTTTCCCATACGTCTTAGTAATGCTGCTAATATTTTTGAGAAAGGTTAACTGATGTAAATTGATACATTTAACGCTGATATCAGACAGTGACTGCTTCATAGAAAGTGGGTGGCTTCATTCATCTTAGTGGAAAGAGTTGAAACTAATTACTAATGTGCTGTTTATTCAGTTCCACCTAATATTATGGGAGAGGAACAGAATGTCTCTGTGGCAATGGGAGAACATTTGGAACTCCGCTGCCAAAGCAATGCGATACCTCCACCCATGCTTCAGTGGCTGAAGGATGGTCAGCTCCTGCAGAAGAAACTGGGTCTTACCATTACTGAAGGTGGAAGTATACTGAAGGTAATTATTAGAATGACTTCTCCTGTGAGTCTTGTTTAGGATTCTGGATATTAATAGCTTAAAGACTACTCCTTTCTGTTTTTGAATGATGTTGACACAACTTCTTTCTTCTGATGGAGGAAGGAAAAGCTGTGTGGCTTTTGATGTGTTCTCCCAAAAGCTATTGAGTTAATTATTCAAAAGCATATCTAGCATTGGTGAATAGGTCCTGCTTGAACACTGTGGGATAGTAAGGGTTTATATTGTGGGCAATCAGCACTAATGATTAGGGATTAAAAAGAACTTGGCATGGATCTTGCTGAGAACAAATTTGGTTGAGGGACAAATGTGAGCAGGAACAAAATCTGGCTAGTGTTGGTTTTTCCCCAAAGGGGGGGGGGGAGAGGAAATCTAGGGGAGGAAAAGATGGTTTTGTATTGGTTTTCTAAAAGATATAACAGTGTTGGTGTAACTTTCCAAGTTTTAATTGCTGTGCTCTTGTCAGAGGGCTGCAACTGGGAATATAGTTTTGGCTGAAGTGAATAAAAATTTAATGGGCCAGAATATGCAATACCAAAAAAGGTTCCCATCCCTGTACTAAGGCATTCAGTATTAAAGAAAATAAAATAGAAAAATAATACTTTAAATAAATCTTTCTCACACAGAGAATGACTTCCTTTACAGAAATCAAAATAATGTATTGGGTGGAGAAGTAATAATGCACAGTGATGAGTATCAAAGGTATTGCCAAAAATAAGTTTGTTGATTTGTTTCTTGCTAGATTGCACAAGCACAGGTGCAAGACACTGGACGCTATACTTGTGAAGCAACAAACATTGCTGGGAAAATGGAAAAAAACTACAATGTCAACATATGGGGTAAGGTTTTCAGCCATCAAGAATAAGATGGAAGCATCAGCAATAAGGGTAATCCTATAAATGTGTGCCACTATTGATTTGCCTGTGAAAATCATATGGGAATGACTATTAAGAAATATAGTCTTTGTTTGGTCCTGGAATCAGAAGCAGTGTTAGACAGTTTTTGGTGTCTAAATTTAAGAAAGTTGTCCATCTGATTTAATGTCAGTCTGTTCCTTAGACTTAGAATTCTGAAAGCTGGAAATATTCAACAATCGTCAAGGCTTTATTTTTTGGAAATTCTAGTGAGCTTACTAATTCAATGGGAGGAAAAAATGAAATAAGAGTCGGAAATAATATTATGCACTCTAAAATCCAACTGTTAAAACTTAAGGATCACTTTGGTGTTTAAAAACACCTAATTTGCAGGTTGTCAAAATATTTTAAATAAACTAAGAAATGCATTTGCATTAATTGTTTAACCTGTGAGAATACTACTGCTTTAAACAAAGATTTGTGTTGAGAATTTAACTTACATCTTCTTCTTTCTCTGTTGATCTTAATGCATTTAATTTCTTTATAGGTTGTATTAGCTGGAGGTGATTATTTATTTCTGATATTTGCCTTCTCTAGTGCCATCAAGTATTTACAGTTCAGACACAGTGACTCAGCTGACTGTAATTGAAGGGAACCTCATCAGCATGATGTGTGAATCCCGTGGAATTCCACCACCTACTCTGGCATGGAGGAAGAATGGTAAGCAGTTGTACTTAGTTAGGATCAATCACAAAGCTTGTTAGACCTTTTAGTTCTGTTGAGCCCTGGTTTACAAACAGAACCTAAATTAACCATTCTGCTAGATTTCTAGAGATCAATATTGTTGGGTTGATCAGCAGTACCTACTGCAGATATCAACATCTGATTCTAAAAATGTCTTTTGTTTCAATAGAAAGGGCTTCAAATAGTCTGGATCCTCTTTGATTTAAGCTTACTGTGGCAGTGACTTGAAATGTCAAGATGAAGAAGCTTGATGAGATAGTCTTGAAACCATATTTACACAAAGCTGCTTTGTACTTCCATCTAATTTCCCCCCACCTCCTCCTTACATCTTATTTGACTTAGCCAGAGTGCAAACAAATGTTTTCTTACCTATTTGGATTCCCAAATAGCATTGTGGCTGGTCGTGCTGGGATTAGCAGTTCCAACACATCTGGAAAATTTCAGGTTACAGAAATTAGGGGTTACATACTGTCTTGTAAGAGTATTAAATGCATTGAGAAAAGATGTTTTCTGCACATTGTTGCAAATTAATGAATTTTCTGAAGCATTAAAGCAGCTGCATCTTTTACATGGGCTACATTGCTGCTTCCCCCCCCATACATATGCAGACATCTTTCCCATTGCTGGCAGAAGTGCTGTCTGTGCATGGACATGCACGTGGAGACAACCAGAGAAACCAGATGATCCTTGCAAAAAAAGATGCCATAATTCAGGCAGAATTTACAGAATGTATCACCTTGAATTTGTGCCAATCCCTCATTGTTCACAGTGTAATAGGAGTAACACTTGATGCTTGTGGGACTTTGTTGCACTTGGTTGACCTAGCCAACAGAAAATATGTCTGGAACGAACACATAAAAAAACTCTAGTGGGAATGGGTCTCTTGCATTTGCCTGCAGCCAAATTGTTCTTCCCTTTCCCCATGTAGTAAATATGGAACAAAGCTGTGATTAATCATATGCATAATCCATTTGTTTATCTATTAGGTTTAGCCATGGGTAAGAGGTAATCAAAGAAACTACTATTTGCTGAGCCCCATTCTCCTTGACCACTGTTCCAGCAGGTCTTGGCAGCACCAATTTCCCCAAATGAAAACCTAACAGAAACACACGACTGCCCAAAACAAGTTGAAGATGTGTATAGAAGAAAGAGGACTAATTATTGTCTTATTTATTTTCACCTTAAGGAAATTTATGGATGCCTTATGAGGGAACCAAGGCAAGATGTGGGGGTGTTGTTGTGGGAATAATTGCTTGCCAAAATACCACATAGCTCTGTTTATAGGACAGAGGGAGAATTTAATTTATTTAATTCTGTATTCAGAAGGCACAATAAACTTTACTGACATAAATAATATTACTCAAGCAACCTGTTTGAGATTGTGGAATAGACACAGCACATTAAGTACAGGACTGGTTCAGATGAGATGTTAAACTTAACCTAGTTTTAACATAGTTTAGTGTGTCACTATATCTAACTAGAAAACTATGGTTTATTTTAGTTTAAATTGCTTTGAGATGTTTTAATGGGAAATGGTACATAAATATTGTAAAAACAATGAATTTATAGCTGATTTTCATAGATAGATTAACAATTATCAATAATCCTATTTCCCAGTTCAGACAATATAGGAAGCTATGATTAAGTGCAATTTTTATTGCTTTATTTTTTTCAACTGTGCAAAGAGAGGAACACAATAACCGTTTGTGTACAAAACTGAAGATAATTCATGCCTTGCGTTATTAAGCTGATTATCCAAATAATCCATGACTGGTTTGAAAGACTCTGAAGAATATGTACACATATTTATATATTTTGATTTTTTAAAATTTGAGAGCATTTCTTTTGTAGGTTCTCCACTGGTAGTTGACCCTACGGGGAGAGTCAGGGTCTTATCTGGTGGAAGACAACTTCAAATTTCTATTGCTGAAAAATCAGATTCAGCCTCTTATACATGCATAGCTTCAAATGTAGCTGGAATAACAAAGAAAGAATATAAGTTGCTAGTGTATGGTAAGTTGCCTGCAATGTTTCTCAGTTTGGAAACAAATATTATGTTATACCTTCACAGATAAACTTTAGAACAAATGAAACATGTCACAGGAAATCAATAACTGGATATTTTCTTTTTGCTAATAGCAGTTGGAGGGACTTAAAAGCCTTTTCCTGATATTCTGATGCTCCTGTACCCAGTATTAGTTTTGAAGTGGAAAATATGCAGGCACAGTATTAGTAACACACATATTTTTGGCGTTGCTTTTAACAGAAATGTAGAAACTTTGTAATGCTTATGTCCCCAATAGAGATGTCCCTCTTGGTGACAGCATCTTACTGCCCGCTGGCCTTCTAAAGTTAAGCTGGCTAGGAATTGATTAATGCTCAGAAGAACAGCCACATTAATTTTCAGGGAAGTAAAGCGGATTGGTAGTTTGAAAAAAGAAAGACTCAGAAATAGAAGAATGACAGCGGAAGATGACTGTGGCAATTTCTATATCATTGCTGAGAAACTATTGATAAGCCCATGTAGTCACCAGGACATGAGTTTGATTTGAGTTAACTTTACTGTTAAAATACAAATCCACCTTCCACCCCACTTACAACGAGCTGGATTTTTTTCAATAGGGAATGCAGTCTGTTCACTTATTGCTGTGTCTCATGGAGTTTTAGGCTAAAGCATTGAACCTGAAGTGTTGCTTTGTTTCTCTGAACAGTTCATCCAACTATTCTGGACAATGGGAATATACAATCGGATGTCATTGTAACTCAAGGGAATGACATTTCATTTGAATGCCAAGTGGATGGTATTCCACAACCGACTGTCACCTGGATGAAAGATGGTCAACCATTGGCCAATGAAAGAGGAGTTGAAATACTAAACGAGGGCCACAGTCTTCGACTTAAAAGTGCACAGGTGTCGGATACTGGTCGCTATGTATGTGTTGCTGTGAATGTGGCAGGACTGACTGACAAGAAATATGACTTAAGTGTTCATGGTGAGCAAAGGAAATCTGTGTAAGAGAAAATACACAAAGGTGCATGCCCAACGTTAGAAAGCAAAGGACTATTCTGCTACCTGTGGTATAGCTATATAACTTTATGTAGTCTGACTAGGAGAAAAGCAGCACTTATGGATTAATACATAGTTATATATGGAGGCAACAGAAAGGTACAACTTTATTTATTTATTACATTTATATGCCATCCATCTCAGAGTCCAAGTCAACTTGGGTGGCTTACAATACATAATAACTAAAGTGTAAGAGAAAATATTTTTACTATTTTCCCAAAGTGTATTTTACTTTTTCCTTTCATTGTCTTTACCCTTTTGTCACACCATTCTCCTGATGCATTTCAAGAGAAAGGTTTTCAATTAATTCAAAAAGCCTCTGATCTTGTCCCAAACCTAGCAAAGATACAAGGTTTTGTGAAATATTGAATGTAAACTTTCATGAGCGCTTTCAACTCCTGAGAAAGTGGTTGAATCATTGTTGCTTAAAAACAAAACAAAATCAGTGAATCAACCCAATAAATAATTTTGTAACATTGGAACGGCTTATACTGTGTATAAGTAATACAATACTCTGTTACCTCAGGCATTCTGAGGTATTTCAGAACAATTTTTGCCTCTTGCTTTATGAGAATGATCGAAGGGGCAGATAAAATTAATACTGATACAGAAAAGAGCTGCAATTCTACACATAGGTTTTAACTCTGATCAGAGTAAACAACTATTTTAACTCTGATCAGAGTAAACAATAAGGACATTAATCAAATAAATCAACTCATTGTGGCACCAGAAATAGAAAGTGTATCTATTTTCAAATAACCAAAATAATAATAATAGTTTTCTCAATCCTAAGTAGTAACTCCTTCAGAGTTTGACTTAGGGCTGCAAAATCTAATTCTAATTAAAGGGTTGTAATTACACTTAATTATTTCAACTGCAAAAACACAGTTGATGTTTACATGTTTATTTTATGCAACATCACAGAGATGGTTTAGGAGGTCTCTACTGCAAAAGATTAGGGGGAGTTTAGTACACCAAATTCCAACTTCTATTTGTCAAGGAGTCCCCATTACCACTAAAAAAGCAATCTGAGAGAGAACATTTTAATAGAAGCAAAGAACCTCAGCACTGCACATGTTTGTTTCTAAATTCTTTTAAATAAATGTAACTGAACCTCCTTCATCACTGAATGATGTTTATGCTGCTCTCTTTTTTTTGTAGTCCCCCCAAGAATTATGGGTAATCTGGTGCAGCCAGAAAATGTAAGTGCTGTGGAGAAAAGTCCTGTCAACCTGATTTGTGAATCTTCAGGAATTCCCCATCCATCAATAATGTGGCTGAAGAATGGACAGCCAGTGTCTTTAAGTAACTCTGTAAGAATCCTATCAGGTAAGAGGGAGCATATTAAAGTGAAAAGATGTTATTTTTAAGATTAAACATAGAAAATATTCTATAGTATGCCTGATAAAACAAGCACATGGAAAGGCTCTGTTAAACCAAACATATGGCTTATCCACCCAACTCAAGTTGAAATATATTTAGAATCTCATATGTGATATCAGATATAGTTAGTTAAAGGAGGTAATTACTCTGCGTGTAAAATGTTACTCTCTTAAGCTATTCAGGCACGATTACCTTATTTTTTTCTCTGCGGAGAATTATTTTGTTGTTGTTGTTGAGAGCATTGAACATGTTACTGAGAACTATTCAAATCTTAAATCATGGATTAACTTGGTCACCATTGTGTAAGTGATTATTTCTTAGTCATATCTGCATTCCATATTTCTCCAAATTATTGAGAGCCTGAAAGAAATACATTTTGAAGAATGGGCCCATCCTGCTGCTTTACTGCAAATTTTATTGAATTTTCAGTAATATAATACCAGTATATATGGCATTGCCTCAATGACCTTGGCTGATTTTGGAAAAATGCCAAGTAGGATCAAGCTTGGTTAATACTACATCAGGGTTATAGATTTGATTGGAGAGATTGAAAAACAAAACAAAACAACAACAACAACAAGCCAGAATAAGGCAATAGCTAATCACTATGGTCCAGAAATCTACAAAATGTATACCTGATCATCATAAGATCTGGAGTTAAAGGCAACATATTTCATGCCTGGAGCATAAAGATAATACATTTATACATTGTTAATGTTGTGTCCTGAGCCTGTGAAGGCAGGCTCGGGATGTTGCAATGGTCCTGGGCAGTTGCAAGCTGCCCGGGACCAGACTGGCTGTTGCCAGCACTCGCGCGCATGCGCGAAGTGCTGGTGCGCCAAATGTTGCCATTTGGCCCAGGGATCGCCTTTAAAAGGAGCAGAGGAACTTGGGCGTTGTCGGTGTTGTAACCAGCATGCTGTATACCAATAAAGAGGCTCCTGAGAACTACCAACTGCTTCATGCGTTATTTACCATTCGCTGAGGACTCAACACTGGCGACGAAGGTGGGATGCCTTACAACGATTGCAGACAAGTTGTAAGCTTACCCTGGAGTCCTGAGTAGCAGGAAACGGCGTTAAACTCAGCAGCTGCCTGCCAATTCAGCAAGCGTTGGGGGTAAGCCGGCTGATAGACCCTTCCTGTACTACTGAAAGATGGCAAAAGTAGGTAGACTTTCCGAATTCGATGTCACGCATCCGGAAAGATGGGAGTCTTACGTGGCCAGAGTGGAAAACTATCTTAAGGTCAATCAAGTGAGAGAAGATAGCTTAAAAGCCGCCACCCTGCTGTGCGTTTGCGGTCAAGATGCATTTGAGATCGCCGAAAACCTAGCAGCACCTGCACCTCTAGAATCTGTTTCCTACACAGACTTAAAGAAATTGCTAAAGGAACACTTCCAGCCCAAGTTGCCTGTCATCGCTTGGCGCCACACTTTTGAACAGAGGGACCAACGGCCCGGCGAATCAGCTAAAGAGTACATTGCTGCATTGAGAAAAACCGCTAAACCCTGCGAGTTTAAAGATTTAGAAGAAAGGCTGAGAGACAGATTTGTATGTGGACTGAGACATAGAGAATTGCAGCAGAGACTTTTCGCTAAAGAAGACTTATCATTCCAAGATGCCTTGAGAGAGGTTACTGCAGAAGAGGCAGCAGGTGGTGCAATCAAAAACATGAGGCCGATCAGAAGTACTCCAGAAACTGTGTCCGTGCACCAGGAAGGAGTCCGAGGGAGCTCAGAAGAGGATCCTGATGAAGAAGTAGACCGTCTCTACCCAACAAAAGAAGGGAAGCAGAAGGAAGGCAAGGAAAGCAAGGCCACATTGCAGCTGTGTGTCTGGGCTGTCAGAAGGTACAACCCCAAGAAGAATTGCGCCTGAAAGGTACCAGGGTCCCCAGCCAAAACAGGGTGGGTTTCTGTGCTTCGTGAAGAAGCATCTATAGGACAGGCACACACAAGCCCATTAAGAAAAAACTGTCACTTAAAGTGAAGTTACAAGGGGTTCCATTGGTCATGGAACTGGACACTGGGTCTGCACTTTCAATCATTTCCATACATACATTCAGAAAGATTTGTTCTGGCAGTGGATTTCAGGCCAAGCTTAGGCCTTCTGACATTGTGTTAACAGACTTTCAAAACTCCAGAGTGTGTGTTAAGGGGGAGGCCACCCTTAACGTACAGTATAAGGATTTTATTTATTTATTTATTTATTTATTTATTTATTTATGAGACTTATATACCGCTTTAAATGCAAGCACTCTCTAAGCGGTGTACACCAGTAAGCAATGTATATATATTTTACATTGCCCCCAACAATCTGGGTCCTCATTTTACCTACCTCAGAAGGATGGAAGGCTGAGTCAACCTTGAGCCAGTGAGATTTGAACCGCTGACCTGCTGAACACAGTCAGCTAAAGTGGCCTGCAGTACTGCACTCTAATTGCTGCACCACCTCGGCTCTTACTTTGAAGGTCCATTAGATGTATTGGTAGTAGGGGGTGAGCGAACGAGTCTCATAGGACTCGATTGGTTTGAGGCCTTGGGAATACATGTCACAGGGCTCAATAGCTTGCAAACAGTAGACCTACAGGAAGTCTGCAAAGAATTTGCAGATGTCTTCAGTCCACAGCTGGGCACATACAAAGGACCCCCTGTGTCTTTAAAACTAGACCCCACTGTCACTCCTATTAGAATAAAAGCAAGAAGGGTCCCTTTAAAAGGGAAAATTGACACTGAATTGGACAAATTGATTCAGCAAGGAGTCTTAGAACCTGTTGACTTCAGTCCTTGGGAGACCCCCATAGTCACGCCTCTTAAGGCTAATGGGGACATTCACATCTGTGCAGATTACAAATGCACTCTGAATAAGGCATTGCAGCAACATGCCTATCCTGTACCTGTGGTCAGTCATATTCTGGCCTCCCTCAAGGGGGGGCGTGTTTTTGCAAAGCTTGACTTAGCTCAGGCATATCAACAGTTGCCTGTTGACGATGCTGCTGCTGTAGCTCAAACCATTGTAACCCACAGGGGGGCATTCAAGGTAAAGAAGCTACAGTTTGGAGTAAATGTGGCTCCTGGAATTTTCCAAAGCATAATGGAAAACACACTGACCATAAGCCTTTGTTGCGGCTGTTTACCACACATAAACAAACCCCCTAAATCATCTCCCCCAGAATGCTGAGATGGTCAATCTTTCTGTCAGCCTATGATTTTTCTTTAATTCACAAACCTGGGAAAGAAATGGGCCACGCTGATGGCCTCAGTAAATTACCCCTGCCAGTAGTAGAGGCTGATCCTGCACCAACAATCGACATCCTTTCAATTCAGGCCTTGCCTGAGTCTCCTTTAGACACCAGGGATGTGGCTGATGAATCAGCCACAGATCTCACACTCTCTCGTGTCCTGTCTTGGGTTTTATCTGGGTGGCCAGAGAGCTGTCCAGGTACGGAGTTTCAGAGTTTCTGGCTTAAAAGGAACGAGTTATCCACTTTCCAGGGTTGTCTGCTGTGGGGCAGCAGAGTTGTCATTCCTACTTCAATGAGGACTAGGGTCTTAGGTTCCCTCCACGAAGGTCATCCTGCCATTGTACGTATGAAGGCGCTTGCGCGCAGCCATTTGTGGTGGCCTGGGTTAGACAAGGACATTGAAGCTAAGGTGCATGCATGCCACCTTTGTCAACGCTCATGCCCAGAAATGCCCCAGGCTCCTGTGCATGGATGGGAGGAAACACAGTCTCCATGGTCTAGGGTGCACATTGATTACGCTGGGCCCTTTCAGGGTCAATTCTTCTTGGTCCTGGTTGATAGCCATTCGAAATGACTTGAGGTTGTACCTGTCTCTTCCACCACCACTGCAAAGACTATTCAAGTACTGAGGGGGATTTTTGCTGCACATGGGCTTCCTGATGTTTTAGTGTCTGACAACGGCCCTCAATTCACTTCCTCCGAATTCCAAGCTTTCTTACAGGCCAACATGATTCGTCATGCCACCTCTGCACCCTTCCACCAACGGTATGGCTGAACGCATGGTACGCATCACCAAGGATGCTTTAAAGAGACTGACATATGGAGACTGGCATCACAGGTTGGCTGACTTCCTCCTTTCCTACCGCACTACACCTTCCACTTCTACCGGGAGGAGCCCAGCTGAACTTCGTTGGGGGCACAAACTAACTACTAAGCTTGACCGGTTGCACCCGGACAGACTGCCTTCTAAATTCACACAACCCAGGGCACCTAGGCAACTGCTAGTGGGTGCCCCGGTTTGGACCTGTAATTACGGGCCTGGTGGGTCCCTACCAGAGTATGCAAGGTCACAGGTCCTTTGTCCTATGAGGTTTCCCTGGATGACGGTCGTGTCCTGCGACGACACATCGACCAGCTACGCACAAGACGGGACTCTCCTACTGATACTCCTGGATCTTTTCCAGGGGGGGAGGGGGACCTCTATGGGCAAGGGGAAGGGTGTGGGCTGCAGCCTGTAACCAATGGGGAAGTTACAGATGGCCCATCCCAAGATTCCACGAGTGCTCCAAACAGGAATTCGTGGGGACTAACCAGAACACAGGCACTATTCAGTACTCCAGTCAGGGAGAATAACCGGGAGCAACCAAACAACTCACACCCTGCAAGAGAGCTGGCACACATTCCATCTAGTTGGCCCAACGCTGCCACTGTTCCTAGAAAGGGAGGTGGTCGAGGAACCGAATCCCGATTACTGGCATCACTCAGGGGGCAACTGAGTTTTGGGACAGTACCGAGAACCCAGAGAGCCTGCAACTAGGCAGGACAACCAGGTTAAGTAGAGAACAAAGTCCTGGCCTGACGAGCCCAGTGGGCAAGCAAGCAGGCCAGGCGTTGGAGCACAGTCCACAGGGGCCACCAGGGTTAAACAAAGGGGACAAACATATAGATTCCCCCGGGCAAGGGGTACTTGGAGGGTACCAGGAAATTCGGAGGTCACAGAGAGCTAGAAGATCTCCTAAATATCTAGAAGATTTTGTAACTCTGCTAGCAAAGCAGAATTAATAAGAGGGTATTCCTGTACAAGTGGGAATAATGAACACTGGGGGATGGAAGCCAAAATTGATAACTTGGTACATGGAGCTAGTGTGGCTCCCACACTCGTGTTGAGGTTGCATGTCACTATTTATGTGGTTGTAGTTTTAGCCGGGGGGGGAAGGGGTGTTGTGTCCTGAGCCTGTGAAGGCAGGCTCGGGACATTGCAACGGTCCCGGGCAGTTGCAAGCTGCCCAGGACCAGACTGGCTGTTGCCAGCACTCGCGCGCATGCGCAAAGTGCTGGCGCACCAAATGTTGCCATTTGGCCCAGAGATCACCTTTAAAAGGAGCAGAGGAACTTGGGCGTTGTCGGTGTTGTAACCAGCATGCTGTATACCAATAAAGAGGCTCCTGAGAACTACCAATTGCTTCATGCGTTATTTACCATTCGCTGAGGACTCAACAGTTAATATATACTCTTCCTCCCTAAGTAGAAGTGACTAAGAAATCAAAGACAAGCAGTCACAAATCATATGAATGAACAGAGTTATTTCAGTGCCAGACCTAGAAATAGGCCTAAATGGAAATAGGCCTATTTCCAGAAATTACCCCAAACCAGAAAATAGTTCTCATTCAGAGGAACCATATTAGTCTGGCGCTACACATTTGGGCAGCAGGCTCAGAAAGGAAATATCAGTTATTGGTTTATGATTGTTATGATTTTGACCCAATGGAAGTTTCTTGAGGGCTGGAAGCATTACTTTTTCTTTAAGGAGTTTGGCCCCATGCCTTCTCTTAAGGTGATGATATCTTAAACGCAACCTCCTTGCTCACAAAGCAGAACTTCATTTAATCAGTCATTTTAGACACTTTCATGGATTGATTTATATCAAGCACAGAATCAAAATCTCAAAAAATAAAAGCCTATACTAGTATAAAAGTAATTTTCTTTTAAAACTTATATAATCATCATAAATTCTCTTTCGGGTAAGCAAAAATAAAAAAAATATATATCCTCCTCCCCCCAACTCCCCAAAGTAGTGATATGAGCAAAGAAATTAAAAATAGAAGACAAGGAAAGGAAAAGAAAACCTGACTAGATCTAATTTGTAGCATTCTCTACCAGGTGAACATGTAATTTCTAGCCTTGCAAACCCACTTTGTTCCTACCATGTCCATATAAATTATTTACATAGCTCAGTTACTTTTCAAAAGATGGAAGGATGTCACAATGAACCACTGTAGCACTGAACCACTTAGTTTTTTTAAAATTTAATGAGGGTTTTGGGAAATAAGTTATTTAACATATTGCCCATAATGATAATGAAGAAATGTGCTTCCTCAGTAGCATGATTATAATAAGTTCCAATAGTAAACGCTTAGTAGTATCTTAGCATTCACTTCTAGCTTTCATACATATGTATTGGAGATGTCACTGAAAAGACTTGAGCTGAGGCAGATGCTAGGAGTGAAGTGGGTTTTTCCAAAGCAAAATGATCACGGTCACTCAGACAACTGTTATATTACACAGAAGTTTGAGCTTTCAGCAGGCTGCCAGTTATTTTGAACTTACATTTTGTTCTGGTTTTATATTAACAACTCAAAACTGAGATTTAGGTTTTATTATAATATGCAGCTTTATGGCTCTTGTGTTTAGGTGGCAGGATGTTACGTCTGATGCAGGTGAAAATGGAAGATGCTGGCCATTATATCTGTGTAGTAAATAACATTGCAGGAGAAGACAGGAAAAACTTTGAACTTTCAGTTTTAGGTGAGTATGTCAAACCTATTTTAAAAAGTATCAAGATTTTTCTTCCTAGTTTGCTCTATAGTCCCTGTGTTTAGAAACCGAAGAGATGACTGAAAAAATTATATAACTAATGGGTAGCTCTCTGAATTGGATAATATAAGCTGGCAGTTGTTCCAGTGTAAAACAGAAGGATACATTATGTGTCTTGGAAAATGATAATATCAAAAAATAGGATAACGTAGTTTTGTTTTTTTCCTTCCTTTACTCTGCAAATTCTTCAAATTTTAATAACCCTTCTTTAAAAAAAAAACAAAACTCTAGTGCACAACACAATCTTATTTGATAATATAATGGACATAATATTGTAATTCTACTGCATCTTGCACCATCCAAATATGACAGAACAAATCTGGAGAATTAGTGAAATTTAGTTTCCATAAAAGCAGCCATGTTATTCTTGCAGGAAAAGAAAGAAAGAAAAAGAAATAGTCTTACAGCATCTTAGATCAACTAAGAATATATAAGTGCCTTAGTATAAATAGTTACTTTTGTGACTTTTTCAAAAGAAGGAGCAACACTATTCATTCTAGGAACCAAGACAACAAGGGAAAGTGTATGTAAATTATGCTCCTTTTTTTTATCTGAAACTATCTGAAAAAGTCTTATCTGACTTCAGCTTCAATATTCTAATAAATGTGCTCCAGATTTCACATACTTTTATCAAAGCCATGACATTTCTCATATGCCCACCACACCACAACATCCATACAAATATGTAGTGGCTCCTGAAAATGGAACAGCATATTTTGTGATGACTAATGCAAATAAAGATATAATCCTTTTGTATTGCTGTATTCTTACATAATTATTTTCCTTCTTTCTTTGTTTTGACAACATAAAAGTACCTCCAAGCATTGTAGGAGAAAATAAACTAGAAGATGTAAAAGTAAAAGAAGGACATGGCATTACGTTGACATGTGAAGTCACAGGTAAGCTTCTGGTGATTCTTGATTAGAGCTGGTTTGGCTGCAACATAAGGGCCGATCAATGGCTATGATATTAAGGAACTAAACATTCATTCATTCATTCCCTCCCTCTCTCCCTTTATCTCTTTTCCTGGATGGTGCTACTATGGGTAGTCCTCAACTTATCTCCATTCATTTAACCACAAAGTTATGACAGCACTGAAAAGTGACTTACAACCAATTCTCACACTTAAAACTGTCTCCTTGTTGCTGTAGTCACATGATCAAAATTCATATGCTTGCCAACAAGTATGTATTTACGATTTATATATAGTGCCTGTGCACGTGCACACACACACACACACACACACACACACACACACACACAAAGTCACCACCAAAAAGTATCATATATTGCCTTCTGGTTTCCTCTGAGATAGAATATCATTTTGCATTTTACTTTTAAAGACTGAACAAAGAAAAAAAAATAAAAGGGCCACCACAAGTTTCACAATTCAATTATTAATATTTGCTTTTTTTTTCTCAACAGGAAACCCTATTCCAGAGATCACTTGGTTAAAAGATGGACAAACGTTTCTACAGGATGATGGCTATCAGTTGATGTCTAGTGGACGCTTTCTTCAAATTACAAACGCTCTAGTCGCTGACACAGGGAGATATACCTGTGTTGCCTCCAATACAGCTGGAGACAAAAGAAAAAGCTTCAGTGTTAATGTACTTGGTGAGATTTGTTGAGTAATAAATGGAAGTGTTTGGGTTCCTTTGAAGAAGATAGATCTGCCCGGATTGAAAAAAAATCAATAAATATAGTATACATACATCTATACCTGAAGTTGCAGAGTTGTTGATAAAATTTTGGAGGGTTGGTCCTAAGGCATTTGGAGAGGGAAACAGTGTGAATAATATCACTGCGGCAAGTACCAAAAATGTTGTCTCCAAGTCACTGAAGGTTTAGGGGTTATATGCAACTTCCAAGAACCTTCCCTAAATTTCATATACATAGATATACAGCATTTTATATGATACTCTCCCTCTACAAAAATGAAGAAACAAAGGCACCTAAAATGCCCTCACCAAAAGATTCTCAGCTGCTTGTCTTTCCTGTGTAAAATTGTTGTAAAAGAAACAGGCTTAAGAAGCCTTCTTTCAGCTTTCAGTTGCGTCCTTTATTTCAGTGATAGGGATAACATAATATTCACCTGGACTGTATTTCTTATATTCCCCATTTTTAAAATAAATAAAAGTCTAGAGAAGCCCCATTTGTCCTGTGCTATCACGGAGCTTGTTTAAAAAAAGTCATTAGTAGACCGTTCCATTGATGAACTTGTAAAAAAAAAGTCCTATCTTCACCATTTCAAATGAACTTATAAAGAAAAAAATAAGCATTGTAAACATAAGAAATACGTTTTAAAAATAAACTAAGGAAAAAATTGTTTTCTGATGTAAAATTGAGTCTAAGACTTCAAGGTAGATTGGTTTGAATTAAGGCAGTGCCTCTACATCAGGGGTCTTCAAACTTGGCCCTTTTATGACTTGTGGACTTCAACTCCCAGAATTCCTCAGCCAGCCAGTTTGAAGACCCCTGCTCTACATGAAGCTCAGTCTCTAGGAAACAAGTATCATATGTATTATGGCTCTTAATTTGCTCAATCTGTGCCCTTGGATTAAGTTGCAGGTGTATCAGATGGCCAAATATTTTCTCCATAAGTAGTTTCTTTAAAAGTACAATTATCAGAAATATTTTAAAACAATGCTCTCTTTTTTTTCTGAACTTGCTCAGTGTCTCCATCCATTGTGGGTGCAGATAATAATGGGGGTGCAGAAGAAGCCACGGTTATCTTAAATAACCCAACCTCCTTAGTTTGTGAGGCTTATTCATATCCACCAGCCACAATCACCTGGTTGAAAGATGGAGCTCCCATAGATTCAAATGAGAACATCAGGGTGTTGCCAGGTAATTATTTGAATGCCTTTATTATTAAAATAAATTTGGAGTCAGTTGGATTGAGATGGGTGGCCATAGAGGTTAGAATGCAGTATTGCAGGCTAACTTGCTACTCACTGCTAAGAGTTCAATTCTGACTTGGCTCAAGGTGGACTCAGCCTTTTATCCTTCTGAAGGCAGTGAAATGAAGACCCAGATGTTTGGGGGCAATATGCTGATTCTGTAAACTGCTTAGAGAGGACTGTAAAGCAGTGTGAAGTAGTATATAAATCTAAGTCCCATTGCTATTGCTATAGAAATTGATTGATTGAGTGAATGAATGAATGAAATTCTATCCTATTTTTTTACATTTATAAGTAAGCTTTGCTATACTTTCTGAAGATGGCTGAGTGGAGATTAACTATTACAATTATTATAATTTTGGGGAATAAATTTGCATATTTTGGCTTCCCACTTGTGGAAGCTAACAATGTACTAAATCTTAGGTTTTGTCTCCTACCACTGACCAGAGTAACAATAGCGTGAAAAACTTACTTTTCTGTGGCAGGGAACAAGGAATACATAACTTGGCAGGACCTTTCAATTTCTTTCAGTGCTTAGCCTAATTAGAATACTGATGATCCAGTACTAGTGTTTGAAAATGCATTTTATTTCTCCTTCTTTCTAATGTTCTTTCCTAAACTCTGGTTTTAACATGTTCTGAAATCAGAATAGTTCCTTCTTTCAAGGGGACAATGCCTAAATTCATACAGTTTTTGCTCAATTCAGAAGAAAATATACAAAAAGAACTGGGGAAAATGTAACTTGACTTTTGTCCTTTTTTACAGGTGGTCGAACTTTGCAGATTCTGAATGCCCAGGAGGACAATACTGGTAGATATACTTGTATAGCTACAAACGAAGCAGGGGAAACATTAAAACATTATGAGGTGAAAGTTTATAGTAAGTTTTAAAGCATCCTTTCTTGCTGAAACTCATGACATATTGATTCTCTACCACAGTGGTGGCAAACCTATGGCACGAGTGCCAGAGGTGGCACTCGGAGCCCTCTGTTTGGGCATGTACACCATTGCCCCAGCCCTGCGTCCCCCATGACCTCCTCCTCACTAGCAGTCGCCCTGGAGGAGAGTCACCTCCAGGTGCAGCCCATGCGGAGCAGCGCAGCCAAGCACATGGCAGCTGGTCAGCAGGGATAAGACTCTACCCTCACGTCCCGTTGCATGGGGTGGGGACAGAGCAGGGTGGGAGTGGTGGTGGGCTGGGGCCGGGCAGTTTTGGGGCACTTGGTCTCTAAAAGGTTTGCCGTCACTGCTCTACCATCTCTTTATATTTTATACAACTCCTACATTAACTGCATATTTTTAAGGTTGTATATTTGCTTGTTCATTTTGATGCATTTACATCAGGGTGGTAAGATCAAAGGATGTTTCATTGCATAGGAGAGTATTTTGGATAACTTCATAGCTATATGTTTAAGAAAAGTGTAGCTACACATTTACAGAAAACAAAAACCATTCATTTATTTCTTCATAGTAATTGGGATCACTGCTAGGGATTTTTGGCAGGATTTTTGGCAGGAAGTAAGCATTCTTATTAGCCATGTTATTATTTTTTTTTTATTCCAGGGCCTGCTACAAAAGGTTGTATAAGAGAGGCTAGTTTTGAAAGGCAGGCTTCCTGAAATTATAAACCCCTCCCCATAGTAACAGACTGCCTAGCTGAATTAAATCAAGACATACATGAAAAGCCACTGTCTGATTTTTAGGCAGGTTAATGGCCATTGATGGCTGCTTGGAATGGCAGGAACACTCTGTATCTCAGGCCAATATCGTAGGTCCTTGGGAAGGACTTGATAGGTGGACAAAATTCCATATCCATCCTAATCACAATAATGATAATACATTAAATTTGTGTGCCACCTGCTGCTTTAAAAGAAGGTGCAAAAGATTAAATCTTAGAACTAATGTCCATAGAACATTGAACTACAGGATTCCTTTCCAATATTTAGGGTCATTAATTAACCAGTTTTAATTATCTGCATTGAGTTAAATACATGGACAAAAGTTCACTATTGTTGGATGCATTATTATTAGTTGTTAAAGGATTACAGTTGTTTTAAGCCATCCCTAGGCAATATTTTAGCAAGATGAAAGAGCATCATTCATACAATTAGATAAGTGTTCTGATTGGTACAGATTTTAAAGGTAAACACCCCTAGAAACATTGTCATGATTCATTTCAATCTTTCGCCTTTTGTGGAAGAAGTGCTATGGTTTATCCAGAGGTTTCTGAGCTACCATTTCTACCAGACTTACTCAGCTTGGGGATGATGGGAGTCTAGCAACATTGAGTAATAAAAAGCATAGATTCCCATCCCTGTTCTGAATAATGAAGACAGCACAGAAAACCTCACATTATTATTGGTTTGGTTTGTTTATTCACTTTCATAGTTTTATAATATTATTTAGAAAGAAAGAACTCCCACATATTGCCAGAAAATGTAATTCTTGTTTATTATATGTGATTCTAATCTTCTATCAATTTTCATCCTCTTGTGTAAGTTGCAAGTTTGCTTAGAAATAAACAATACCAAGGTGCTAAATGCTTTGATATCCTCATCCATCTATCAGTTTATGTTTCCCAATGAGGAGTTTGCTTATTCAAATTGACTTTACAGATCTACTTATATTTCTGTCTATTTTGTGAATTATTGTGTGTAACTAATCAGCAAATGCTACTTAGTTGTACGACTTAATAAGCCACTGCTGATGTGATTTGGCCCAAAAAAGCAGGTCAATCACTTCTGATGTACTGCTACTTACACATGCCTTTTTTCTGACAACACTGTGAGTGTCAAAATGAGAAATTCCATGGCTTTATTTTTATATTTATCTTTTTTGGGCAGTTCCTCCTACGATAAGCAGAGACAATTTATCAGGACTAGGCTTGTCCCCTAAAGAAGTGAAAATCAGAGTGAACAACAGTCTTACCCTAGAATGTGAAGTCCATGCAATTCCTGCTGCTGGCATCAGATGGTACAAGGATAGACAGGTCAGTTATAAAGTTAATTTTGTACAGTAAATATTTTTTAGAGAAACCAGGAAACTTCTTTACAGCAATGCCTCTTCTTCCTTTCATCATTTTTTCCCCAAAACACAATGTTCCAAAGCTATAGGAAGTCCTGTTGTCTTTCAGCAATTATTAATATTTGTTAAATTTATTTATCATCTATCTTGTCGTAAGGTTACACAATAATCCACAACACAATTCTAGAATTGTAGGATGTTGAAGGATGTATGCATAGCATTCTGCTTTGTCATTTGCAATTTTAGACTTCTTTTCTAGATTTCAGTTTGGAAATGCAATTCTTTTCCGTTCTGAATTTATTCTCTTTATACTCCCCAATCAGCACATACTGCATTATGTATTATTTATTACTTCATACACTTTTCATATTTTTGTTTTGCTTGAATCTTTTGTGGAATATTATTTTTGGCTGACAATATTTTACTGAAACCTACAAGAGAGCATGCCTCATTAATTCATTCATTCATTCATTCATACATTCATCTCAGACCAAATGTCTTTTGGCAGTTATAGACATTGAATAAATAAAAGTAATATTTTTTTTTTACAAATTTTAAGTAATGTAGTTTTTTTTACAAAACTTGCCTTTTGGTAATTGTTAGCATTCATAGGAATAACAAGCATATTAATAGGGATATTAGTCTTAATTCTTTTGACAAAGTAAAGGAAAATATAATACAATTTTCTTTAAATGTTACTCTCTAAAGATTTTTAACTTAGCAATCAGCAAAAATGTATAACTTAGCATTATGGAATGGAAGCAGTAGGAAAAAAACCCTTAACTCTATAGATATTGCAGAACTTGTAGTTCATGTGTAGCTTACCAATTGGATGTACCCTTTTCTCTGTAACATTGCAATGAAATAAGAGAAATAGATGTATTTCAAACATCTCAGAATAAGACTTTAAGTGTTCAGAAATAGATATTTCATATCTGATCTTGCTTTATAATTATTTAAAATATAATTTGATTTTTTTGGGGGGGAGGCTTCAAATCTCTTGTCAAAGCAGACAGGCCACAATGCATTGCTGAGTTTGGCTTAATTGGCCATAAACTATGCATGCCTATGTACACTTTATTGGGTACATTGTAGAAAATGCTCATCTATCCTTTTTGATAATTCCACCACAGCTGATTACATCAGATGATCATTTAACAATCCAAGGAGGTGGACGCATCCTTCAAATTAAGGCAACTCAGATATCTGACACTGGCCGATACAGTTGTGTTGCTTCAAACCTAGCTGGTGAGGATGAGCTGGAGTTTGATGTCAATATACAAGGTATTGCTTTGACTATTTATGGGTGTATTTATAAAGATCAGTCTTCTCCAACCTGGTGACCTCTAGCTAATCACAACTTCAGCTAATCACAACTTCAGTGTACTTATAAATATACAAATAGTTATATTTCTACCATTTATATCATTAGTTATGAAGGGATTATATATATATATATATATATATATATATATATATATATATATATATATATATATATATGTTTTCTGAGGTTTTCGCGGGTATTTGTATGTAGGTCTTTGGTTGTTCGGGTTTTCTCCCACGTAAAATTGGAAGTGTCTTGGCGACGTTTCGACGAAGTCCCATTCGTCATCTTCAGGCTGGTGCTTTCAGCTTCGTGCCTCGAGCAGCAGTGCCTCGAGGCACGAAGCTGAAAGCACCAGCCTGAAGATGACGAATGGGACTTCGTCAAAACGTCGCCAAGACACTTCCAATTTTACGTGGGAGAAAACCCGAACAACCAAAGACATATATATATTATATATATATATATATATATATATATATATATATATATTATGTCTTTGGTTGTTTGGGTTTTCTCCCGCGTAAAATTGGAAGTGTCTTGGCGACGTTTCGACGAAGTCCCATTCGTCATCTTCAGGCTGGTGTTTTCAGCTTCGTGCTTCAAGGAGCAATCATTGATCATTGCTCCTTGAAGCACGAAGCTGAAAACACCAGCCTGAAGATGACGAATGGGACTTCGTCGAAACGTCGCCAAGACACTTCCAATTTTACGCGGGAGAAAACCCGAACAACCAAAGACCTACATACAAACACCCGCGAAAACCTCAGAAAACACACACACACACACACACACATAAATGGATTGCTAACATGATGCATTGGGAGAAAAGGAGGACACTATGAACATTGCTTTTAAAGTGCAAATGAACATACTGTCATTTTGTTGGGCCTGCTTTCCAAATTGAGCCCTAGTAAAATTAGTGAGAATATCAAGTAAAAAGTGTTGTCAATCTGCCGTGGGATATTGGTAGCATGAACAGCATGCAGTTCTAATTTCTTAGGGAGTTGAGTTTGATAAATGTATTCAAGAATAACTTTTCAACTGTTTCATCACAACCTGTCATCACAATGACTAAATGTGGATCCAAGTTATTCTGGATTTTTGGTGGAGATATGGTGAATTGAAGAAGTCTCTGCTAAAGCGGAGCTGATGACCAACAAAGATCAAAGAACTGATGAATAGATTGATTCTTTGGAAACTTTTTGGATAAGAAGAGGATGGGAGATTATCCTCATGTGCTCTGGAGAGTGGCTACTCTCTGTAAACTACAGGACAGTAGTTTTTTGTGGATTTGAGCACTGAGTAACAGGATTAGCCATCTTGCTTGCAATTGCAGCAGAGATTTTTAAAGTTTGCAAACCTCAATTTCCAATCACTTTGGGAAATTGCTCATTCTATGCTATTAAAGATATTTATAATGACAAGTCTGAAAATGCCAGGTGGGTCTGCCTTTAATCCTGAATGAAGGAAAATAGTAATAATAAGATCAAGAATTTAAAGAATCTGAAATAAAAAAGAAAAAAGTAAATAATATTTTGGTCCTAGAAGGATTCCAAGTGATAGATCAAAAGAATAATTTAGGAAATATTTTTCATTGGATCTACAAAGAAAATGGCTGAGGTTTTAAAATTAAAAGGGAAATATAACAGACAAACCAAAAGAGTCACTGGATAATTTTTTTTCTTACTGGATTTACAAAAAAGGACTGTTAAAGCCTTGAAAAATTCTGTGCAATGAGATAAAGAAATAAATAAAGAGAAATAAAATCCTACAACAATATTTGAATAAATGATCAATCAGGATTTATAATAGGAAGGTATATGAAATACAATACAAGACAAATTATTAATTTAATTGAGTATTTGGATAAGAATAATCAGATTCCAGTGGCTTTTATATTTTTGGATGCTGAGAAAGCCTTTGATCAATTAGATTGGAAATTTTTATTTTCATTAATTGAAAAAATGAATTTTGGAGACAAGTTTTTACATGCTCTCAAAGCTATATATCATCAGCAGTCTGCTCAAATTATCATTAATGGTGGATTGACAGAGACTTTTAATATTGAAAAGGGTACAAGACAAGGCTGTCCATTATCTCCCCTGTTATTTGTGCTGACAATGAAGATTTTGTTAATTCAAATTCGAAAGTCTACATTACTTAAGGGAATAAAAATAAATAACAATGATTATAGATTGAGAGCTTTTGCAGATGATCCAGTTCTAACTTTACAACAACCAATTCAATCGGTTAATCATTTATTAGAACTTATAACTCAATATGGAAAAGTTTCTGGTTTCAAAGTTAATAATTATAAGACTAAGATATTATCTAAGAATATGACTGAGAAGGATAATGAAACTTTAGCTAGACTTACAGGTTTTCAGATAGTGAAGAAGGTTAAATACTTGGGAGTGTATATAACTGCTTCTAATAGAAAATTATATAAGAATAATTATGAAGTATTATGGACAAAGGTACAAAAGGATTTAAATGATTGGAAAAAATTAAAATTGTCGTTGTTTGGGAGAATTTCAGCTGTTAAAATGAATGTTCTACCAAAGTTTCTTTTTTTGTTTCAAATGATACCCATTTTAAAAAAGGATGCTAATTTGGATGAATGGCAGAAGGGTATTAATAAATTTATATGGGCTGGGAAGAAACCAAGGGTGAAGTTTAAGATTTTGCAAGATGTTCGTGAAAGAGGAGGGCTTAAAGCACCCAATTTAAAATTATATTATGATGCAGCCGCATTAACTTTGATAAGTGATTGGCTTAACTTAACAAATAAAAATATTCTTTTTCTTGAAGGGTGGGACTTATTATATGGCTGGCATGCATATTTGATTTTTAATAAGAAAGTTGATTGGGCTTTTAAATCGCATATTTTAAGAAGTGCCCTACTTCGAGTCTGGAAGAAGTATTATTATAGATTAAATTATAAAATACCTATTTGGGGGATTCCTGAACATGCAATAGAGGGAATATCGAAGGGGATGAATTATGGGAAAATTTCGTATAAAGAATTACTTATCTGGTCTGGCAATGACTGGCAACTAAAGTCCTTGGATGTATTAAGACAAGAAAATACGTTACAGTCATGGTTTCAATATTTACAAATAGTGGATAGGTGGACTTTAGATAAGAAAGTGGAGATAACATTAGGAAATGAAAGTTTGATAACACAGATTAAAGATCAAATAAGGCACATATAAAAAGAATTTATAATAGTTTAATAGAATTGGATTTGGAAACGGAATTGGTTAAAGATTGTATGGTAAAATGGGCTCAGAATATTCAGGAAGCAATCCCATTGGATTTATGGGAGATAATATGGATCAGAAATGTCAAATTTACACAGGCTCAAAATTTAAGAGAAAATTTTTACAAAATGTTTTATAGGTGGCACTTGGATCCTAAAAAGTTATCTTGTATGTACCCTAATTTACAGCCCAAATGTTGGAGGTATGGTAGTTTTGATGCAACTTTTTTTCATATTTGGTGGACTTGTAAAAATATTAAGGCCTTTTGGATCATGATTTGGTGGAACATTCAAAATATTTTCAAAAGGAAGATGAAGTTTACTCCTCAACTATTTTTATTAGGGATTTTTGAGGATTTTGATGTTAAAGATACTGTTTTAATGTTGAATTTAATTATAGCAGCAAGGTTATTGATAGGTCAATATTGGAAGAAGGATTCGTTGCCTACATTAGAAGAATGGACATTTAAGGTTTCTAACTTAGCAGAAATGGCTAAAATTTCTGCTTATTTAAAGGATCATACACAAGAAAGATATATTATGGTATGGAGAAGGTGGATAGATCATATTAAGATTAAATACGGAACTGAAAAGTTCCACTTATTTTATGATTAAATAATAAGTATTATTAATAATATTTAAATTAACTTTTTTATTATATAACAATTGATTATAAACTGATTTGTTTATGATATGTTATTAAGGTTTAAAGGGAGTTAAGGTTTAAGTATGATTTTAATTGTTGTATAAATTGTTAAACTTGTTTAGCTTATGATTAATATATTTGTTAACTTAATTAGATTATGTTTAATATGTTTGAAATACCCTGTATTTGGCTCCGGGAAGTCGGGTGGCGGGGGTTGGGGGGAGGGTAAATGGGTTTATTTTGTAACTTTCAATAAAACTTTTTAAATAAAAAAAACAATATTTGAATAAATTAAAGATTTAAAATGTTAGAAGTAGAAACAAGGAAAAAAAAAGTTGGTTTATTTGATCAAGGTTAAAATAAGATATGTTGTTAGTTTTGGCTATGGACTTTCTACTGATACTGGGATTGAAAGTTTGACACTTTATGGATAAGAGATGGTGCATGGGATGAAGAGATAACTGTTTATAACTTTAAAGAGAGTGAAGAGTCTCTAAATTTGTTAATACTTCTTGTGATGAAGGTTGGAAAAGCCTTATATTTATTCTTCATTTTTAATCTGAGTCCTATATATTACAGTTCCTCCTAGTTTTCGAAAACCATTTGGATTCTGGGAAGATGGAGATGCGCTAAGTAGAAGACAAAGAGGAAGAGCCAAAGATGTGATTGTAAACTATCCTCTGTCTTTATATTGTGAAACTAATGCTGTGCCCCCTCCAGTTCTTACATGGTATAAAGAGGATTTTCCACTGAGTTCCAATGATAAAGTACGGATACTTCCAGGTCTGTATTAAACAGATGAATATTTATGAATATACTTCCTTTATCCTTTGGAATTTTTTTCATATACACTTGAGTGTTTTAAATAGCCTGCCCAAAATGCACACTGCAAGCAATGTAGCTCTGACCCACACAATCCTTGCAATAAATATTTTATTTTGAAGTAAGAATGAAATATTCTCCACTCTCTGGAATACAGTTGAAAATGGATGCTCCTAACTGGCATTATTAAAAATTCCTGGTCCAAGTAATGTAATATGTGTTCCTCTAAAAGCTATTGTATAAATAGGTGCTAATGAAGTTCTTGGATATATCCATTCCTGTTGTGATGGGAGGAAATTTTACTAAGTCATATGGGTTGCCTATGCTTATAATGGTATTGAGAACTCTATAATCAGACAGTCATATAACAACTGAATATAATTTGATCTACATATATTTACTTATTTAGAAAATTATAGTGATGGTAGCACTGGCAGCAGTGTGCACATGCACGCCACTTGCACAGCCCAGTACTGAGGACACTTGTTCTAGGGTCTAAGACTTCATGCTTTATTTCTAGGCAAAATTCAAAGTGATTCTTTAAAAATCAATCCTTCAATATTTAAGCCCTTCAGTATCTTAGAAATAATTTCCTCCATTATATGTGCAGCTTAATCTCTCGATGGTTAGCAGGCCATGACAATTTGTCTCCTGAATCCATATAAGCTGTCCTATAGATATGTTTTCAATGACTAGTGTACAGCCATGAAGTTTTCTGACTTGGGACATAATGAGAATAAGATATCTTCTTCTCCATATTTACATTTTAAGCCTTTTTATCTACCCTAAAACTTCAGAAGTATGTTGAAAATATGAAGTCTATCAAGGTCCTTCTTGCTAGTCATGAATCAAGTGCATATATTTATTTTAGAGCAAGCCAAGATCTGTGTTTAGAAGGATGGCAAGTTCCTTCTTATTTTACTCTAGGAGGTCGTGTGTTGCAGATTTCTAGAGCTCAGAGTGAAGATGCTGGACGATATACCTGCGTGGCCACTAATGAAGCTGGAGAAGATTCTATCCAATATGATGTCCGCGTGCTTTGTGAGCTTACTTGATGTTCTTTGAGTTTGCAAATAATACATATTCTCCTTTTAAATGGCGAGTCTAACTTGATATGATTCTATATCATTTACTATGTGCAAATAGTATTAATGTCTCATAAATAAAAATATAAATATTAAGATACTAAGGCTACAACAAGAGACATGGCAAGTAGAAAATTCTACTAATATGATATATTAGATTAGATACCTAATATTTTCCCCTTGAACTAAAAATGCACCATGCTGTTCCTTGAAGAATCATTTGTGATAAGGGTGAATGCATCTCTAATAGTACCTGAAAAAATGTTGTGAATGGAAAATTGTTCTCAGCAATGTTATGAAGAAGTCGAAAGTTAGAAAACTGTGCTCCTTAATCTTTCTGTCTAGTGCCACCATCCATTAACGGTGCCAACGGTGATGTGACTGAGGAGCTGACTGTACTTCTGGACAAGATGGCAATGATGGAATGTATAGCAGAGGGTATTCCTCCTTCAAGCATAATCTGGGAGAAAGATGGACAGCTAATAGCTGAAGATTCCCATTACAAATTCCAACTAGGTGGAAAAACCCTTCAGGTAAGTCTGCAAAGTGCACTAGCTTCTGCAGATTAGATGCTGTATGTCTCAGTTTCACTCAGCATCCTATCACAATAGGCTGAGACAATTGTGAAGCCATCAAAATCTTGCAATTCCAATTAAGGAAGAATATGCAACATTTATATCTCTTCATTTTTATTTTTGTGCTAGGGAGGAGGGGACATGGAAAATCTTGTTTTACAATAAAACACAGTTTTTAATTTTTAAACATTTTATTGTCTAGCCAGTTTATCTTACCATTCACTGTAGTTTCTCTAGTATCTTTTGTTAGTAGTTTTTCCTGAAAAGACAGTATCTATATATTGATTACTCCTGTTTCATTATTTCTGGTACTCTTTGTGCTGCAACTATGTCATATATTTAAAAGTCTTGAGAGCACCCACGTAGACATTGAACCTACACAGAATAAGGGTTGCACTCAAATACTCAATCATAAAGAATAAAGGATTATATTTTATAAAGTAGTATATTTACTTATTTGCCAAGAGAAAATTTAATACTGTGTATGCAAAGTCAGTTAAGAAACCCAGATATCTGATATTTACAATGTATCTTTGTTTTTGTTTTTTATAGATTCATAATACTCAAATAGCAAATACAGGCAGGTATGTCTGTCTTGTGGAGAACATAGCAGGACGTGCCAAAAGATATTTTAATCTTAACGTCCATGGTAAGATTGCTATTTTCTAAAGTAATGATTAGTTACATCCATATAATGGCCAGGTCAAAAAAGATTCTCCTTCTGACTCTTATTTTGTCTTTGCAAAAGGACAAATCAACATCAAAAATATTTTATATATTAAAAATATATGTTTATATATTAAAAATATATGTTGAATATATAAATGTTCACTGCTACCACAAAATATAAAAATTCCTAATTTGACCTATGCCAAATCTTAGGATATTTTTAAAATCTTATTTCTGTCAGAATCCAATTATATTTCATCTCTAGTTATTGACTATGGAAAACCCCATTTCTGCCCTCTCTGGATTCTGTCATACTACGAAGGGGAAGGGGGATAAGCAAAGGGGTTTATGGCTCTCACTTCCTTCATTAAAACTTCAAAGGGACTGAATGTGGATCTCACCAAGAGGACTGACCATAACAATATGGCCATCATCTTTCATATACTCCTCTCTGAAGTCTCCCTGCCGCCAACCATGAGGAAAAGGGGGTGGAAATGTAATGACTGTGATTGTTGCTGGAAGGACGGTGGGGTGGGGGGGCTGCTTGGGAACACTTAAAACCTGGTAGGGCTTGGGCCCCAGGTCCTGTCTATGGTAGGGCTTGGGCCCCAGGTCCTGTCTAGAATGCCTGCAACCATCTTCTATTAATAAAGATGCCTGTTGGAAATATTCCAAGAGTTCTGTCTTCTTAAGATGCAAAGTGGGGTGGGTCCTTACAATTTCACCATTTGGAAAATTCTCAGTATTTTTACCCATCTCATTCTTAAAAATTATTTTTATAGAAGATTGTTTGGTTAGAATTTCTCCGAAAAAAAATTATTGAAGAAATCATGGAAGGACCACCCAACTTGTGACTGTGAAAAAAAAAACCATTCACAGATATGAATTATTTTCCTATAATGCCAAAAAACTGAAGCATTCTTACCATTTTTTTCTGCTCAGTTTAAAAAAGAATACCAATAATACCAATAATGAGAAAATTGGAACACATATCCTGAATCCTTTGGATTCTGTTCCTTTATTTCTACTGCTCTATTACCTTCCTATCATCCTAGATTACTTTGTGAAAGCCCATATAACTCTAATCAAATAATAAATTTAGTTATCCCTTTTCCATTTCCCTTTTTTTGTATTTCTGCTTTACTTCTGATAGATCTAATTGTCTACTCGCCATCTCAAACTCAGTGTCTTCAATACTGAGTTAGTCATTCCCCCCCAAATTCTTTATCTTGTTCATCTTTTTATGTTTTCCTTGCAGAGTTAACATTCATGTTGACTTTTCTTGTTCTCCATATATAAGAAATTATGAATCTTCATTTTTACCATGAAGGCTGCTTTTTGTGGTGTTAGGCCATTTGGATGAGCTTCATCATCCTCACCAGACTCAAGAGACAAGAAGTGATTTGACAAACTATACCAGTTTGTTACCTTATTTAAACTTGAGAAAGAGAAATTCCACTGAAGAAATAGTGCATAACAGAGACTTATTTATGGTTTTTATGATTTGTGATGTTTAAGAAAACATTTCTAAAAAGATAGATTTATGAGTTGATTCTGCATGCTCTATACACACTAGCAAAAAGTAATTTCATGGTGAACCAATTCTTCCCTATTGTTGCTTTTGAATAAAAATGGAACAGGACAGGACAGGACATATGAAAAAATGTTGTAGCTAGATGTTTTGACTATTCCAAAAGCATTAACTCAGATGTTTGTTCCACTGAATGCTGCATCTGCTAAGAGATATAAGACTACTTTCAAAGGTAATGAATTTGTTGACTGAACATGAAGTAGTTCCCCTAAGTGGTGATATTGGTTCATTTAGAGAGCTGGCCAATGGAATAAGTGATCAATCAAGTTCCTGGTCATGGATTGATATGGCTGTTCCAAGTGTTCCATATTGAAAACAAAATGTTTGTGTTCCAATTGTTTTAAGCTTGGAAGAAAGCCTGTTTATTCCACACTTAGATCAACAAATCATGGTTGTTTCAAACAATGTTCTTTCAAGTATTGTCCCAAGACCGTGATTTTATTTTCTAGTTTATGATGTTTATTTTATTTTAAAACTTTTTAGCCAAGCCAATGCAATAGCAGTGACATGTTATCTTCATTTCTATTGGTTTAGACAAGGAGTAGTCAACCTTGGCTCTTTTATGACTCGTGGACTTCAACTCCCAACTTCTGGGAATTGAAGTCCACGAGTCATAAAAGAGCCAAGGTTGCCTACCCCTGATTTAGATTATATTTCCATTTATGCTGATTTGCATACATGAACTCATATAATGTGTGTGTGTGTGTGTGTGTGTGTGTGTGTGTGTGAGAGAGAGAGAGAGAGAGAGAGAGAGAGAGAGAGAGAGAGAGAGAGAGAGAGAGAGAGAGAGAATTGAACATATATTTTTAAGGAAAATCTGATAGCATAAACCACAGAGCTCTGAAAGAGAGCAGATTGTTTATTACAGAACTAGCACTAATTCAAAGCAGACATCAGAGGAATTAGAATTGCACATAAACTGAGAATGTTACTAAATTAGGAGAATTAAAATCATACAATAAACATAAAAAGTGCTGGAGCAAGTTCCTAGGAAAATAAACAGTATGATTTGATACCGAAGTTATAAATTTTGAGTAGAAAAGACAAGGAAAGAGAAATCTAGAAATGAAAACTAAGAATGCAGAATTATTCTAGATTATTATTTGGAAATGATTCCTAAAGGATGGCACTGAAAAATAATATCAGATGCAACATTTGAGAGGGCTTTTAGAATTTGGTCCTGTGATGAAAACCAGAAAAGACTTCTCTGATCTACATTGACCAATAAAGGAGAATATTTATAGCTTGGTGCACTCTGAGCTTGATTGTTTTCTTGTAGACATTTCATTACTCTAACTAGGTAAGATTATCAGTGCTAGTAAGGAATGGGGGTTTGTTCTCAATTTATATACTAGTGGTTTGCCCTGTCAGTGTTGGTGGAAGTGATTTTGGAAGTTCTTTGGTTGGGCTGTTTACTGTTAGCTTATTCAGCATCTCCTTGATTATGGTATTGTTTAGCTCTTGACTGTTGGTCTGATCTTCATTGAATTTAGAATCATAAACAGGAACAGCATTTTTACAAAACTCCCTTTTCTATTCAGTACATTTTCCATTCTAAAGGTTTATTCCATGAGAGAAAAAGAGTTGCTGAAATGCAATTGAGGGATGTCCAATTTTATCACTTGGCAAGAAACACTGGACTAGTTTGCACTAAACAATAAGAAGCCTATTAGCTCCTTTTTTGGAACAAAGAAAAACATCTGTAGTGTTGTGTTAGTGTGTTTAAGTTTATGGTTGCTGCATTCCTTGTAAGCCAGAATGGCAACATGGCTTTATTTTTATCTTATGTTTCCTGGCTTATTTGAAAACATCAGGCCAGGAGCTGGGATTTATTTAGAAGTTAGAATAGCACCAAGCTTAAAATATGGAGAAAAAAAACCCCTCAGATTTTTTTTCTTTGTATGTTTTGAGTTGCTAAGCTGACAGAAAAAAATAGCTAAAAGTAATGACGAAAATTATACAGGTTAACTAGCATAATTTAGGACAAAATTAATATTTTTGTATTTTAGTTAGTGTCTTCTTTGAACATAGGTGGCAGTGAACTTTAATTCTAAAATGAATTTGATTGACAGCAAATTATCCAAATAATTTATTGTCCAAATAAATATTTCAGGAAACACCAATATCAAATTAAAAATGCATTAGGCAAAAGATACAAAACTTAGGTAATTTAAGTTGTCTGTAAAGGAGACAACTTTAGAGGGTGGTGCTCATCTCCATTTCAAGGCCATTGAGCCAATGCTGTCCAAAGACATTTCCACAGTCATGTGGTCAGCATAATGTCAGGGAGCACTGTTACCTTCCCACTGAAGTGGTACCTATTTATCTACTTGCATTTGCATGCTTTCAAACTGCTAGGTTGGCAGGGGCTAGGGCAAGAATGGAGTTTATCCCATTGCGTGGCATTCAGATCTCAAACCTGGGTTGCCAGCTTTCCAGCTGACAAGGACAGTGTCTTAATAGCTGAGTCACTGCGCCACCCAAAAGTTACCTGTAACAAGAATTAATTCTGTTCTTGTTCTGTTGACCAGAATACTACTGTAGAAGTGAATCATGCTCTTGGTCACATCCTTGTATGACTATTATAACATTCTGATTCTTAGTCTCATTTTTGTCTTGGTGTTCCCTGTATGAAACATCAGGACTAACAAATGTCTTCTTCAGTGCTTCCCATATCTGCTGTCACCATCCCAAACGCTTTTCCTTTTCTTTCAATGAACTCTGTTGAGTTTTGATTCTTTCTTGTTTTATTTATTAATTTGTTAACCAAATTTATATAGCTTTCCATCTCAATGACTCCATGTGGCTTTAATATTAAAAACAATGCTAAAAGTAGCAAACAATACAGCAATTTAAACAATAAAGCCTTATTACAAAATGCATTGCCAATTAACCCCATAACCTCTTGCTTCCTCTACTACCGGTATAGTGTTTTCTGTTGGCCCAGATCTCTTGAACTATCATAGTTCTAATTCTTCTTTACAGTTGTTTTTGTATGGAGTTCCCCAACGTTCAAATTTATTCTTTTTTTAAATTAAATTTTCCACATGGCCTCTGTGTTATCTCCCTAATCAGACTTGCAAATATTACCACATTTCTCTGTATTCTTTAGTATACTTTTGAGAATCAAACATCATAATCATATCTGATATTATTCAATAAGGCATTGAATATTTTATGTTTCTGTTATCATCTTTATAAAAATGCTTTATAAAGATAGGGATACATCAACAAAAAGCTTCATTAAAAATCTTTAGTGTACAAATTTATATTGATTTCTTATCAGTTTGATGGCATTCTCTTTTACCAAACTAAAGAAACCCCTTCAGAATTGTAGTATAGTCATCCTGGAAAACAAGCAATTTTGGGGATACATGAAGGAATAATTCTAAGAACTGTAGGCAATCAGTAGTATATCTTTCTGTCCATCCATCTGTCTGTCTAACTATGTACCTATTTTAGTAAATAAACTCTGGTTTGAATAAAAAAAAATTGCAAGCCATTAAGCTGAATATTATTCAGAAATATTGAAGAGCAATTATTATTTTCTTTTCAAACTAGTTTGCTAGCCTGATTACTTGACAATATTTATTTGAAAATCTATATTTTTTTAGATAGTACAGAATAAAATAATCTACTGCTGATTTTGCTCAACATTAACTGATAGATCCATTAATAAGAATGGTATTGAAACTTTATAGAGTCACTGTGATCATTATTGTTATTCACTTTCTACTTAGTGCACTTTCCACAATCTTTTACCTAGTGTATTTGCCTATTACCCTATATATTCCTCTGATTATACTGAGAAAGTACAAGATCTACAACTCAATGGTGTTTGTAGTTGTGTGTGACCATGTTGGCAACTATTTAAATATATTCACACCCTGTTCTGTTCTTCTTAGATGCATCTAGATTAAAAAAAAAACACAGTCATTTTATTATGGTCATTTACCATTAAAACAAATCTTTGAAAAAAGAAAGAGTGAAGGGGAAAAAAGAAAGTGTGGCAGTAATAGAAATGTTGCTCCATATTCTCCCTTAATTCTTTTCATCTCCCCAGTAGAAGAATCTGCTGAAGCCTGGGAAGGTGATATTGTAATGTTTTAATTTGCAACTGGATTTGAAGGAACCTTTAATAAATGAGACTGCAAAATGTGGATTATCTTTTAACAGTTCCTCCCAATATTATTGGAATTAATCCTGAGAACCTAACTGTTGTGGTGAATAACTTCATCTCACTGACATGTGAGGTCACTGGCTTCCCACCTCCTGATCTCAGTTGGCTCAAGGATGGAAAACCTCTCAGTTTGAACACAAATATTCTCATTGTTCCTGGTAAGCAATCTCTGGGTGTGTTGTTTTTACAGAGTAGTTCTTTTCTCTTCTCCATATTTCAACAAGGGTGATAGAAGGAAATAGAGCAAAATGCCTGTGTGTATGAAAAGAATAATAATTTTGTGGTGGTTTTTTTCATAGAATGTTGCAGTCATTTGGAATGTTCAATTGTCTATTCTCATCCACTTAAAACAAAATAGTTAATTGCAATTTGTTTAGCTTAGATTTATTATTAACCTTTTTATTCTCCTAGGACAGGGGTAGGCAACCTTGGCTCTTTTATGACTCATGGACTTCAACTCCCAGAATTCCTGAGCCCGTTATGCTCAGGAATTCTGGGAGTTGAAGTCCTTGAGTCATAAAAGACTCAAGGTTGCCAAGGTTGCCTACCCCTGTCCTAGGATAATTCCAAATTTAGTCTTAGAGGTACAGAAAACTGGTGGCATGTGCTGGGGGCTGCTTCCATTGTTCTTTAGAGGTTTTGGTACAGTAGTTGGACATTTTTGTACCTTAAGACAGAAATGTCTCCACTGGTGTTCTTAATTCATTCCAAGCATTGAACGTTCATGACCTTATTTTTGTTTCTGTAGCTTTTATTAGAATCCCATACAAATTCAGTGAATGTGATGATGGTGTTGAACCATTTTGTTGTCTTTGAATAATTTCAGGTGGTCACACATTGCAGATTCCTAAGGCACATTTATCTGATGGTGGTCAATATGTCTGCATAGCGAGAAACAGTGCTGGAGAAAGCATCAAGAGGACTTTCCTTACTGTTTATGGTATGTTTCTGCCTCCTTTAAAAGAGAGCATTTTTCCATTGTCAGTATTAATATCTAACAGTTCCTCTTAACATAGCAATTCTTTGGGAAAAGTCAAAGAAAAAAATATATTCTTTTTTATGTTTCCCTACTTCAAAGTTCCACCAAGTATTAAAGGCGAGAGCAGCACACCTCCTGCAATAGTCAATGTGAGAGTGGGAATGCCAGTGACATTAGAGTGTGAATCCAATGCTGTTCCACCTCCCATCATCACCTGGTACAAGAATGGCCGTATAATCTCAGTTTCATCCAATGTGGGCTTTATAGCAGATGGACAGACACTCCATATCAAGATGACCGAGGTATACAAATACGTCTTTTTTCTGTACTTTTTAAAGTCTAGCCCAACCTTCGCATAATTGTGGTCTTCAAAGTGACATACATCATATATAAAAAACCACCATGATTAACGATAGATGAAGCAGGAAAAATGTAAACAGTTTGTTTTAGGCTTATTGCTATTTTATATTCAAACAAACTAGTTGTTATACAGGTAGGCCCGATTTGTCAAACCACAACTGGACTGGCAACTCTGTTGCTAAGCACTGTGGTTGTTAAGTGAAAAATCACGTGACTGTGCAAGATTTATGACATCGCTTCTGTTTCCATTGTTAAGCAAATCACCACAGTTCTTAAGCAAGACATCCCATAACCGCAACTTGTAATTTCACATTCATATTCTTCATTAATTCTACTTGTTGGAAACTGGTTGTAAAGCTCACAAGTTGCAATTACGTGATCTCAGGATGCTGCAATGGACATAAATATGTCAGTTGTGAAGCACCAAATTGGAAATCATGTGGCCATAGGACTCTGCAATGGCCATAAATGTGAGGTTTGGTCACAAACTTGTTTTTTATAACCATTGTGACTTTGAATAATGGCTAACCAAGATAGTTGGTAAGCAAAGACTACTAGTAAAGGGTTTGCTTATTCATTTACAATATTTCAACAACTGAACTACAAAGAAACCTATTCCAAAATTTAGTGACTTTTTAATTTTATTGTAATTGTGTCTTGAATTTTATATTATAATGGCACTCCACTAGGACTGATCCTTTTTAAAAATAGTAAAAAGATAATTGCACATCACTTTCTGCTTACATTCTCAGGTATCTGATACAGGCCAGTATGTATGCAAAGCCATAAATATTGCAGGACGTGATGACAAAACATTCCATCTTAATGTTCATGGTAAGTTTTTAATAGACCAAATAAAATGATTCTTATTAGAGTTAGTGAATCAAATTGAACGTAAGACAAAATAGACAGTTACTTGGGTTCAAATCTTGGTTCAAATGGCATTTCTTAATACTTCCTGTTGCCCAACAAGAAGCTGTGGTGGCAGATAGGAGGAAGGGATGAGGTACAGACTCTATCAAGACCATTTGTTTTTCTCCAGAATCCATTATTGGTAATTTGGTGCATGTATCAACCTGCTGTCTTCATTCACAGTACTGCCTACCATTGAAGGCCCTCAGCAAGAGTGGATCAATGAAACCATCAGCAATCCTATTACTCTTACCTGTGATGCTACTGGAATTCCTCCACCAGCTATAACTTGGCTTAAGAATGGAAAACCACTTGGTAATGTTTGCTCACATGATATTGGTTACTATCAGCTGCTTGTTGGATTTTCTAAGATCCAAAGTGGGGAATAGGTTTGGATAAAATTGTTGTAAACTCAAAACAGAAACACATTTCTGTCCCTCCTACCTCCAAAGTATCTAGATAGCTAATATCCAAGAAGGCAAATATTAAGCTAATATTGAGGATGGAAAAATGGAGCTTAGAATATAAGGCTCAGTGAAGTGAAAAAATAGATTGTTTTGTGTGATCAGGGATTAGGCTGTACTGAGTGGGAACGGAAAATGTGTGAACCTTTCCTGCTTGCTAGAAGGGAAAACAGAAGCATGGTTTCTTCTAAGCTGAAGAGGTTCAACAAAAGCAACTTAAGTTATATTAAATGAATTCTCTCTTATCCAAAGCTGGACAAATCATGACTGTATGCAGCCTCCCAAGCACTTCTTTTACAGCCTTCAAAACATTTTTGAACATTTTTCTTCTGATTCGCTATATGCTGATTTTTTTCAAGGTTGGTGAACGAAATTGTTTTAGAGTGGGGGTTTAATGGTGATCAAAGGTATCTGCAAAATGTTTCTTTTATCACAAGGAACATGAAAGGAACATTGCACTATAAATATTATTTATCCATTACAATGCCACAATACCAATAGTAAGGGGCAATGCAGCTTTCATCATTTATCCCTCTGATGGATGCAGTTATGCATTCCTTTCTCAAAGGACCAGCCTGTACTTTGTCTTACACTTTCCCATTCTTATGGAATTGTGAGACCTAACCATATTGCTTCCCTCTTACATTTTTTAAGCTGAGAGAATAGAATAGAATAGAATATTTGGGTCTTTGTTGCTTCCGAGCTGGCTGGTTTTCATGCAGATGTTTCATTACCCAACTAGGTAACATCATCAGTGCTGCTGATGTTATCTAGTTGGGTATTTAAAAGTTTGCAAGTTCAGAGAGCAGCAAGGACCCCACAATTCTTTAAGCTGTCAGAGATAGTAACTGATTTCAAAGCACAAACATAGGGCTAAGGTGAAAGCCAAAGAGTTTGTTGAGACTTGAATACTCTGATTTCTTCATATTTGTTTATATTTAGAAAATTCTGCCACCCACGAGTTGCATATTTTATCCGGAGGAAACAAGCTGCAAATTACCAGGCCTCACTATTCTGATACTGGAAATTATTCCTGCATTGCTTCAAATGTAGAAGGCAAAGCTCAGAAATTTTATGTTCTTTCTGTTGAAAGTATGTATGCATGTTTTTATGCTTTTCTTAAAACTGGGAAATATATGTAAAATAACTCCTGTTTACTCAATAGTTCCAGAGCTACTTACAAATCAGTATCTAAAGTAACAACAAGCATCTTCAGTACAGTGAATTCAATGGCTTCATGTGCAACTATCTATTCTTACTAAATGTTTGTTATCTCCTAAATTAAGTTTCTGAAATCCTTGAATTAATTTGTACGGAAGTAAAAATGATTGGAGATGTACTCAAGAGCTTTTCTTTTCCAAGAAGGCTCGGTGTTTTGATAGATTGTGTTTTTCTTGTATTTTCCTCTCTGCCTTATGCAGTTATTACTGATAGATATATGTTTATTTTGAAGTTCCTCCAGATATTGTTGGTTCTGAAATGCCAAGTGAAGTCAGTGGTATCCTTGGAGAAAACATCCAGATTTCCTGTGAGGCTAGTGGAATTCCTACACCTGTCATTCAGTGGCTAAAAGATGGGAAACCAATCAGCAATGGTGAATCTCAGCAGATAAGGTTAAGTGTTGAACTCTCTCTTTGAGAAGTGGAGCAGAATACAAACAAGAGAGGAGACAGAAAAGGGAAATGTTTGTGGAGATTCTTGGTCATCCAGCTCAAAAGGCAACTGGACTTCTTTTGTTTTTCCTTGAGAACATTTTGCTTATGACTCAGAACTGAAGAAGCTTCTTGGATGAGAAGTGAAATATCTTCAAGGAAAAACAAGGGAAGTCCAGTTGCCTTTTGAAAAAGCACCTTTGGAATAGAAAAGGGAGTTAAAAGCAAAAGAGAAGAAAGGTGTAGAAAACCAAAGCAGGAGGAAAGTGATAAGGACCAAACTTGAGATTTGGGGGCAAGATTTGAGGCCTAGATCTATATGTGTTATATAGATAGCATCATTATGCATTTGATGCTAATGAAATAAAATAAAATAATAAAATCAAATTAAATACCTTCAAAAACACTACACTTGTGTGAATATTTGTACACATAGAAATTGTGAATGCAGGCAAGAAAATGGCATCACCTCCAGTTGTAGTGATCATTTCTAAAATTTTAAGGCGTTATTCTAAATTGGATTTCCCCTTTCATGTATCTGGTGACAATTCCTTGATTTTACAGATAAGGGTTGACCATATTCATTCATTTCTTCTTCTCAACTTTTGTCTTATATGGGATTCTTTATATATGAGATTCATTTGTTGCACATTTTTATCCTTTGGCTGTAATTGGAGGTTTTTTTGGGGGGGGAAAAGGGAGTTGTTTTAATGTATTGTTAGCTATCCATTTGCAAAATCAGTGTCTATAAAAAAGTGATAAATATCTAGGATCACTGGAAACTTAATAGTATTTTAAACCAGCAGTCCCCAACCTTTACAGCTCTACAAACCAGCAATGGCAGTGGCAGCAGTGGGAGGAGGATATATTTTCATGCATGCACCCACTGCTTGTGCAAACGGAGCTTCACACACCCATCTGCCACTTGTGTGGCCTGGTTCCTAATGGGCTGCGGCCCAGTACCGGGCCACAAACCGGGGTTTGCGGACCCCTGCTTTAAATCATAGGCCGTTCATCCAATTGACATTTGTAATATACTCTGGATTCTGAATAAATGATCCTACCACTCCAACTTTCCTTATTTAAATATTAAAAGTTACAACAAAATCTTAATCAGTAATAATGAAAATATTAATGCATTCCCACTATTTGCATCAGGTAATGTACAACCTTTCCATGTACTTCCAAATTAAAACACCTGTTAAAAAGCACATATAAGGAGCTGACTGCCTTATATGACATGTTATTCAAGACACTGAATAATGAGCCAGAATGATACCCATTGCAAATATTCTCTGCAATGAACAGAGGTTTTTATTCAGATCATTTGTCTTGCTGACAAAACAGGATGGGCATGTTCCAGGTCTCCTCCCTTAAGTGGTGCCTCCTGATGGGACTTTGGAGGCATGTCTTCTTGGTGCCCACCTCAGCCCTTTGGAACAAGGCTGTAGAGAGCAATGAAGACCTGATTCTTCCCTCAAGCATTGGCCTAGGAAGAAAGGCTTGACGTCAAGGGATGTTTGTTCTTGTGCCTGGGGAGAAGGGCACTTTTGTTTTTATGGATTGTTGTGCGCTGCCTAGAATAATTATATGAGATAGGTGGTCATATAAGTCCAGAAAGAAAGAAAGAAAGAAAGAAAGAAAGAAAGAAAGAAAGAAAGAAAGGAAGGAAGGAAGGAAGGAAGGAAGGAAGGAAGGAAGGAAGGAAGGAAGGAAGGAAGGAGGAAAAGGAAGGATCTATAGACATGTTTCCAAAAATTCAGTATACTCTTTGATTTTCTTTCTTTCTTCAGTATGGTTCCAAATGGGAGCTTACTAAACATTTTTGGAGCCCTTACAAGTGATGGAGGGAAATATAGTTGTGTTGCTACCAATCCTGCAGGGGAAGAGGACCGGATATTCAGTGTGAATATATATGGTGAGCTTTGGTTTCATTTGTTGTTCTTCATCTAAGAAAATGTAAGACATCTTTGTCATAAGATCTTTCATAATGTTGAGGGACAAAAAAGATAGCAATAGCACTAACACTTAGACTTATATACCACTTCATAAGGCTTTTCAGCCCTTCTAAACAGTTTACAGAGTCAGCATATTGCCCCCAACAATCTGGATCCTTGTTTTACCGACCTTGGAAGGATGGAAAGCTGAATCAACTTTGAGTGGGTCAGAGTCAAACTCCTGGTACTCTGCAGAATTAGCCTGCAATACTGCATTCTAATCACTGCACCACCACAGCTCATGCTAAGATGTTAATTTTTTGTATGAATTTAATCATTACTGAATTATTAAATTAAGACATTCCTGTTTAATGTTGTACAGCTCAAAATACCTAAAACAAAATAATCCTATGGATTAATTTATGAAATATTAGATTGGTTAATCTTTGTGCTACTGAAAGAAGTTATTAAAATTCTGTTTGCATTTTGCAATATATAGATTTTGTGCTGTTATTACCAAAAGTAAGTAGTATTACCAAAAGTGTAGATGACAGTTCAATCATATGTTGATCCAATCTACAACTAAACTAACTATAAAGGCAGTAATTCTCAAACACAGTAGAAACATTGCAATAAATTAGAGTTAAACTAAATGTACACAGCTTTCAGTTTTCACATCAAGTTTTTGTCTCAAAGGGCAATCCTTTTAGTTAAAAAAAGCCATGTAAACTATTTATAAATACTGCTTTCAATATGGGTCAAATAGAGCACATGCTCGATAAGAGATGCTCAGCAATCTTGTGGCTAAAGAAGCTACCTAGATCACAATCTACCCATATAGTAAGGGTAAGCACTTTTATTTTGGTCAACGAACTATATTTGGCTATTAGTAGGAACTGCACAAGTGGAGAAAAGAGAGTACAAAAATACAATCAGTACCACCACAATCATGTATATAGGAACTCTCTTTTGTCACATCAAACATACAATTTTTGGACTAGTCATAAAACTTTGTGAGGCTGACTGTATCCTTGAGATCGTAAGGGGTGTACTCCAGTCATATAAGATAAATTCTTGGGCAACACTGCACAGAGATGCACATTATTATGCAGTTATCTGTAATAATGTCTGTCTGTCTAGCTCAGGGGTAGGCAACCATGACTCTTTTATGACTCATGGACTTCAACTCCCAGAATTCCTGAGCCAGCCAAGCTCTAGAAAAATCTGATCACAAACCCAAACTCTGGCTCAGATACGTAGACGACAGCTTCATAATCTGGCCACATGGGAAAGAAAAACTGGACAACTTCCTCACACACCTCAACAGCCTACATCCCAAAATACAGTTCACCATGGAAACAGAAGCTAATAACCAACTTCCCTTCCTGGATGTCTTAGTCTACAAGAAATCCAATGGCTCCCTAGGACACACCATCTACCAGAAGAAAACACACACAAACCACTATCTGCACGCTCTCTCACACCACCACTCAGCACAGATCAACTCCGTAGCCAAGACACGCATCTCCAGAACAAAACGCTTAGCTGATGAACAACACCTAAAAACCAAACTACACACTCTCACCAATGTACTAACATCCAATGGATTCCAAAGAAATAAGGTTACCAAACTAATCCAAAAAGAAACCCCCACTAAAATCCAAGACAGAGAACAAGAAAACGGCAAAGCCCTTCTCCCTTATATAAAAGGCACCACAGACAGAACCAGCAAGATCCTCCACAAACACAACATCAAAACAGCATTCTGCACAAACAGAAAAATATCCACCATCCTAAGAAACCACAAAGATAAAATTGAGTTAGAAAATCAAGGAGTATATGAAATCCCATGCACTGCTTGTCCCAACACATACATCGGACAAACCAACAGAAGAATAAGTGCATGCATTGAAGAACATAAGAACTCAGTCAAAAAAGAGGACCCAACTTCTTCCCTGGTCCAACACCTTAAAGCCACAGGACATGAAATTGACTTTAAAAATACCAGAACCATTGCCAAAAGTGAACATTTTAATAACAGAATAATCAGAGAAGCCATTGAGATAGAAAAACGCCCACACAGCATGAACAAGCGAGATGATATCTCCCGCCTACCAGCCATTTGGAAACCCGCCTTTATTGACAAACGACTCCCTAACACAAAAAATGATACCAGACCCACACTCACAAAAACCACACAGGATGTCACCACCACACATCCACGCAAAAAGCAAACCCAAAGCCACACCGATGATGAGGCATGACCACAAACCAGAAGCCAGACCACAGCTGCATCATTAGCCACTTCAAACCCCTCCATTCCATACATGAAGCAAACTGACACCCTCCATGAAGATGAGGCATGACAACGAACGCGAAGCCAAAAAATAGCAAGGCAGCCCAAAATCTTAAACCCCCCTGCAACTCAGACTATCCTGAGCACAACAAAGCCCCAACCCAAACAGAACACTCCCCCAGCCAATCAGAGCACAGCCAACCCCCCAGCCAATCAGAGCACAGCCAACCCTCCAGCCAATCAGAGCACAGCCAAGTCCCTAACCAATCAGAACACACCTCCACCCAATCAGAACACAGCCAAGCTCCCACCCAATCAGTTCATACCCCCACTGGCAGTTAAAAGGAAGAAACAGCTAAGACCACACATTGCTGCTCGAAGCATGAAGCTGAAAACACCAGCCTGAAGATGACGAATGGGACTTCGTCGAAATGTCGCCAAGACACTTCCAATTTTACGCAGGAGAAAACCCGAATAACCAAAGACCTACACACACACACACACACACACACACACACACACACACACACCTTTGAGTTACATTAGAAAATGACTCACTGAGAATTCTGTTTAAAAAAAGAGAAGGAGAAAAATATGGCTCTACAAGAACAAAATGCATTTCATAAATATGAAGAGACAGACATTATCATTTGTGTCTCTTTGATGTATTGCACTGGAAATGCTTTCTGGCTATGGACACAATTTATAAAGAAATGCCACATGATCTATTGAGGGAAATAGAAGGCTGCTAATCATGACATCTTAACATGATTTAGTTGGAATACTATGGGGGACATCTTTCTTGAATAGGAAAAAGAGTAATGGAAATAATTTCAAATTTCCATTATTTAATATACCAATACCTTCTTTCCTCCTTGAGTCCCTCTTCTAAATTCCTCTACCAATAGGATAATTGGTGTTGCTACTTGAAATGGGTCTCAGACTCTCATACATGATGCATTTGACTTATGTTCAGATGAGCAGTGAAGAGTTTTCAACAATATTTCGCTTTGTATCAAGTTTTGTTGCTGCTGCTTCTCCTATTTCATGATTTTTAATCCTTTTCAGATTTTTCGTGATTTTTTCTGATACTGTGTTTTAGAATTGCTCTTATTCTGAATAGAGATATTAGAACAGTGGTTATACTCCCATTAAATAATGCTCACTGACTGGGGTTATTGGCAGTGCTTTTTTTCTAAAAAAAAAAAAAGGTGCCAGAACTAACACACGTCATACAACCCGCTTTGCCTACCCTACAAGGTTCCATTCAAAAAAGGTGCCGGAACTCCGTTCTGGGCGTTCTATGAGAAAAAAAGCCCTGGTTATTGGTAGTCAGAACTGAAAATCAGTTAGAGGGGCTATAGGTTCTCCACCATGATTTTGAGATGATTTCAGCTCATTTTAAAAGAGGAGTATAAATGCTGATATGTAACTTGTTTTTTCCTTATTTGGTTACAAAATTTAGTGCCACCCACTATCAGTAAAAATAAAGAGGAACCTGAGGCCCTAACTGTGGTATTAGACACTTCAATAAACATTGAATGTCAATCTATGGGCACTCCACCTGCCCAGATAAATTGGCTGAAGAATGGTCTTCCCCTCTCTATATCTTCCCACATCAGGTTACTTTCAGCTGGACAAGTACTCAGGTAAAGTTTCATTAAAATTGCTCACTGCAAATTATGATGGTTTGATAATTTCAAAAAGTAGATTCCCCTCCTCTATTTTTTTTTGGGGGGGGAACCAGTGAAAAATCTAGAAGAAACTGTGAATATGTTTGTAAAATATGTTTGTAAAATATTCATCAGGAAGTCTTGCTCATTCACAAACTTCTTCTCATTCTCTTACACTATATGCACCTAGAAAGCTATATTATACTATATGTAACTAGAAAGCTAGTTACTATTGTCTCAAGGCTCCTCTCCTTACTATTTATTGTTATCTTTGCCTCTTTCTGAATGGGCTGTGGGGGCTCCTTTCCAAACAAACTATAGGATTGTACTGTGTTTGGGCATTCTTGGAAATAAAGATTATATTGGAGCTGCCTCTTTGTTTGGTAGCATAGGAGCATATGAGTTTATTGAATTGAAAAAAACATTTTACAATGTAAAAAATCAGATGAGAATAGAGTCTGGAGGATATCAGGGAAAGTATCCACAGGCACATTGGCTCCCTAAGCACCATATTGAGACTCCCAAGAGTTGGCATTAATTATCAAGAATTATTATCACTGCAATTTTAACATTTTGGAAGACAAGTGCCATTTTTTCCAACAATTAGGGCTTCTTCTCTCAATTCTTATGAAGGGAGCAAATGGTATGTTGCTTTTATTTGCCTCCAGTCTCTATCCTTAATCTGTCTCTTTTTTTTATGCGCCAAAATAAGTTATAGAATGCACTTGGAAATAAATCAATAAAGTTACATTAATTTATTTCTCTTGTATCCTGCACATCCTATGGTGATATACCCCATATAAATAGAAATAAAGATGAATTACTGGCCAGTGCTGTTTTTTTTTGTGCCTGTGTCAAATGACCCCATTGCCATTTATTTCAGAAAATAATTGCACATTCTCAGGGCCGGGACAAGAGATTAACATTTAACTGCCTCTCCAATAGGCCTCATTAACTCATCTGATTTTCCTTTAGACTTAACTTTAACTTGGTGTATAATATATACTATCCTCTTCTTAATAGCAAAGATCCAACAGATTAGACATCTATAAAAAGGGAGCCCATCATAATCACTCTGTGTTCCCATCTGACAAGCCTAACATTATCTGTAGATTATATCTTTTAGAAAACGTGCTAAAAGAATTTTTCTTAGAAAAAAAAAGGGATCCCAAGAACATCTTTGTTTCTCTCTACAGATATCTAAATTTTATTATTGAAAGTATACATTCAATTACACAGTAATGGGAGAAAATCTAATTTATATTGAATTTTTGAAAGGTTCCTGAAATCTCAGGGAAAACGTATTTACTAATAGACCTAGCAAAACCTAGTGTGTTCATTGATTCAATTCAATAAAATTAGCTGATCCAAAGATTCAATTACATGTGGAAAATCATGAATAGGAACATCTGAATGACTTCGAAGGCATTCAGCTTAATCTGAGACATCAGTTCATCTTTCTGAATGTCACTTGATCCAGTCAATCTTGAACTTCAACTCTGAATTCAAGATTTGCACATGGCCATTTTACAAATGCCTCAGAACATTTCTATATCTGGCCAAACTTGACAGATCGCAGAAGTTAAGTGTGGTTTTTACTTGTTAGTATAGGGATGAGGGAGTTATATCTGTTGGTTTAGTTAGGAAATCAAAAACCCAGATGAAGGCAGTTACAAACAATTTCCATAACAATGCCAATAAAATGGCAGCAGTCACCAAAAATTGAGCTTAATTTGAGAGCATCCTGGTCTTTTATTTTATAAATTGGTATATGCTGTGTATAAGGCAGAATAAGGGATTTTTTAATTTAAAAATAGGTTGTGGTTATCTTTTTTTCAGAATTGTTAAAGCACAGGTAGCTGATGTTGGCGTGTACACATGCATAGCCTCCAACAGAGCTGGTGTCGACAATAAACATTATAGTCTTCAAGTTTATGGTAAGCCCTTTTAAGCAATATAGAAGTTGTAACATCCTTGTGTATTCATAAATATAGATGGCCCTTGCTTATCAACCACATACTGACTGTTCAAAGTTACAATTGTTCTAAAAAAGAGTTATGACTGGATCTCAACACTGTGACCATTGTAGCATTGCCACAGTCACATGATTATGATTGTGGACAACTGCAATATACTTTATATAGGGCTTCCCTTGAAGAGCAATTGGAACCTGCAGCTGGTTCAAAATGCAGAGGGCTGGGGAGCCCTTTGATCAGAGCTTATTACATCTTTGGTCTAGCTGCATTGGTTGCTAATGTGCTTCCAGATTCAATTTAAGATGCTATAAAGCCCTTCATGGCAAGAACTGTTTTTCTATGATTGTGTCCTAATAGATCTGTCAGGAGGGGCCTGCTATGGATCCAAAATATTAAACAGTGGCAGTTTGCAGGATCTAGGAGAAAATCTATTTTGTCTTGGCACCTTTGGAACATCTTCTCTCAGATTTTCCACAACACAATCCTTCTTAAAGACCTTGAACACTTAATTCTTTCACTGGGCATGGAGATTAAGAAGTGTAGAAGAGCCCATGGAATGTTTCTATGATGGTTTTTTTAAAAAAAATCTCAGCTGACAATTTTATTGTGAAGTTGTTGTCACATTGTTTTTTTTTAACCTTTGTTAACCATCTGGAGTTATAATATTGAAATATGTTAATACATTTTCTGATATGAAATCAGTTTGTTGTTTCATAAACTAAAAAAAAAATTTATATCCTTCATGGCTTTATTTCTTTATAGTACCCCCAAGCATAGACAATGGTGGAGAAACAGAAGAAGTAACTGTACTAAAAGGGAATCCTGTATCTTTGGTGTGTTTGGCTAATGGAATACCAACACCAACTATATCATGGCTAAAAGATGGTCAGACTTTAAGCAGTAACTTTCATGTGACTTTTGAAAACCAAAAAATGGGTCTTCGTATATTAAACTCAGAGGTTAATGATACAGGTAGATATACCTGTATAGCATCCAATGAAGCTGGGGAAGACAATCAACACTTTATTCTGAAAGTGCTAGGTAAGTATTATCTATTTACAACTAATTAGTGGTCTGATCAACCAGAAATTATAATAATGTTTTACTAAAGCAAGAATAGGATCTGTGTGACATTAGTTATTTGGGTCTCATACAGTATACTTTGATTTGAATCTATTGCTGATCAGCTCACTATATAACTAAAGCTATCATAATGAATGTTTAGAATGACTACTGTATACTAAATTGTTATCTTTTTTATTGATTGCTTAAAGTGCTTTCAGCTGGATACAAAAGGTGGATAATATCTAAGGGCTACTTATGTACTGAATGGGTAATAATATGGGGATTTTCTGTTTATTCTCATACCTCTCTTGTAAATTGTCAGGGTCTTTTTTGAGGATGACATTATGGATATCTTTTTTCAGAACCTCCTCATATTAATAAATCAGATAACCCAGAAGAAATTTCTACAGTGATTAACAATCCTCTTGAGCTTCTCTGTATCTCTGATGGGATTCCAATCCCCAAACTAACATGGATGAAGGATGGACGCCCACTGCATCAAGCAGACACTGTTCATGTCCTAAGAGGAGGACAGGTCTTCAGAATATCCAGTGTTCAGGTAGCTGAAAGATAGCTATTTAATTTTTTTACAGCCATTTCAACTGTTTTAATGTATTCAGTTTTATTTCTAACTGAGATGTTGTTATCTTTTAGGTAGAAGATACTGGAAGATATACATGTTTGGCTTCTAGCCCTGCAGGAGATGATGATAAAGAATATTTAGTGAGAGTACATGGTAACGTTAATTTGGATAAATATGATGAAGAACTGCCAAATTTTCCTATACCAGCCTTTCTAATCCAAGCAAGCTCCCTATGTGTGAAACTGAATTCCCAGAATTCCCTAGTTAGCATGATCATTGCTGAACATTCTATAGATCTGTGCCCAGGTTGAGGAAAGTTGTTCTATTGCGTATTTTTTAGTGATCCTGTCTTTGTCTATCTGTTTCATATATAGAACACTGTGAAATAGGCATGGAAAATTAAATGCTTAAGTTCATTTTCAAATAGATTTTTATGCTTTATCTCAATTTTTTAAAAGTTAGGTTCATTAAATTAGGTTCATTCTCATTCTCAATTCTACCATCTCAACATGTCTTTGATAACAAACTAGTAGATTTTTCAAAGGCATTCCAATAATCACATTGACCCCACATATCCACCATATCCACTGCCTTCCATTTCTTCTTCTTTCTCCATACACATTGCATAATATATGAGTTTCTGCTTGCTGGTTATTATCTCATGGCAGCAATCAGTCTCTACTTGATGTGAGATTGATTGGTTGGTTAGTTGGTTGCTCTTACAGTCAAAAGAACTCCTCATAACAAAATCAAAATCCATAATCAAAAGGTTTTTATTTTCTTTTTCTTAATGATGAGCTTTCACTACTATATATTTCACAATGCTTTAACTATTGCAGTCCTCATTGTCATTGCAATATTCTTATTCTTAAGTCACTATTTTCTCCCTATGATTAATCTCTCTGTTTCTCTAGCATACTGCCCACCTCTATCTATTCTTGGGCTCAGGAAAATACAACTATTTACCACTTTCACTTCTACAGCATCAACTGTAAGTTCACTCACCGTGTAGGCTGACATTAACTTTTCTGTTTAATATTTAATGTTACAGACTTAGATTTTTTATTTATTTACAGCCCTAGACCAAGTCACAAGTACACCATTAATACAGGCATATATAAAAGTACATCCATATATAAAAGGAGGAAACCCTATAAAATTAACATTCATTGATGGGACCAAACAGTATCTACAACTTAAGGCACTAAAAATGCCTTTGAAAATCCTGAATATCAACCATTTAATAATGATTTTTTTCATCATGAATGGAATATATCAAACTGAAGTGGGAGTGTATGAGTTCTGATCTCCAGTGTGAGTATAGTGGGTACTTTCAAAGGATGTGTGAAACAAACTCAACATCTATATTTAAGCAAATACATACTTGGATCTTCATATGAGAGATTAGCATGTTGATCAGATGTCACCCTAGCAGGAGAGTGTATATACATGCTAGTAGGGAGAGCATCTATACGTGTTAGAGAGAAGAGCCTTCTGTGTGAAACATACAAAATCTTACAGAAGTAATTGGGTATCCAGAAGGAGAGAGCAATTTTTATATGAGAGATGTGAAGGTTTGGGTCTTCCTGAATATCTAAGTCCCATATCTTCTGCTTAGGTTCTGCCATGATTATTTTTTCCTAAACTTAAAACAAGTAGGGCTGGTATTGACAGTCCACACTGACTCAGATCTTGTTCTATTCATCAGCTTCCAATGGGTTGAAACCTGGAGACTATTTCTCCAGGGGTGCTTCTGGCACGTGCGCTGCAGCTCCTGTTCATGTTAGAAGCTGCTGGCCCTTTACAAGATTTTGCAAGAGGATGTTTGGCCTGAGAGTGAGCAGAGGTTCTGTGAGTTGACTTGGCCAGTGCTGGAATCACTTCCACCCCTTGCTAAAGTTCTGAATATTACTAGGCATATATCTAAGTAATTGGACTTGATTCAGAGATTTCAGAACTATTTGACATTCTGTTCACGTTGTCCATGAAGATTGAGGTATCTTGGACAGTGTAGAAATGAGAAACAGGGAAACTAAAGAAAGCTTCCCAATGGTTTCATTTCTCACTGAAAATGAATGTGTATAGCAACAAACTTATATCCAACCTGATGCTTCTGTATATTTGTGTGTGCATGTGTGTATTTTCAATTCAGCAGGGCTCTGTTCCTTGAATTAAAGTACACCTATGTTTTTCTTTTTCTTTTATAAATTGATGGATTATGTGGTGTTTGCTAGTTAATGATCATATAGAACAGGCATGTCAAACTGCCGGCCCGCGGGCCAGATGCGTCACGCCAAAACTGTGCCCACCCCATTGCCAGCAATGGGGGAAAAGTTGCAATATGTCGCGAGATGTCACGTGACATCGTGAGTTTGACATGCCTGATATAGAATATCTTTTTATAATCAGTTAAACAGGAAACAATTATATAGATCATGTATTCTTGACTATTTAAAAATTAGGAAAATACTGGAGTAGCAGTCAGCTTTTGGGACTAAAAACACTGTCAGGAAAATCTTTACATGTTGGTGAAGGCTGCTGTACTCATCTATTTCAGTAATGGCAGGAAAATCCAATTGTGCATTAACAATGATATCTACAGAAATAGTGTGTGACTAGCTATTTCCAAATCCAAATTTTCCAATATTTTTTCCCTGTTCATATTTGACTAAGATCTGTTTGAACAATAAATAACTAAACGAATTGGCTTCTTAAGTTTTAGACATCAATCAGACTGCTGGCACAGCATATGATCTTGCTATGAAAAATGACATTAGAAAATGTTAACATTTACAGATATTAAACTGGACTAGAATATATTAAATTATTTGAGGATTACAGGATTAGATTGTATTAGATAGCATATATCAACATTTATTGACATGCTTCCAGATTTAAAGCTTTCAGATAAAGGTATAGAATGTATAGATAAAATATCTACTCCTAGATTCAGTTTGGATGCAAAAGAAGTGAAATATTAATAAGATTTTTAAATACTTAGGTGAGAGACAGAATTTTGCAAAAAGAGACGAATTAGGTTCAAGATAACATCATTTTTTTCAATATTAGTCCAGCTAAAGCTTTCAAGACTATAGTTGAAGTATAAAAAAACCTGAATACATTATATATGGGAGTTTTACTGAAAGTTAATTTTCTTTCAGCCACAAGGAAGAGAGAGACTATTTTTATACTTCAAGAGTTGAATAGACTTAACATATAGTATCTAAAGGGTATTGTATGAAGAACTAATAAAAACAATCTTTGTTGCATAATTTATGTATCTCGAGAACAGTACAAGTAAAGGAATTTTTTCCACTTGAAAATTACATGATTGTTATAAAATAAATGTTTAATATTGTATTACTTTAATGTAAAACTGTAAACAAGACAGAAACAGAACTATAATATGGCAATAAGCGAATAATGTAGGATAATTTCACCAAACGTTAAGAGTTAGATAATCCAATAAAAGTAACTAAAATCAGTGAGTATTACAAATATTTTAATCAGGAAATTTATAAATCAGAAAATATTAAGCACAAATATCTTAGAAGACAGCTTTTTGAAGAAGGGAATTGTAATTCAAGAGAAATATCTATCTTACTTAAAGCTGATGGTTTTATGGTAGAAAATATTTAAAAAGAGAGGGAGGATTAATTTTTAATAAAAGGGGTAATCACTATACTGCTGTCTTCGATATATACAGCAAATAAGAATCAGACTGATTTTGTAGAAAAAAACTATGGTAATGACAGCTTTGAATAAATTTGGTTGGGAGAATTTATCTCCCTAAGATGTGTGGGCTTCCACTACCAGAAATCATCTATGTTTTAATGACTGCCTAAGAAAAGCAATTTGTTTTGAGACTGACAAATGGTCATGTCCAGAGCTAATCGAATTATGACAGTGTCCCTCTATGTAAGTTAAATGTTTGCATTTATTATGCTATTTATATTTCTCTTTGGCAGTTCCCCCAAATATCGCTGGCACAAGCAATTCTCAAAATCTTAGTGTGCTACAGAACCAGCAAGTTATACTAGAGTGCAAATCAGATGCAGTTCCTCCTCCTGTCCTTACATGGCTCAAAGATGGAGAAATTTTGGAGGTATATTCTCTATGTCTTTTGTCTGTGATTTATCTTAATTGGGGAAGTAAACTTTGTGTAGGTACTCAAATTGTATATACAGTGGAGGATTTGGCTTGTAAGGCATGTATGTCATGTTTCCATAAGAATCTACACATACCTAGCTCCTTGTTTGTAGGCTGGATCAATTTGACTCCTTAGTATGTATACTTTAGCACTGCATCTGTTCATGTTAAGTTTAACTTATAAAGTATCCTTTGCAGGCAGAATGAAGTAGTTTAATGTTTAATGCAGGATCCATTCTTTTCTGGGAAATGTGCTCACCTATCAAGGGAAAAAATAGTATAGTGCAGCAGAAGAACATAGTGTGAAACTCACATGAATATTACCTATTAAATGGGTATTTGCACCTTGATAACCATTTTATGCGTAGGTTCTCAACACTGATTGCAGCCATTTGTGGGCCTGCTGACGGCATATTGTCAGCATTCGATATTCATCCAACAACAATTTCAAAATAAAATAAAATAAAATATAACAAATAAAATATAACAATAACATTTAATTAATTAATTAATTAATTAAACAGAAAATTAAAAAAACAAAATCAAAGGGCAAATTCGATGGGCCACTAGATCTTTTTCTACCATCGGGTTTCTATGTTTCTAACATTCAAATGTGTATACTGAACTCAGGTTTACTACTCCTCCATTAAAGTGCTGAAGTAGGACTAGAACAGTGGTTCTCAATCTGTGGGTCGGGACCCCATTTGGGGTCGAATGACCATTTCACGGGGGTCGCCAAACAACGCAGTCTGCCATTTTTTCCCCCTTTTCCTTAGCTGTGCTACTCCCTTTTATTCTATTGGCTTTTGAAAGCCAATAGAATAGACTCTCTTGAATAGAGTCTAATTCTATTGGCTTTCAAAAGCCAATAGAAATAGTCCAGGCTGTCTCTGCCCTGCTGAGCCCACCAAAAGTCCCATTCTGCAAACAGTGCCGCACCAGTTGAGTAGTCCTCGACTTACGACCGGTTGGGGGTCACGGCATTAAAAAGGTTGAGAACCACTGGACTAGAAGAACCCAGGTTCAAATCCTCTTACTCATGGAAACTTAGTATATAACAGTCACTGTCTTTCAGCTGACCTTATAAGGGTTGCTGTTATGGAGATAAAATAGAGATTGGTTTGAAAACCACTTTGAGCTCATAGAAGAAGGATGGATTATAAATTAAGCAAACCAACAAACAAATAAATGATAGTCTTTATCAATATCGTCTCCCATTCCTAAACTCTATTATTCCCTATCTAGTATAAATAAAATAGATTATGTTGATTATTTTTACTGAAAAGATTTTGAAATTTTGAAAATCTGATTCTCAGGCTACTCGCCGAGTTCGCATTTTATCCAGTGGAAGGTATTTGCAAATCAACAATGCAGACTTAAACGATGCAGCAAATTATACCTGTGTCGCAAGTAATGTTGCAGGCCGAACCACAAGAACGTTTGTATTGGATGTAAATGGTAAGGGAAGAAGTTAAATTTATATAACCTTTGTGGGATATTTCCAAGAGTTAATGTTCAAAATATTTAGACTTCTCAAAGAAACAGGTTTTGTGATCTTTCATCAATTCATTTCTGGGTGGAAAAAAGTGCCCCCAAGACTTCTTTTTTCCTATTTTGATTAAAAATGCATTATTTTAATTTTGATAGTTAAAGCAGCTTTTGTAAATTTTAAAGATACGCTTGTAGTTCAAAAAAGATGTTCTTCAATTTTCATTTTTAAATGTTACGTAGCAGTGTGTCCTTTGGTAAGAGAACAATGCTTAGGAAACTTTAAAATATATATGGACTTGTGTTTCTTTATCCAGTGCAGGCTTATCTAGAAATCAGTCTCTTTGAATAAAAAATGTGTTTAAAAATAGCATAGTAAAAGTAAACAAAAACATAATTATATATTTTCAGTGGGCTGTACACAAGAAAGGTAAATATGAATTTACATTATATGACATGTATTTTTGTTTTAAATAAAACAAAAGCAGAAATATTCATCATTGCTGTACCTGCACTGCAAAACTTCAAATATTTACTCATTGGCAACAAAAAATATGGTTTTCTGTATTGCTCTACTGCATTTAGTGGTTCTCTGGGTTTTTACAGCCCAGAATTGTGTAAGAAAAGCCAATTTTATACACTTAAAACCTAGGGCCTGTATTTTGGGATGAAAGAAAATCTCATTTCAAATGGAAGGGAAGAGCTCATTTCAATAAATCTTAAAAGATTTAAATAAATAAATCTGTCTGGGAATCTTTCTTTGTATAGTTCCTCCTTCAATCAAAAATGGTTCTCAGACTGTGATTGTGAATATTAATATGTCTGCTGTCTTGGAGTGTGCTGTGGAAGGTGTTCCAGTCCCAAGAATTTCATGGAGAAAAGATGGAGCCCTTTTAGCTGGACACAATGTCAGGTAAACACTGATTTCATGAACAGATGTTCGGTGGTACTGTCTCTATATTTTTTCGTAATGTATTATGTTGAGAAAATTGATCTAATTGACTGAACTTGTTATGTTCAAGTAGATAGAACAAAGTGTTAAAACATATCTGATATCAGATTGTTGAGTGTGGATTTTACGAACGCTACAGCCTGACATGTGTGTCTACTAGTGACAACATAACTTTGACCATGTACTTTTCTTATGGAGGTAATTTGCTATTACCTTCTTATGGAATTATTTTAACTAACCAATCTAACCTACACCTCTGGAATTTCTGTGATCTTCATCCAAGTACTAACCAGGTCTGACTATTAACTTTTTTTCTAAAATCTCCCAAGGTGACTTAAATGTCCTGCCTGTTTTGCCCAGCAAGTAAGACATTTCTCAGATCTTGTGGATTCATGATATTACCAACTCACATCTAAACACAACATTCTAGAGCAGGGGTCCCCAACCCCTGGTTCATGGACCGGCACCGGTCTACAGCTTGCCAGAAACTGGTCTGTGCAAACAAGCAAAGCCCCATCCATGGGATGTAGGCAGAAGACGAAACCATGCTTCCTCCAGTCCGTGGAAAAACCTCTCTCCATGAATCAGTCCCTGGTGCCCAAAAGGCTGGGGGGCCACTGCTCTAGAGATATCTGCACATGAAAAATTGTTTCTGTCATTATATTTATACATTCAAAATTTGTGATTAAGTTTGGGGTAGAATAAATGTAGTCTTAAATTCAGATTAAGTGAAAAGTATGTTATCTAATTTTAGAAGATGATGAATTTCACTCATGTCAGTTAACTTAAGGCAAAGGTCCATACCAATCTGACAAGCCAGTAGAAAAAATATTTCTGCAGTATATAGTACTTGTGATGGTCTGTCATTTAAAATATAGAAAAAGATTTAGAAAGCACTAGAGCCTGAATAAAATTAACAAAGTTGCTGTAAATTTTTGTAAGGTGCACATACATAAGGAAGAGTGGTTACATTTCTTTCATATTTATGAGCTTCTTAAGTTTCTGTTTACAGTCAAAAACCAAAAGCTCATGTATAGGAACTTCTCATGTGATTGCTACAGATTATATTTGTGGCAATTTAAGCAATGTTGAATTTTGATAGAGAACTGACAGAACCAAAAGTTTAAGCCTTTTATATAATAAATGTTTGATCAAATATTTTTTTCCTGCCCCCCACCCCACAAAAGAATCTTCATTTTGTTCCCTACATTTCAAATTACCATCTTTGGTATCAATTGAACTAAAATTAAAGATGGTAGGAGATTATTACTAAATTTGAATCTGCTTTGGTTTGAGAAAAATGCAGTTAAACTTTAAGGCAGCAGTATTTAAGGATAAGTGGAAATTATTTATTTATTAAATTTATATGCTGCCCATTTCCCTGATATGGTGATCCTGTAAGGCTTACAGAACATAAAAAGATAAATAGAAAACAGTTAAAATTTTAAAACTATGCGTATTAAAAATTTAAAAATATGCAAAAAAAAAACCATAACCAAGAAGAAGGACAGCACAGGGACGAAGTCTTCTTACCCTGTCAACCACCTCCAGTACTGTGTGCCCCCTCAGGGTCCCAAGGCAACTGGCAAAACCAAGTTTTATTATCCTTCCAGAAAACCAAAAAAGTGGGAACAGGTCTCACCTTCAGTGATAGAGTGTTCCACAGGGTCAGGCCATAGCAGAAAAGGCTCTTCTCCTTGACTACACACCTTGGAATAACTTAGCAGATGGAGTCTATAGCAGGCCTCTTCCAATGGTGCAAGTGCAGCAGGCTAATCCCATTGGCTTATTTCATGCAACTGTGTATTTAGGAAAATATATTGCAGTAGTATTTATTTTTCAATAATTATAAAGTACGTAACTGTTTTCTAAAAGACAGGTTATCTCAGGAGTTTTGGTTGAACTCTGTAGAAATGTAATACATGAAATAACAGTTCGTTTGACTTTTTGAATAGTTTCTCCTGTGATGCTTTGCAATTATCTGAGTTCAAAATATAAATGCTGGTGAATATGTACATGAGTATATAAGAATTTGTGCATGTTCTTTATTTTATGCAACTAGGAGAATACATCATGTGTCTACATTTATTTTAAAAGCCTTTCAGCATCTTCTAAGTCATTGTTGTGAACCAGAGAATCAAACACAAATGTATGTTTCCTGCTTCTTTTATTTATACGATTTTAATATTAATTTTGTAGTGCAGAGGTCCCCAACCTTTTGGGCAACAGGGACCGGTTCCATGGAGAGAGGTTTTTCCACGGACCAGAGAGTGTGTGGTTTTATGTGCTGCCTGCATCTCGTGGATGGGCCTTTGCTTGTTTGGGCAGCCTGGTTGCTGGCATGCCGTGGCCCAGTATTGGTTCACGGACTGAGGGTTGGGGACCCCTATTGTAGTGGACTCTCTTATGAAACACGGGACAGAGGAAAAACAGTTGTATGAATAAGAAAATTTTCCTCTCTCACTGTGTGTATTGAGAATGTATTAAATTCCCTGTGTTTTATTTCAGACATTCACTATTAGGAAATGGATCCCTTCACATACATTCAGCCCAGGTTACTGACACTGGGAGATATCTTTGCATGGCAACCAATGTGGCTGGCACTGAGCGTAAGAGGATTGATCTTCAGGTCCATAGTAAGTATGCCTTTTTTTCAGATAGACAAGTACTATAGAAGAAACTGAATCGGCTTAGACTAAGAATGCTAGACAGGACCCATATAATCCTATTATCTCTTCCATGCTGGACCATAATGTGGTAATCCCTACTCATTGAATGACTAGGAAGACCTCATCCCCATGCCATCCATCTCTTAGTTTTGGTTTTTGTATAGTTTTTAGAATGTAAATCTGTTTTAATATTTAATTTAATATTAATTGATATTTAATATTTAATTAATATTTAATTAAATATTTGATTATTAAAATTACTGTTTAACTAGTTTTAATATTTTAACATATTTTCAATATTCTTCTACTTGTTTTATAACTTGTCAGCTGCCCAGAGTCACCTTATAGAGGAGATGGGTGGCATAAAAATTAAATAAGTAAACAAACAAACAAACAAATAAAATATCCTTTTTTGACTAATTAATTAATTAATTGGACATCAGTAAGGGTTGGCTTAGAATGAATGATGTCTATATGGAACTCCCACTGTTCCTGAAGATACATGCATTTATGTTGGATCACTAAGGAGTGGATTGGGGGAGTTTTACTTGAGCTATACCTGCTATGATAAACTGTGCTCTAGTCAAGTCATTTGGTAAAGTCCAATCATCTTTTTTTCTTCAGTTTCTCCATATATTGCCCCAGGACCTGTCAATGTCACAGTATCTGTAAATATACAAACCACACTACCCTGTGAAACTACAGGGATTCCTAAGCCAGCCATAGCCTGGAAGAAGAATGGGCATGTTCTCAATTTGGATCAGAACTCATTCAGGTAAAAAAAAAGGGTTTTATTTGTTTTTATGACTACAGAACAGTGATTGCATGTAATGCTTTAAAAAGAATAAAAACCTACTCTTCCACCCCATACAAAGGGGAGGTTTAACTTATTTTTCAAATATACAAAGGGCAAATCTGTAATTTCTATTTGGTTCACTCAGTGGGAGCTTCGTCTTAGCGACTTTGAAAAATACTCCCCTTGTTTTCCACCATATCCATAGAATTGCAAAGCATCTATATATATATTAAAAAATCCTTATGTTACAGTATAGCATTCTTTCTTTCTTTCTTTCTTTCTTTCTTTCTTTCTTTCTTTCTTTCTTTCTTTCTTTCTTTCTTTCTTTCTTTCTTTCTTTCTTTCTTTCTTCTATAAATTTTTCCTGCATACAAAATTCCAATAGTCTTAGAGGACAATCTAGAAATAAAAAAAACACAACTGTTTCTTATTGCTTTGATTATTGTAACATCACAGCTATAGTGGTGCCCTAAGGGAAAAAAGAGGGAGACAAAAAGGGTCTGTGATAGGGTCTAAATCAGTGGTTCTCAACCTTTTTAATGTTGCGACCCCCAACCAGTCGTAAGTCGAGGACTACTCAACCGGATGTAAGTCAAGGACTACTCAACTGGTGCAGCACTGTTTGCAGAATGGGACTTTTGATGGGCTCAGCAGGGCAGAGACAGCCTGGACAATTCCTATTGGCTTTTGAAAGCCAATAGAATTAGACTCTATTCAAGAGAGTCTATTCTATTGACTTTCAAAAGCCAATAGAATAAAAGGGAGTAGCACAGCTAAGGAAAAGGGGGGAAAAATGGCGGACTGCGTTGTTTGGCGACCCCCGTGAAATGGTCGTTTGACCCCAAATGGGGACCTGACCCACAGGTTGAGAACCACTGGTCTAAATAGATATGTGGGAAGGGGGTGTGAAGACATCTGGGAAAATGAAGAAAAATAAGGGCAAAGCATGAGGACTAATGAGAAGTCAATCTCTAAAGGCACCTCTCTCTCTCTCTCTCCATCTCTCTCTCTCTCTCTCTCTCTCTCTCTGTGTGTGTGTGTGTGTGTATACACATACAAACCACCCCCACTCACAATCAGGTGTTGCAGTGACCTTATGTTTGGGCTGAGCATCCTTGCCAATCAGGAACGTCCTCCAAGAATTTGTCTTAAAAATTACCGAAGAATAGCCCAAATACTATGTGCTACAGTGCAGAATTGCCTATAGTCTTAAATCTGGGAACGGAGACTTACAGTTTCCATAGATTTTAGGAATTAAATCATCTATCATTTAGCTCATGCAATTGCAACAAATGTTTCATAAATATTACTTTAATACCATCTGCCTGTCTAACATTTTGGCAATATTTTCATTAACTGTCTTGATAAACTGCCAACAGTCTTAATCTTTTTTTAAAAAAGGATTATGAATGTGTGTGTTTACATCTCTCTCCTTCGATGCCAAAATCAAATACTACAAATTAAGAGATCCTGCTTCTGTTCCCTTGTTTTAAAGTGGTACCTGGGAAAATACTGATGGTCCGACAAAGAATGGTGTCAATCCCGAAGCATGTCAGTATGTTGGGTATATTCTTAAGAAAGGCATATGTGTAAAGGCCCCATATAAGAAGCTTCCTCCTCCTGTTATTTTGGAGTGTGGGCCTCCTTTATTCTGGGGATGGGAGCGGGTCACCCTAGTCTCGCAGTTGAAGACGGGATGGAAGGGGACTTGCATCGTACATGTAATCCCGGTGGAATTTGGAGTTACTATCCAAAGACCTCCGAGGAAGCGCCCAGAGAGAAAACGAAGTAGAAGGTCCCATCAGAATAAGGATATGCCCCATCCATTGGAGTCGAGGATGCAATATAATTTGTGGGTCCAATTGGCTAAACTAGCCAACACAACTGATTTTTGCCTTTCTGAAGCATATGAAATGGAGAATCTGCTGGCCACATGTTTAATACCAGTATGTGTTCCTGTCACAGCAGCCAAGGAGTTCAGTCAACACGAGTTTAAAGAACATATAGGCTATGAAACAATGTACAGCTGGGGTCACATTTCCAAGTTGCTACCCACTGATGCTTTAGCTTTACATACTCCTAACGTAGCCATTCCAGAAGACTCACAATGTGCACAGATCACAGGGTGTGAGCAGAATACACCTTCACCTCATTGCCTGAAAGTGAGCCAAAAAAAGCTAAATTGCACATCTTTCCAAACAGTGTCTTTTGGGTATGCAAACATATGGTTACCTAAAGGGTGGTTCTTCATATGTAGGAATTCCAGAGACAAGAATATAACAACATACCTACATCAGACCCAAGTGTTACAGAATGAAACTTATCTGCAAGGATAAGTCTCATCAGGGGGGAATAAAGTGGTACCTGGGAAAATACTGATGGTCCGACAAAGAATGGTGTGTGAAAGGCAGATGGCCCGACAAAGAATGTGTGTGAAAGGGAGGTTTGTTTTTGCTTACCAGACAGCTCTTAAATTTAGAATGGCCAGACATCCTGTTCTCAGCTCTGCACATGATATATTACTAAGTGCTTATCACATGGTGTATCTAAACTGCTTAACACTTGATATATTACTGATTGCTAAAAGCATTCCGATGTAAAAGAGGAACTATCAATTATAGATCTGTCTAGTAGTTTTCCTATGTTAGAATAAGGAACTATAGAATGTAACCATGTATGGAATGTGACTTACTCAGGAAATAACCACATCTGAAGGGTTATAAAAATGGTCATCAATGCACAGCCTGTTGTTCAGACTTTTTTAGCCACGATGGCTCTCTGAACCTGCGCAATAAACTTCCCTTTCCTTGAAAGAGCTGACTCAAGTCTTTCATTTTCTACAACAGTTTGAATCCCAAACAAGCAGATCTTATCTGTATATTGTAAATTCATGTAGCTTAGAAGAGTATGGGATCTTCCTTTCTTCTTGCAGAAAATATTGGGAAATAATTTATTGGACATAGTTTAGATGGAATAGGATGTCCTTCAGAGATGTAAAGCTTTCTAAAAGATCAGGTAACGTCCATCAGGGAGATGAAATAAATCAGCATTCAGCTAGCCAATTAACATTTAAAAATGAAAAAGCGAAAGTAAAAGTTCAAAAAAGTTGAAAGTTAAAAGTCTTGGGCTTGTTTATGAAGATGTCTGCCTGTCAGAAGAGATGAAAGCCCCCTGACTTTTCAGCTGCACCCTCACAAGGAGTTGCAATCTTCAAGATTCCCCCTCCTGGGTGGGTCCACAGCTTTCCAAAAGTCATCTTGGGTTATTCCTAACTGCCCCCATCAAATCCAGGAGGCAAGGCTGCCAAAATACCTGCTCTGGCAGTGAACACAGCAGATTGTGGGTAAGAGAAATAAAGGCTTTCACGCTGTAGCAGCCATTGGGGGAGGAGAGAAGGAAAGCCTCCAGTATGATGATGACAATTCTTTTATTTCCATCTTCCTCAAGAGACGCTATGCAGGTTTTTGCCAGTTGCAAAACCAGGTTGAAAATCAGAATTAGAATCAGAAGCCCTTTCTGCTTCTTGTTTTTTATGATTTATTAGCAGAGTAAACTCTCATTAATTATGTGTTGGGTACAGCAATTAGATCTGAAGTGACTCTCTGGAAGTCAAGTATCATCTCGGTTTGATTCACAAAATAATTTGGTGGAAATCTTTATTTCCCTCAAGAAAAAAAATTGTATAAGAAGATAATACCTGAAATCTATGTTTCTATTGTTCTTTTGTTAACCTCAGTATCTGAATTATTTCTCTTAGGACAAACACTGTGGTAAACTGTAATAATTCTTTTTGTGCTTTCTTCCAGGCTTTTGTCGTCAGGTTCGCTAGTAATTTTTTCTCCTTCTGTAGAAGACACTGCACTCTATGAGTGTATAGTAACCAATGAAGCAGGCAAAGATCAAAGGACTATTAGTCTCATGGTAGAAGGTACAGGATTAACACTGGAATAAATCCTTTTATTTTTTTTAAGCTTATCTACTAGGAAGTTTCAGTTGGAGAGCTTTATTTTAATGATGAAAATCAGATTTCAAAATAAAATTAAAAAAAATAGAACAAAGGCGAAGATAGTTAAATGGAAAGCTGTCGATGCTGAACTCTGGGACTTGCTAATGCATTCTGTTGCAAACCTTTCCTTTTACACGGAAAATGAAAATCCTTCCAATCAATATAATTCCATAAGACATTGCATTGTAGATCTGTACATTATTTTAATATCTGCTTTGTTTGTATCACAAATCCTTGTCAATAATTAATCCTTTCCATAAAGTATTTTTTAATCATTTTGCATTTAAAAAAGAAACGAGGTCCATATGTTTTTCTGTTCAGGTAGAAACAATAAGCTTACTCAAATATGAATACATTAGTATTGTAATGCGGTATATTCTTTAGTGTTCTGGCAATTGTAGATCATTCAAGGAGACATCATCACAATACAGATGATTAATATCTATATTTGTCTTTATTTACTTTAGTGCCACCATCCATAGCAGATGAAGTTACAGATCTATTAGTAACCAAGTCATCACCCATAATCATTCCCTGCACAGCATCAGGTGTTCCAGTGCCTTCAATCCTTTGGACCAAGAATGGAATAAAGCTTCCTTCTCGAGGAAATGGCTTCAGAATTCTGTCTTCAGGTTGTGCATGCCATGAAAACAGTATATAGCTGAACAGAGATGTGTTGTGATGGGGTGTTGCAATGAAAAAAAAATGTCAAGAAAAGTGGAGCATTAAAGTTTTGCTGCTCTTGTCTGCTGAATAAAATAGGATGTTTTGTCAGGGACATATTTCACTCAAGGTCTGTAGCAATAGCTAAACTCTTGATATATCCCTTCAATCATTGCCAGTCTGTGATGATCCTCATCTTGGAATTATGATATCTTTTGCTGTCCAATTCAGATGTGATGAAATATAAAATCTTTCAATTTAGATGTAATACAGAATAGAGAAGATTAATACTACAAATTCCACGGGTTTTATTTTTCCTGGAATTGTATCAAAACTACCTGATAATCACCAATGGTCATTAATTACTGCTTAGCATAATCAATGGAAGTCTCCCATTTCTTCTTTTTAGGTGCTATTGATATAAGCACTGCTCAACTGGACCATTCAGGAAAATATACTTGCACTGCATGGAATGCTGCTGGCTCTGCATATAGACATATCACCCTTCTTGTTCAGGGTGAGGTGGGAACTAGTATGTTTCTTACCTTATTAATAGATTTTTTTTCCACACAACTAGAAATCTAAGAGTTTTCAACACATTCAGAACAGAAAATGGTATGGCCCAGCAGATCTGTACTACGAAACTGCATGGATATTCTTTATTCCTTCCATATAAAAGCCCATCAGGATTTATAAATAAACATATTAAAGACATAATTCTTACTTAAACTTTCCCCCCGATTTCCAGCTTTCTATATTGCAGAGAAAAATTCTTCCACCTAAAATGCTGTGATTAATTTTTTCAGATCTGCTCTTACCTTACAAGCCATTTTAACTTAATATTAAATCCTTGGAATCTTGAAAATTAAAAAAAAAAGTTTTGTGTGCTAGTTGTGGGATGTTGGGTAGCTAAGTTTTGCAATTTACAATTTAATGGTTTTAGTCGGGTAGAAGCACTCAGAGAATTTATTTTTTTATCCCCAAAAGCGATTTATATACAGAAAGCAATAAGGAGTTTCTTAGATCATTAACCAGCTTTTTTTGTGTGTGTGTGTGCTCCTGTTAGAACCACCAACAATACGAATGCAACCCGGAGCATTAGCTGTTATTCTGAACAACCCAGTTCTCCTGCCCTGCAAAGCATCAGGCACACCTCATCCTGTGATATCATGGCAGAAGGAAGGGGTCAGTGTTATTACAACAGGTATTTTGCTTTGATCATAATTTTCAATTCCCTTCAGAGCAATTAGCAACCTGTAATTGAAAGGGAATTTGTACTACATCAGGGGTCCTCAACCTTGGCAGCTTTAAGACTTGTGGACTTCAACTCCCAGAATTCCTCAGCCAGCAAAGCAAAGTTGAAGTCCACAAGTCTTAAAGCTGCAAGGTTGAGGATCCCTGTACTACATTCTGTATTCTACAAAATGGGATAGGTGACTTTACTGAAGCAGAGGCATGTGGGTAAAATATGGACATGTTTTGAGTTCCTTCACCACATGGCTCCCATAGTAGACAAAGCACCAGTATACCAGGGTGTTCTTTACTGATCTATCCAGGAGTATTGATGTGCAGTTTAAACCCTTCCCTTACCTATTTTTTTTAAAATTCTGAATATTGCCAATATGTCTTCTTATTCAAAATTTATTTTCTTCTCTTATTCCTCATATATCGTATGTAGGATTAAACCTGCTCTTTCTTTCTGACTTATCTAAAACACTCTATGTATTTTAGGGAATAGGTATACAGTACTTCCCAATGGCAGCCTTCAGATTGCTAAAGTTGCTGTTGAAGATGCTGGAACTTACATGTGTGTTGCTCAGAATCCATCAGGCACTGCTCTTGGGAAGATCAAATTAAAAATTCAAGGTAAGTTTTACCCCTAACTCACAACTTTGTTATTTGATGTCACCAAAGAAAACGCTAGGCACAATGTGAAAGTGCTTTTCCCTGAACCTTGGTTAGAAACTGTTCCAAAGAGATGTATCATTTTAGAAGCTAATGAAGGAAAGGGAAAAAACATTGGCTCAGCTCATCATTGTTGTTGTTATTAATTGCGAAGTCGTGTCTGACCCATCGCGACCCTATGGACAACGTTACTCCAGGCTTTCCTATCCTCTACCATCTTCTGGAGTCCATTTAAGCTCACGCCTACTGCTTCAGTGACTCCATCCAGCCACCTTATTCTCTGTCGTCCCCTTCTTCTGTTGCCCTCAATCTTTCCCAGCATTAGGCCCTTCTCCAGAGAGTCCTTCCTTCTCATTAGGTGGCCAAAGTATTTGAGTTTCAACTTCAGGATCTGGCCTTCTAAAGAGCAGTCAAGGATGATCTCCTCTAGAACTGACTGGTTTGAACGCCTTGCAGTCCAAGGGACTTGCAGGAGTTTTCTCCAGCACCATAGTTCAAAGGCCTCAGTTCTTTGTCACTCAGCCTTTCTTATGGTCCAACTTTCACATCCATACATTGCAACTAGAAAACCATGGCCTTGACTATACGCACTTTTGTTGGCAGGGTGATGTCTCTGCTTTTTAGTATGCTTTCTAGATTTGCCATAGCTTTCCTCCCCAGGAGCAAGCGTCTTTTAATTTCTTGGCTGCAGCCCCCATCTGCGGTGAACTTGGAGCTCAGGAAAATAAAATCTGTCACTACCTCCATTTCTTCCCCATCTATTTGCCAGGAACTGAGAGGGCCGGATGTCATGATTTTGGTTTTCTTAATGTTGAGTTTCAAGCCAACTTTTGCACTCTCCTTCTTCACCCGCATCAAGAGGCTCTTTAGTTCCTCTTCACTTTCTGCCATTAGAGTGGTATCATCTGCATATCTTATCCAGCTCATCATACTGGAAAATAAATAGTTATGGCACAGAATAAAATACTAATCCAATATTGGCTCTAAGCTGGATACCAGGCCAAGGAAATCTTTAAATATGAGGTCTTGGGTATGAGGTCTCTAACTTATTCCTTGAAAACATCAGATTTTTAAAATGGTTTGCCAGAAATAAAATGATATTTCAAATAGGTCAATTTGAGGGAAAATGTATACATAAAAGTGTATATAGTATACATCAGGGGTGTTAAATTTGCAACATCACATGACGTGTGGCAACGTATCGTGACTTTTTTGCCATTGCCGGCATTGGGGTGGGTGCAGTTTTGCTATGATACATCCGGCCTGCGGGCCAGCAGTTTGACACCCCTGGTAAACATACTTGTATACATATAAGGTTGTTTAGGGTTTTTTTTGCCTCTGAATTAAAATTCAAACAAAAATTCAATTGAGCAATGATTTTTCAGTTCCTCCAGTTATCAAATCACATCCCAGAGAATATGTGATTATTATGGATAAACCTGTCACCCTGTTGTGTGAAGCAGAAGGCTATCCGACTCCTTTGATTGCCTGGCAAAAAAATGAACAGATAATCACAGAGTCCATGAGGCGAAGGGTTCTCAGCACGGGGGGTTTGCAGATTGCCTTTGTTCAGCCTATGGATACTGGACATTATACTTGCAACGCTACTAACGCGGCTGGATCCAGCAGCTCCAGTATGGAACTCACTGTCCTTGGTAAGTAATATTAAAATCTGGGAAACCTGAATTTGTTTATTAAACATTGAGGAAGCCAAAATAATGGCCAGCTTTTAATTTTTCATTCCACAGATAAACGTATAATTATCACTTTAATGAACAGGCTATTGCAGAGTATTAAGCTTACCCTGAAAATAATGGGTGGAAATCTTGTATTACATATATTTAACCAATCACCCTATAAATACAAATCTGAAAAAAGAGGATAGGATCAATTAATAAAAATAAAAATTGTCCTGTCTCTAAACCACCAGCAACAAGGATCAATGGCAGTAACCTATTCCACTAATGTCTGATGAATCTGCAAAACAGTCACCTGAAATGTGAAGATGGTCAATTATAATTCAACAATCTAACCAGTGGCATAGTATGCCCACAGGTACACCATGTAGCCTAGCAGCCATTGTGGTCTATTCTGTAAGTCACAGAGCTGCAAAATTGCAGACCCAAGGCAGAGGCCTACTATAAGGAAACCCAAAATGGAGAGATGGGAGAAGCAACAAGGAGAGGAATGGATCAGTTTTTCCATCTGGAGATTAAAAAACAACAACACATCAACATTTGCCTTAGAGCACTCTAGACATTATACATAGTTCTGTGCCAGTAGGACAGAAAATACACAAACTTGTATCAGCTGATTTCCTGGAATGAATCCAGATCTCAGTCTAATTCTGAAAAGTATGAGAAATGCTGCTATATAAGCATCCTAATCCAATCAAAATATGCAATGCTTGGACCAAATGTTCGAATAAATTCAATTAGCCCTTAGATCCCATCAGTCTCCTTGCAGGAACCAAGATGCTACATCTTCTGGATTGGGTAGGTTTGCTTTTTTGGGTAACATCCCATCCCATCTTGATCATCTGAACATTTCTCCCTACTCCCCCCCCCCCCAAATATAGGAACAGTGGAAAAAATAATATTATAGTGGAATAAAATATTTATTTTTAAAAGATTATTAATATAATGTGCTCTGGGGATATTTCCCCTGCACACAGCAGAGTTGAAGTTATACCTATACTTGGATATGTAGAAGAAGCATAGAGTGGAATTCTTTATTTGTGGCAGAATACTGGGTGTGAGCTCTAAACATACTGGTGAACTCAAGCTAAATTTATTGTCTACATAATTTAAAGGATCTTGGGCAAATGTTTGCTAGTTCCCAAATTTCCCTATTAAAATTATACTTTTTTTTCCAGTGTTGTGATATCTTCTTTCATATTCCTGTAGAATACTGGGCTATATTTCAGCCTTCTTTAGCCATCCAGATGTGTTGGACTAAAATGCCTAGAACATTTAGCCAGCACTTCCAATAGTTTGGCTTTCTTCAAGTTAAACAAATCATTCTCAGTTACTATCTGTATAAATATCCACTAAAAGATGTTGAAGACTCTTTCGTGATGATACATGTCCACATCCATATGCATACAGTATACAAAATGTCTAACTTTAATAAAAGCAATTATTTGTTTGTGAAAAAAAAATACTTCTCACAGTCCCACCAAAGATCCATGCAGTGGAGGACCACTATACAGTTGTTGAAAATTCACAAGCAGTTCTGTCTTGTGTTGCTGATGGAATGCCAGCACCATCAGTGACCTGGAGGAAAGGTGACACAAGCCTTGTAGCTAAGCGCAGTTCTGAATCACATGGAGACTTCATTATAGAAAAAGCTAAGGTAAGCCTCAGTTAAACAGCATGCTTAGGAAAGATAGCAGTGAGGATCAGGACTGCCTTTATTTTCTTGGTCATCAAACTTGTACAGTACTAAATACCTTTTTTCTTCAGTGGATAACATTTTATAAGGCAGAGGGTGGTAGCAGGGGGAAAATAAACATGCACTGGAAAACAAATGATTGGATGCAAATGGTTAGCAGCTTTATTAATCTATGTATGCCTAATTATCCCTTCAATTGATATATTCTGTTTAGATTTAGAGTATATAAAAAAATATAAGCCAATTTTCTTTTCATGCAAGAACTGTGGTTACTGCAGCAGCAGCGCTGTGCGTAGTAATCTACAGTGATGCTTAAATGATACCTATGGTGATATAATCATGCAAACACCACAGCTATGTATTTGTTGCCCAACATCTGATGCAAATGTTTATTTATTCACTTTGTGCATCTCAATCAATTACTCCTGTGTCTTATTACTGAAAAACAATATACTGCAATTAAAACAATAAAAACATTTGAACACAATAAAATAATTAAAAAAACCTAAATAAAAGTATTTATCCAAAATAAATATGCATAGCAGCTGAGACACTTGGCCAGTTAACAATAAAGCCAGGAAAAGTGGCCCTTAGCACATTCAGCATCTTCGGCTCTGGAACACAGGCTTAATGAAAGACTAACAGGGTTGGGGCCATTTTAATCTCTGAGGGGTGAATATTCTACTGCAGAAAAGGCCCATCTTCTAGTCCCCAACAGCTTACACTCTTTGGCTGATGGGATTTGCAGCATGCCCAATTGGCTAGATCAAGTTGGTCAGGTAGAGCCTTTTGGAAAATATGTTAATTGGGGCATTTGCATGGTGTACATTTACCCCTTCTTTCCCATCCATCCCTGGTTCTCACTGTCAGTTCTGACATCTAATCATAGTTTCCATATGATTGTTGTTGATAAAAAAAATGGAAATTTGGTAGGAAGTATTTCTTTTGTTGCATTTTTTTCAACATATGAAATGCTCAATACCTACATTCTTTATAAAGCTCTATTATTTGGAAGCAATTATTAGTTTTTGATGGGCATGGGGGAAGGTGTTAAAAATCACAATGAGACATTTTGCTGCTGATGTTCTGATGGCTAATTCAAATCCACATACCAATATTATTAAAATAGCTATTATATTTTTTGGGATTCTGCCTTTTGTTTAATACATACTGTGTATATGGAATTGTTTTCCTTCTCCATTTAGCCTGAAGATTCTGGGAGCTACACCTGTATTGCTAACAATGTGGCTGGTGAAGACACCCACACTATCAGTTTAACAGTTTATGTCCTCCCAGCTTTTACTGAACTCCCTGGAGATGTAGCTTTAAATAAAGGAGAACAATTGCAATTAAATTGTAAAGCAACAGGAGTTCCTGTACCCAACATTAAATGGATATTTAACAATAATATTATCCCAGGTGAGTTAATCCAGGAAACTATAGTAAATGGTAGGTTGTAAAATGAGATGTAGAGCCCTTCTTTCAGATTGAAAAGCATCCCCTGCCCCACATACACTATAAAGATAGCCTTTTTCTTTTTACCATCTGCAAATCTGAAATACACTGTATAGAATGTCCATGTAATTGCACATTGACAGCACATTCAACCAATCACTGCTCAGCTCAGCTCAGCCAATAATAGAGTACAAAGGGTGTGGGAAGCAAATCAGAGCTTAATCTCTATTCTGATTTGCCTCTGTCTGTCTGTCTGTCTGTCTGTCTGTCTCTTAGTGGTGGTGGGCTGGGGAGGGAGGCCATGAGAAATCCCTAATGCCCATAAGAACATTTAGTTCTGGTACTGTTGGAAGAGAATAGTTGTAGCTCAAGGTTGAACTGTGGGGTCTTTGGTGTTCCTGAGCTTGGTGGTTTTGTTGCAGAAGTTTATTACCAAACTAGGTGACATAATCAGTGCCTTGGTACTTGGTCATATGCTTTGTTTGTGTATATTTTTTAGGTTTAACTTTTAGCTTTGGGTCTAGAGAAACACATTTCTTTTACTTTAATCCCTAGCCATAACAAGTATTACTAAAAATACCAAATACCCAAACTCTTAAAGCCAATAAATACCACCATAACTCTAGCTACCAAATGCCTTAGTTTCCTAAAAATGGTTGTTTAGAGACACATTTGTCTGGAAGGAGTTCAGTAGCTGAAAATCAGCAGAAAGTTCCATAATAAAACATTTACAGGTAGTCTTCAACTTACAACCATTCATTTAGTGACCATTTGAAGTTATGATGTCACTGAAAAAAGTGACTTATGACTGTTTTTCACACTTATGACTGTTGCAACATTCCCATGGTCCTGTGGTCAAAATTCAGATGCTTGGCAACCAGCAGATATTTGTGACAGTTGCAGTGTGCCTCAGTCATGTGATCACCTTTTGTGACAAGCAAAGTCCATGGTAGCGAACCTATGGCACGCTTGCCACAGGTGGCACACAGAGCCCTCTCTGTGGGCACGCATGCCATTGCCCCAGTCCTAGGCCTTCAGCTGGGTTTTATAAAACCTTTTCGCTTTAGGCCTCCACCGCTGTGTGCAAAAAAAAAGGTTCAATCAATCAATCAATTTCTCGCAGGAAATAAAAATCTCTCGCAAAGTTGGAATTGATTGATTGAACTTTTTAGTCCCACCCAGTCTGCCATTACCACCTCAGCCACGCCCACAATTGGCCATGCCCACCCAATTGGCCATGCCCACCCGGCACCCAACAATACATAAGTGGGTTTTGGGTTGCAGTTTGGGCACTCGGTCTCTAAAAGTTTCGCCATCACTGAGCAAAGTCAATGGGGAAGCCAGATTCACTTAACAACCGTGTTCCTAACTTAACAACTGCAGTGATTCACTTAACAACTGGAGTAAGAAAGGCCATAAAATGGGGCAAAACTCACTTAGAAAAAATGTCTTGCTTAGCAACAGAAAAGTGGGGCTCCATTGTGGTTGTAAGTTGAGGACTGCATTGTAAGTAGAATGTGAGATGAAAAGGCAATATGTCTGTCTGTGTCTCCAAATTTGGGGTGTTTTAATTTTGTTTTTGTTGTAAAGCAAAGTCAATTATATGAAACAGTCAATATGTCTCTAAAACATGTTTTAATGAATAAAATACATTTTACAAAGATATTTATGTTGGTTTCTTTTTTTTTAATTTCTCTTGTTTGACCAGCACAATATGATGGAGTAAACGGACTGAGTAAACTTGTTATTGAGAGAGTGTCTAAGAAAGATTCAGGAACCTATGTGTGTATGGCAGAAAACCTAGTTGGTTCTATCAAGGCTCTTGGATCTGTCTATGTTAAAGGTGTGTATTGCTAATAAGTGGGCATTGTTTCACAGATTTCTGCTTTCATATTACATCTAACTACAATACTATGTATGGCAAGGAAGAATAACAGCAGTAAAGATATTCAGCTTACAAAAATAAAGCATTTAATTATCATCAAGAGATGGAATGAAAATGTTTGTTTCCAATTTGAGTTAAAATAAAATCGGGTGCACATTGTAATTAGCTAATTGTCTTACAATGCAAATGATTTAATGCAAAAATAGCAGAAATGCCTAGAAAAATATGATGGCTAAATCATTCGGGTTATTACATGTATTTATGGCTTATGTTTCAGATCCATGTAGTGTTTCCTAAATATGGTGGGTTTCAAGTTTCTTCAGACATTTGTTTTCTACCTAGTTGCTTATACATATTATTTTGAAATTCAGAACCTCCGGTATTCATGGGACATGATCATTCCAGTCGGATTGAACCCTTGGGTGGCAATGCTATTCTCAACTGTGAAGTCACAGGAGACCCTCCTCCAACTATTCAGTGGAGCAGAAAAGGAGTTGGTACTCTGATCAGCAATCGAATCAGACAACTTAGCAACGGATCCCTTGTCATCTATGGCACAGTTGTGAGTTAGCACTGAACCAATGCAACAATTGGATTTCATTAAACATGACTGTATCCATCAGCTACCAGGAAGATACCTTGCTAGGATTATCTCATTTATATTTATGACACTGTAGGAAACTTAAACGTTTCCTTTTTGCAACTACTACAGATATTCTTTTTCTATATATTCTAAAATATTTTTGCATGCATGTATGTTTGTGTCTAATTCTAGATTTTTCTAACCTTTCCTGGATACAATAGAATTACAATTGCCAATGCATGGCAAAAGATGGGCATTATGGCTGGGAATTTTGGGAGTCATATTTGCAACACATGGGGAGGAAATTCCCAAGGAGCACAATATTATAAATACCTTTATTTTATTTCTGACCTTCCATATTAGCACACTATAAAACAATCTTGCCTGAATTCCAGATTACTAAAATTTCCAATCAACATAGCCAATGGAAATTGGATCATATGTAAACATGTAGGTTTTTTAAAAATAAAATCCACATACTTAAAAAAGTTATTTAGCTAAGTTATATATGAAATTAACAGTTTTTGCCTACAATGAATGTTGTTGTTAATTGCGAAGTCGTGTCCGACCCATCGCGACCCCATGGACAACGTTCCTCCAGGTCTTCCTGTCCTCTACCATCTTCTGGAGTCCATTTAAATTCACACCTACTGCTTCAGTGACTCCATCCAGCCATCTCATTCTCTGTCGTCCCCTTCTTCTATTGCCCTCAATCTTTCCCAGCATTAGGCTCTTCTCCAGTGAATCCTTCCTTCTCATTAGGTGGCCAAAGTACTTGAGTTTCAACTTCAGGATCTGGCCTTCTAAAGAGCAGTCGGGGTTGATCTCTTCTAGGACTGACCGGTTTGAACGCCTTGCAGTCCAAGGGACTCGCAGGAGTCTTCTCCAGCACCATAGTTCAAAGGCCTCAATTCTTTTGCGCTCAGCCTTTCTTATGGTCCAACTTTCACAGCCATACATTGCAACTGGGAAAACCATGGCCTGGACTATACGCACTTTTGTTGGCAGGGTGATGTCTCTGCTTTTTAGAATGCTGCCTAGATTTGCCATAGCTTTCCTCCCCAGGAGCAAGCGTCTTTTAATTTCTTGGCTGCAGTCCCCATCTGAGGTGATCTTGGAGCCCAGAAAAATAAAATCTGTCACTACCTCCATTTCTTCCCCATCTATTTGCCAGGAATTGAGAGGGCCGGATGCCATGATTTTGGTTTTCTTAATGTTGAGTTTCAAGCCAACTTTTGCACTCTCCTTCTTCACCCGCATCAAGAGGCTCTTTAGTTCCTCTTCACTTTCTGCCATCAGAGTGGTATCATCTGCATATCTTAGGTTGTTGATATTTCTCCCGGCAATCTTAATTCCAACTTTTGATTCATCTAGCCCTGCCTTTCTCATGATGTGCTCTGCATATAAGTTAAATAGGCAGGGCGACAGTATACAGCCTTGCCGGACTCCTTTTCCAATTTTGAACCAATCAGTGGTTCCGTGTTCGGTTCTCACTGTTGCTTCTTGACCCGCATATAGGTTTCTCAAGAGACAAATGAGATGGTCTGGTACTCCCATCTCTTTAAGAACTTGCCACAATTTGTTGTGATCCACACAATCAAAGGCTTTTGCATAGTCAATGAAGCAGAAGTAGATGTTTTTCTGGAACTCCCTAGCTTTCTCCATGATCCAGCGTATGTTGGCAATTTGATCTCTAGTTCCTCTGCCTCTTCGAAATCCTGCCTGTACTTCTGGTAGTTCTCGATCCACATACTGCTGGAGTCTAGCTTGTAGGATTTTAAGCATAACTTTACTAGCATGTGAAATGAGTGCAATGGTGCGATAGTTTGAACATTCTTTGGCATTGCCTTTCTTTGGAATTGGAATGTAAACTGACCTTTTCCAATCCTGTGGCCACTGTTGAGTTTTCCAAATTTGCTGGCAAATTGAGTGTAGCACTTTTACTGCATCGTCTTTTAAGATTTTGAATAGCTCAGCTGGAATACTGTCACCTCCACTAGCTTTGTTGTTGCTCAGATTTTCTAAGGCCCATTTCACTTCACATTCTAGGATGTCTGGTTCGAGGTCAGTGACCATCTCATTGTGGTTATCTGGGATGTTAAGCTCATTCTTGTATAGTTCTTCTGTGTAGTTTTGCCATCTCTTCTTAATCTCTTCTGCCTCTGTTAGGTCTCTGCCATTTTGGTCCTTTATCATGCCCATCTTTGCATGAAACGTTCCCTTCATATCTCCAATTTTCTTGAAGAGATCTCTGGTCCTCCCTATTCTGTTGTTTTCTTCTATTTCTTTGCACTGTTCATTTAAGAAGGCATTCTTATCTCTTCTAGCTACTCTCTGGAATTCTGCATTCAATTGGGTGTATCTTTCTCTTTCTCCTTTGCCTTTCGCTTCCCTTCTTTCCTCAGCTATTTGCAAAGCTTCCTCAGACAGCCATTTTGCTTTCTTGCATTTCTTTTTCTTTGGGATGGTTTTAGTTGCTACCTCTTGTACAATGTTGCGAACTTCCATCCATAGTTCTTCAGGCATTCTGTCTATCAGATCCAGTTCCTTAAATCTATTTGTCACCTCTACTGTATATTCATCAGGAATATGATTTAGTTCATACCTGAGTGGCCTAGTGCTTTTCCCTACTTTTTTCAATTTAAGCCTAAATTTTGCAACGAGAAGCTCATGATCTGAGCCACAGTCAGCTCCTGGTCTTGTTTTTACTGACTGTATAGAGCTTCTCCATCTTTGGCTGCAGAGCACATAGTCAATCTGATTTCTATGTTGACCGTCTGGTGATGTCCATGTGTAGAGCCGTCTCTTGGGTTGTTGGAAAAGAGTGTTTGTTATGACCATCGTATTCTCTTGACAAAATTCTATTAGCCTGTGCCCTGCTTCATTTTGTACTCCAAGGCCAAACTTGCCTGTTATTCCGGTTATCTTTTGGCTTCCTACCTTAGCATTCCAATCCCCCATGATGATAAGGACATCATTTTTTGGTGTTAATTCTATAAGGTGCTGTAGGGCTTCATAGAACCAGTCAATTTCATCCTCTTCAGCAGCAGTGGTTGGGGCATAGATTTGGACTACTGTGATATTGAATGGTTTGCCTTGGATTCGAATAGAGATCATTCTGTCATTTTGAGGATTGTATCCCAGTATTGCTTTTCCTATTCTTTTATTGACTATGAAGGCTACTCCATTTCTTCTGAGGGATTCTTGCCCACAGTAGTATACCTGATGGTCATCTGAGTTAAATTCACCCATTCCTGTCCATTTTAGTTCGCTGATTCCTAAGATGTCGATGTTCAGTCTTGTCATCTCTTTTTTGACTACGTCTAGCTTGCCTTGATTCATGGATCTTACATTCCAGGTTCCTATGGAGAAAAAATCTTTACAGCATCGGACTTTCCTTTCACCACCAGATATATCCACAGCTGAGCGTCCTTTCGGCTTTGGCCCAGTCGCTTCATTCTTTCTGGCGCTACTAGTACTAGCCCTCTGCTCTTCCCCAGTAGCATATTGGACACCTTCCGACCTGAGGGGCTCATCTTCCAGCGTCATATCTTTTTTCCTTTTAGTACTGTCCATGGGGTTTTCATGGCAAAGATACTGGAGTGGTTTGCCATTTCCTTCTCCAGTGGATCACATTTTGTCAGAACTCTCTGCTATAACCTGTCCGTCTTGGGTGGCCCTGCACGGCATAGCTTATAGCTTCATTGAGTTACGCAAGCCCCTTCGCCACGACAAGGCAGTAATCCATAAAGGGGCTACAATGAATAATTTCACTTAAATACTACATCTGCAGATTTATAAGGTATTATTTAATATAGTCGGTCTCAGACTGAACCATCACCCCTGTTTATTTTATTTTTTTTCAGAATGAAGATGCTGCAGAATATATATGTATAGCTACAAATGATGCTGGTGTTGTTGAACACCATGTCACTCTTACATTACATAGTAAGTTACAGACCCATATTCAGACACCTTCCTAAGAGTTATGAAATGTGCACTCAGATGTATCTGCTGTACTTGTAAATCTTAGTAGCTTCCAAGCAAACTAAATTCTTTATTTCAACACATGCATTCTCTCCAACTCAGTTAACCTTCAATTTTAGAACTGATGGTTAAAGATAGAGTACCATCTCAATGACCCCAGTCGACTTCATCAATGAATCTCAAACAATATATTTTCTAGCATGAATTGCTTTCAGATTTCTTTTCCTTCATCTACTTCTTGTCAAGCTGTAGTTTTCCATGACCTCAGGCCCTTTAAATGGGTCTGGAGCTTTGGAATTCTTAGCCAAATATGTGGACGGCACCAAACTGAAGTTGTGTGCAGTAGAGAATTCCCAAATGAGGAAATTTTCATTTAGCATATTTGAAGAATTCATTCTTTGCAGCATCTAGCTGGAACTGATCCAGTTCTGTGGTTCAGAATATTACTACTTTTCAGTTTATTAAATAATGCAATCTAGTTATGGATTAAAAAAGAATTTAAAATATTTATTTTTGTCTAAAGTGATTTGGGGAAGGAATGTATTGAGAGAAAATATTGTTATTTGCCTCAGTATTACATACATCTGGGATAAGTCATGAAGAATTCAATGGAGTTCATTTTTAAGTAAGCAAGCCTGTGATGTTTTTGCATATTTTTAGAAAACTTGAGAAAATATGACTGTATAAACACACACACCTGTGCAGATTTTCTTAGTTTGATAATGAAGAGGCATCCATCAAAGAACTTCAAGGATTACCATGCTATTTTCATGTTATGAGGAGTTAACACATTTTTCATTAAAAAATAAAATAATAAAATAAAATAAATAATAAAATAACAAAACAATCATGGAAAAAATACAACATTTTATTGTAAAAAAAAATATACAGCTGGATAAGAAAAGGAATATAAAGGACTTAAGAATAAACATAACAGATAATATTCAGATCAGCAATAAATCTATTTGCCCAACTGTAAAATTCCTGGAACTTTTATTTTTTCCTAATTTGTAATATACAGTATTAACCTTGCTTTGCAGAGGTCATGGGAGTTTAATTCCAGATACCATTATGCTTGGAGGGAAATCATGTGGCTAATTTTATTATGGCAGCATAATGATTTCCCCAATGAACAGTTAATGATGGGGAAGAAAGATAAGCTGTGAATATAGTTCCCATTTTTGAAAGAATGGTCAAGGCATGCTGAAACCTTTCCCCTTAGTGAAAGAGACAAGATACAGTATAGACAACTGAAAGAACTGGGCTTTTCCGATTGAATTTTTAAATATATCTTAAGATAGTCAAATATTTGTATGGAGCACTTGAAAAATCTTCTTCAGTTTTGTGCTGAGTAGGAGGAGTCTGTATACCCATCTCTGAATGTTATGTCAAGAATCATGAATGACAGTGACAGTGTATATCCTCCCTAGCCCAATATTTTCTTCTGTAGTACAGGTGAATATTTTGAACAGTGGGTTGCATTTCTTTAGTACCAATTTCATCTTCAGGAGGCAAGGTCATTATGTCACTCAGTTGGATTTGAGTGACATTCTCAAATGTCATTCTCATTTTAAGGTTTTCTCTTTCTTTCCTTTCTTCAGTCATGCTTTATTTCATTTGTTTCTCATCGGTAAAAGCAGAAATCAACATTCAGAAATTTGCTACTGAAAATTTTGCAAAGTAATCCCTGAAGGCTTTTGAGGCATAAAAAGGTTGCAGATGCCAGCTATAGACTGCCCATCCTTCACTCACAGTCTCTCACTTACCCCTCAGGATAGATTTGATATAATAGCAAAAATGCCTGCTGCTAACGACCATAAAAAAATGAAAATAGGCTAGTAAATGGGAATGTGTAAACTACAGAACTATGTAAATCAGAGAAATGGAAATAATGCTGCATTATAACACTGAAGTGACTGTGGAAAAGTGTTAAAAAAGAGAGTCCTCTGCTCTTACCGAATTATCACAAACCCCAGCCAACCCAGGAATATTTTGTTTCTCTTAGGTACACCTGTTATTAAAACTGAACCAGCAGAGATCACTGTTGATGCTGGAACCACAGCAGTGCTGAACTGCCAAGCAGAAGGAGAACCTCATCCGACTATTGAGTGGTCTCGTCAAGGCTGGCCTCTTCTGAATCAAGACCGAATGACTGTTTTGTCAAATGGCTCTCTGCGTATTGCAGTTGCTCATAAAGAGGATACTTCTGAATATGAATGTGTAGCTAGGAACCTCATGGGTTCTGTCCTGGTCAAAGTGCCCTTCATTGTCCAGGGTTAGTGTTAAGGCTTGGATTAGCTTCATGAGAAGCTCTTTGTCATTAATCAACCTGCATTTTTAAGTTAAAAAAAAGGCAATAAAGAGACGTCGCTATATTTATATCTCTCATTCAGTAAAATTGTCTACTGAGGCAGAAGAGAGAACTGTTGCTATGCTTTTAGAAATAATATTAATTGGAACATTAATATTGAGATCTAAATTTGTACTTCCTGGAAATAATGATTTTACATTTCTGCATCACTCTTTAAATTCAGTTTTCACAGGGAATAAGGGAAGGCAGATGCTTTCTGATGTATCTGCATGTATGCTAGAAGCAGAGGTTGCCCTCAGTTTTCACAAAGTGTGGATTCTAAGAACATGCCATTCTTCCTTGTGCATGTTCTAGAAGCAAATTATTGAAAGTGTAAGAGAAAAAAAATGAAGAATAAAAATGAACAGTGCCTCTAATTTTTATTAAAACTAAGTGTAGCTCAATTATCAGAAGCTTGAGAAATAGGATAATGTTGGATTGAGGGCTGAATCCTTCAAAATGATTCTTCCCATTCTTTGATGGCATTGGGATAGGGGATACTTAAGGTTCCAGTGCTTTTCCTAGAAGTAAGGAGGACCTGGACTTGGAGGCAGATCTTTGGTATGGCTGCTCCAATACGGTGGAACACATAGACAGATATTCTGGCCTTTTGAAAGTTAGGGGTGATCTAGGCTGCCAGTTTCCAGGGAGTGTTTTAAATTATTTCTGTGATCCTTTGACACTCGAAATGGTAAAACAGTAAGTAAAGAAGAAGATGTCATATTGTGAACTGGCCAGAATCTATGGAATGAGTTCTATAATAAGTAAATGAATACCAAGAAATTACTTATGCTATTAATTTCTTTGTTGTTGTTGATATATAAAGGCCCTAGTATTCATTCTGATCTTCCTTTCTGTCATATGAGCCTGTTCAAAACATCCATAAAAGGAAGTTAGGAGGCATACTTTAATCCATCCATTACTTCAAACTACTTTAATTATGTAGGCAGAAAAATACCTTCAGAGTTTGGAGGGCAGCCTACAGGCCATTTTTAGTTTGTGATATGATAATGAGAAGGAGAGGTTTTTTTCTGATTTCTCTTCCCAACAAAGAAAAACCAAGAAAAACAATTGCTAATTTTTCTGAATCACTTCCAGCCAAGTCTTTATTCAATATTCAGTTGTCATAATTCACAACAAAATTGTTGTAGACTAATGGCAGGTCAACCCTTTTGATTTTTTTTTTAAGACAGCAGTCGATAGCATGCACATCTGGGTTCTAAAATGTGTATTGACTAAATTAATGCAATTTGTTCCACTGCAGTGCATGGTGGGTTTTCTCAATGGCTTGACTGGCAACTATGTAGTGTAACATGTGGCCGGGGTGTCCAAAAAAGGATTCGTCTATGCAACAATCCTTTTCCTGCTAATGGTGGACGAAGCTGTATGGAGCCCGATTATGAACTACGCAGCTGTCAGAGCAAGTTGTGTCCAGGTAAATACTCATCTCTTGTTTATATTCATTAGTTATCTTATAAATCTAAACTGATACCATAAATGCTTAGGAGACACTTATATGGTGATTCAGTACAACTATTTGTTTCACTATTGATGATTAATTGACACATTATGTTATTTCCTAGCATTCACTCTTGATGCTGAGGTTTTTTAAAATGAAATTCCACCGGTGTCCTTGGAACTTTCTTCCAAATTCACAAACTATGTTTAGGTTCTTTGGTTTGGTCAAGAGGATCTACTAAGGAAAGGCTGAGTAATGGCCAATATTGTAATTTAATCTAAGCCACCAGTCCGCTGAATCTTTTATTATTGTAATTAGGAAGTTATTGATCATTTCAGTGTATATGAGTAACTGCAAATAAATTGTGGATGCTATTTAGTGGATGCAAGCTGGTCAGAATGGGGGTCTTGGGAAGAATGCTCTAAAGCCTGTGGGCAAGGCAACAAAACCAGAACCAGAAGTTGCAGCAACCCTTCAGCTCAACATGGAGGAAGACCCTGTGAAGGCAATGCAGTGGAGTCAACTGTGTGCAACATAAGGCCCTGCCCAGGTGAGAAATGATTTAGTGGTATGCTTGACATAAATTCCCTTTTCTTCCTGAAATGTGACTTCTTTCCCCTCAATGAATCATTTGTAAAACATATCTACTTTTATCCAAAGTAAACACTGGAATTGGTTTTAAGAAGATGAAAAATTAAGAAGGTTTTAAGAAGATTTTACTCTATTACAATGTTTCTGTAATCTCTTTTGAGATTCATTTTTGCATTGCTCTTCTTAATTTAAATTTTTCAGATACTAGACTGTAAACTGCCATGAGCACTTCTGTTCCAAAAAGCGCTGTATGCAGTTAATATATTCATAAAATTAAAAACTTCCTCTTAGAAAACCAAAAGTGAAATGGTTGGATCCAAAGTTTCTGATCATAAAAAAAATCACATGCCTACCTTTATCATCTTCTCTTTATCATGTTCTCTTTCCCACCTTACTGAGACCTTTGATTCCCTCTTAAATTGTATGAGCAATAATAGGAATGCTAGCTCAAAATGTCCTTGTTTACTTTTACTTTTCTTCTAACATATTCCTAAATTCTTGGAATCCCCCAATAGGCTTCTGGAGAGAAGCAGAGGACCAAAAAAAAAAAAAAAAAAAATCCATTGTGCAAATGACCTTCCATATATACCACTACAATCTATTCCAATTTTTATTTTCCTTTTCTATTTTTAAAGTTTCTTTTTGGACTAACTTTGTATGTTTCTAGTTAATGGTGCCTGGAGGTCCTGGTTATCATGGGGATCTTGCAGTGAGACATGTGGTAAAGGTACTCAGAACAGAATAAGGCTGTGCGATAATCCTCCTCCATCATTTGATGGTTCTTACTGTGATGGGTCTGATGTACAGATGCAGGTTTGCAATGTAATCTGAGTTTATAGAAAATACTGAAATCTGTTTTTTGTCCTATTCTGTTCAATTGGGTACGATTCTTGCAGTTTTCTTGCAGAGGCTACTAGCCCAAGTCACCCAGTTGGCTTTGTACTTAAGGCAATACTAGGATTCATGGTCTTCCTTTTTTTTTTTTTTTTAGCCTGATGCTTTAACCATTACAACAAACTGGCTCTCACTTAAAAGTAGTGTCTTCTAAATAGAGGGTGAGACAGAAATGAAGGGAAATCGACTAAATTGAATTTATAATGAAGGGGGAAGGAAAGGGAAAGAGAAAATTTAGCATGTAAGACGGTTAAATACACCCGCTGGGGATGTGCTCAGGTAACAAATTATTGAACAAAGAGAGTTATAATTTCTCTCCTCCATATTCTTTAAAAGAAATACATAGTTCTCAGTTAATGGTTAATGGTTCAGCTTATAGACGAGGAAGTCAGCCAAACTAGTAGCAGCCAATCTATGACAAATATAAATTTTGGTTTTGTAAGATGTAGGAGGGTGAGCCTTTCTTCATATATGGAATATTCATATTCTTAAATACTGCTTAGTAGCAATAGCACTTAGACTTATATACTGCTTCATAGTGCTTTTCAGCCCTCTTTAAGTAGCATATTGCCCCCAACAATCTGTCTCCTCATTTTACCGACCTCAGAAGGATGGAAGGCTGAGTCAACTTTGAACCAGTCAACTTTAAGCAGTGAACAATGAGGTAGCATGCAGTACTGCATTCTAACCACTGCACCACTTTGGCTCTTTAATCAACTGCTCTAATTTGTAGATTTTTTGGACATCAGATTTAGTTACACAGAATTTGCATAGCAAGTATATTTGCTATTTCTGATCTGAAAATTAGTTTATATTACAGTGATATGTCTTTTCATTTAATTAGTGAATGGAAAATGGACTTCCTGGTCTAGCTGGAGTGCCTGTACCATGTCTTGTGGAGGAGGTGCCCAACAGAGAACAAGAGATTGCTCAGACCCACCTCCAAAGAATGGTGGACTCAGATGTGAAGGGAATGATCTTCAGGTTGGCTTTTGCAACACTGACCTCTGCCCCAGTAAGTGCATAGGGCCAATTTGATGTATACTAAAAAAGATTCCATCTTGTGGGAGACTAAAAAACTGGATTGGAGTCTGGTCTAGGAAAACTATGTTACTCTCCAAGTAAGGGGGTATAGGAGCTATTTCAATTAGTTATTTCCAAATGTGTTTCATTGTCTTCATTTAAAAATAGGCTGACAATAAACATACAATTGATACATTTTATTGTTATTAATTCTTGTACCTTTCAATGTAAAAAAAAATACTGATTGGAAAAATGTCCTGTTCCCAAAGCACATGGAAACTGGGGCCCGTGGAGCAACTGGGGGACTTGCAGTCGAACATGTAACGGTGGTCATACGAGAAGATATCGGATTTGTGACAATCCTCATCCACTTAACGGAGGAAGAGCCTGTGTGGGGGCTGATACACAGACCCAGAGGTGTCGTGGCGAGCTATGTCCTGGTGAGTTAGATTGAGATAGACCAACAGACAGATAGGGAGGAAACTAGGTATCTGTAAAACACTGAAGTTGTTTCTAACAATAACATACCAGAACTGAGGACCTGTCTCAAGAAGACTGTGCACATTCATGGGAATAAATCAGCAGTTCTGGCATTGGTGAAGGATCTATTGGTTGCTTCTTCTTTTGTACCAATCTACTGTACATATCACTGTAATAGTTCTTGAGTGCAGCTCTGCTCCCAGGTGAAATAACGGTGCAAAGAGGAACAGACCGTACTCAATGAGTAGTCCTCAATGGTACAACATCCACATGGAGAGAAGTAAGCAGTGGGATACCACAAGGTTCCGTCTTAGGCTCAGTACTCTTCAATATATTCATTAATGACTTAGATGAGGGAATAAAAGGGGATTTCATCAAATCTGCAGATGGCAGGAATAGCCAGACTGGCAGGAATAGCCAATACTTCAGAAGACAAGCTCAGGATTCAAAAAAATATTGACAAACTTAAACAATGGCCCCTTACCAACAAAATGAATTTTAATGTGGAGAAAAACAAAGTTTTACATTTAGGCAGGAAAATTCAAAGGTATATATTACAGATTGCGCAAGACCTGGCTCAAAAACAATAACTGTGAGAGGGACCTTGGAGTCCTAGTGGACGATCACTTGAATATGAGCCAACAGGGTGCAAAAGCAGCCAAAAAAGCTAATACAATCCTGGGCTGTATAAACAGAGGCATAGAATTAAGATCATGCAAAGTATTAGTAGCGCTTTCTAAAACCCTAATAAGACCACACCTGAAATACTGCAACCGGTTTTGGTCATCATACTACAAAAAAAATGTTGAGACTTTGGAAAAAGTTCAGAGAAGAGCAACTCAGATGATCAAAGGCCTGGAGACTAAAACATATAAAGAACAGCTACAGGACTTGGGTTTGGCTAGTCTAAAGAAAAGAAGAAATAGGAGTGACATGATAGCAATATTTCAGTATTTGAGGGGCTGCCACAAAGAAGAGGGGGTCAAACTATTCTCCAAAGTATTAGAGGGCAGGACAAGAAACAATGGTTGGAAATTGATTAAAGAAAGAAGCAACCTGGAATTAAAGAGAAACTTCCTAACAGTGAGGACAATTAATTAGCTGACGTGGCGCAGCAGTTAGAGTGCAGTACTGCAGGCCACTTTAGCTGACTGTGTTCAGCAGGTCAGCGGTTCAAATCTCACTGGCTCAAGGTTGACTCAGCCTTCCATCCTTCCGGGGTAGGTAAAATGAGAACCCAGATTGTTGGGGGCAATGTAAATATATACATTGCTTATTGGTGTACACCGCTTAGAGAGTGCTCGCACTTAAAGCGGTATATAAGTCTCATAAATAAATAAATAAATAAATAAATAAATAACCAGTGGAGCAGCTTGCCTTCAGAAATCATGGGTGCTCCATCAGTGGAGATTTTTAAGAAGAGATTAGTCTGAAATGATATAGGTTCTCCAGCTTGAGCAGGGGGTTGGACTAGAAGACTTCCAAGGTCCCTTTCAGCTCTATTCTATTCTACTAGAGATTAAGGTCTTAATCCCCTTTGCACTGACAACTTTGCTTTATAAGCATGGAGGCACTTTGCACCCCAACTGAGGAATTAAAAAATCAACTTATTTGTCCTCCTTTGGGGATGAATGAGTTCAAGCCAATTTTTAGAGACTGACCTGCTGTACCTGCTGCTTAACTTGCAAACATCCATCATATATCTTCTTGATTACTATTTTACTACACAAAGTAGAATTTTAGTAATGTTCTGAAATAGATATTAAAGATTGTGAGCAGAGTTCCATCCCATTCTTCAACTTCCTTTCCTTGCTCATTCTTGCTCTATCCTGCTATTTCAATCATAGATTTCATTTGATCTCCATTTATCTATCATTTAATTATTGATAGCCCTTTCATTCATTAAAATGGATGTAAACAGCATAGCAATAATTAGCAGTAATAATTTCTGTTATCATATTGTATGGTATCATATGCATGGTATCATATGGTAATGCATTTGTCATTATCAAAAAAAAACCAAACTTCTGAGAAGTATTAATGAAAGATTGTTATTTTTTTTATTTTACTTCTGTACTGGTTTGCAGTGAATGGAAACTGGGGTCCATGGCAGCCTTGGAGTGCATGTTCAGCTTCTTGTGGTGCTGGGGAAAAGATCCGATCACGATTGTGCAACAATCCACCTGTCTCTAACAATGGACGTCTTTGTCCTGGAGATGAGGCGCAAATATCCAGGTGTAACATTCAGGCTTGTCCAGGTACCTGTGCATACCCAAGTTTATGTCTCAAATGCTGGAGAGAAGGAGAAACACTTTATGTTATGGGCAACTCACAAATCATTATTGGTGCTACTTTCCAAATAAGAAGAAAGTATATTCCGAATCCTAATCTGACAATAATTTTTCATAAATAAAACTAGATATCAAAGTTTTCCTATATGAATTACTACTAAATTGACAGTAAACTACATTGTCATAATAGACATTTGCTTTAATGAGTCTTTACTCTTGGATTTAAATGGCATGAGGTGGAGAGGTTAATGATTATTGGAACTGTAGCAGCTTTAAGAGAAAATGTACACGTTTCTTAGGCAAATGACAATTTGAGATGGAAGGTGCTATTGTCAATCTTGTCTTTTATTGTAATGAAGGCTGATCCTATCTATTCGCTGAATGCATTCAACACTATTATAATCAGCAATGATACATGTTGAAATTTGTAATGTAAATCCTTTACTATTTAGGACTTTAGAGCTGGACTATATTCTAAATAATGCAGAGCTGGTGTGATTGCATGTTTCCTTCCATTATCTTTTTTTTTCATATTTTCAATAACAACAAAAATCATCTTGCACATTAACACATATTGGAAGACAGTTACCATGTTACTCTTTAAAATACAGAAAAGGAAGAGGGAATAAAGAGACATAGCATCAGCTCTACTTCTCTTGAATTTGATGTTCAAATGAGAACATAGAAGGGAATGGGAATAGCTAAGAAAAGTCCATATCTATAAAAGATCCTTTACCCGAAGGCAAATATAGTAGAAAGAATTAAGTTTTATTAAGTTTGATAAGTTTTATCAAAACTGCCAAAATGTTTGAACTATTGGCACCTTAAGAATTCTGAAAAATAGAAAGATAAATATTCATATAAGGCTGCCATGGTGGGCAAAGCCAAACACAAGAGAGAGTTTTGTAGATAATGAATTAATGAACTAAATTAGCAAATGCTGAGTGATTGCTCCTGGGGAAATTACAGGGTTATTTTCCTCTGAGCCTATGGTTACAACATTTTCACCAACCAACCACTCAATACCTAATCTTGTTTTATGTATGTTTCTGTTTAAAGAAACCTTATTTAATATACCTAATTTTAGCACAAAAATGCAAAGAATGTGAATTAAACAGATGGTGAAAAGAACACTAGTTTATAGTACTAAAGCTGAAACAGGAAGACAGCATCATCTTGTTCAACCTCAGTTGGGAACATGTGAGCCGGTTAACTAAATTTGTTATCACCCTGTGCATGTCTGTGAGTGATTACAAAAGCATCGTTTTTTTGCGGTTACAAATACATTTTAGCAAGGAGGTGAATTCACAAACATGGAATGTGTGGATAATGAGAATTGGAGTGCATATTTCTTTCTCTTGTTCAGGATCAGTAAACACCCTCCCACACACACACACAGGTTTCCAGCAAATAGGATTGACTTATTAGATCATTCCTGTTCTGTGTAATATATCTCTTTCTGGGTTGCTCTTTTTTCTCTCCATATGACTTCCACGCATAAATAGTTTCTATCTTTCTTGGCATCTTTAATGGTTCCAATTCTTTTCTCTTTTTGCTTCAGTTTTCAGCTTGCACCAAAGCATACTGAAGAAGAAAGGAAAGGAAGATAGTTGCAGGCCCAAACTCTGATGTTTTCTAGCTGTCAAAGGCAGTGATATTTTAATCTTTTAATTGGGCTAAGTATTGTTACTTACTTACTAGCAAATACAAGTAGTCCTTATTTAGCAACTGCATCATTTAAAGGCTGAAAAAGTAGTTTTGTGACCAATGTACCCATTTATGATAGTTGTAGATCTGTAAAGCAAAGGAGAACAAAAGTAAGATCATGTGCACAAATGTTGTTTCACTTAGTGACCACTTTGCTTTCCCACCAAGTTGCTAGTCCTATTGTGGTCACTAAATGAGGACTACCTGTATTATGTTACTGACTCAGTGGATAGCTTTATTCGGGACACATTTTAAGCTCCTGGACAGAAAGACACTAGAGCACCTGACTTCTAATACTGCAGCAGATCCTTGATATTTATTGGTATTATAAGCACTTGGACTAGTATATTCTATTTTCATAATTATAGCAGAGATATACTGAATTTTAGAATTAGTTCTGTTATGTCCCGAGCCTTGCAAATGGCTCGGGGCGTTTGCAGGCGGTCCTGGGCAGGTGCAAAGCTGCCCGGGACCAGACAGGCTGTCGCCAGCGCCGTGCGCATGCGCGGGTGCTGGCGTGGGAAAAGTATCGCATTGACCCGGGAAATGTCTATATAAGAAGCTGAGAGGTTTTGGGAGCTGCTGAAGCCATCTACTTGTAAGCTGAACGCAGAATAAAGAAAACTGAGAACTACAACTGCTTCTTGTGTCTTACATTTCCGCGAAGGACTCAACACTGGCGACGAGGGTGGGATGCCTTACATCGCCTGGAAAGGAAGAAGTGTAAGCTTACCCAAGTGAGTCCTGAGCGGCGGAACGATGTCGACTCGGCAGCTACTCGCCAATCCAGTGCGCATTCGGGGGTAGGCTGGCTGATAGACCCGTCTCCTGAAGATGGCAAAGGTTGGAAGGCTTTCAGAGTTCAACGTCTCACATCCAGAGCGGTGGGAGTCCTACGTAGGCAAACCAAGTGAGGGAAGAGAGCTTGAAGGCTGCCACCCTGCTTTGTGTTTGCGGTCAAGATGCCTTCGAAATCGCAGAAAACCTTGCAGCACCTGTTCCAGTAGAGTCTGTCAGCTACGCAGATCTGAAGAAGCTACTGAAGGAGCACTTCCAGCCCAAGATGTCCGTCATCGCATGGCGCCACACCTTCGAGCAGAGGGATCAACGATCCGGTGAGTCGGCCAAAGAATACATCGCCGCATTAAGGAAGGCCGCCAAGCACTGCGAGTTCAAGGACCTCGAAGAACGACTGAGGGACCGATTCGTGTGCGGGTTAAGGCATCGAGATCTACAACAGAGACTTTTCGCTAAAGAAGAATTGTCCTTCCAAGATGCCTTAAGAGAAGTCACCGCAGAAGAAGCAGCAGGCGGCGCCGTCAAGAACATGCGGCCGATCAGAAACAGTCCAGAGGTTGCATCCGTGCACCAGGAAGACGTCCAGGGGAACTCCGAGGAGGATCCGGACGAGGAAGTCGACCGTCTCCACCCCACGAAGGAAGGAAATCAGAAGGGAAGCTCTTCAGCTCCACTCAAGTGCATCGGCTGTGGAGGTCGCCACAGGAGAACCGACTGCAAGTTCCGCTCCGCTACCTGCCGGGCATGCGGCAAACAAGGACACATTGCAGCTGTGTGTCTGGGCCGACGAAAGGTACAACCTCAGGAAGAACTGCACCTGAAAGGTACCAGGGTCCCCAGCCAGAATAGGGTAGGGTTTTGCGCTTCGCGAAGAAGCATCCTTAGGACAGGCACACACAAGCCCATTAAGAAAAAACTGTCACTCAAGGTGAAGCTACAAGGGGTTCCATTAACTATGGAACTAGACACAGGGTCTGCCCTTTCAATCATCTCCTTGCATACATTTAGGAAGATTTGTTCCGGAAGTGGAACTCAGGCCAAGTTAAGGCCTTCTGACATTGTGTTAACAGATTTTCAAAATTCAAGAGTGTGTGTTAAGGGGGAGGCCACCCTTAACGTGCAATACAAGAATTTTGAAGGTCCACTAGACTTATTAGTAGTAGGGGGTGAACGAACGAGTCTCATAGGACTCGATTGGTTTGAGGCCCTGGGGATACACGTCACAGGACTCAACAGCTTACAAACACTCGACCTACAGGAAGTCTGCAAAGAATTTGCAGATGTTTTCAGCCCCCAGCTGGGCACATTCAAAGGACCCCCTGTGTCCTTAAAGCTAGACCCCACTGTCACTCCCATTAGAATTAAAGCAAGAAGGGTCCCTTTTGCTTTAAAGAGTAAAATTGACACTGAGTTAGACAAACTGATCCAACAGGGAATTCTAGAACCTGTTGATTCCAGTCCTTGGGAGACCCCCATTGTCACGCCTCTAAAGGCAAATGGGGACATTCGCATTTGTGCTGATTACAAATGCACTCTTAATAAGGCATTGCAGCAACATGCCTATCCTGTTCCTGTGGTCAGTCATATTCTGGCCTCCCTCAAGGGGGGCGCGTTTTTGCAAAGCTTGACCTAGCTCAAGCGTATCAACAGCTGCCTGTTGATGATGCTGCTGCTATAGCTCAGACTATTGTGACCCACAGGGGAGCCTTTAAGGTAAAAAGGCTACAGTTTGGAGTGAATGTCGCTCCTGGGATTTTCCAAAGCGTAATGGAAAACATACTACGGGGCATACCGGGGGTTTGCCCTACTTTGATGATGTCTTAATTGCAGGAGACTCCACACACATTCTAGCTGAAAGGCTAAGGCTGTTCTGTTAAGATTCAGGAAAACAGGCCTCAAGCTCAAAAAAGACAAATGCAAGATTGGGGTGCCTTCTACTGAATTTCTGGGGTTCAAAATTGACGCTGCTGGAATTCACCCTGCTGAATCCAAACTAACTGCTATTTTAGAAGCACCTAGGCCAAAGTCTAAGGCCGAACTTCAGGCCTTCCTGGGCCTCCTGAATTTCTACAATTCCTTCCTTCCACATAAAGCCAGTGTGGCTGAGCCTCTTCACAGGCTACTAGACAAGCAAGCAGTGTGGCACTGGTCACAAACACATGAGGCTTGTTTTAACAAAGTCAAGGCCTTGCTCACTTCTAACAGTGTACTTGCACATTTCAACGAGTCCCTTCCTGTGTGCATCGCTTGTGATGCGTCCCCTTACGGGGTAGGAGCTGTCCTGAGTCACCTCAGGTCTGATGGAACTCAGGTTCCTGTTGCATATTACTCCAGAACATTGTCTTCTGCTGAGTGCAACTACGCTCAGATAGACAGGGAGGCTCTGGCTGTTGTTGCTGGAATTAAAAAATTCCATGATTTTCTATATGGCAGGCATTTCACGGTCTTCACTGACCATAAGCCTCTGCTGGGACTGTTTACCACACGTAAGCAGACTCCCCAGATCATTTCCCCCAGAATGCTTAGGTGGTCTATTTTTTTGTCTGCATATGATTTTTCTTTACTCCACAAGCCTGGGAAAGAAATGGGCCATGCTGATGGCCTCAGTAGATTGACTCTGCCAGTAGTAGAAGCTGACCCTGCGCCAGCTGTCAACATTCTATCAATCCAAGCCTTGCCCGAGCTCCCTCTAGTGCCAGGGATGTTGCCGCTGAAACAGGTACAGATCACACACTTTCACGTGTCCGTTCCTGGGTTTTGTCTGGTTGGCCTGAGCACTGCCCTAGTCCTGAGTTTCAGAGTTTCTGGTCCAAAAGGAACGAGCTGTCCCTTTCTCAGGGTTGTCTGCTTTGGGGAAACAGAGTTGTCATTCCCACCTCAATGAGGACTAGGGTCTTAGAATCCCTCCACGAGGGTCATCCTGGCATTGTTCGTATGAAGGCTCTTGCGCGCAGCCACTTGTGGTGGCCTGGTTTAGATAAAGATATTGAGGCTAAGGTGCATGCATGCCACCTGTGCCAACGATCTTGCCCAGAGATGCCCCAAGCTCCCGTGCATAAATGGGAGGAAACGCAGTCCCCATGGTCTAGGGTGCACATTGACTACGCTGGGCCCTTTCAGGGCCAGTTCTTCTTGGTCCTTGTTGACAGCCATTCAAAATGGCTTGAGGTTGTACCTGTCTCATCCACCACCACTGCAAAGACTATTCAGGTACTGAGGGGGATTTTTGCTGCACACGGGCTTCCAGATGTCATTGTGTCTGACAACGGCCCTCAATTCACTTCCTCCGAATTCCAAGCTTTCTTACAGGCTAACATGATTCGTCATGCCACGTCTGCACCCTTCCACCCGTCCACCAACGGTATGGCTGAACGTATGGTGCGCATCACGAAGGACGCATTGAAAAGACTCACCTATGGGGACTGGCATCACAGGTTGGCTGACTTTCTCCTTTCTTATCGCACCACACCGTCTACTTCTACAGGGAGAAGCCCAGCTGAACTTCGTTGGGGGCGTCAACTTACTACTAAACTTGACCGGTTGCATCCGGACAGACTGCCTTCATCTACCTCACATCCTAGGGCACCTAGACAACTACTTGTGGGTGCCCCGGTTTGGGCTCGCAATTACGGGCCTGGTCATACATGGGTCCCCGCTTCTATTTCCAGGGTCACAGGTCCTCTCTCCTACGAGGTAGCCCTGGACAACGGTCATGTCCTGCGTCGGCACATCGACCAACTTCGCCCTAGGCGGGACCTTTCAGATGAGACTCCTGGGTCTTTTCCAGGGGGGGGACCCTTTGGAGCAAAGGGAAGGGCATGAGTTGCTGCCCATCTCCACTGATGGAGCCACTGACGGCCCATTTCAAGCTTCTGCAAGTGCTCCGAAAAGGAATTCATGGAGCTTACCCACACAACAGGCACTCACGCCTACTCCAGCCAGGGAGTCACCCCGGGGCATACTCACTTTCCACACACATCACACAACACTCCAGTCACGGAGGATACCCGGGAGCATCCCAACAAATCATTCCCCGAAAGAGAGCTGGCACACAATCCCCAGAGTTGGCCTGACCTTACCCTAATCCTACAGGGGGTCAAACTTACAGGGAGGTGGTCGAGGAACCAAGTCCCGACCGCAACACCTCTAGCCCAAATCAGGGAGTAACTGAGTTTTGGGAAGGTACAGAGACCCACACGAGCCCGGACACAGAACGGGGCTTAGGGATTGGACAGCCTCCTGACAGGTCTTGGACGGACCTAGGAGGTTCTATAGAGACGCCCAGCAGTGGCTATCACTTCAAGGGGCCCGAGGGCCTACAGCTAGGCAGGTCAACCAGGTCACAAAGTGACAGAAGCCCTGGCCTGACGAGCCCGGTGGGCGAGCAAGCAGGCCAGGCATCGGGGCAAAGTCCTTGGAAGGCACCAAGGCATGATAAGGGGAACAGGCTCTTGTCACCCCTCAGTCAGGGAACACCTGTCAGAAACCCAGAGCTGAGAAGGTCACAGAGAGCAAGGAAGTCTCCTAAATACTTAGAGGATTACATAACACTGCTGGCTAAACAAAAGCCAGGTAACGATAGGAGCACTGAGAAGCAGAACACTGCATAAAATAATGAGTATATGTTGGTAGTAGTTTTAGCCCGGGGGAAAGGGGTGTTATGTCCCGAGCCTTGCAAACGGCTCGGGGCGTTTGCAGGCGGTCCCGGGCAGGTGCAAAGCTGCCCGGGACCAGACAGGCTGTCGCCAGCGCCGTGCGCATGCGCGGGTGCTGGCGTGGGAAAAGTATCGCATTGACCCGGGAAATGTCTATATAAGAAGCTGAGAGGTTTTGGGAGCTGCTGAAGCCATCTACTTGTAAGCTGAACGCAGAATAAAGAAAACTGAGAACTACAACTGCTTCTCGTGTCTTACATTTCCGCGAAGGACTCAACAAGTTCTCTCACTGCAGATCTGCTATCCTTTGCTTCACTAGAAGACCAATTTTTGAGGTTAATATGTTCAGCTAAACTCAAAGAAGAATTTGGAAAATATTCAATGCTCCTGGCAAAATTTTGCATATTAATCTAAATGTTATTTATTATTTCTTTTTTAGTACAGCCACACAGAAAGTGTTAGAAAGTTATTTAAAATGCTGTGTAATCCAAGTGAAGTTACTTGTTGATCCCCCTCATTTGAAATAACACAAATTTACAAAAATCTGATGAGGTTTGAAAAAACAGAGATGTCTCTTTTGTGGTCAATGTTTGGAATGTTTTTTCCTTAAAATGTGGCAAAAAAACACAATGTGGTTTTACTTGTCAGAACGATTAATATACTTTGGTGTTTTGGCTAATTTCCTACTCAAATAATGGCATAAACCCCTGTCTGAATTCCTTTAGGAATACTCTGCTTTCTTTCCTGCCACATTTTGTTATGTTGGAACTAGTAAGCAGTGTTAAACAAGAGTCTCTTTTCACCTACAGGACTTTGCACCTTGTAAAATGATATCCCTCTAGAGATACCTGATCTGGTAGAATGATTATGTCTGAGAGATGTGCTATTTAATTGTATAGTTTGCTAATAGAGAGAGCACTGTGGACTCACACCAGCACTTGACACCTAAACCCATATTTTATTTAATTTTTAAAAATAGCATATGTCAGTGTAAGAGATTTCCCAGGCAGGCATATTACCAAACATAAGAAGATGTCCAGTAAAAAAAAAAGTCTCTCTAATCCAGCATTCATGATACCTATGGGAAATCCATAAATGCACTAACACAGAGTTTCTCAATCTTGGCAACTTTTAAGATCTGTGGACTTCAACTCCCAGAATTCCCCAGCCAGCTGAAGTGTATGTCCACAGATCTTAAAGTTGCCAAGGTTGAGAAACACTGCTTATTGATATTATTACTTGACCATTGATAGCAGTTCTCTCCATGAATTTGTCCAATTGCTTTTTTTAAACCATCATTAGAAAATGATTTCTAGAATTTAGTAGTGTATTTTGGAGAAAATTGCTTCCTTTGGCCTTCCTTTTCTTTTCCCCGCAGGTGGACCCTCACATGCTAGAGGAAGCGTCATTGGACATATTAATGATGTTGAGTTTGGAATCGCTTTCCTGAATGCTACCATAATAGATGGTCCAGATGAGGATATTACAAGTGTAGAAGCCAAAATTACAAATATCCCTCGGAATCTTGGTACAACTGTTCCTTTTATGCATTAAGATTTTATTTAGACTCATCAGATTTACACCATCTGTTTTAGTAGTAATATTATAAATCAAAATGAAAGGTCTATGTTTATCATGGCTATAACAGTGGATATCATCAAGTTTTCATTAAGTATAGAGCACATCTTATTTTTCCAAGAGCATAGAAGTTTTTAGAAAAAGCACAGCACAAAAGTAGTTGCAGGAACTAGGTAAAGCTAGTCTAGAGAAAAGAAGGACTAGGGGTGACAGTATTCCAGTATTTGAGGGACTGCTACAAAGAAGAGGGGGGTCAATGTATTTTTCAAAACATCAGAAGGCAAGACAAGAAACAATGGATGGAAGCTAATCAAGGAAAGAAACAACCTGGAATTAAGGAGAAATATCCTATCAGTGAGAACAATTAATCAGTGGAACAGCTTGCCTTCAGAAGTTGTGGGTGCTTCATCACTCACTTGTCTGAAATGGTATAGGTATAGGTATAGGGTCTGCTGCTTGAGCAGGGGTTTTAACTAGAAGACCTCCAAGATCCCTTCCAGCTGTATTCTGATTGATTGATTGATAGTTCAGACGTTGGAGGGCCTGTGTGGGTTTCAAATGGCATTTTGTCTAGGTAAAGGACTGCCATGACATTCAATAGCAGTATGGGAAAACCAGAAAGCAGGCAAACACATTGAGATCATTGTGCTTATATCAATACATTCTTTGTCATTTTGATTTATTCTATCCTTCTCATAAATTATTGGTGGCAGTCATGAACAAAGAAAAAAAAGTATTCACGATCTTCAAGTTTTGTCGGCCAAGTGTGAGAGGCAGTTGCTTCTAGGAAGTGATTAAGAAAAAATATTTTCCCAAAAATACAAATATCAAAAAGATGCTGTATTTATCATAATGTTATTCCCCACAAGGTCCTGTAATGAAAGTGCTGGTTTCTATTCTGAGTCCCATTTATTGGATAACAGCCAAGGAAATTGGAGAAGCTGTGAATGGCTTTTCACTCACCAGTGCAGTTTTCAAGCGGGAAACACAAGTAGAATTTGCTACTGGTTAGTAAAAATAAGATACATATGTTTGTTTTGCACAAGAAGCGAAATGTTTTCTTTAGAAGTGTTTACAATTAATTTCTATAGAATTCTTACCAAACTGATCAAAGGGAGAGGCAACCAGGAATTAAGGAGAAACTTCCTAACAGTGAGGACAATTAACCAATGGAACAGCTTGCCCCCAGAAATTGTGGGCACTCCATCCCTGGAGGTTTTTAAAAAGAGACTAGACAGTCATTTATCTGAAATGCTATAGGTTCTCCTGCTTGAGCAGGGGGTTGGACTAGAAGACCTCCAAGGTTCCTTCCAGCTCTATTCTATTCAATTCGATTCTAGAAAGAAGTGAACTTACAGAATGAACCCAGTGGCAGTAACACCTTGATAGCCAAATGTTGCTTTGTACTTTCCATATAGCAAATGTATACAAAATCTGTACACTAAGAAAAAGTATGTTTTAAAATATGCATATTGAAATGTACAATAAAATGTGGGTAACTTTTACTTTGTTGTTGTTAATTGCGAAGTCGTGTCCGACCCATCGTGACCCCATGGACAACGTTCCTCCAGGTCTTCCTGTCCTCTACCATCTTCTGGAGTCCATTCAAATTCACACCTACTGCTTCAGTGACTCCATCCAGCCATCTCATTCTCTGTCGTCCCCTTCTTCTATTGCCCTCAATCTTTCCCAGCATTAGGCTCTTCTCCAGTGAATCCTTCCTTCTCATTAGGTGGCCAAAGTACTTGAGTTTCAACTTCAGGATCTGGCCTTCTAAAGAGCAGTCGGGGTTGATCTCTTCTAGGACTGACCGGTTTGAACGCCTTGCAGTCCAAGGGACTCGCAGGAGTCTTCTCCAGCACCATAGTTCAAAGGCCTCAATTCTTTTGCGCTCAGCCTTTCTTATGGTCCAACTTTCACAGCCATACATTGCAACTGGGAAAACCATGGCCTGGACTATACGCACTTTTGTTGGCAGGGTGATGTCTCTGCTTTTTAGAATGCTGTCTAGATTTGCCATAGCTTTCCTCCCCAGGAGCAAGCGTCTTTTAATTTCTTGGCTGCAGTCCCCATCTGAGGTGATCTTGGAGCCCAGAAAAATAAAATCTGTCACTACCTCCATTTCTTCCCCATCTATTTGCCAGGAATTGAGAGGGCCGGATGCCATGATTTTGGTTTTCTTAATGTTGAGTTTCAAGCCAACTTTTGCACTCTCCTTCTTCACCCGCATCAAGAGGCTCTTTAGTTCCTCTTCACTTTCTGCCATTAGAGTGGTATCATCTGCATATCTTAGGTTGTTCATATTTCTCCCAGCAATCTTAATTCCAACTTTTGATTCATCTAGCCCTGCCTTTCTCATGATGTGCTCTGCATATAAGTTAAATAGGCAGGGCGACAGTATACAGCCTTGTCGGACTCCTTTTCCAATTTTGAACCAATCAGTGGTTCCGTGTTCGGTTCTCACTGTTGCTTCTTGACCCGCATATAGGTTTCTCAAGAGACAAATGAGATGGTCTGGTACTCCCATCTCTTTAAGAACTTGCCACAATTTGTTGTGATCCACACAATCAAAGGCTTTTGCATAGTCAATGAAGCAGAAGTAGATGTTTTTCTGGAACTCCCTAGCTTTCTCCATGATCCAGCGTATGTTGGCAATTTGATCTCTAGTTCCTCTGCCTCTTCGAAATCCTGCCTGTACTTCTGGTAGTTCTCGATCCACATACTGCTGGAGTCTAGCTTGTAGGATTTTAAGCATAACTTTACTAGCATGTGAAATGAGTGCAATGGTGCGATAGTTTGAACATTCTTTGGCATTGCCTTTCTTTGGAATTGGAATGTAAACTGACCTTTTCCAATCCTGTGGCCACTGTTGAGTTTTCCAAATTTGCTGGCAAATTGAGTGTAGCACTTTTACTGCATCGTCTTTTAAGATTTTGAATAGCTCAGCTGGAATACTGTCACCTCCACTAGCTTTGTTGTTGCTCAGATTTTCTAAGGCCCATTTCACTTCACATTCTAGGATGTCTGGTTCGAGGTCAGTGACCATCTCATTGTGGTTATCTGGGATGTTAAGCTCATTCTTGTATAGTTCTTCTGTGTAGTTTTGCCATCTCTTCTTAATCTCTTCTGCCTCTGTTAGGTCTCTGCCATTTTGGTCCTTTATCATGCCCATCTTTGCATGAAACGTTCCCTTCATATCTCCAATTTTCTTGAAGAGATCTCTGGTCCTCCCTATTCTGTTGTTTTCTTCTATTTCTTTGCACTGTTCATTTAAGAAGGCATTCTTATCTCTTCTAGCTACTCTCTGGAATTCTGCATTCAATTGGGTGTATCTTTCTCTTTCTCCTTTGCCTTTCGCTTCCCTTCTTTCCTCAGCTATTTGCAAAGCTTCCTCAGACAGCCATTTTGCTTTCTTGCATTTCTTTTTCTTTGGGATGGTTTTAGTTGCTACCTCTTGTACAATGTTGCGAACTTCCATCCATAGTTCTTCAGGCACTCTGTCTATCAGATCCAGTTCCTTAAATCTATTTGTCACCTCTACTGTATATTCATCAGGAATATGATTTAGTTCATACCTGAGTGGCCTAGTGCTTTTCCCTACTTTTTTCAATTTAAGCCTAAATTTTGCAACGAGAAGCTCATGATCTGAGCCACAGTCAGCTCCTGGTCTTGTTTTTACTGACTGTATAGAGCTTCTCCATCTTTGGCTGCAGAGCACATAGTCAATCTGATTTCTATATTGACCGTCTGGTGATGTCCATGTGTAGAGTCGTCTCTTGGGTTGTTGGAAAAGAGTGTTTGTTATGACCATCGTATTCTCTTGACAAAATTCTATTAGCCTGTGCCCTGCTTCGTTTTGTACTCCAAGGCCAAACTTGCCTGTTATTCCGGTTATCTTTTGGCTTCCTACCTTAGCATTCCAATCCCCCATGATGATAAGGACATCATTTTTTGGTGTTAATTCTATAAGGTGCTGTAGGGCTTCATAGAACCGGTCAATTTCATCCTCTTCAGCACCAGTGGTTGGGGCATAGATTTGGACTACTGTGATATTGAATGGTTTGCCTTGGATTCGAATTGAGATCATTCTGTCATTTTGGGGATTGTATCCCAGTATTGCTTTTCCTATTCTTTTATTGACTATGAAGGCTACTCCATTTCTTCTGAAGGATTCTTGCCCACAGTAGTATACCTGATGGTCATCTGAGTTAAATTCACCCATTCCTGTCCATTTTAGTTCGCTGATTCCTAAGATGTCGATGTTCAGTCTTGTCATCTCTTTTTTGACTACGTCTAGCTTGCCTTGATTCATGGATCTTACATTCCAGGTTCCTATGGAGAAAAAATCTTTACAGCATTGGACTTTCCTTTCACCACCAGATATATCCACAGCTGAGCGTCCTTTCGGCTTTGGCCCAGTCGCTTCATTCTTTCTGGCGCTACTAGTACTAGCCCTCTGCTCTTCCCCAGTAGCATATTGGACACCTTCCAACCTGAGGGGCTCATCTTCCAGCGTCATATCTTTTTTCCTTTTAGTACTGTCCATGGGGTTTTCATGGCAAAGATACTGGAGTGGTTTGCCATTTCCTTCTCCAGTGGATCACATTTTGTCAGAACTCTCTGCTATAACCTGTCCGTCTTGGGTGGCCCTGCACGGCATAGCTTGTAGCTTCATTGAGTTACGCAAGCCCCTTTGCCACGTCAAGGCAGTAATCCAACTTTTACTTTATGGTTTTAAAAAAGAATCCACAAGCTAGTATGAAAAGTATGAAACAATTAGAATAAAGTGGAAATTGTTAAATTTATGCAAATTGGCAACTGGGTCAGAAAGGTAGGTGCATTAGTAGGTGCCTGTAATTTTTTTTAATGCTTGAATAAATATGATTTCGGTATTTTTGGATACCGATTTCCTGTAATCATTAGCAAATACATATTTCAAGAAATGCAGTTTTACAGCCATTTATTTCTAGACTAAATTGTCCATGCCAATTCATTTCACACTTAGGGTGCCTTATGCAAATATACCTCATGTTAATGCCATTCATTCATCAGAACTATTGTTGAAATCTACAGGGGAGCTTCTACGAATGACTCATGTTGCCCGTGGTTTGGATTCAGATGGTTCTTTACTCTTGGATGTTGTCATCAGTGGCCACATACTACAGCTACAGTCAACAGATGATGTTAATGTAAAAGTAAGTCAAGCCATTACTGCAATCATAGCTATAAATTATTAAGACATTCTTTGCTATATACATTAGTCAACCATATTCAACCATATGTCATATTAAGGTGTATATGTTGAAGAGATATTGTAGGAACAAGTGAACAATTTCATGGTCTGCCAAAACAGAATGTTATTAAGTTTTGCCCCATATTGTTGATTTTTTTTCTCCTAACTTTGCCATACCATAGTAAGTATTGAAACTGACTGTGTTACATGCAATTCTTATTTATTTTAAACCAGTCATTTTTCTTTTTCTGTCCCATGTCTCCAGCAAGCTTGTGAAGTCTTGGACCTTTGTTCCCTGAAGGCTGTGCACTGTTTTGAGGGCCACTATTCATTAGCATTCTGCTTGCTACTTAAGACAGAATCTTTGGCTTCTTTAGCATTTCTGAAATTTGTCAAAGATCTAGTATGATAAAACATTGCCACAAAGATAATTGTCTAAAATGTATTTGAATGCACTGTCCAAGGATTGGTCAGGCAACAAAATATTGTTTTTAGAAATGCCAAATAATGCATTTAATAAATATTATTTAATGAATATAATGCATAAAAAACATTCTTTCATGTGGTGGATTGCTTCCATTCTAAAGATATGCCTTCATTGGAACTTCTATTTAGCAGTTGCTTTGTCTAGTAGCTATTGTGTTTCTGTCATCCTATAAAGTCTATTTGTTTCTTATTTAATGATGAAATTACGTCTGGAGAAAAAAAGGCTGTTGTTTCAGAGATTATGCGTGGATGGATTTTGATGCACATAACTTTTACTTTAGATATTATTCTAAAATAGGTGCTCTATCAAAAGTCTGAACCTGTAGAGTAGTGGGTTCAAAACTTCCTCTCCCAGAACCCATCTGGGCCTTCATACCCTAGCCCCACCTCTTCCTTTGAATAGCAAACTTGATCATTCCTTCTGTTGCAATCAATTTTTTTGGGGGGGATGGGATATCTCACTTGGCATCCGCTCCCTAATTCCGGTTGTGGGAGAGATGCAGTAGTTCCTAGGGTTGCTTTTTTTGGCGATTTAAAAAAAAAAACTGGTTTCCATGATGACGCCTTCTGTCTATGTAATATTGCACAATTGTGGCTTGAGGATTCAGAATTGTTTTTAACTTTAAATATTAAAATCCAAACACTGAGTGTTGAAGCTTATCTAATTCTGTAGTTCACAATATATTACACATAACTTAATTAAAAAGAAATTGTAATGAAAAATATTGATGTATGCATTCTAAAAATCACGAACACAGCCTGAAGTACACTTCTGTAATTTGCACAGAGAAATAAGTACATGACAGTGTAGTGTTAAAGTCTCAAAAAACAGAAACGAAATCTAGTACAATATTTCTCTCTAGGCAGTGTGCCTGTTTCTACAGAAATAGAAACCTCCTGAATCAAATGTTCATTTACTTCAATTACTTGGGCTCTTTCCAGCCGTGGGAAGATCCCATATTAATCAAAAGTTGTTGGACAGGGAGCTTCCGGTGGATCTGCGCGCGCGATGGCGGCTACTTTGTAGCCGTCCTCCTGGGTAAGTGTTTGAATCGCTATGAACAGCGGACATCAGCTGTTCAGCGGTTCAAAAACCCCCTCCCAGGCAAAGGGGGGGGTAGAGAGGTGTCTGAATAGTGGTAGAGCCTCTTATGCACCCTCAAAGTTTTTTTGGGGGGGGGGGGTTAAAAGAGTGCTCCCACGGAGTTCAGACTGTCTCTACTTCCCAGCTGCTTTTGTCCCTAGGGACAAAACAAGCCGCTGCAACCACCTCCGCGATTAAAGTTAATTGGTGAGGGTTTTTTTAGAAGCGGACAGAGCTGAGTAGAGGATTTAGTTTTTGCTTTCTTGGATTTTATTTGGATTTTAAGTTTAAAGATTTATTTTTACTTTTATATTCCATCTTTTTATTTTTTTTTTCCTTTGTTGAAAGGGAAAGTAAAATGGCGATCGGCAAGCCTTTCGGTGTTTTTTTTTTCGGAAGGTAGAATGGCGACTGGCAGGCTTTTTACGGTTTCTTTTTTCCTTTTCCCTTTTCCTTTTTTTTGTTTTTTTTTTAATGATTGGAATGGAGTGTTAGTATTATTATTTTTGTACTTTTTTGGTTTGTTTTTTGTACTGTTTGTATTTTTAAAAAAATGGAATGGATTTTTTTCTATTTAATTATTCTTTTTTCTTTCTCTCTTTTCTTTTTTTTGAACTCCTTTTTTTATTATAATCTCCTCTTGAAGGATTTTTTTTTTTTTATTTTATGGAGTTAACTTCTTTTTTTCCTTTGTTTAATTTTTGCAATTTCTAAGAAGGAGTAAAGATTTTTTTAAGATGGCTCCAAAGCGTCCAGTAATCCCTACAGCTTCTAAAGTGGCTTCTTCTTTGGTGTCATCATCAGCGCAACAACTTAAATTAATAGCCTCATCTTCTTCTTTGCCACAGTCAACAATGGTGAAGGATTTGCAAGATATGATGGGAGATGTTATACTTCAAATTAGGGGAGAAATGAAAGAGATTCTAGAGGAAAACAATATGACTTTGAGGCAAGAGATAGTTTTGGCTTTAAAAGGAGTTGCCTCTGTTCTTGAAAAGTTGAATTCTCGCGTAGAAGAAGTAGTAGAAAAAGTGGAATTGATGGAGGAAAAATTTGAAAGTATGGAAAAAGAGATGAAAAATTTTCAAGATGAGATTCTTATGCTTCAATATAAACAAATGGAATATGCTTTAAGAATCAGAGGTTTGGGTGAGTCTGTGCAAGGAAATCTGAGACAGATGGTTGCAAAGGACTTTGCTGTGATTTTGAATAGAGAAAAAGAGGAAATACTTAGTGAAATTGAACAGACATTTAGAGTTAATTCTATGGTGGCAGAGCAAAAGAATTTGCCAAGAGATGTGGTAATTTACTTTGGGAAAAGATCCCTGCGCAATGAAATTATACAAGCTTTTTATAAGAAGAGGTTTCAAATTGCTTCACAAATTGTTATAATTTTAAAGGAGATCCCATCTAAAATTTTAAGAAGAAGAAAGGAGTTTGCTTTTTTAGCAGACGAACTTAAAAAGAGACAAATTTTGTTTAGATGGGATGTTCCGACTGGAATGGTGGTGAATTACCTGGGGATACGTTATAGTCTTAATACTGTTTCTAAAGCAAAAGACTTTTATACTTCGGTCCTGGGGGTATGTTCATCGCCACCTATCACGTTTAAAGCTTTGGAAGATAAAAAGGCAGAATTGCAATCTGAAGTGCTTACACTTATGAAAATTGGGAAACTTCAGTTTGAGGGGCCTCAACAAGTAGAGATGGAGGAGCAGAAGACAACCGGTGTAACATACAATTGTAAAGAAAAGGATCAACAGAAGAAGGTCAAGGAAGTTTCACAAGTATTGGTTCCTGAGTTTGTGGGAGAACCAGGACTTACAAATTTTTTGGAGCTACCTTTAAGGGCAGATTTTAAAGTACTTCTTTCGAGATTTATGGACAAGAGAGACTGATAAGGATTGTGTTTACAGTGGATGGAACTGGCTATTGGAGAGAAGATTATGGAAATCGAATGAAAATTTTTAGATAAGAAGTTTAAGTTTAAGTATTTAGAAGACTATTGAGATTGCGGGAGAACTAAGATTTAACTTTTTTGGAATTACCTTTAAGAGGTTTATGGATAAGAGAAGGAATGTGTTTACTGTGGAGGAATTTGTTATTGGTAAAGATTTAAACAGGTATAAGGGAATTTTAATGTTTTAAGTTATATTTATGGGATCTATTATTATTATTATTTTTTAGAGAAGCTAATTTGTTTAATTAAACGTATTTAGATTTGTTTAGGATTTATATGTTTTTTAAGTTTTTTCTTTTCTTGATAGGAGAGAAGATTATGGAGATTGAACGAAAATTTTAGATAAGAAGTTTAAATTTAAGTATTTAATAACTCATACTGAAAGTTTAACTATTCAAAAGAGTATCCAGTCTTAACGGTATAATGAATGTTTATATGCTTATTTTTGTGCTCTAGAGTAAAGAAAGAGGGAGATTAGATCTTATATTGTAGGTATGGATATTTAAAGAAAGTAATGTTTAAATTTGTGTTTTGGGGATTCTATATAGAATGATGGATAATAATATAAGTACAATACTAGAAAATGTTTAAAGTATATTATAATGTGTGTTTAATGTTTGCAACTATTATGTTTTAGAGAAGATAATTTGTTTAATTTAAGGTAGTTAGATTTGTTTAGGATTTATATGTGTTTTAAGTTTTTTTCTATTTTTCATTTTCTTTGAAAATTTTAATTAAGCCTGTACTCAGCTCTGGGAAGGTTGAGGGAGGGTATGGGAGGTTTGGGGAAGATGGGGGAGGGTACGGGAGGGTGGGGGTTTGGGGAAGGGATTTGTTCTATAAAATTTAAAACTTTCAATAAAAAAAAAAAGTTGTTGGACAGATTATAAAAGCCCTGTTTTATTGCCATTCTCTTTCCTTAGGCTTCTTCCAAGTTCTGCTCTTAATTTTTTTAAACTACCAATATTTCTTTATTTCCAGCAGAGGGAGATGTTGAGATATCTGACTCCTCATGTAACCAAGATCATTTCTGTCTTCTGTGGATGTGATTTAATTCTGTAGGGATAGCACAAGGATACTGTCCCAACAGGAACCAACCACTGGGAATAAATAAATAACTGGTGACATATTACGTTGCTAGGACACTGGCTACTGTGAAAGGATAAATAAGTCTTTGAGAATTGTTTTGGGGTTTGGGTGTAAAAGCACCAGATAGTGTTCTTTCTTCTTTTTAAAGAAAATACACAAGTTCCTTATTGTAAGTCATCTTCTGTTTATTGATCTCCCTCAAGGTAGTGCTGAATTTCTTTCCAGTGTAGATTAGCATATATTGTCAGGACAATTAGTAGCAAGGAATCTGGATATTTTCAAATGTGTAGACAAATTTGGTGGCTATCTGAACTAGTCCCTGCAGTTTTCTTGGCAAGCTTTTTTTTTTTTTCAGAAGTGTTTTTGCCCTTGCCTGCTTACCTCTGATTGAGAGAGAGTGACTGGCCCAAGGTCATCCAACTGGCTTTGTGCCCAAGGAAAGGCTAAAACCCACAGCCTCCAATTTTTAGCCTGGTGCATTAAAGTACATTTCTAGTTTATTCCAAAAGTCAAAGGTAAACATGGAAGTTTGGCTTTTGCCATTAATTCCTGTACTAAGCATAAAACACTGATTTCATCCCCCTGGAAAACAAATAATTGGGATTAGTACCAATCTGATCAAATTGTTTAAACCACAAATCTACATAAGTATCATTTGAACTTTTAAATAGCAACCCTTCCTTAATTGTAGATGATTGTGAATTTTTGCATGCCGAACAAAGAGAGTTCTGTTAGTAGTTTCTTCAATTTGAAGCTGTGATATTCATTTTAGGATTATACAGAAGATTACATTCAAACAGGCCCTGGTCAGCTTTATGCTTACTCCACTCGGCTCTTCAGCATAGATAGCGTCAGTATACCATACACTTGGAACCATACAATTACCTACAATCAAAATCGTGGGAAAATGCCTTCCCTGGTTGAAACACTTCAAGCTTCTTCTATTAAAACAGAATATAGCCCACATGAAGAAGCTCTGACTTTTAAAATTGATGCTTCCATTACAAAAGGTATGGATTTTGAGAACGATATATACACAATTTATACCAAAAATATGTGCTAATTCTTTTCCTTCTTTACAATTTAGGTAAGATCAACGTGAAAAACTGTCAGTAAAAAAAATGAGGCAATCCATATGCTAAAACTTAATATAATTACATTTAACTAAATAAAAACCAATTCAAGTAAAAGACTTTATAATGGTTGCACACAGACTTAGAAATCTTTGGCAGTAATCATGCGCTTATAAAAGATTTACTATCTTACCTTTTGCTTATTTTGTAAATAAAGTTTTTTCAAGATACAACCATCCTTTGAGAAGTTATGACCTAATCCATCCTGGCAATTTTGGGTACATTTGATCAATGGATACCAAACATGAATTAGTCATTGGCCAGCATAAATTTCCTTAATTCGCGCTGGCCTTTTGCATCTTCCTAAAAGATTGAAAGTTACCTTTTTTTCAATACTAATGAAGACAGAATGTCTCCTGTAAACATGACATTTGCCCTGGTAGCTTCAGTTGTTTGGGGGTGATGTTCTTTTCTTACGGTCATCTTCAATACAAATGTTATTTTGGACTTAATTTTTAAAATGTGTTTATAGGACACACCGTGTACTTTTTGGGTAAATATTTTAGTTCTGAATAGAAACATTTTCAACTAAGATGCACAGCAAGTCTATTAAGGATTGCCATAATAGAAAAAAAAATAAAATTCCACTAGCCCAACTGTCTTCTCAATGGAGAATTTGCAGAATAACAGAATTAGAAGGGACTGTGGAGGTTTTCTAGTCCAACCTCCTGCTGAAGCAGGGACCCTACATACCATTTCAGATAAATGGTTGTCCAATCTCTTCTTTAAAACATCTAGTGATGGAGCACCCATATCTTCCAAAAACAAGCAATTCCACTGATTAATTATTCTAACTCTTTGCAATATATGGTAACCTTGACAGATAGCAATTAAACAGTCTAATGAAAGATCTTAACCTGTCATTTATCAGTGCAATTGCTCCATCATCAAGTAATGTTTTATCATTATGATTGCTGTAGTTAAAATCTACTTCCATGCCATTTCATACATCAGTTCTATTTTTTACTTCAGGAGCAACAAAAAAGTTGCTTCCATCTTGAGGTAACTGTCTTCTGAAAGATATTTGATGATAACAGTAACAACTTGTGTCAATTTGATTAACCATTCACTTTTCCCACAGGAGACCACAGCAACCAATGCCCTCATGGGTTTAGTTTGGATTCTTCTGGTCCCTACTGTTCAGGTGAGAAGATCCCAGCAACCTGACCATTGCAGAAATTGCTGCACACCAGATAATTTTCCTTCCTCTTTCATGGACTGCTTTTCTCCCCTTTCACTAATCAAAACAAAAAGATACTAAAGTACTGTTGGTGTAAATGTCCTTACAGATGTTTATTCAAAAAAAGGTTATTCTCAGTGATGGAAAAATCCAAACATTGTCCAAGGAAATGTACTGGCACTTATGACTGAAATGCTGAAATTACTTTTACAACACATCTGAATGCTGAGCTCCCAGCGTTAGCATATAACATGTTCTTTTAAATCAAACTGAATTTATCCTTATTGACTTGCTTTCTACTTGGTGAAGTGAGTTCAAACAGCATCTTCAATATGGGTAGAATTTCAGAATGATGGTGCTTTCTTTTCTTTACTTTTGTAACATTGCTAGCATTGTGGAAATTTCTTGCTTGTGAGGAATAGAATCTGGGGAAGTGAAAGGTGAACCTCTAGCAGATTCTATGCAGCTGCTGGACTATAGATTGTACATTTACATACTTAGTTACCTGTTAATTATTTTGTGTTTTTTATCATTAGATGAAGATGAGTGTATAACTCAAAAACCATGTCCCCATATATGCCACAATGTTGTAGGAACCTATTACTGCTCCTGTCCCAAAGGCCTTACCATATCAGCAGATGGAAGAGCATGTCAAGGTAAGCATCACTTTCTGAAATCTCTTGGAGGGCAATCAGTGTCCATGAAATCTAGGTGAGACCAAGGAATAGCTTCTCCAGAGTGAAGAACCACCATAACTTCTCCAGTCCAGTTCTACTACCTCATGAGCAATTTTTTGTTGTTCTTAATTAGGGAATTAGGGACTCAAAAACAATGATGGAGAGCAAAGGAGCCATAGATTGAAAATAATAAAGTGGTTTTCTCTAGGACCAGAGGGTAACACAATAACTGATAAGCTTCAACAAATTTCTTGGATTAAGCCTTTTTATGCTTCTTCTGTACACTATCTTTTCCTGAGAAAATGGATGCTGCTTCTCTCATGATGATATATTGAGATATGTTTATGCTTCAATAGAACCTGTATTGCCATTTGAACTATATTATACTTCTGTATTGCGATTTAATGCAGATATTGATGAGTGTGCCTTAGCGAGGCATTCATGCTTGGTGGGTCAAGACTGTGAGAACATTATTGGCTCATATCGCTGTGTGATTCAGTGTGGAATTGGTTTTAGAAGAACACCAGATGGATTGAGTTGCCAAGGTATGGAAATGACTATATGCATTAAACATTGTTATTAAACATTGCCTAATGCTTCATTAAATAATACTTTCATGGGGATAAGGTGTTCCCTAGAATAGTAAGGAACAGACTGAAATAAATGGACTGAGATTTTGCTTTCTCACAATGTGGTTTTCTGATAAGTTTTTTTTTATAATTTCCAAGTCTTCGATATTATTAATAGTCTTCCTGATTTCAATCTCACAACTTCTACTTGTGCCTTTTAACTGCATTGAGCTGAAAATTCAACAATCATTACATTACATAGCACCATTCTCATGGGACATTTCCAGTCTTCAATTTCAAAGCATTTGATGTCTGTGCTGCCATTCAGGAATAACTTAGGCAAAGTTTTAGACTCATGATTCTGTCCCTGAGGCACAAACATGACTCAATAATTGATTTTTATACTACTACTTTATAACATTCTCAGCCCACAACTAAGGCAATTTAAGGTTGTTTTTAGCTCTTTCTATTTTAGAAAATCTGAGAGATGATTTTGGCCTGGGCTAGAGAACAGACTGGACATCCAATGTCCTCTAAGGCCTAACTAGAATTTTCTGAAGTGGACTCCTTCCATCCCCAGATTTAATGCTTGATTACACTAATCCTGTGCTATAATGAATATTAATGTAGGAGAAGAAAAGACAGAGCCTGGGAGTGGAGTCAAGAGAGGAATCAGTCTGGAGTCATTATGTTCCCATAAGTGATCCAAATCCAGTCCCCCTTGAATTCTATTGATTGTTATCTAGCACCAATTTAGTGCTGATTATCAGTTGACTAGACTCTTGTTTATTTTGCCTTAAGCAATAAATCTTATTAACTGCAACTTAATATATGGTCCTGATTCTTTGTACTTGACAATTAACCTGGGAAGGAAAACCAGTTCTGCGCGCCTCAAATTGGTTTGCTTTGGTTACCAAAGAACATTGGTTGTTTTCCTTCTACTAATATACAATGTATTGTACAACAGGTATGGCCGAAGTATTGGTGATTTCGAAGGTGTTTTCCACCATTCAAAGTTGTCTTTAATAATTTTCTCACTCTTTCTGGGCATTCTTTACTAATAACATTTTAACTTGTCCATGCTTGATGTCATAGACCAGGGGTGTCAAACTTGCAATGTCACGTGACGTGTTGCGATGTATCGCAACTTTTTTTCCATTGCTGGCAATGGGATGGGCGTGGTTTCGCCATGATGCACCGGCCCATGGGCTGGCAGTTTGACACCCCTGTCATAGACCCTCAAAAGAAGAGTACAATACAGTCAATTAAAATCTAAAATGACCATTTCTTTAAAAAATATTTTTTAATTTAAAAAACAAACTATATATAACAAAAGTCTAAAAAATCTAAAAGACGGGTAGAAGCATTAAATGGATGTAGAAGAGTATAAAGTTAGTATGTGATAGACTATATCAAATTACAGAACACTCTTCTGTGATGAACTAGAGGCTTATTTAGTCTAATTTATGACATAGGTCATCATCTGATGGATTTTAAGGGCTGCTGCATAGAACCTGGCAACATTAATCTTCTAGCATAGTTGGCACGTGAAAGCAACAGGGAGGTGTAGAATTGTCTTGTGAAGTCTGGATATTTGTGCAATAATGATAAGATGGAGATTATATGTATTTGTCTTTAATATAGGCACTGGAGAAGCACATGCTCTGTTGTTTCTGTGTGTCCAGAGACACAGGGGCATTGACTCTCTGGATAAGGAATTTTCTTGCAGTATAGACAGAGGAGCAAAAAAAATGGCAAACTCAGGCAACCACAAAGAACTGCACAGACATGCAATCTCTAGGATGTAATGCAGTTATAAAGCTAGGAGCAGAATAGAAATCATCCTTTCTTCCTTCTGGGTTTTGCTTCTGTTTGGAAGCAAAAGTGCCAGGTAGTTTTCTAGCACTACAAAGTTTGATGGAAAGAACTAGGTTAAAATGTCTTTATTATTCAACAGATGTAAATGAATGCCAAGAGTCTCACCCTTGTCATCAACATTGCTTCAACTCCATTGGAAGCTTCCACTGTGGATGTGATCCAGGATATCAGCTGAAAGGCAGAAAATGCATGGGTACAAATTTGACATAATCCAAAGTGGGACTGGAATGGCTTTTCACTTGTGGGTGAATACTTTACCCAGCACAACCGAAATTTAACAGTCCCTAAATATACTTGTATACTGTGGGTTCTGAGCATTCAGACAATGTATTCCATCTTTTTGAAGTGTAATTTTTCACTTTGTTAATGTAATTATTATTTATTATTCCTGGGCTTGCAATCTGCATGGTTTAAATAAAATAATTACTTGGAGAAATTCATGAGGTTAAGGGGGTACATATACCTAATTCCTTTTCTCTTCAAGATCGATTTACCTACAAAAGAGTAGATGTGATTCAGTGATGAATGGATCCTTTTAGACATAAAAGCCCTGAGAGATATCCTGATAGCAGCCTTGATGTTTCCAGTTATTCTGCTCCATTCAGATATTTAGAATGTCAGCTGTTGTGATTCCCTTTCTCCATTCCCCAAGGGGGTGGAAAAGTCCCCACTCTCTTAACTTGGCTCAATCTGAAAGCATTGTCACCTACTTGCAGAATAGATGCTATATCCTTCCTGCTTTGGAGGAGACGGTGGGGTGGCAAGGAAGCCAGCTAAAGATTTTTGTGAACAAACATTTCAAATGTTTACAAGGTGATTTTTAGAGGCAGAAAATACATGAAAGAAAATTAAAGGAAAGATTGCCCTTTGAACAAATGAGGCAATGGTGAAATTTAACTATTTAATTTCATCTTGCTTTATATATATATATATATATATATATATATATATATATATATATATATATATATATATATATATATAGATGTGAATGAATGCAGACAAAATGTATGCAGACCCGACCAGTTATGCAAGAATACACGAGGTGGCTATAAATGCATTGATCTGTGTCCAAGTGGAATGACCAAAGCAGAAAATGGAACATGTATAGGTGTGTACATTTATTTATCATATTCTTTTCAGAGTATAACAGAAAACAAGCAGTTTCAGTTATCTCCCTCTTTTTCTATCATATTTGTGAATAATAGTCATGAATCACTGATATCATTTCCAAATATAATCATCAATACGACATGGACCTATGATGGTCACAAAAAAATCTAGACTCTCTAGCAACTTTTTCAACTAATACATTTTATTAAAAGACTTCATGAGCCTTCATGACCCACAGCTTACTTCATCATATCCATATAGCCATCTCTCTCTCTCTCTCTCTCTCTCTCTCTCTCTCTCTATATATATATATATATATATATATATATATATATATGTGTGTGTGTGTTTTCTGAGGTTTTCGCGGGTGTTTGTATGTAGGTCTTTGGTTGTTCGGGTTTTCTCCCGCGTAAAATTGGAAGTGTCTTGGCGACGTTTCGACGAAGTCCCATTCCTCATCTTCAGGCTGGTGTTTTCAGCTTCGTGCTTCGAGGAGCAATGTGTGGTCTTAGCTGTTTCTTCCTTTTAACTGCCAGTGGGGGTATGAACTGATTGGGTGGGAGCTTGGCTGTGTTCTGATTGGGTGAAAGTGTGTTCTGATTGGTTAGGGGCTTGGCTGTGCTCTGATTGGCTGGGGGGTTGGCTGTGCTCTGATTGGCTGGGGGGTTGGCTGTGCTCTGATTGGCTGGGGGAGTGTTCTGTTTGGGTGGGGGCTTTCTAAGGATGGTGTTTCTAAGGATGGGGGGTTTCTAAGGATGGTGGATATTTTTCTGTTTGTGCAGAATGCTGTTTTGATGCACCACAGACAGAATCAGTAAGATCCTCCACAAACACAACATCAAAATAGCATTCTGCAGAAACAGAAAAATATCCACCATCCTTAGAAACCCCAAAGATAAAATTGAGTTAGAAAATCAAGGAGTATATGAAATCCCATGCACTGCTTGTCCCAACACATACATTGGACAAACCAACAGAATAATAAGTGCACGCATTGAAGAACATAAGAACTCAGTCAAAAAAGAGGAACCAACATCTTCCCTGGTCCAACACCTTAAAGCCACGGGACATGAAATTGACTTTAAAAATACCAGAACCATTGCCAAAAGTGAACATTTTAATAACAGAATAATCAGAGAAGCCATCGAGATAGAAAAACGCCCACACAGCATGAACAAGCGAGATGATACCTCCCGCCTACCAGCCATTTGGAAACCCGCCCTTATTGACAAACGACTCCCTAACACAAAAAATGATACCAGACCCACACTCACAAAAACCACACAGGATGTCACCACCACACATCCACGCAAAAAACAAACCCAAAGCCACACCGATGATGAGGCACGACCACAAACCAGAAGCCAGACCACAGCTGCATCATTAGCCACTTTAAACCCCTCCAATCCATACATGAAGCAAACTGACACCCTCCATGAAGATGAGGCACGACCACGAACGCAAAGCCCAAAAATAGCAAGGCAGCCCAAAATCTTAAACCCCCCTGCAACTCAGACTAACCTGAGCACAACCAAACAGAACACTCACCCAGCCAATCAGAGCACAGCCAAGCCCCTAACCAATCAGAACACACCTCCACCCAATCAGAACACAGCCAAGCTCCCACCCAATCAGTTCATACCCCCACTGGCAGTTAAAAGGAAGAAACAGCTAAGACCACACATTGCTCCTCGAGGCACGAAGCTGAAAGCACCAGCCTGAAGATGACGAATGGGACTTCGTCGAAATGTCGCCAAGACACTTCCAATTTTACGTGGGAGAAAACCCGAACAACCAAAGACCTACATATATGTGTGTGTGTGTATCTATCTATCTATCTATCTATCTATCTATCTATCTATCTATCTATCTATCTATCTATCTATCTATCTAGAATGCTGTATGTTACACCCTGTTGCCCAAATATGGGAGAGAGAAATCTTTTGCCTTGTATCAGCTCAAACTAGAGCCATCCATAGGCAGCAGTCACAACTGTGACATCATATACATTTCTAAAATTTGGATTGCTAGCAAAGAATTAAGGGAGAACTGGAATAGCTATTTAGAACTCTTTAGCTCTTTTCAACCAGACATACCCTTCTGAGATTCGAACCTGGGCTGTCTGTATGTTAGGCAGCTGTATTAACCTCTGGGCCACAGGCTCTGTCTCACTTTTGCCAGCTGTGTTAGGGAGGGAAGAAGGCTATATATATAGCCTTTTAATATAATGTGTTAATCGGAAAAAGTTCTATCAGATTTCTAACTCTTTGCTACCATGGACTAACACGGCTTTCTTCCATGTTATTTCTCATTTCCTGCTGGTGAAAAATATTCTGACGTTACTTTTTAAGAATATAAGCATTGAAAATGAGCAGATTCAAGATAATTCACACGTTCCTTAGAAGGCATCTGGCACTAATTTGACTAAATAGAAAGTCCCTTTCCATGAGATGGGCAGCCATATAAATTTGATAATAAATCAATATTTGTAACTAACACATCAATAGTTCAGAATTGAAGTATGATAAAAAAGCAGTCAAGGAAGCTTTGCAAACTTATAGATATATATTCTTATCAAGAAGAAGAAATACCTGATATTAAATTTCCTAATGCAAGTACATTTATCTCCAAGATTTTGTGTTCCTCATCAGATATTGATGAATGCAGAGACGGTACTCACCAATGCCGATACAACCAGTTATGTGAAAACTCAAAAGGAAGTTATCGGTGTGTGTGCCCAAGAGGCTATCGATACCAGGGGGTTGGAAGACCCTGCATGGGTAAGTCAGAATCTGGAATTGAATAAACTTTAGATCCATCTATAGATAAGAATTTGAATGGAAAAATCGTGATTTGGAGCATGTGAACTTGAGAAAAATATGGTGGCCTTTAATAAGTTCATATAATGCGTATTGTCCTCTTGTGCTCCAAATTACATTATGCTCTTTGAATCCAGATTATTTTCACAGCCCTAATAAATATGAATATTACTCTTTTGCATATCACCTGCTATTGGTAGCTGCCAGTGAAGCTCAAAGTGCTGTTCTTCTTGAAATTAGTAGTTTCCAGAGGAAACTATTTGGGCTTTTATACCTTTACTATGGGGGAAAAAAGTCCATCAGCTTCTAATTTCATGAACAAATGCAGAAACATTCCAGGAAACATAACTATTCACATAAGCTAATCATTTACTGGGGTACATTTTCCCCCCTCAAATGGGTATAGTGGAGCAGGGATGGGACTCTGTGCCCTATAAAACAGGGGTCCCCAACCTGTGGACCATGGCCCACTAGCAGGCTGCGGGTTTTTGGCCACCGAGCCACATGAGTGGCTGGTCGGTGCATGCATGTGTGTGCGTGTGTGCCTAGCCCCACTCATGCAAGCCTCTCAGGCATTTACCGCCCACTCACATGAGCAACCGATGTTCATGTGTACACATGTGCACACACATGCATTTACCCCTCCCCTAAAACCATACCTTCTTTCCCCACTTCCCCCTCGAAAGGTTGGGGAACTGTGTTATAAATGGTCCCTACCTCTAGCAGGCACTTACATTTCCTATTTGTATGGGAAAAAGCTGACATACAACTTTAATACTCTCTTTAAAGTTCATGTGCTTCAAGCACTTCAAGTGGCCTTTTTTTTTTTTTCAATCCTAGTAAGAAAATAAACAAAATAAAATCTGGACGTTTAAGCATGAGACATCTTTAACACAAAAGTGACATGCTTCCTTTAAAGTTCTCTACAGATTCAAGTGCAGTACACTCATAGTATATATTTCAATTCATTGTCATTCAAAAGATTCTATATTTTAGAACGTAAATTGGTACAAATTTCCTTCAATGTACCATTGTGCTCAGGTCAATTTACACAGGATCATACTCCTTGTCTTGTATTAGAGAACACCTGAATATCATTGCAGGAGCTTTGCAACAATTTAAATGTTAAGAAAATACTGAAAAAATTCCAGAGCAAGGAAAAGCAAGGCCTCTGTTTTGTTCACTGTATTTAGAGATCATTTAATTTGCCATAAAAGTGTGCATGTTTAGCTAGGGTGATCTCAGGATTTTCGTCACTTGTTGCACAAGAAGATTAATGCATGTACTGCCTATGTTTTGTGGTTTTAGAATCACATTTGTAATTTTAGCGTGTTCCGCAGACTGATGAGTTTTTATGTCTTTTTTGTTTATGTGTGTTTTTCTCCTTCCCCTTGTTACGTGGTGTGTTGCTTTGGAATCATGTCCCATGAGCAGACATTAATGAATGTGAACAAGTGCCTAAACCTTGTGCGTATCAGTGTGCCAACATCCCCGGCAGCTTCAAGTGTATCTGTCCTCCTGGACAACATTTATTAGGCGATGGCAAATCTTGCGCTGGATTGGAGAGGTTCCCAAATTATGGCACCTATTACAATAGCTATAATTATGCTCAGTTCTCCCCCATGAGAGACAACTATCGACCACAACAATATATCAGGCACTCCTCCAATCTCTACAGCTCCTACTCAGAGTATAGGAACAGCAGAATTCCCATCTCCAGGACTAGAAGAAATGTTAGAGAGCCTTGCCCTGAAGGCTATGAGGCAAGAAATAACAAATGTGTAGGTAAATGTCACACCTGTATATGTGTGTATATGTATGTATATGTCTGTACATATGATGCATATTCTTTCTTTTTTGCTGCTCATTCCACTTAGGATCTGCCAACAAAGGCAGGTTGTTTGTCATTGTTAGAGGTCATCTTTAAAGCCCTGAAGGCCTATCTACGTGAATGAATGTATTTCTTCATTTATTCCTACCCAATTAGAAAGATACTTTCAAAGGTTCTTCTTTGGGCCCGGTGACCAAAAATGAGAACAATAAGAAACTGCTCGTTTTGTCGATAGCAAGATATATTCAGGATCTTCGTTGCTTAGAATTAGACCCAAAACCAAGAGATTCTTTTTTCAAAATACTATTACTATTATTTTAAAACGTTGGACTTAAGAAAGTACAAATAGTCACTTGACTACAGCTGGTTCTGGAAACTCCATAGCTAAGCAACATGACTGTCAGGTGAAACCTCCTATGATCACAATGACTTATGACATCACTTCTTCTGCTGTGGTCATTAAAGAAGTCAAGCATGGCCATTAAGTGAGATGCAATTTCATTGGTGGCTTCTCTATTGATTCTACTAGTCAGAAGGCAGCTGTGAAGTGTGACAATGACAATCACATGACTACAGGCCATTGAGATGGTTGTAAATGCTTGCCAATCGTGAATCTCACCTGAATCTCAGTCATGTCACCACTGCAATGTTTAGGGTGAGGACTGCTTGCAAAGTTACATTTCTAATGTGGTTGTAACTTTGAACAGCTGCTAAACAGAACAGTTAAGTGAAATCTGCATAGTTTAGCTCTGTTAGTTTTATATCTATAACTAATTCTGAAGACTGTTTCCTATTGTGAGAATGCAAAAAGAAAGCTGAAATGAGAGGAGGAGTGACTTAAAAAAAGCAAAAGCACTGAGAGATTCAAACATGGGATTTGTTCATATTTCAATGCAGCCATTTAGAACAATGATTTTAACGTGTGGTACAATTGCCAAAGACACATGTTAAAATTAGGCTGATAGGCCCTTTCTTCCACCTCATTAAGAGCTTTTAAAACATGTCAAATTAACATTTTATGCTCAAATTAAAGGATATTTTAAGATATTTCTGGCAATTGCATCTTTTCCCCCTTCTTCAAAGGAAGATGAAGGGATCCATTTCCGATCAACATGACAGAATTTTTTGGTTTCAGATCTATTCTGGATTGGAACCCAGTGCTTAAAAGAATTGAACTTCGCTCTCTTGTGTTTGACCTCCTACACTCCACCTCCATCTGATCCAGTTTCCCCCTCTTAGAAGACCATTGTTTATTTAGTGGATGTGTCTACATGTGTTAATTGGAAAAGATATAACTTCCCAAACAAGCAGCAGATGTGACACAAAGTGCATTGTCTTATTGGTACTTTTTTCATGTGTGTAGAAGCACATTTGCCCAACATTTAAAATGTTTAGGTGCCAGAGCATCCATATCCTAGACCAGTGGATCTCAACCTGTGGTTGGCGGACCCCTGAGGGGTGCGTGATGCTGTCACAGGGAGTCCGCAAAGTCTTGAAGAAATGTTATGATTTAAATCTTGAGTTAAGTCTTGGGGGGGTCTATGGCCATGGTTCATGGCCACAAAACGCATTTAAAGGAGGTCTGTGGTGAAGAAAAGATGGAGAACTACTGTCCTAGAAGAAAGATTAAATAAAAGCAAGCTAAATTGCCCAGATGCTTCAGGTTATAGTTTTCTATTTTAGAGCAGTGTTGTTTCTTCTCAAAAGTTCCCAAATCTATGATGAATAATGTTGTCTGATTTTCTGAGTGAAAGATGCAGAGCTTGTTGGGACTATGAGGGAGGCTTTTGTAACTCAATGAGGGCTTTCCCCTAGGGAGTTATATTTTACACTCCTGGCTCATATAAGACAGTAGTAACTTTGGCAGTGATGATGCTGTCCTTCTCTGCCAGCATTCAGAACGGTTTCAGAACGGTGTTGACTGAATCTCAGACTTTGAGTCTTCTCACTTCTTCAGACATACTATGGAGCTGACAGACATTTTTACAACTATGGTAGCAGTTATCAATTTTACATTATCTTTGCTTTCTGTTTTGAAGGATTGGACAAGAGTCTCCTTGTCTAATAGTTTTCAAGGATTTCAAAGGATTTCAAAAATAGCTTTACATGTCAACCTCAAAAGCTTTGATTGTGACAGGATTCCTCGGATTTGCTAAACTGCATTTTCTAAGGGAAAAAAGACAGTCTAAATACAGCAATACTCTAGTTGTATATGTCTGTGTCTGTGTGTTGGAATTTAATATTTGGAATCCTGCCTTAAGTGAGCTTTCCTCTCTTTAATCTGCCAAATCTTAATGTTTGTTTGTTTGTTTTTAATTTTTGCAGACATTGATGAATGTGAGAACAGAGGTGTGTGTCAGCATGAATGCAGGAATACCTTAGGGAGTTACCAGTGTTTTTGCCCATCGGGTTACCGAACCATGCCCAATGGCAAAACATGTCAAGGTAAGAAAATGTCTTGACAGAGGGGGAAGAATTGAAGTACAAAAATTAAAATCCATCAGTACAGTTCATCAGTGACTTAGAAATATGTTTCAGTTGGTATTAGGATAGATAGTGAGTATCTTAATGATTAATTGTTTCAGTATTGGCCCCCATTCAAGTTTATCAAGAGTTGTCTTTAAGGTAGGGCAGGGTTCCTACCTGCTTATACTGAAGAGCATCAGTGCTAAGCTAATTATATATTTTGCACAATACTAAGAATATAAATATAGGGGATGCGATGGCTCAATGGTTAAAGAGGCTGAGCTAGATTCGAGACCCAAACATTGCACAACAGGGTGACTTCTGTTACTTGCCCCAGGTCCTACCAACCTAGCAGTTTGAAAGCATGCAAATGCAAATAGATAAATAGGTACCACTTTGGTGGGAAGGTAACAGTGTTCAGTGCACCTCAGCGTATAGTCATGCCGGCCCACATGACCACAGAAATAATTTCGCACAATGCTGCCTCCCTTGGTTAGGCAATAGATGAACATAAGAGTGGGACACATCTATGCAGGGGGAGCCTTTTCATTTAAGAGGGAATATAAGAATATAAAGGGAAAAGGGAACATTTCCTAATAGGAGCATGAATAGGATGACTGCAATGAATCACAATTCAGGGACAGAGTTTTCAGATTTTTTTTTTTTTAATTTAAAACTCTTTGGGTTCTCCAGTGAGAGCCTGTAACAAAATCATAGCAAGACATGGGGAAAAGGAAATGAATGTCCACCTGGAATTAAAATTTGTAACAATTAGCCTTTTCTCTCTTTTTTTTAATCTTATGTTTTAATATATTTTATAAAATATTCATTTATATGCATGACGATGATGGTTCTGTCTGTGTCATTCCCTATTGGTGCTGTTTACCTGTGATGCAAAGTAAAAAAAAAATTGAAATCAACAAACGGCCTTTCTGAAATTATTATTCCTTTTCAATTATATCAGACATAGATGAATGCCTTGAACAGAACATCTATTGTGGACCGAACCGCATGTGTTTTAACATGAAAGGAAGCTATCAGTGTGTAGAAACTCCTTGCCCGCCACACTATGAACGAGATCTTCTTTCTGGGTATGCTTTATCTTTTTCTCTGTATTTTCCCCAGGTAGCCTTTGTGATTTGGTATTTCAGTGGAGCCTAACACACACAGAGAGACAAAAGTACATATTATCCTTGTTTAGCATGTGCAGTTGGGATCAACAACTTGATCTTTAAGCGAAGTGGTCAATAGTGATACTGCAACAGTGCTTATGTTCTTACTTCGGCTTCCCTTTGCTTTACAGGCCTGCAAAGGTCTGGATTTATAAGTTACATTTTTTTTAATCACTGTTGTTACTGTGAAGAGTTGGTAAAGAAATAGTGGCTACATGTAACCTTGAAGTGCCACCTGTATTAAATGCTGCTTAATGTTAGTTTAACACTCTACTTAAAAGTCTCTTAGTTGGGTAAGCTGAATGTGATGACTTAAAATATACATTTATTTTAATTTACATATATACATTCCTCTCACATTATTCCATTTCTGGGTAAACATGTAATGCAAAATGGGAATAAGAAATAGTAAACTGAAGTACAGCAATGAAAAGTACAACATAAGAATGCTTCTTCCAAAATGTTCTCACTTGATCACAAATCAGACTTGCCAGGGGCAAGTAAGTAAGTAAGGACCCACCCCACTTTGCATCTTAAGAAGACAGAACTCTTGGAATAGTTCTTCCAACAGGAATCCTTTATTAAGAGAAAATGGTTGCAGGCATGCTAGACAGGACTTGGGGTCCAAGCTCTCCCATTCAAGGTTTTAAGGGGTTCCCCAGTAGTCCCACCCAATCAACCCCCCTTCCAGTGATAGTTTCAAGTATCACAATTCCACCTCCTTTCTTCTTTCTTCCGTCTGGATGGAGACTTCAGATACTACATGAAAGGCAATTACCCTTCTTTGATATGTTAACGCTTAGAGGTTACAATAAACACACATTCAGCTCTTTGAAGTGTAAAGAAGGAAGTGAGGGCCATAAAGCCCCTTTGCTCTCCCCCTTCTCTCCCTCTTATGGCAGAATCCAGAGAAGGCAGAATTGGGAGTTTCTATATTTGATAATTTAAAGATGAAATATAATTGGATTCTGACATCCGGCCCCTCTTAACAATAAGAGAGATCCACCTGAAAGAAAACGCAAGTAAAAATTTTAGTTAGGCTTGTTAGGATACTCTGTGTGAAACTTCTTCAATAGCTTCGGGGCTCTGACATGACGTTTATGGACCCACTCATTTTGTGAGGGAGGGAGGTGTTTCCAGGCAACTAGGTACTGAGTTGCTCCATGATATCTCCTAGAGTCAAGGACTTCCTTTATTTCGAAGTGTTGTTCACCCTCCACCATGATTGGAGGTGGTGGGGGGGGATTTTTGGCCGTAGAGGTGACTGATGCTCTCTTTTCAGCAAGCTGCAATGAAAAATTGGGTGTATTTGCCTGAGATTTTTGGGTAACTCTAATTCTACTGTTACTGGATTTATGATTCTTTTAATTGGAAAAGGTCCTATGTATTTTGGTCCAAGTTTTTTACAGGGCTGTAGGGACTTTAGGTATTTTGTAGATAAGTACACCATTTCTCCTATAATGAATGGTGTAGGCTCAACCCTTTTTTTATCGGCTTGTGTTTTGTAAGCCTGCCTAGCTTCATCTAGTGCTTTTCTGACTATTGGCCAGGTGTTTTGTAATTTTTCCATCCATTCTTTCAGCGAGGGGATCGTTGGTTCGTTTGGGGTTAATTCTGGCATGGGGTTGAAACTTTGACCGGTGGCTATTTGAAAAGGAGTGTAACCTGTGCTGGAGTGGACTGCATTATTGTAGGCAACTTCTGCAAAGGGGAGTAAGTCCGCCCACTCGGTCTGCTGGAAACTAAGAAAACATCTTAAATATTGCTTAAGTACTGAGTTCATTTTTTCAGCCCCCCCATTTCCTTGAGGGTGGTGGCTAGATGTCAGTCCCTGAGTGGTTCCTAAGAGGGATAAAAATTCCTTCCAAAATGCAGACGTAAATTGCACCCCCCTGTCAGAGATGATGCGTTGGGGTGCCCCATGCAATCTGTAAATGTGTTGGATGAAAAGTTTTGCTAAGGCTTTTGCAGTGGGAATCTTTTGGCAAGGGATAAAGTGCACCTGTTTGGAAAACAAGTCCGTGACCGTCCAGACCACAGTATTCCCATTGCTTTCTGGCAATTCCACTATAAAATCCATGGCTATTTCTCTCCAGGGGGCTGAGGGACTTGCCACTGTTTGCAATAGTCCTGGCACTTTCCCTTGCAACCTCTTTGCCGTGGCACATTTTGGACAACTGGCTATATAACTTTCAATGTCCTTTTTCATGGATGGCCACCAAAATTGCCGTTTAATTAAATGTAAAGTTTTTACAAATCCAAAATGCCCTGCTGATTTTGTGTCATGGCAAAGGTGCATGAAAGTTACTCTTTGAGTTGTTGGTATATATAACTTTTCCCCTATCCAAGGCAACCCGTCTTTCATTGTGCACACATTTTTGTTTTTCTGGAACCAATCATCTGTTTCCAAACTTTTTCTGAATTCAATTCCAGTTTGGCTGTCCAGTTGTGGTTTTAATTTGGCTTGGGTTCTTGTGGTTACTGGTGCTGCCAGTTGTGACTCTGCCATTATTGGTCTAGAGTCTGTGGTTCGTGCGCTGTTATATTGGGGCATGCGAGATAGTGCATCTGCCAGGAAGTTCTTTCTTCCTGGTAAATGTTTGAGCTTAAATTGGAATTGGTGAAAATGCTGGGACCAGCGGGCTTGTTTGGGATTGAGTTTCCTGGAAGTTTTCAGGGCTTCCAAATTTTTGTGATCAGTCCACACCTGGAAGGGGATTTTGTTGCCTTCCAGGAACTGTCGCCATGTGAGTAATGCCCAACGTATCCCATAAGCCTCCTTCTCCCATACGGGCCAGCGCTGTTCTGTTTCCGTGAGTTTCTTGGATGTATATGCACAGGGTTGCAATACTGCATCATCATTTTCTTGTAATAGCACAGCCCCCACTGCCACATCACTTGCATCTGCCTGTATTATGAAGGGCTTGTCCATGTCTGGGTGCCTTAGTACTGGTTCGGCAGAAAAAAGTCTCTTTAGTCTCTCAAACGCTGCTTGGCACTCCATTGTCCATGTTAGTGGCTGGCTAGGTTTTACTGAGGATGTTCCCTTCGTTTTTAGTAAGTTAGTGAGGGGCAAGGCTATCTGTGCAAATGAGGGGATGAATTGGCGGTAAAAATTTGCAAAGCCCAGGAAACTTTGTAGTTGCTTTCTTGTGCGGGGTGGTGCCCATTCTAATACTGCTCTGACCTTCTCTGGGTCCATTTCAATGCCCTGTGGGGATATGCGATAGCCTAGGTAGTCTATCCTTTCCTGGTGGAATTCGCATTTTGAGAGTTTGGCATATAGGTGGGCGGCTCGCAGCTTCTTTAAAACCGCTCTGACAAGTTTGACGTGTTCTTCTTTTGTTTCGGTAAAGATAAGAATGTCGTCCAAGTAAACAAGGACCCCCTTAAACAGGTGCTCCCTTAGAACGTCATTGATTAGTTGCATAAAGACTGCAGGGCCCCCTTGTAATCCAAATGGCAAGACTTTGAATTGATAGCACCCCATGGGGCAGTTAAATGCAGTCTTCCATTCGTCCCCTTCCTTGATTCTCACTCGATAGTAAGCTTCCCTTAAGTCTAGTTTAGAAAAAATTTTCCCTTTCGATAGGTGTGACAGCATGTCTTTCATGAGGGGCAGCGGGTATAGGTTGCTTTCACTGATTGTATTCAGGGCCCTATAATCCACGCATAAACGTAAAGAGCCATCCTTCTTCTCTCTAAAAAGGACCGGGGCAGCCACTTTAGGCTTGGCTGGCTCAATGAAACCTCTCTCCAGGTTTTTTTTTATAAATCTTTCCATTTCCTCCTTCTCCTTTGGGCTCATGGAGTATAATCTGGGCTTCGGGAGTTTTGCCCCAGGCTTGAATTCAATGGTACAGTCTGTGGGTCGGTGGGGGGGAAGCTCATTCGCCCTCTCCTCACTGAAGACTTCAGCAAGGTCCCTATATTCCTCTGGTATTTCTGTTAATCTTTTTTCCTCTCCTATGGATGCTTTTTCTATTCTTGATTCTGGTAGCCTCTCTTGGGGTTTTAAGTCCATAGGGTCCCCCTTCGGGAATTTGATTTCTGTCGTCCTCCAATTTACCCAGGGGTTCCATTTTTTCAACCATTCCATCCCTAGAATCATTGGGCATTCCATACCTGGGGTCACCACAAACGTTAAGTCCTCTTCATGGTTGCCCAGGGAGAGGTGTATTGGCAGAGTGGCTAGGGTAGCTGGCACCCCCCCTGCTATGGATCCATCTAGCTGGCCAAATGAGATTGGTTGTTCCAGTCTCCTGGATGGGATGCCCAGATTCCCCACTAGTGTTGGGCTAATGAGGCAGCGGGTGCAGCCAGAGTCTATTAAGGCTTTCACCTTCACAGCTTCGGGCATGGGGGGGATTAATATAGTCACTGTTTTGAAGATGGGTGTGATGCGTCCACTTACCAGGGGTTCGCCTTCCGAGCTGTCATCTGAGGCATCCACCGTCCCTGTGGTGTAGGCTGGAGTTCTTTCCCCTTGGTGAGCAGAGGTGGGGTTTCTGCAATTTCCATCATTTTCATGGCTGTTTCTTTTGGCTTAGCTGAATACCCTCTGGGTTTGTTGATTGGGGATCTGTCTGGGTTGTGCTGGGGGGCCTTTGAGCGGCATTCTACAGCTCGATGCCCTTCTCTTCCGCACTTGAAACACCCCATCTGCTTCTTGGCTGTATCCGATGATTTCACCGGTTGGTGTGTCAGCTCAGGCGGGGGGCGGCTCCATTGTTTTCCTCGGCGATGCCTCTTCAATATGTCGATCTCTGCTTCCTCTGCCAAGACGTACCATTCCTCAAGTCGATGTGGGTCTCCTCGGGGCAGGCAAGCATCATATAGATCATAGTTTAGTCCGTCTTTGAAACGGCCAAGGAGGATGTCTTCTGGCCAATTCAGTTTGCTGGCAATGGCTCGGAATTCTTGTGTATACTCAGCCACTGGGCGTTTGCCCTGCCTCATCGTTGTTATTCTTTCACGGGCTTTGCGATCAGCCAGGGGGTCTTCAAATCGTCTTCTCAACGAGGACATGAAACGGTTGAAGTTACTGAGTTCTGGGGCATTGGAGTCATGCAGGTTCACCACCCAATCTGCAGCTGGTCCATCCAGGGCAGATTGCACGATCCGGATGCGGGCTTTGTCGCTGGGGATGTCCTGCCCATATTCCTCCATGTAGCTGAGGACTTGGGTTAGGAAAAACCCCAAGCGTGTTGGCTCCCCTTTGAATTTCACCTCCAACGGTGGACGTCTTGGAATGGATCGGTGCCTCCATTGTGGGTGGTAGTGTCTTCCGTCCAGATTTCCATCTGTGGTCCGGTAGGGGGTGGGAGCTCCTGGATCAGTAAATGTCCCTGGGGTTGCAGGTTCCACGTCCCCCTCGGTGTCTCTCCCTTTGTGGCTCCAGGAACTGGGGCGGGCGTAGGGCTCAGGAATCTCCTCTCCTAGGGAGCTGAGAGTTCTCTTCATCAGGTCAATAGCTCTCTCTAGGATCCAGTCTGAGTACGGCATACAGCTTCCTCCCTCTTCACTTGCGTGCAGGGATTTCTCCATCTCCTGCTTCCATTCTGGTTGCTTGGTCCCTCGTCTCAGGGTCACTTTTCTTGATTCCTTTCCCCACTCGCTTTTCTTTCCAACGCCCATCGACCAGCGAGGCTTGTGGTCCTGTGTCTCCACCACTTCTTCTTCTGAGAAATCTGGCCTCTCGGATCCCAACATCTGGCAAGGTTCCAACTGGGTCAGCGGCTCTCTTTCCAGGGAGTTTTCTCCCTCTCTTGCTTCGTTGTCTGACATGGTAAATTTTTGCAAAATCCCCCGGCAAGGGTCTACCTTCCAGGTGGATTAATTTTGCAAGTCCTGTCTAATGTAAGGACCCACCCCACTTTGCATCTTAAGAAGACAGAACTCTTGGAATAGTTCTTCCAACAGGAATCCTTTATTAAGAGAAAATGGTTGCAGGCATGCTAGACAGGACTTGGGGTCCAAGCTCTCCCATTCAAGGTTTTAAGGGGTTCCCCAGTAGTCCCACCCAATCAACCCCCCTTCCAGTGATAGTTTCAAGTATCACAATTCCACCTCCTTTCTTCTTTCTTCCGTCTGGATGGAGACTTCAGATACTACATGAAAGGCAATTACCCTTCTTTGATATGTTAACGCTTAGAGGTTACAATAAACACACATTCAGCTCTTTGAAGTGTAAAGAAGGAAGTGAGGGCCATAAAGCCCCTTTGCTCTCCCCCTTCTCTCCCTCTTATGGCAGAATCCAGAGAAGGCAGAATTGGGAGTTTCTATATTTGATAATTTAAAGATGAAATATAATTGGATTCTGACAGTACCTCCATTTCTTTTCCATATGTATATCTGAATACATTTTTATTTAAGCCGTGTTTTGAAACAGGCAAAACTGTTTAAAGCTGATACTTACCTGCCAACATTCTTGTTCATTTATTTCTATATAAATAATCAATACAATCACTTAACTATATTGTGGGTCCAGTCAATCCAGTGATGATCTGGATTTTACAACTGTGGGTAAGCTTTGAGAAAGTAAGGCAAAGTAAAGAATAGTAGAAAATGTTTACCGTTCGAGACTGATATACACAAATGTTTCTTTTCAGATCGTGCCTCAAGAAGTGCCGACCCAATGACTTGGAATGTGCCTTGAGCCCTTATGCTTTGGAATACAAACTTGTATCTCTCCCATTTGGGATTGCTGCCAATCAGGATCTAATCCGATTAGTTGCCTACACTGAGGATGGAGTGATGCACCCAAGGACCAGTTTCCTTATGGTGAACAAGGAGGACATGAGCATCCCCTTTTCACTCAGAGATGAGAACTTGAAGGGGGTGGTGTATACCACGAGGCCTCTGCTAGAGCCAGAGACATATCGGATGAGAGTCAGAGCTCTGTCTTATAGCAGTGATGGAGCCATTGAATATCAGATGACTTTCATAGTCTATATAGCTGTGTCTGCTTATCCTTACTAGGAGAAGCTTTGCCCAAAATAATCAAAGTATGTTAACCACGTGCGTACATCCCGCTGGGTGTGGCCACTTCCAGAATGACTGCCTCATCTCTAAAGAGTTGTAGATATGCAACTTGGGAGAAAATGGTGCTATGTTTCTTATTTCTGACTGCCAATCTTGTTGCAATAATGCTATCTTGAACAAAAATAGCTATAGTCTATGAATCATTGGAATCTTACCATACACTTTATTTATTACACTGGAGCAATCACCTCCCAAAGATTGTTCTGCCGACCCTTTGGAACTAGTTAGCGATAGTAATTAGGCAATAATTTAGTGCTAAAAGAATAACATGCAAGGATGTTTTTATTTCTTCCCCAACATGAAAACCAAATATGGTATGAAAATAAATATGATATAGTTTTTGGATGTTTTTTTTACAAAATAACGAGAAATGTTTGCATAATTACAATAGTTTATATTTAACACTTGGTGGAAAGAATAACTTTCCTGGACATGACACAAAGGTAAGATAGTAATTGGTAACAATTGAAATATGAAAAGCAGGACAAATTGTGAAAATCCCAGACAGTTGATTGTACATAATGCACAGCAGCAATTATAGAATAACAGATTCGGAAGGGACCTTGGAGATCTTCTAGTCCAACCTCCTGGTCACGCTATACCATTTCGGACAAGTAGCTATCCAGTCTCTTCTTAAAAGCCTCCAGTGATGGGGCACCCATAACTTCTGAAGGCAAGATGGTTGATTGTTCAAGCTGCCAAGCCTCCTCAGAGCATACAAATAGCAGCTGATTTGTTCTCCAGAGGGGAATACATCTATCACATGACTGAAAAATAAAGCTGAAATAAAGCCCTAATGCAGGGTGGAAATTGCCCTTGCCCTAAAGTAGTACAGTTTATCGCTACTTTATATGGTGCGCCAGCTAGGAATAACAGCCACCTTTTGCACTGGAAACAGGAAATCTGGTGAAGTGTGCAAAGAAGGAAATTCAACTTTCTTGTTCAAGGGATGATTAAAAAACTTAAAATTATATTAAAACTTGCTTACCCCAAACACCAAGTTTGGTTTAAAAAAGTGTTAGATGTCAAAACACTGTATAAGGTGGTAATAAATTCTGGAAGTAATTTTTGCCAAGATGTATTCTATTTTTATGAAAGTATATGTATATATAAGTTTACTTGTATGTGTACAAGGGCTTTTTTTTCTCCAAAAAAAGAAAAGAAAAACAAGTACCGGTATTTTACCGAAGAATTTTGTTTACGCAGTGGTACTAACCAAATAAAACTTCACTTTCTCTTTTTTTACCATTATATATATCAATATTGTTATAAATTGTTTATTATTCAATGTTTCTTAAGTCTGTTTTATTTTCTAAATTAGTGCTACTGTGAGAATTCCAAAAATTGTTACCAAGTTGTGATTTTTTTATTGTGCATGATATTGCACTAATTATATCATTATAAACATATTAATTATATTGAATTAAATTTAAACTATAAATTAAGATTTAATACAAATAAAATCCAGTCAAAATTAGGTTTCGGAGTAATGCCACTACTTCTCTGGGGAGCATGTGCCCTGCAATGACACTCACATTCCATGTTCCTTGTATTGGAAGTACTGGTGTAAGGACCCACCCCACTTTGCATCTTAAGAAGACAGAACTCTTGGAATAATTCTTCCAACAGGAATCCTTTATTAAGAGAAGTGGTTGCAGGCATGCTAGACAGGACTTGGGGTCCAAGCCCTCCCATTCAAGGTTTTAAGGGGTTCCCCAGTAGTCCCACCCAATCAACCCCCCTTCCAGTGATAGTTTCAGGTATCACAATTCCACCCCCTTTTTTCTTTCTTCCGTCTGGATGGAGACTTCAGATAACTACATGAAAGGCAAATACCCTTCTTTGTTATGGTGATGTTCTTTGGTGCTAACGCTTTGAGGTTACAATAAACACACATTCAGCATTCAGCTCCTTAGCAGTATACTGAAGGAAGTGAGGGCCATAAAGCCCCTTTGTTCTCCCCCTTCTCTCCCTCTTATGGCAGAATCCAGAGAAGGCAGAATTGGGAGTTTCTATATTTGATAATTAAAGATGAAATATAAACTATTTACACCTGCATTTTCCTCTAAATTCTCTGTAAATTCTTAAACTTGGAACTTGAAATCACGTCCACTCTAACAAATGCTTAATGTCACAATTTTGAATGGTGCTTTGAGAGATAGAAAAAGAATAATATTTTTATCTGCAGAGATATGGACTGCTGTTAATATATAGGTAGTCATAGCAATATCAATATACTTAGACTAATATATCGCTGTATAATGCTTTACAGCACTCTCTGAGTGGTTTACAGAATCAACATATTGCCCCCAACAATATGGGTCCTCATTTTACTGACCTCGGAAGGAGTCACCTTTGAGCCAGTCAGGATCAATCTCCTGGCTGTGGGCAGAGTTAGCTTGCAATATTACATTCTAACTACTGCACCACCATGGCTCCTTGTCATGTTGCCATCACACACTGAGGCAGAAAAGGAAGCATTCTACACAGGATAATAAAAGAATTTGACAAGTACTTTAAAGTCTGATCAATAACACTTGATCTGTTAATAAATTACAGTCCTTTAGAATTGACAGTTATTTTGTATAACATGGACAAATAGAAAAGGAAAGGGTGTTTTTTTTTTTTTAATTGCATACAATTTGTTCTGTGAAAAAGGGAAGTGGGGACTCATCCTAACCAATGCTGAAACAATTTTTCTGTGAGTACCAGCAGTCATTTTGTTTACAGTAACATAGAAACATGTTTAACAATAACAGCGGCAGCAACAAGGAGACAAGCTACAGAACATAACGACAGCAATACCTTGCAATGAGAATGAAAGATATGTGGGGGATACAGAGAGGTATCTTAACCAGAGTCCCATTAGCTGTGGGTGGATAGCAAACACAACAAGAATCTCTGCCATCTATGCATTGCTATTGCTATTAAAAACAGGATGTCTAAAGGATCAAAATATCTCTGCATGAATCAGGATCATCAGTTAATTTACCAAAACTCAAACTCACCCATAGAGAGCAACCCAACCCTCAAGGCTTGTTGCAATTGCCACATTTTAAGTTTTCTGAAAACCAGTAAGATGGAAATCACTTAAATTTCTAAAGGAATGCAGCTCTACAGAAGGAGAACAGCAATGGAAAAGACACAAATTCCCTCACTGAAGGGATATAGAGGAAGATCACTTTACCAAATCTAACTAGATCAATGGTTAGTTGATCTAGTTAGAAACTGCCTGCTTCTACCTGAGCTGCAATATTCTAGGTTATCTGTAACTTTCATATGCTCTTCACAGGCACTCCCATGTAGAATGTATTGCACTGATTGAAGAGCTTAAGGCATGTATGACTAATGAGAACTTTTTGTTCCAGGGGAGAGTGTAACTGGTACACAAGATGGAACTGTGCAAACAACTTCCAGTCACAACTGCCACCTGTTCATTGAGCAATAGCTTTGAGTTTAAGATGACTCTCAAAATAGTTCTGCCTAAAATAACTAAATTGCAGTTATTTTCCTTTAATTAGATAGCCTCCGAATCCAATTTCTTTCCATGTTAGTGGGACTTAGTCTAAGTTTGTTCCTCTGCATACAGACTCCAATAGCTTCCTGGCGCCAAGTTATCATTTGCTGACGTCATTTCTTCAGCCTAAATGTTAAGATGACAATCACTTGCATACTGACAGTATATGAAAAATGATCTAACAGAACATGCATGTATTACGTAGAAGCAGGGAATGCACTGATTTCTAGAGCACCCAGGAATTTAGATACATATACATATAATATATCACAGAAATAAGAGGAGCTAACCAGGTTGTGCTATTGTGGGCATTTTTTACACACAATAGAGAAATAACCCCCCCCCCGGTGTTTTCAGTTCTTTGTGATCTTGACATGAAGAGTTAACTTACCGATGCATTTGACATTTCAGATTGGCTGATACCATTATTTCACTATCATAAAGAGGCCTGGAACTTAATACAATAATTTAACCTCAATCTAGCAACCTGCCTACCCACAATTGGCTTGCCACAGAAGAAAGTTGCATATCTCTAATTTAAATCAAAAGAGCATTTCTCCCAGAAAAAGCAGATGATTTATTATTATAAATGGTCACATAGTCGGCCAGATGTTTAGACTGGATTTTGCATTTTTGTCTTCCTGTCTCAAGGACTTGGGATGTGCAGATGTTGTTTGCTGATGTTAAATGTATCCTCGCAGGAGGTAACCTGTTTCAAGTAAAGCTGCTTTTTGCAATTGACTCACAGTGATTTTGTCAATGCTGATGGGAATCAGCACATGTTTTGGAATCCACATGTTTTGGAATTGCTCCCAAGATGACTATTACTCTAAGTACCATTAATTCTTATAATGCTAGGTTACTTGTATTTAACAATGTGAATTATCCATAAGAAACTATTAAAAATGTGAGGTCAGCAAATCCTGATCCTTTAACATTTGATGATTTTAGTATTTTAGTATAAGCACATGAACTGTATTAATTGACTTCTATGTTGAATGGTGTAGTGCAGTGATGGCGAACCTTTTAGAGACCGAGTGCCCAAACTGCAACCCAAAACCCACTTATGTATCACTGGGTGCCAGGTGGGCGTGGGCCGCTTGGTGGGCGTGGACCGTCGGGTGGGTGTGGCTATGGTAGTCATGCAGATGGATGGGCATGGCCAGGGTGGACGTGGCCAGGTCAATATTGCTCCTGGGGAGGGATGCCTGTGGGGGCTGGGCAGGGTTGGGGAGAATCCTGGGGGTCTCCTCTGGGCAGGAGGCTCATCATGTGGGGTGAGGCGAGGCAAGGTGAGGCAGGGTGGGGATGCCATTGTCGCAGGGCAAGGTGAGGCAGGGGCCGGGGCGGCTGCTGCCTGATACCATCGGCCCCCGCACACAGAGGCCAGCAAGTACATGGGTGCTGGGATGCATCCAGCCATGTGGGACCTCAGCGAGTTAGCAGGCAGCTGGTTGAAGAGGACAGGGCAAGGCGCGCGTGCCCACAAACAGGGCTCTGAGTCCCCCCTCTGGCACGCGTGCCATAGGTTCGCCACACTGGTGTAGTGTGATACTGATGAGGGTTCCAATGAAGCAATGTTAATAAATTTCATTATTGGCAGATGGGTTGCTGATCTTCAGGCTAGAGAGATTGCTAGATGTTCTGAGTTTGTGGAAATTTTTCAACTTGTGGACTGAAGTGGGACTTTTGGAAGTAGAACAGTCTTATTTCTATCTACAGTATACTTTAAAGCGAAGCAGTTTTACATAGGATCCAAAACTCAAAATTAAAGCTTATAGGCCTGCTCTTGAAACATCTCATAGCTCAGAATTGTACAAATATATGTGCCTGCATACATGTCAGTAAATCTTAAGAGTTTACTTTTCCACCAGAAAACATTTCCCAAAATGTGCACCAGAGCATGCTACTATGCCATCAGAAAAGTGCTTGCATATCACAGGAAAAGGAACTCTTAGCATAAAACACCCAGCCATGACAAGGATTATTTATTGCATGCGTATCCCGCATTTCCTCTAAAAAAACTTGGATGAACCCACTTAGGTTCTTCAGTCTGCCATCTTCCCCTATCATCTATCATATCCCTTTTTTGGAGGTTTAGAATGAATATTTCCATGACCAATGATGTTGGCTTGTCTGAGACAGTGGACAAGAAGAATGTCTCCTTCATCCATTGGCCTTTATATACAGAAACAAAACAGACTCACGATTGCATTTGACTTCAGTATTAGTGATGGGACACATTTCTCCTCCTACTAAAAAGGATGTTGGGGAGATTTTGGAGGAATGGGGGCTTTCAGAGAAAGTTGATTTTTCTCATTTGGAAGGTTGTCTTCAATTCCAATCCTACATATGAACTGTGACACAACACTGTACATATAGTACAACTCCTGGATCTTTCCCTGTTAAATTCTAGTGTGAGTATCTACTTCTGCTACATCAATACATTGGGTGTAGTTGGGTCATTGAGTACTCCTGGTGAAGAATAACCAGCAAAATGAACATGTGACAGTTTTATCTTGCTGAAGGTACCTATTTTTGAACTAGGAAGCTCTTGGCTGGTTTTTTTTTAAGTATATGTGCTTCATTAATAAATGCAAATCTCAGTTCCTCAAAGTATGGCCTTTGTTATAGCAGTCTTGCTTTAGATATTATGTAAAGCACCTTGCTGCCTGATTTGTTTTTCGTTTGTTTTGTTTTAAATCCCTTCTATGCCAAAAACAAGTTGTTTTTTTTTGTTTTAAGATCCAGTCTCTTTAAATCTCCAAATTTGTACAATGCTGCAATTTCTTATGTAGAATTGGGTGGATTGCTTTATATATTTTTATTTGATTTCTG